ATGTCTGAACAGCTGATTTATAGTCATCATTCCACCAAGCAGTGGGCCTAGATTGTCGGGGCTTCTTGCCCACTGTCCTGATACAGCCTTGGATCATGTTGATCAAGCTCTGTGTAAATGCATCCACCTGGCCAGGGGATACACCCAGCCGGGGGAGTTCATGGATCCTGGTTTGGACATTATCTGCCAGCTCTTGTAGTTTGTCATCCGGTACTATCCAGTAATTGGCCTTAGAGACTCGGTCCAGATCTCCCTGAATTGGAATGACTATTCGTAATGTCTCATGATCTGAGGTGCACTGAAGTGCATCATTGACTGAGGCTTCAGCCATGGGGACATCTGAGAACACCAGATCTAGTACATTTCCGTCATCATGTGTTAGAACATCTGGTTCAGAAATCAGATCCAGTCCATGATCTGTCATAGTCTGTGCAAGTATGACACCACCATGATATCCTGGATTGCTTGAGTCCCAGGATATGTCGCCAGCATTGAAATCTCCAGCTATAACGCAGCCAAAAGGTGGAGTCCATACTTCCAGAATGTTATCCACTTCTTGTGGGTTGTCACAAGGCCAGTAGACACTGGCAAATATAATGCCTTGTACCTTGACCCAGGTGATGTCTTGTATAGCATAAGGCCAAAATTGATCTGCTTGAAGGTGTTTTCTCATATAGATGAGAGATCTGGGCCGTGTACTGTCGCTGTCCCAGGAATCCACTGGGGAGTATATATTATAATTGGCATGTGTCTTTACTCCCATTCTCCTGCCTGGTGGTATGCCAACCCAGGGCTCTTGCATCAGGATGATGTCTGCTTGTTCTCCTTTGTAGTCAGCCAGGTTGATAGCTAACTCTGTAGGGCCTGCACTCTTTTGTCCTCCTGCTGTGTTCACAGAATGGATGACTAGATGCCCGTGTCGATATGTTTCGTTTGATGTACCTAACATTGACTGACAATAATGGTATCGGCATCTCTGGGATGAGTTGTATCTGTTGTGTCGATTTGCATTGTAATGTCCTTGTTATTATTGCTGGGTGTTGGCCCAGCTTGGTTTCTGACTGCTTCATTGAGAGCCTTGGATCTGGCTCTTTCTCCGGCTAGCCTTATTTCTTGGATTTGCTCCCATATGTGCTTATGGATGGTACCTTTCACAACCTTGGGGCGAGCAGGGCATTTATTGAAGTCGGCAGCATGAGGTCCTTTGCAGTTGACACATTTTGGGATTGGTTTTTCGCACTCTCCCTGGTGTACTGTATTGGCGCAGTGTGCACATACTTGCTTTTCGCATTGGTAATTTCTACCATAGTATCTGAAGCAGCTTGCACACTGATGAACCTTGGGGGTGTATTGAATATGCCTTGAGGTTATTGAGTGGGCAAAAAGCGTGAATGGTTTCTTTACTGTACTGGACAGAGAGATTATCTACGTGGTTTCTGGATCAGAATCAATCGTGTTCTTTGAGAGTATGCACCTCAAAGGTCTGTTGCCTGTTTGAGCTTCAACTTCTTCAGCAACAGCAGTGTCGGTAATATCAATTGTGAACCCTTCTGCACTGATGACCTTTCTTGGGCATCTATTGACCTTGTAATGGTGCCAGACTGTGTGGGTCTCAATCTTTTGTGCCTTGAGAATATCGGCAATTTCTTCTTGGGAAGCCAGAAGCTTAGCCTGAGTTGGCATGTCCCTTGGGTGTAAGGTAAAACCAGAAGGACAACGTGTCACTTCTCTAATCTCCTGAGGATGGAGCTTAAGTCTTCTGTTTAGTGTAGACTTGATTCCATAAGGCTCAAGGTGGCTATTATCCATGCGGACAAAGACCCAGAGATCATCCTGTTTCCTCTTCAATTGGTTGATAGTGATGAGGGCACTAGGCTGTGTTTTCTTCATGGTAGTGTTGACTGTCCATAGATGTTGTCGTTGGCCAGAGGAGACAGCTTGGGCAAAGGTCATGGTGGGCTTCCCTATTTCTATCCCCCCAGAAGTGGCCTTTCTTGTGATCAGATCTTGGGTTTCTAGCCACTCATTCAGACATGTGGAGAAGAAAGCGCTGAACTCCTTGGCATGAGAGTATAGTTCGGTTCCAGCTTTCTCAAGTGTCTTATCGACTGCTGCAGCACACTCCTGAAACATTGTCATCCTGGCTTTATAGAGATGCTTGTCTTTAGCCAGTATTTTGGCAACTTGGTCCTGGCACTCTGAAGAGGAGGCTTTGTTCCCTGCATCACCTCCAATGGCTTAGTCTGTAGGGATTTTGCTTGACTGAGGTAATTCCATATCAATGGTGCTGCTATTATTGATATTTTGGGATTTTCTTTTTAGAGGGGAAACAGTGGTGAAGTCAGCCTCAGAGACCTGTGACGGGCTGCTGTTGATGTCGTCGAGCAGTGCCTGGTGGAGCCTGTTTGGGGTTGCCGGGTCATGTGTTCTTTTAGGGACTGGGGATTTGAACACGCCGCCAGTAGTCGTCTTTGGGACGGCCACTGGCGTGTTTGGGGGCCTGTCGTGAAAGGGTGCCATCCAGCTTGTGAGAAAAATTTTCTGCGCCTTGGCAAGGATAGTCAGGTACTGAGACAAATGCCTGCTTTAGTGCAGATATAGAGGTTGCGCCCTAACAGCGGGGCACCAAGAAAAATAGTTGTTTTTGGCAAGAGTGTGTGTCCTATCCCACCTTGCAATGATACTCTTAATTATTGAATACACGGATGTTGATTGATGCTATTGATTGTTCTGTTCTGCGTGCAGAGATTGATCATCTGTCTTTTTGGGGGGTCAGATGCATTGTGCGTCTCTGCCCCACTAGAGATCTTCTGGTGTCTGTCTCCGGCTCCCATTCAATAAGATTTAACCGTTTTCTCTGTGGTGAAGGCCGCCTATCGCCGCCTCATCAACCAGCTCGGTCAGCTCAACGATTTGGCCCCTATTGGCAAGATTTAAGTTCCTTAATTGCTTAGCGAAAGCTCGCAATAAAATCACGCTAGCTATTGTACATTCAGAATAGCATATTGCTGGCCTTTAGCTTGTGAATTGGCAGAAAATGCTGGCAAACGAGCATGTAATAAAGGCAGAGGAGATACAAGCAGCATCAACAGCTATAATGGACCCAGAAACCACTCCCGAAGCACTAGAAGCCCCTAAATCAAGGCTGGACATAGCCCTGATGCTATCAACAGTGGCTGAGATCCCTGAACAGCAAGCAGGAGTCCGCTCAGTTGCAAAAGCGTACAATGAGATTGTGGATCTCAGCCACTGGATCCAGCCACCAGTACCTTATCGGATCTCCTGTCATACAGGGCGTTCTACGATAAGGTTACCTGGGATGGCTGCCTCAGGTGACAGGTACCAACCCACTATAATTTAGGTATTTAGATACTTCTCAGATGGGATCCCTTCCCATCCGAACTTAACCTAGCACCAACCAGAATACAGATCATCCCAACCAAGACTTGTGATAGATCTCCGTTCTGGTTCCGCTACCACAAAGGTATAAGATGGTGGTTGAGATAGCCCTTCTAAAGCAACAAATGGAGGCAAAAGACGACAAAATTGAGCGTCTACAGCCAAAGAAGCGCCGTAAGGCCCCTCAGGAAGAGCCTAATAAATGGCTATAGAAGATTGGAGATGTTATTACTGAGCAAATTGAGCATACAGAGGCCGCACAAGCTTCTATTGAGCAATGGGCAGAGAGACAACAAATTTTGCATGAATTACAAAACTTGCACACTGACGAATCAGAGAGATCACTATCTGAAGACTCCCTCTCCTCTAAATATAACGATTCAAAAGAATTAAACGCAGGGGTGGTTATTGACGATAGGGACAAGGAGGGGTCTGATAAGCCGGATAATGAAGATGTTAAATGGAAGCCGGAGATAGACACCGGAAGATCTTCAGTGGGACAGAGACACACAGAGCATCTGACCCACCAAGAAGACAGATGATCAATCTCTGCACGCAGAACAAGAACACAATCAATAGAATCAATTAATATCCGTGTATTCAACAGAAGACAACAAACCCATTATGGTGCGATCTTTGCGCCGCGCAATCCGCCAGCCTGCACGGTACCAGATAAATAATTAATATTGCTAAAAACTCTAAGAAAAGGCGGTTCTAATGAATTATTATATAATTTATAGCTTCAATTCAGATGAAGTTATCTGTGGGTACAAGTGTGGCCTTTTGGTGTGAAAACTGTCTCATTTGGGGGGCTGTCCCACTTGGTGGCCCCCGCCGTTACCTAGTGTAATATCTTCGAGGCCTTGAACGAGCGCGACTAGGGCGTCGACAGAGGACGGTGGGAACGAAAAGGGGCCCCCTTTTCGGGTCACGTCTTCGACCACCATCACCAATTGGAGCTTACCCAGTTCCATACCTGGGCAATCAATCATGACCAGCGCCAACTAATTGGGAATGTGATACGGTAGAGTATAGCTGCAATGCCTGACGATAACAACCTAGTCAATGAGGACACATGCAGAAGAGGATGGCTCAAGTTTTGATTACAGCAGAGACACTCCGATGTGCACGTCCTCCGCATCATGGTCAAAGGAGCAGCCAAAGCCAGATATCGTGACTTTCACCGAATGGGCCAAGCTCGCGATTGCGTACATTGAAGATCATGGTGATGCAAGGAATCTCAGCTATACCATAGCACAATCACCTTCCAGGCATTCGAAAGTGGCTTGGGTTTGGAAAGGAATGGTCAACATTGAGCCATGCAATGAGCAAACATAAGTCGAGAAAAACATGCAGTGCCGGCGGTGCTGGGGCAACATCGCGACAGCTTTGCCAGATGGCAATACTGCCACTGCAAGTGATTTTGGTACCTTTGCTCCACCACGTCTTCAGGCACCTCTCCAACCACATTCCTCGAACCTTCAATCCACATCACACGAGAGTGCATTCAAGCTACCGAGGCTTGATCTCATCAACACAGTCCACTTCCGCCTCATTTCCATCTGCAGCGACCCAGTCCAAACACTCTCACTCGCACCAAGATGCATCTCGCCACCAACATCGCCGTCGCGCTCGTCGCGCTCGTCACCACTGCTCAGGCAGCCTGGCGAATGGCCTGCGGCAAAGGTGGTAACGCGCAGTTCCACATCATCCACGACCGACCCTACCTCAGCACGCTGTGCAGCATGACGCCCGATGACGACCACAAGCAGATGTGCACGATGCTCGACCTCGGCGGCTGCTACCAGAACTCGAACGGGCACCTCCTTGCAACCATCAAGTAGGTTGCTCCCATGTCCCCATTCCTACCTATTTCGCACATGCTGATGATACTTACTTTCGCTATAGCGGCCGTTTCGAGCACAGCTGCCAGCATTGTCACCTCACCGGCGTCAACAAGACCATCTTCGCTTGCGACTGCCAGATGTTCGGCAAGAATGCGCCCTGGCAGTACACCGAGATCGAGACTGGTAAGCACGCGAAACGCAGTAGACGATCTTCCGACCACATACTGACATATATCTTGCAGAGGACCTGATCGAGAACCAGGCGGGTTTCCTGACATGTTGGAATGCGGGACACCAGAAATGCCCGGGTATGCCTGACGTTCAGGTATAGAGACTTTCGTTGTCACGAGCATCTTGGTGGATTGTACTGGCGTGGAGGAGCGAGGTTGATATCTTGAACCGGCCCGATTTGCAAGGCTGTCACAGATCAGGGGTAACTTTAGGGGTATGAAGGCATGGTCATGGTACAAAGTTCTTGTACGTAGGAACCCCGGATTCGTATAATGCTACCAACGAGCCACATCTTCGCCTTCTGTAAATATTTGTGAGAATCAAGGAATGGTGCCATGCGGTTTGAGCACAACGCCAAACCATGAATCTGCGTTGCTGAGGCAGCAAACATCTGGATGGCCCACATAAGTACCTACATTGTGCATTCATTCCCCAAGTCAACAATGGAAATGGCCTCTCGCAATTGTAGGTGCTGAAGAATAACGTCCAGCAAGTTACCTTGGTGCCCTTCATATATATGTTTCGGTTGGAGCCATCAGTGCACTTTTTGCATTTCCACTCTAGCAACCCAAGCGTTGACACCTGGGGCAGAAACATCCCGCCACACAGGCCATCCCCCATTCTTTTCCCTTCTAACCAAACCATTACCTCTCATCTGGTCTGACTGTTCCAGCGCCTCAACCTGCTACGTCAACAACCCCATGTGGTGGCCACCACCGAATTCCACCTTATTTGACTGCAGACCGTTCACGACCTCTCCAAGCAGTGCATCTTGCGCGCAGCAGCATTGCCTGTTCCATCTCACTCGCCAAAGACGAAGATGGCTTCACCAGGTGACTACCAGCAGACCTCAGCCACTTCTTCCACATCCGTGCCTGATAGCTAACCTTCTGCCCCTCTTCTGAAGTAGACGCAATGCCCCGACTCAGCGAGGGCGCTCAGCCTGAGAACCAACTCACCACGTTCACCCGATTCGGAAGCCTTCCGCTTGAGCTCCGCCTAATAATCTGGAAGATGGCAGCGGCGGTCCCTCGTATCATCGAACTGGATCTCGACACCAACAACTTGAAGCGACGCGGACACCACATGTTCAATGGCCGGAAGAGAGAGCAGGTGCAGCCGCTTCTCTGCGTCAACCGCGAGAGCCGCGCTGTTTCCTTGGAGGATGACTATATATACTTTACTCACTACGGATACCGTGGTGTTGTGCGACATTTTGCCATTACCGAGAGAGACATCTTGTTCGTCAACGGCACCGAGTCGCAGACCTGGCAACTCAGACTCTCGGGAGAAACGAGGCTGATCCGTCAGCTGATGATACCGCAACATATTGAAAAATTAGGTTGCATGAAAGACTGGAGCAGCGCATTCGGTTTCCTGGTTTGGGACGCCACGAGAATTTTCAAAAACCGGGATAACCTCGAGAAATTGTACTGCCTCATGCTCGACGGGGACCAGGAACCTCCTCACGTCCAGATCGACGACCTGCAGCCTTTCACAGCCGAGCGTTTCCCTCAATACGCAGAAGCTTTCAAGTAGCTTGCTAAGGTGCATATCCCCCCCCGGCACGGTATCATCTTCGACAAGTCGGTCCTCGTATGCCTGAAAGGCTTTGGCAACCAGAGTTGAGGGATCTGGTGATGGCTCCTGGACACGATCATTGGCATAACTACCTACCTAGCCTACGCCACTACCACATCAGCAGATGATCGATCAACCAACAGACCGCTGCTTGGTCAATTGCAGATGAGTTGGGTTTCGGTTTCGGTCAGGATGTGTCGAAACATGAACACGGCGGTAACAGCAGCAGACAACAGAGGCGAGGAATCACCGGGGTGGGAGCAGCAGTAGTGAGTGGCTGGTCTTTATAGGGTGTGGTCAGGATGACGGAAGACCTCAAGAGGCAGGATCGATTCTCCAGCCCCTATCTGCTTGAGCTGGATCATGAATCATAGTGCGAGAGACCAGCAGACATATCGCCTTCAAGCAATGAATTATATGCCAAGCCGTGTTGTGTTACCACGTGGTCCAAGTCGCGTGCTTCAACGTGCTTGCCGTAGGAATGCAAAGAATCCTCCGGCTCGTGAATGCCACGTTTGTGGCCGTCACCTCCAAGGTGGCTGGCAGATTTTTGCTATCAGCTTGCTTATCTCACTCTGACGCATAACTTATCGAAATGCTCCGCTCCGGGGAAGATGGAGTCGCACGTGGTTTGGTGGTGATGTGGGTGGTACGCGAGGAGAAGAAAGTTCGGGGACAGGGAGGGTCACGATGGGGGAATGGCGGAGCCTCGTCGCAGCCGCAGTGGCCCTCATCACCTGGAACTGTGGGTGATTCCTGACTGGTGGATCTGGCACCCTGATCCATTTCGTCATCGGAGGGTCTTGAAGGAATCGACATACTGCAGTACGAATTCGAGATCGGATCGCATCGGAGCTGCCGACTGGCAACTGCATCTCATCAAGTTGACAAAAATCCTTCACGTATGGAAGTAATGAAATATGGGATCGTAGAGTGCCACGGCTATGAGCAAAACAGAGTGAGTGCCGCGGAGTGCCTTGCCGATATGAGTTGTCCATTGCTGAGTTGTTCCGTCGCAAGTCGCATCGCCATGGCCGCATGAATGTTCCCAACGCAGTGTTATTACTAAAACAGTGCATACCAACCAGGGACGCGCTAAGCTATCATTAGAATGGATCGACATGAGAGAGATGAAGCAAGTTGCGAACGCGCCTAATTAGATAAAGATGGAACGACCGTCGACGGTATGTTTCGAGCATAAAGTAGGCAATCTCAACGTGGTCACTGGTCAGACAGGAAGCCATACACGCAGACACGCCTCTCCAAATCGATGCGGCACATTTATTACCCGTCACCTTTTCGGTCTACATATGGTGCCTCTTTCGGCTTTTAGATAAAGTCGGGTAGATAAGGAGATAAGGTATATGGTGACCACGTGTACTGCCAAGGCTGAGTGCGGCTTATTCCCGCCAGGGGCTTGGCAGCTGGCACGAGTTTTATTGTGGACCTTTGACATGTGCTTTTCGTAAAACTGGACCATACCCACCCGTCGTGACAACCGTGCTCGCCGCTGACTCGATTCTCCCCCAGTCTCGCCCAGTCTGGTATGAACCTGGGAAATTGTCATCTGGAGACTGGGGACTGGAGCAATTTGAGGGGCAGAAAGTGGGTTGTCGTGAAGGGTTTCTCCAGCTGGGGACTCCCCAAACTCCATCAACCCCATCAACTCCTCACATTATTAATCTTACTATCACCACCAGGTACCCAATTGTGGTTACTGTCCCCGACTCGGGAGCCACATTGTGGCCGCTGTCCCATGCACCGTACCATGCGATGCAACCATGCCGGGCCGACAGCCTCGACTCTGGAGTGCAGTGCTGTCGAGTGACGCGCCTGTAGCATGCAGCCTGACAGCATACCGCAGCAAACTGGCCTGACTGGCAATCCCGTCGGGCTGGCCGCCGCGATGCCCGCAGACCGCCTGTTGTTACCCCGACCATTGGCACCAAGCAACACCGTGCACAGCCGCGCTACACTTCCCGGGCATGATAATCGATTAGTAGTCCGCAGGTAGTCGCGGGATGGCGCGCTTCAACACGGAACAGCGGCAGCGGCGACACGGGCGCCAAGACAGAAATCACCTGTTATTGTTTCGGCAGTGGGTCGTCTGGGCCCTACAGTAAAACGCCTCGAAGGAACAGCAGCGCGGCTGGCACGCATGGCGCAAGGCACAAACTTCAAAGTGGCACGGCTGCAGGGCTGCTGCCTCCTCGGCCGTGATGGTGGGAGCCTGACCGTGTGACTGGTCCGGATCGTGGTCGGTCATTGGCTGGCCGGCCGGCGACCCTTGCGAGCCTTTGAGCCTTTGAGCGAACCAGGACGAGCGCATCATGGCCCATTCCACCGCCGACAGAGTCCGCTCCGTTGCAGCATCGCCAAGCCTTGAACCAACCACTCCTCCGGTTGCCGGGCGGGGCCAGCGAAGTTCGCTGGTGGAGATTTGGGTGGGACCTATGACGATCGTGCCGGGAGACCCTTCATCCCTCACCTCCAACAACACCAAATTTTCAGCCGCTAGAAGATCTGCATTTTCCGCTTATCTGCTGCAAGCGACGTAATGAACCCTCTCCCGCCCACCACGCCCTCCCACACTCCCCCATGGTGGGCGTCCCCTCGCTCTCGCTAGGTCTCCAGTCTCCAGTCTCCAGTCTCCAGTCTCCAGAGGACATCCCTCAGAGCACTTTCCTCCACCGCTTGACCCGCTATCTTACATTCATGTGGGCTCCCCAGACGGGGCCATGATGGCATTCTTCGGTCCTTACTCGGTGACACCCATATTCACACATGTTAGCCCCAGGACCCTGCATCTCTGCTAGACTCGGGCACATCTGACATACCGCCGCCTCTGTTGATGGTTCCCAGAGATGCTCGAGATGGGGTGAATATAATAATGGGCACTATCCCATCCCCAGACGCTCTGGATTTTCACCCCTTCATCCCATCCCGCCTATCCCCCTCCCCCATATCGAGTCTGCACTGATCAGCCTCCGGATCGAGTAGCCATCATGGGACACATCGACAATGACTCGGGCGTGCCCACGTATTGGGGCAAGTCCGGCAAGACTTTGCAGAAACTGATCACCATGGTTGCGACCACCGACTTTCTGCTGTTCGGTTACGATCAGGGTGTCATGTCCGGCATCATCTCCGCCCCGGATTTCATCCAAGACTTCCCCGAAGTTGACGGGGACAGCACCTACGAAGGTTTCGTCGTGTCCATCTACGCCGTCGGTTGCTTCCTCGGCGCCTGCTTCATCCTTGCTGTTGGCGACAAACTCGGCCGCCGCTACTCCATCTTCCTCGGTGCTTCTGTCATGATTATTGGTGTCACCATCCAGCTCGCTTCTGTCCCTGGCCATAACAATATGGCGCAGTTCATTATCGGGCGCTGCATCACAGGTATCGGCAACGGCATCAATACTTCGACGGTACCCATGTGGCAGGCAGAGTAGGCACCAGACCTTCCCAATGTGGTGACCCGCCGCTGACATTTGATGCCTTACAGATGCAGCCACCATAGCAACCGTGGAAAGCTTATTTGCATTGAGGGTGGAAACGTCGCTATTGGCACATTGATTGCCTACTGGATCGACTACGGCTGCACGTATGGGCCCCACGACATGGTCTGGCGGTTCCCTATCGCTTTCCAGTGTTTCTTCGCCATCATCGTCATCATCATGATGACGAACCTTCCCGAGTCACCTAGATGGCTCCTGACGCATGATCGAGGCGACGAGGCCGCAACGATTTTGGCAGCCCTAAACGACAAGCGGCGTGACAGTCCAGAAATCCAGGCTGAGATTAGTATCATCAACGATGCCATCGTTGCTTCCGGCCAGGTCAACGGTAAAACCCCCTTCTCCGAACTGTTCACCGGCGGCCCCACTCAGCACTTCCGCCGCCTCCTTCTGGGCGCCTCTTCTCAGATGATGCAGCAGCTATCGGGTTGCAATGCCGTCATCTACTACTTCCCCATTCTGTTCCAGACCTCGCTCAACACCTCTCACAACCTGGCGCTGCTCCTCGGTGGTGTGAACATGGTCGTCTACTCCCTTTTCGCTACGACCTCGATGTTTGCTGTCGAGCGTGTTGGGCGCCGCAAGCTCTTCCTCATCGGAACCGTCGGACAATGCCTATCCATGGTTCTCACCTTTGGTGCATTGATTCCCGGTACTCAGTCAGCAGCCAAGGGCGCTGCTGTCGGTCTATTTGTGAGTCAACTTTCCCAAGTTGAAGAAATCTGCTTGGGCATATACTAATATTCCACCAGACCTACATTGCTTTCTTTGGCGCCACCTGGCTGCCTCTTCCCTGGCTGTACCCAGCCGAGATCAACCCGATGAAGACCAGAGCGAAGGCAAATGCTACTTCGACTGTCAGCAACTGGCTGTGGAACTTCTTCATCGTCATGATCACACCGGTGCTCTTACAGAACACCGGCATCAGTGGTTGGGGAACTTACCTGTTCTTCGCCATCTTGAACGCCATGTTCTTCCCAATCATCTACTTCTTCTACCCCGAGACCGCGGGTAGAACTCTGGAGGAGATTGATGTGATCTTTGCCAAAGGTCATGGCGAGAAGATCAGCTACGTCAAAGCTGCGAAGGAATTGCCTCACCTCGACGCCAACGAAGTGCAGGAGAAGGCTAAAATATATGGCTTCGCTGTCCAAGATGAGGAAGTTGGTGCTACCTCTTCGGTGAAGGAGCATGGTATCCTGTCGCCCAACTCTTCGGATTAAGCCATTCCGTTGGTGGAGCGGCTGGTTTGGCGAAGGCCCTTCGCAAGCTTTTGGCCGCGTGTTGCACTGTCGAGGCTGCGATAGTCCCTGCAGACCCCCTCGCTCTTGAATCTCGACCTTGGTAGCATCGGTCGCTCCCGAGCTCGGATGAGTTCTACATGTGGCAGTGCCACAATGATTTCAACGATAGATTCCCCAAGATTCCCCCATTGGCGTTATAGACTGTAGTAGTCTAGCAAAGACTTTGTTTCAATGAATTAAGATCACAAATCTCAGCATGTAGTGTCTCTCCTAGCCTATCTTCGTGAACCTGAAGGACCACTTGATCTGGTGTCAACATCGGGTGTTGTTCGATTCGTAGAGGCCTGGACTCGTCAAGAGTTTCTTACCAAGGGACCTTCTTCGAGCGGGGAAGAATGCGCGATCGCGAATCAGTCAAGCCACCGCGCGACTCGTCTCACACGTTTGCCGCGTCCCAACGAAGCTTGCGATCAAGCGGGTCGACTCGAGTGTTCTCTGTCTCCCCGGGTGCCGTGACTACAGCACCGTCGAGCACGTTTTCAAGTGACGCTTGTCTCATTGCCGCCACTCTGCTCGCTCGGCAAACAAGCGAGCATTGCGTTTATACGGCCTCATTTTATTGCTCTGGAAAGATGGGGTCAATATGAGTGAGTTACCTGACTCGAGGTGGCGGTGAGTGCTGATGATATAAGGTTAGTGGCGCCTTGGCTGCTATAATTGGCATCCGGTCACGCCCAGCCAGTTCAGCAAGCTTAATTATAGTAACCCAAGGCTCGCCTTCCGGATGTCGCCCCTGCCAAGCGGGCCGGCCGCTACGAACGCCCCGATGGAAGCGGACCTCGGCTTTGGCGTCTATTCGAGTGTGGATACTGCCCAGCGCCTGGTGTTTTTTGTCAGAACTTCCGTACCAGTCACACAAGCGGTCTCTTTTCGCTCATTCTTGGGATAAGGCCCAAACGGTATTGTCAAACGCTCGTAGCTGCTCATCAGCCAGCTTTCCAAGGTTGGATAAGTTCCGTGGTGTTAGCCGTATGGAGCCTCGGCGCCGGCAATGGCGGGGCCGGGGACGCCGCCTTGAAGGTATCGCCGACCTGATTCCTCTTACTGGAGGATTCTTGCTGCCAGCTACGCCCGCTTGCCCGGCATCACATTATTATCCTTCTAGATTGTTGGACTGATTGTGCGATTGTACACTCCTCAAATCCGGGATCTCTTTCGCCTATGCTAGGATTGGTATGGTTTGCCGCCAGTCTTCTGTTCTCGATAACAACCTCAGCGTCCAGGCGCCAGCTTGATCGTAGGCAGCAGTATAGAGGAAAGGGCCTGGGCATTCTCACCCTTTCCACTCTACCGCGCGAGTACCAATATCCTTAGATATTTATAGATATTCGGTATCTGCTTTTTGTGGGCAGCAGTATAGCGGCGCCCGGATACAGTCTTCCTGCAGCCCGGCACGGTCTTCCTACAGCCGCATTCGGCAAAAATCTAAAGATTCCATCAATCCTTTTACTCCACTGCCGAGCAACTCTAGGGCTGAGGCTGACCACCATGCTAACCTAAAGGTCCACCTGTATTCCCGGCAAAGAACAGAACTTTATATTTATAGACATTCGGTATCCGCTTCTACCCAGTAACGCTACTGATAACCCGTCGTGTCATCCTCCCCCTTCCAACCATCGGCGCCATGGATCACATTACGTGCAGAATTTCTTGAGTATGACATGAGTGAGTTCAGTAGCATGAGATCACAGCATGACGTACCCAACCCAAGTCGGATGTGCTTAAGGTTTAAAAGGTGCATTTCTCTTGAAGCAACTGCACAGAAACACCTCAGATTCGCATCAAAAACCAATCAATTATATTACCAATTCATACCATGTACCTTACGAACACACTCGTCTGGTCGTTGCTGGCAGCGGCGGCCTCAGTTCGTGGGAGAGTAACCAAGCCATCGTCCGCACAAGGACTCGATATCAGAGCACTGGGTGAACATGGCTCGAAGGGGAGCCAGACTCATCCACTAGTAGCTCGCGGGTAAGCACTTCCTTAAGGCCTCCCCCACACTCTTACCAAAAACAACTATTTTTCTTGGCGCCCCGCTGTTAGGGCGCAACCTCTATATCTGCACTAAAACAGGCATTTATTTCAGTACCTGACTATCCTTGCCAAGGCGCAGAAAATTTTTCTCACAAGCTGGATGGCACCCCTTCACGATAGGCCCCCAAATACGCCAGTGGCCGTCCCAAAGACGACTACTGGCGGCGTGCTCAAATCCCCGGTCCCTAAAAGAACATATGGCCCGGCAACCCCAAGCAAGCTCCGCCAGGCACTGCTCGACGACATCAACAGCAGCCCGTCACAAGTCTCTGAGGCTGACTTCACCATTATTTCCCCTCTGAAAGGAAAATCCCGAAATATTAATACTAGCAGCATCATTGATATGGAAGTACCTCAATCAAACGAAATCTCTACAGACCAAGCCATTGGAGGCGATACAGGGAACAAGGTCTCTTCCTCAAAGTGCCAGGACCAAGTAGCCAAAATACTGGCTAAAGACAAGCATCTCTATGAAGCCAGGATGACAATGTTTCAAGAGTGTGCTGCAGCAGTCGATAAGACACTGGAAAAAGCTGGAACCGAACTATACTCTCATGCCAAGGAGTTCAGCGCTTTCTTCTCCAAATGCCTGAACGAGTGGCTGGAAACCCGAGATCTGCCCAAAAGAAAGACCACTCCTGGCGGGATAGGGATAGGGAAGCCCACCATGACCTTCGCCCAAGCTGTCTCCTCTGGCCAACGACAGCATCCATGGACAGTCAACACTACCATGAAGAAAACACAGCCTGGCGCCCTCATCACTGCCAACCAACTGAAGAAGAAGCAGGATGATCTCCGGGTCTTTGTCCGCATGGATAATAGCCACCTAGAGCCTTATGGAATCAAGTCTACACTGAACAGAAGACTTAAGCTCCACCCTCAGGAGCTTAGAGAAGTGACACGATGTCCTTCTGGTTTTACCTTACACCCAAGGGACAAGCCAACTCAGGCTAAGCTTCTGGCTTTCCAAGAAGAAATTGCCGACATTCTCAAGGCACAAAAGATTGAGACCCACACAGTCTGGCATCATTACAAGGTCAATGGATGCCCAAGAAAGGTCATCAGTGCAGAAGGGTTCACAATCGATATTACTGACACTGTTGTTGCCGATGAAGTTGAAGCCCAAACAGGCGACAGACCTCTGAGGTGCATACTCTCAAAGAACACGATTGATTCTGATCCAGAAACTACATGGATAATCTCTCTGCCCAGTGCAGCAAGGAAACCATTCACGCTTTTTGCCCACTCAATGACCTCAAGGCATATTCAACACACCCCCAAGGTTCACCAGTGTGCAAGCTGCTTCAGATACCATGGTAGGAATTACCGATGCGAAAAGCAAGTATGTGCACACTGCGCCAACACAGTACACCAGGGAGAGTGCGAAAAACCAATCCCAAAGTGTGTCAACTGCAAAGGACCTCATGCTGCCAACTTCGACAAATGCCCTGCCCGCCCCAAGGTTGTGAAAGGTACCATCCATAAGCACACATGGGAGCAAATCCAGGAAATAAGGCTAGCCGGAGAAAGAGCCAGATCCAAGGCCTTCAACGAAGCAGGCAGAAACCAAGCTGGGTCAACACCTAGCAATAATAACAAAGACACCACAATGCAAATCGACACAACAGATACAACTCATCCCAGAGATGCCGATACCATTGTTGTCAGTCAATGTTAGGTACATCAAACGAAACACATCGACACGGGCATCTAGTCATCCATTCTGTGAATACAGCAGGGGGACAAAAGAGTGCAGGCCCTACAGAGTTAGCCATCAATCTGGCTGACTATAAAGGAGAACAAGCAGACATCATTCTGATGCAAGAGCCCTGGGTTGGCATACCACCAGGCAGGAGAATGGGAGTAAAGACACACCCCAATTACGATATATACTCCCCAGTGGATTCCTGGGACAGCGACAGTACACGGCCCAGATCTCTCATCTATGTGAGAAAATACCTTCAAGCGGATCAACTTCGGCCCTATGCTACACGAGACATCACCTGGGTCAAGGTACAAGGCATTACATTTGCCAGTGTCTACCGGCCATGTGACAACCCACAGGAAGTGGATGACATTCTGGAAGTATGGACTCCACCTTTTGGCTGCGTTATAGCTGGAGATTTCAATGCTGGCGACACATCCTGGGACTCAAGCAATCCAGGATATCATGGTGATGTCCCGACACATGATGACGGAAATGTACTAGATCTGGTGTTCTCTGATGTCCCCATGGCTGAAGCCTCAGTCAATGATGCACTTCAGTGCACCTCAGATCATGAGACATTACGAATAGTCATTCCAATCCAGGGAGATCTGGACCGAGTACCCAAGGCCAATCATTGGATAGTACCGGACGATAAACTACAGGAGCTGGCAGATAATGTCCAAACCAGGATTCATGAACTCCCCCGGCTGGGTGTATCCCCTGGCCAGGTGGACACCTTTACACAAAGCCTGATCAACATGATCCAAGGCTGTATCAGGACAGTGGGCAAGAGGCCCCGTCAATCTAGGCCCACTGCTTGGTGGAATGATGACTGCAAAGCAGCTGTTCAGACATACAGGGCCCTTTCCAAACAGACTACAAGCCAAGAAGGACGGAATTCAGCCCGACGGGAATTTCGCGGCGTGGTTCAGAAAGCTAGGAGAGAGTACTGGCAGACTCTAATCAATTCAGCAACTGAGCCAAAGGACCTATACAGAATCGTCTCTTGGCACAAGTTATCAGCAGGATTGCGTTCCCCTCCAATCATCATAGGAGACCAAATATTCGAGTCACAAGAGAGCAAGGCAAATGCATTACGCTCAGCCACGCTTGAACGAAGTACCTCAGACAACGATATCATCGACCCCTGGTCCGCTCAGATCGTACAACCCAAGCCACACATCCCCCTTGAATACCACGTCGGACTGGAAGAGGCTGAAGGGTGCACTTTAGGAACCAAGAGCAACTCCCCGGGAGTAGATACCCTCACAGTACGGATTCTGAAAGCTTGCTGGCCAGTCATTGGTGAACATATCAGAGCCCTTTTCCAGACCTGCCTACTGATTGGACACCACCCTAAACCATTCAAAGTAGCTGAGGTGGTGATGATCCCAAAACCAGGAAAGAAAGACTACTCCAATCCCAGGGCCTACAGACCAATATCGCTACTGTCATGTCTTGGCAAGGGCCTAGAACGACTCATTGCGAAAAGAATTACCTGGTTTGTTGTCAAACTTGGAATTCTAGCCCCACAACATTTTGGAGCTCTACCAAAGCGCTCTGCCACTGACCTGGTAGCTGCACTCATACACGATATTGAGCAGGCCCTTGACCAAGGCCTCGTTGCAACGGTAGTCACATCAGATGTGAAAGGGGCCTTTGATGCTGCCCTAATGGGACGGCTGGTGGTTCGCATGAGAGAACAGGGCTGGCCAGGCTTTCTCATAAGATGGGTCCAGTCGTTCATGTCCGAGCGGTCCGCAAGAGTTCGGTTTGAAGGTACTGTGACCGATATAAAAGCTCTCACTTGTGGGCTCCCACAAGGCTCACCAGTCTCTCCAATCCTCTACATGCTGTATACAGAGCCAATCTGTGCCCGACTTGGCATAAAAAGAAGACGCTTTGGATATGCAGATGATCTAGCAACACTCTGCATTGGAAAGAACCTTAAAGAAACAGCTGCAGAGGCTTCTGAAAACCTTCATTTGCTCAACCAATGGGGACATAACAATGCTATTGAATTTGATCCCGACAAAACCGAGATCATGCACTTCTCACGGAAAAAGAACTCAGACAATCCCCCAGTTTGCCACGGAACAATGAACAAAACAGCTAAGCATTCCATGCGATGGCTAGGTGTCCTTCTGGATAGGAAACTAAACTTCAAAGACCATGTTTCTCACTGGGCCAAGAAAGCTAGTAGGGTAGCAAATCACCTTCGAGGACTATGCAACACAGTCAAAGGACTTCCAGTAAAGTCAACCAAGAGGGCTGTGAAAGCTTGTGTTATTCCTATTCTCACACATGGCCTGGAGGCCTGGTACCCAGGAATCGAGAAAACTGGGAGCTTAGGTGAGACATCAGCATGTCGCATTAAGGGGCTTCTTGGAACAATAGATGCCGTACTACGAACGGCGATCAGGGCTATCTTGCCAGTCTGGAAAACACACCCTGGACATATCTTACACTTTGAATCGCAGATTCCCCCAGCAGGAGTTCTTGCAGAGTCAATAAGACGACGTCACGGCCTCCGACTAGGACGAATAGATCAGAGACACCCTCTGGTTGGCAGGCTCCAAATACAAGCTCGCAAGGATCCAACAAGGCTACAAAGAAGCTTCCAGCTAGTCCCTGACTTCCAGAGACCAATACTTACCAGGCCATCATGGAAGAAGCGCCCAATCCGCAAAGACAAAGACAAAGAAACAGAGCTCTTCAAGCAATGGTTACAAGAGAGAAACGTGAACACTGACCTTGTCATCTACTCAGATGGATCACAGTTGGATGACCAAGGCACAATCCGCACTGGATGGGGTTATACCATCAGGAAAGGCGGCACTACACAAGAAGTATACCGGGGAAGGGGCAGACTTCTACAAGCAGAAGTAGTAGATGCTGAAGTCCATGGTGCTCTCCAAGGTCTTGCAGCAGCCAGGGCAATTGGACACGGAAAACAGCTATATGTCTGCCTAGACAACACGTCAGTGGTAGATGGGCTCAATGGGACTCCACCCGAGACATCACAAAACATTTTTCTACGATTTCAAGAACTTGCCACAGCACACACTCCTGGAGTGACCGTCAAATGGATTCCTGGACACAGAGATATTGATGGCAACGAAGCTGCCGACACACTAGCAAAAGAGGGTGCCATGCTGGAAACAGACACAATAAATCTTCCTACAATCTCTTGGGTCAAGAGAGATCTCAAAAGACAGGGCAAGAAAGAGTTCAACCAATGGTGGAAAGACCAATCAGAATCTAGGTATCAAGAAGTATACTCACATGCAGTAACTGAAAGAGACCTTATATCTTTTAAGAGGAGTACTTTACACAGACTTCTAGCGGCCAGATCTGGACATGGCGACTTTGCCAGATACCATGAACGCTTTGGGCACACAGATTCAAATGATCACTGCAGCTGTGGTGAGAAGAAAACACCACAACACATTTTCTTTTGTAAGAGGCTGGGGAAAAATCGGCTACTGCCTAGGCATTCGCCTAGGGCAGCTTGTTTACAATACTTAGGGGAGAGGAGCACAGAATGGGCAAAATTCGTGGAGAAGAGCAAGTTCTTTTCAACAATCTGCCCCCGATAGATAGCCTTCCTTGAAGGACCAGATGGATGACCCCAAGGTCATACCGCCGCAACAACGGGGATGGGCCCGTGAGCGGGACTGACTGTACTTATTATCTTGAGACCTCCACAACCCTGCGATGCAGAGGCTCTGGGAGGCGTGGTTTGCACTACTGAGGAGCTACCCCCACGTTAAATACAAAACAAACAAACTCAAGGCCTCCCCATCGCGCCTCACCTTCCCGTACTTGTTGTACTTCCCGAGAAACCGCCACGAGCAGTTGCTAATCTGGTCACGCCCCGTGGTCAAGTGACCCTCCCGGACTCCTATCTGATAGCGATGTGGAGGACGAATACGGGTTCGACAAACACTCAAAGCCGATGGATTATTATCAAAAATTCGTTGAGCTCGAGAAGGACAAGGTCAAGGACGACGCCGGCGTGAACAACCACTGGGTGTTCTACTCCGGCGACGCCGGCATCATCGGCAAGGACACGTTCGTGTACGAGTTCAACAATGGCCAACACAGAGAAGGCCGTAAGCCACCCTTTCCTCACTGCCTATCGACCTATATACTCGTTGCACGTCCTTATTGGCATATCTGCTCCCCAAAATACTAACACCAGCGACCTGATAGTGAAAGACAACGACAAGGAAACGATGATTTACGCGCGGTACATCTACGAGAACGTGATCGCGAGCAACGACCTGAAGAAGATCGAGAACGACTTCCCGTCGGATCAGAAGAATAAAGCAGACTTGATGGACATGGCGATGCTGTCGTTCCGAGGCGCGCAGCGGGCGGCCCAGCGCGGCGGCATCATCAGGTTCGTCACATCGCCGAGTATGTCGAACGCAGACCCCAAGAAGTTCTGGACGCAGTGGGAGGCGTGGATCCTCACCAATGGGAACAGCAAGGTCGAGAAGATCCTGCGGTACGACGTCACCATGGATAAGAATGACGACCCGATATTTGCAGAGCCCAGGGAGATCTGGAAGAAGGGCGATAAGGCCTTGGGCGTTAAGCCGAATTATAAGACTTGGACGCGTTGAGGATACCTTGAGCTCGGCTTGCTCGCTTGGGGATGGGGCCATGATTCGCCGAGATACTGTGGCAGTTCCTAGGAAGCGGATGGCTACAAGATGTAGCGCACAGTCTAGAGCAATCTCATTGTGCGTCTGAATTGCCAGTAGAAGTTACAGAATCCCAAGAAAGACTGTAATTCTTTAACAGTCCTAGGCTCTTCCCAGTCCCTCACGGCGGCAATCTTGGCTTGATCAACTGATATGCCACTGGTTGATATTATATATCCCAGGAATTTTGTTGATGTGACAGCAAACTCGCTCTTCTTGATATCAGCCTGGAGACCAGCTTCACGGAACTTCTGGAGGACTTTGCAGACATGGTCCCAGTGTTCCAATGGGTCTGCAGAAAAGATCAAGATATTGTCCACATAGGCTGTACAGAACTCATCCAGATATGGGAACAAGGCCTTGTTGATATACCGCTAGAAGGTACTTAGGCCGTTATAAAGTCCAAAAGGGAGCACCTTGTACTTGTACTGGCCAAAGCGCGTGCGGAAGGTTGTGAGATCCTCAGAGGCTGGATCCATGCGGATTCGGTGGAAAGCCGCCCTGATATCCAGCTTGGTGAACAGTTTAACGCAAGATAGACGTTCCAAAATTTTGCTGATTAGTGGCAGCGGGTATCGGTCTTTTTTTGACTGAGCATTGAGCTCACAGTAATCAACACAGAAACGCAAGCCTCTATTCGGCTTTTTGGCAAAAAGAATAGGGGGCCCATACTCTGCTCCACTGGGAACAATCCATTCCTTGCGTAAGTGTTCCGTCAGATATTGCTTGAGGGCAATAAGGTGGTTGGCCTTCATGCTATATAAGGGGTGCAGGCAAAGAGTCTTGGCCCCTGGCTTGAGCTCGATCTTGTGGTCAATATCCTTATAGAAAAGGGGGTAACTTGTTGCTTTCTATCTTAAAAAATACATCCATAAAATCTTGTGCCTCTGGGGGAAGCCTGCTGCGTAGCAGGTGCTGAGTCTCTGAGTCTTCTTTATTAATAGAATAATCAATGGCTTGATTAAGCTCATATACTAAAAAGGAGAACACATTTCCATAGCTGTGTTGTTAATGTTGCCCCTTCTGACGGTGACTAGCCCGTCTAAAGAAGGTACTTCCTGAGACTAGATGGATATCCGCACCCAGAGCGTTCATTATTGCGTCTTTGCTAACCTTAGGATGAACAGCCTGGCGTGAGGAAGTCTTTTACAAGGATGCCGTGCGGTCCCGTTCTGCTAACTGATCTTTCATTGCTTATAAGGACTTATGATGGTCTCCAGCCCATGTAGCCAGTACTTAGGGGCGACGTAGTATCTTTTGCGGGCGTTTCTCTTGATCTTCCCACCGTGAATCCCTATGGAGCATGTCCTGCTGGGCCTGAGGATTGATAGCCCGTTGCCTTAACCACTGGCGAGCTGGGTTAGTGATGTCGGTCTTCCAGTTGGTAAGGAAAGATAGTTCCGGTAGGAAATATAGGCGGTTCCGCCGGCAGTCTGGTAAGAGGTTATGAACAGCCAAAAACCGCTTGCCAATAATAAGATCAAAGTTCTTACTGGGCCCAAATTCCGCTTTTAGAATAGGGCTTCCTGGAAGGTTCTTCCCTAAATCTGGAAATTTGTTGCAACTGCTGTGTTAATAACCTGTGAGTGTCCTTTGCCAAAGCTGTTTAGGGTGGTGGGCTCATCAAAATGTCTTTGAGGGAGGTCCCATCGTTGAGCCAAGGGGCTCATGATTGAACGGCTGCCTAAAAGATAAACCTCTGCTCCAGTATCAATCAACACTTTCATACGCACTGTAATTACATTCCATCGGATGGTTGCAGCCATCATAAAGGTACTGCCGCCAATCAAGCCAGAGAGGTCTGATCGAAGTGATGGAATTTCAAAGGAATGGTGAGCCAGTTGATTAATAGTACATTGAAGGCCTAGGTAGGAGACTTTCCCTAGGCCTTTGAGGTTTCTGACTTGCTGTCAGAAGTAACATCCTGGGTCGGACTAGAAGAGGCCTCATTGTCTTCTTCCAGAAAATATACATGAGGAGTTCTTTTATCTGGACACTTGGGAGCAATATGGCCCTCTTTGCCACACAAGTAGCATGTAATGCTTTGTGTCTTGTGAGGTGTGCGTGATCAGTCAATGTGCTTCCTTTCAAGGGCTGCAGAGAGACGAGGAGTCTTCTGGTCAGGTGATGCTCTTGCTGGTTGGAAGATAGTATCAATCGCTTGGTTGAACAAAGCTTGGGTTGGTAGACTTCTGGTGAACTGCTGGGGTCCAGGTGCCACAGTGATGGTATGGCGAGGGGAAGCAGTCAAGAAACTTTGGCGTTGCTTCTTGACTCATTCAATCTCTGCAAGCTGTTAAGCATTACTAGAACAGATGTTTCGAAATTGGTTAAAAGAAACATTAGAGTTGAGGTAAGAAGCCATCACTTGTATCCTCAGGGATGGTGTTAGCTTTCGATTCAGTTCATACTTCCATTCTGTTTGGGACAGGCCTGCCTTGCTAATTAAGAGAACCCATATGGAACAAAAGGAGTAAAAGTCTTGCGCCGGTTCCATCCACAGATCATAGAGCTGATCCCTGGCTTGAGCAGCTGCGTCAGGATTGCTGTAAGAGGACCGGAAAAGGTCATACACCTCTTTAATGGTAGTAAGTGACTCAGCGTTCTCTTTAGAAATGACTGGTTCTAATGTTATAATTATATCACCTTTTATTAGCGTATAAAGCCAGTCAAATTTTGATTCTTTTATAATAAAGAGCCACCAGTTGGTCCGTAGCTTGCATTGAGTGCTGTTCTTTCACTGTTCAAAGGTTGGATTTTGACCGTCACTTAGCTTTACAGGGTCTGCCAGCTTGATGGAATGTTGCATGGCATTTGAGGTTGATGCCTTAAAAGCTGGGGAGTCCCACTTAGGGGTCGTTGTGTGTGGAGAACCTGTTTCCAAGGAAGGAAAGGCTCGTTCTTCTTGTGGTGCGCTGAAATGCACAGACTGTCGTTCTGTTATGTGCCTTGGTGGCTCAGACCTCGGGATCCGGGTGTATAGTTCGGTTTGCAGTCTGGCTAGCTGCTCTGGCGTAAGCGCATCCAGGTTGAAGAGCAAGGGGTCGTTTGATCGGCCCAGAGCACCGCTCATGGTTGGTGCCATGGGCTGGGTCTGTGGGTCCTAGGATGTGATCCTGGAGGAAGATGGAGACGATGAAGCGTTTGAGGGAGATTTGCTGTGGGTCAAAGCGGCCTTTGATCGCGTGTTTGGCTTGCTCTGGCCCTCTCGTGCCTTGGTTCTCTGTTTCTTTGGTTCTTTTTTGGGGGGAAGGTTATTGGTATTGGGGGATGTTTGGATAGGTTGGGCTGGTCTTCCAGTCCCTTCAGAACTATCCTGATGTTCTGGAATGATAATGGTACTCATCGTCACAGTGTATTGGACGGAATCAGTAGTAATGGTAGGTAGAATGGTAAAAAGATGGTATTAATAGGCCTAAAAACAGAGCTTCAAAGCCTTAGATAGGTGGGTGTTTGGAGACACTGCACCTGTCACTGCTAGAGGCAAAACTCCTTGCAGTGGTGATCTAAAGACAAGGCTTCTAATCTGGTATGGACTAGTCTTGATATTATGTCACGACGAGCGTACTGAGGAGCTGCGGCATGGCCGGCAGCAAGCAGCTATTACCCTATTAACGAGAATATCAAGACTAGAGAGGAAAGGAAGAGAGAGAGAGAGATAGGTACAGCGGGAGGTTGCCCCTTTAAGGGGATCCTCTGGTTAGATCCTTCCCTTATTGGGAAGTATCGGCTTGTCATGTGGGAAGGTCTGTGCAGGCCGTCACAATATGGTATTAAGAGAAAAAAAATATCGGGATCTTTAAGAGCTGTGTTAGATAGATAAATCTAAGGCTTCATTAACATGTAGTTAATGCTATTAAATAAGAAAACAAATACCTTTTTAAGCTACTGTAACACAATCTCGTTCAAGGACCAGCCGTTAACAGAGTATGTTATAAACTATTCTACCATTGCAGGATACTCTTTAACACGCTGTTCTTTAAACCACTGTATCTGTATTGACTTTGCTTTAAAGATAATGAGCGGCTAGAGCTTTTTTCCAGTAATAGTGATCGGTTCCACCATTATAGTCTATATATAGTCGTTATTAAACTTGACATTGGCCCTTTTTGAGCCAGAACTGCCTATTATAAGACCATCAGACCTAAAATTTCCCGGTCAGCCGTCCAAAAACCACTTTAAATAGACAATTCATATAATGCTGGCCCTGCATAATGCCGTATTTATCGATATTTGCCTGGTTCTTGGATTTGGTAAAGGCGAACTCTTCATAGAGATTATGAAACGTATTCACGTTTTCAGGTGTGGCAGCGTTGATATGCTTGTAGTCAAGCTTTCGGCCTATCTTGGTCTTGATCTTCTGGTGCTGGCAGATGAAGTTTCGCATGTAATGGCTCCCTAAATGATCTGATTTTCTCTCAGATTTTAGGATCTGACAGATGATAAACTTGACGTTGCCGTGGGTTGGCGCATGGCCGGCCTTTTTTTGATGCAGAATTTATGAAATCACCTTCTTTTCTTGAGGAGGGCTTAACTTTTAAGCATGAAAATGCCCTTCTTGCACTGTGCCAGTTGGGTGCATTATGATGCCGTCTACCTTGTGAGAGAGAGACGATTTGGGTACTCACCAGCAATGATAGGCCGTGCAGAGGGATAAGGCCATCATTTGCAGTGGCTATTGTATCTATGAGGTCTTTTTTTGTGTACAAAGGAGGTGTTTTGTCGTACCAAAGCCGTTATTACTTACAGAAAAAAAAAAAATAACAAGACTTTTATTGGATAGAAGGTAATAGGGGGCACGGGTCTTATTACCCCTCAGATTAGGCCCGGAAGTGCTAACTTCCGACCGCCACCACGGGCCATCCCACAGCCACAGACCTAATAAAATCTATTTTGAAAGAAACACTAAGAAAAGACAATTCTATTGCTGTACTTCCGGTATCTAGGGCTTTATTGTTGATAAAGATGTGTATAAGTGAACATTGTGATGTTGGGTGTGGAAAGTGTCCCACTTGGGGGGCTGTCCCACTTTGGGGCCCCCGCCGTTACCCACATATTGTCGACTTTTTTTACCGTTTAGCATACCCTCGCTCAAAAGATGAATGAGCGATAATAAACGTGCGTCATTCTAGCGGATGGGGGTGTCCTTCGTGAACCACATGCCGTCTCCGTGGGACGCTTTCGGCTCCATGTTCCGGCTACCCTCACGACAACACTTCAACCCCTCGGCATCGCCTGGATGTGATTCTTCGGAAAAAGGAACCCTCGCGCGACACTTGTAACTACGTACATTCAGCCCCACACGTGGTCAACGGACCGGCATTTGGGTTCACGCCAATGCTTCCATGCTACATTCGTCATGATGTGCACGCGATAGTTGTTAAGCATATGGATATCCACTGTCAACAGATATTTCTATATACAACCACTAACGAGCCACCACTAACAAACACCGTTACCATTGGTATAGTTCTCTCCCACGGTTGTAAACACGTTCTACCACCAGTACCTGCACTTCAATCTAAGATCGGTAAGCCGACCAAGCACTGTACATGCGGGCTTCCTGGCCCTCGGTGAACTCCTCGTAGCAGGCGTCATCGGTGTAGTCCATGTAGTTGTGAATGGGGTCAACGCCGGCGGCGGTGCAGGTGTCACGGCCGGTAGGGCAGCCAGATGCGGCCGACGCCTCGGCGGGGGTGTCGTCAACCGAGTCACCGCTGCCGGAACAGCCTCCTTGGAAGGTGTGGTAGAGGTTCATCCAGTGGCCGACCTAATATCAAGTCAGTTGCTGTCCAAGTAAGCTTTTATGGGAACGATGCAAGTGAGCTCACCTCGTGGACAACAGTGCCACCCTCGTTGTAGGGAGCGGCGGTTCCACCCGGCACGGACTGTGCGAGGATGCTGCACCCATCGTAGTAGAAGTCGCTGGAGCCGGTAGTGACGCCGGCGACAGGGAAGTAGCAGTAACCTAGAAGGCCGTCGCCCAGGGCACCGAGGAAGTAGACGTTCAAGTCGGAGTAGGTTCCCTTGCGGAGAGCCTTCTTCATGGCAAGCTCGGCGCCGTCGGCGGCCCAGTTGGCGTTGACAGTCCAGTCAGTGCTGACGAGGTTGAACGTGATGCCGTGCGGGCTGTAGTCGGCGTTCATGACAGCCAGTTGGTTGTTGATCATGGTTTGCTATCAACTCGTCAGTATCCGGTTATATGATACTCTCCATCCAAATCATAGGCCTTGTGGGCTACGTACAGTCAAATAACCGCCGCTCGCGGCGGTGGACGACGCCACGACGTGGAAGTAGGTGTCTACTTCGAAGCTGGCCAGAGCCCTCGACTCTCCACTGGCTCGGAACTGACGCTCCTGCTCCAGCATGGCCATGGAAGCCTCAATCTGCTCCGCAGTCGGGTCAGGGGTACCGCACAGCCTGGTGCCATTGCCAGCCGGGCCACGGGGCACGGATATGGCCTGGGCCGAGACGGCCAACAACGCCGTAGCAGCGAGAGTCTTGAAGAACATGTTGGATAAAAGCTGGATACCAGGTGCCAGGTGAGTGAACGAATAGGTGGATGATGAGGGTAATGCAGAGCGGGAGGAAGACTGTCTTATAGTCGTCGACGACAACATCATCTGCCAGTAGGTAGATTGCACATTACCTATCAACCTAGGATCGGGCCGGTCACCGAAAAGTACCGAATACGCCTACCTGCCCATTCTACGTCCATCAACTCAGTATGAGCTATGTAACGGGACCTGCGTCTTCGCGACATGACTTTGAACGGCCCAATCAGAGGCCCCAACCAGGGACCAGAGTGCATCGAATACCATGTGCATATTACAGCGTCCTGCTGGATGCGCCTCGGGCCCCTCGGTGTTTGAATGGTAGGTCACTCCGAAAAGCAAGACTCAGTGTGCTACCTGGTCGGGCTGGTGCGGTAGGTTGCGAGCCAAGCCGCTGATGTATAGATAGACTATCTTTCAACAGGAAGTTGGTAATATCCCAGTCAGGCGTAGGGCTTGGCGGCGATGAATTCCTGGATGCCGCTCTGGCTCGCCTACCTATCAGCTACTGCGTTGAAGTCGCCACCAACGCAAGATGCAGGACATCGCGGTCGAGGTGGGCTGGCTGTTGTGTTGGCGATATCGGCTGACCCTGGTGGTCTTGGACGATATTGGTAGACGAGGACCCTGACCATTGCTGTTCATCGTTCGAGCTGAAGCCTGGGGAACAAGCCTGGCTCAGACGAACGGCCCGTCCTCTTCCACTCCGACTCCGACCCCATCAACAACTGCCTCTTCCGTCGCTCATCATCTGCAGTATCGGCCAATAAGCCATCGCGGATACCCCGGCGATGCCACCCCACCCCTCTTCTCCCCCCTGAATGCGGCACCCCAGCCCAAGTACCGGAGATAATAGTAGATAGGCTTGACAACCTAATCGAAGAGCAGCCGAGCGGTTGCCTGTTGCAGTCTAGGTCCCGCCTCCTGTGTCTCCCCACATCGGATCCCGCTGACTGCCAAGCTGCCAAGACGTCTATATAGTAAGGTGCTGCCCCCTTATCCGCGCCCAGCACTGCCAGGTCACAAGCCCTGTGACCGCCCTCTCTGACCACCCTCGATAAGGGCCTGCAAAACCAGTCGATCGACAAGTGAAGTATCGCCGGTCCTCCTATCGGGATTCGGGATCAGAGGAAGCGGCGTTGTACCATAGTGCACAGCATACCCTGCGCTAGGTATGCAACGTTCAGGATCTCCCGACCGTTGCGACAGCACGAAAGAGGTACAGCGAGGGAACGAGCGTACGATATGCAAGCGAATGGAACCACTCGAACGCGACGCAACGAACCGATAGCACGTGGACAAGGTGCACAGGTGCAACCGCGGTATCTTGGCCTGGAACCTTTTTAGACGGACACATTCCGTGCTTCGGCTACCCGTTATTCGATTCTCGTGTTCGCCAAATACTTCTTAAGCGCTGCAATCGGGCTCACGGCTACCCCTGATCCTCATACTCTATCTTGCCGAATTGCGCCTTGGCATTTAAGGCAAGGGTCACCATAGGTGGATGTTGGAGAAATCCCCGGCCGTGGTTTCCACTGTCTTACTTTGGGAACCGCGAATCAGCCACTATTGTGAGACACTGACACTACCAAGAAGCCGTACCTATATTTCGCCTACCTTCTTACATCAAGTCTGGTTGTTCTCGGACGACGACTTATTAACAACGCCAGCACTCGAACAACACAGCCGTATCCAACTCATCGCCACCCTCCGAGCCCATAACCATGAATTGGGCCCTCTTTCTCCTTTGTTTCATTGGTGGATACCTGGCGAAATCGTATCGCTGGCTACCAAAACTCCAAAACCTGTGGAAAACCCAACAGAAACCATGATATGGTTCGTGATCCAAGCATCGCCGAGTTGATACCACCGCTGATCGACATTGCGGCAAGGCCGAAGAGAGATGGAACACCCCTGCGATGATCACATCCTTCGAGGCGGGGACGCCTTTGGACGAGACTGACATTTGTCACTATTGGCGGATCGCACAGGGGTTCAGCTGAGAAGAATGAGGAGAAATCCTTCGGGCGGACTTTCACTTCATCAATCAGGTTGATGTCCATGTCACTTGTCTGACGACCGGCACGACGCGATTCAGACACCTGGCTTCCATGGGAGAAGGGCACCACGAAGGACTATAAATATGAGAGAAGGGGGATTGTGTAGCGTCACTCCCTCTTTGACGAACCAAGCCATAGGTCGCACCCGCGCAAGGACTTGACAGGTACGGTCTGTGAGCTATCATCATCAGTCATGAAAAGTGTGTGTTCACCGGGCAAGCGAAGGCGACTCTAGTGATCTCCGTCACAGTAGAAGCATCGGTGAAGGTCTGCACGACACCAGCGGAGGCGCCAGGGCTGAAAAAGACCAATCTGATCATGGACAGCTGCTCGGGCGTGCCGCGGTCAGTCGCCTTCGCGTACTCGACAAGGGCGTTGACGAAGATCTGAGTGGTCTCGGCGTCGATCTGTCCGTCAATAGTGCGATCCTTGATCGTCTTGATGGACTTATGGATCTCGCCATGACAGTAAGCTCTGTACGCAGCGAGTGTCGTAGCAGACGCAGCGTGCAGCGAGACTGATATGGACGAGATTGAGGGATACCATTCTGTCCACAAGACATTGATTCTCAGCCTATGTGCACTCGAACCAGTGTGGAGGTATCTACGTCTCCTCAATCTTCTTGTACATCACATCGGTCCTCAAGGTGTACTTGGTCCCCTTCGTCACCTCCTCCCCTGAATGATACAAGTCGCGCTGCTGAAACACCACCGCACTCCCCGTCTTCGGGTTCACATCCACCTTGCCAGCCTTCGGATCCTGAAAGTCGACGGCGAACCGCGTGGCGCCCCCTTCGACCCCATCGTCCTCATCTCCGCCGCCGAGGTAGATATGTACGGTCAAGTAGCTCTTTTCAAACGTGTCGACGTCAACGCAGCGTCCGTCGGCATGGGCGCGGAAGTAGTTGCCCGGCTCGTACTTCAGGAACTTGATGTCCTCCGTGAAGCGGGATATGGTCCACGTCTCGCCGCGGAGCACCGGGTACTGGCCCGTGACGTCGGGATGGTTTTCCAGCGTGACTATCTCGGGTGGCAGATGCGGCACAACGCGCTGAAGCAGCTTTTCGGCGAGCCTGGTGGAGTAGTAGATAATGCGACCGCAATGACGTGAAGAGACGTCGACGTGCTGGGAGCCGTCGAATGCCGTTACGACTGCGGGTGGCCACGGCGCGTTGTCGGGCTTCCGGACTAGGGCAAGCAATTTAGAGCATTCTTCAGGTGTGAACAGGTCTTCGATGACCATCGCGAAGTAATCGCCACATATGTCCACGTCGGTCTCGTTGAAGTCGATTACCCGGGTTGCGACCGACTCCGGGGCCGGCCCGCTCAGGAACGCCAGGTCCGGTTCCGCCGACGTCATCTCGGCCGCTATGTTTGTCGTCTAGCTTATTTGCTAGTGACACCGTGAGGAGAGCGAACACCTCAAATCCCTTAAGTAAGGTAGGCAGGTAGGTATCCTGGGAAAGCCCGGAGAATGATCAAGATGACTCAGCTTTTCGTGCGTTGCTTGCTGCCTGCGGCTGTGCGGTAGGTACGATGAGCAAAAGCCCCGTTATACAGGCGCAGGGTAAGCCAATCAAGGGGCTCAGCGGCGTGCCTACCTAGACATGCCCCCCTTTTGCTGTAGGCAGGTACACCTGGTGTACAACTTTCCCCCTTTCTTTTCAGGGAGTTGGGAGGGCTGGTAACATGGAAGCCAAATCAGTGCAGGTGGCGTGTCTGGAACCCCCCTGACCCCCTGTGCGTGTTTTTCCGAAGTTGTCCCTTCGCAGTGGACCCAATCCGTTTTTTACACGACACAATGCTGATGGATTAAACTTTCCGCAACGACGCCAATCTGCTGCTTTGCCTTTTGAATCATCAACTAGTATGCGCGACCTTCCCTACGAGATATGGCTCCACGTATTCAGCTACATGACATTCTCCCACGATCCAGTACCGTGCTGGGAGAGTCAATAGCGCCTTACGGCAATGCAGGCCGCGGAGCTGCTCGACCTAGCCAGCGTGTCCCCTGTATCCAAGTACTTCAACGCCATCGTGGAACCACTACTCTATCGAACCCTCATCATCAACGACCGAGAGTCCGTGGGCTACCCATCTCGATGCGCACCCCTGCTTCGCTCTATCAGCCAACGGCCGGAGCTCGGACGGCATGTAAGCGGGCTGACGTTCGCTCCCCTCACGGGACTTAGTGCTGCACTTCGTATTGACCCATTGACTGGTAAAGCGATGAAGGTCGAAGACGTGAACTTCGCGGACGTCTTCGAGGCTTTCAATGCCGCGGTCAATCTACCGGACAAGCTTCGAGACAGCTTGTCGGCGGCACTAGTCTCCAAAACAGTACCCTCCCAAATGGCCCTTTGGTTAGCCTTGACGCCTGGCGTTAGACTGTTTGAAACCGCCATCGGAATCGGCTATGGAGACTACGATATAGTGTCCAGGATGTTTCGTCGAGCGACAGAACTTCTACTGCAGGATCAGAGTGCTGCCCATGAAGACCTACGGAAGGCGCCCTTGACGAACCTGAGGGAGCTTCGATTGTCTGATTTTGACGCAGGGTTTCAATGTTTATCAGTCGTCCTCGTACAAGACATGATCAACACCCCGGCTTAGAAGCACTTAGTCTCTTTGGCATCGACTGGCGCTGGGAATTCTGCAAACAACTAAAAGCCGTGGCGCCAAACAAAAAGATGAGAAGCATCTGTCTGGATGCCGCCACCATAGACGAGCGTACCGCCGAGGACATCCTGCGACGCTATCCATGTCTCCGGTGCCTTAGGATCGAATGGGCCTCGCGTGCTTTGAGAAGTGTCAATAGTGGTGGTCATAATCTTAGTCGCATGAGTTTGCTCCTGAGGCAACATGGGCAAAGTCTCGAAATGTTGTGCTTAGATCCTACCTACACCAAAAACAGGTTTTGGCAAGGGGCAATTGGGTCATCCTTGAAGTCGACTAAGCTGAGGCACCTCCATATCCCCATTGGAATGCTGGCCGGATGGACCGAACAGTCTACAGCTGGCAATTCCAAGCCATTGACGCTGGAACAGGCCTTGCCGGCATCTTTGGAGACTCTACATTTGGTCACCGAAGCCGGAAATAGGCGCTACGCTGATATCGATGAGGAACTGCAACAACTAACGGCTTGTAATCGGTTGCCTAGCCTACGCGAGGTCAGGGTTGATGTTGCTAGCCATGACCGTCATATGCATGGTTACCCATTAGTCGATGTGTTCATGTGGTCGGCGGGCGCGCCTGGCGCCGGCAAGGAGACAACTTTCATGGCCTCTACGTCTAAGCATGATGTCGGTGAACCTTGCAACTGCTTATGTCTGACTTGACGTGATCAACTTTATGGAGTGGATTATGGCAGTATGTATTAAGGCATCACCCGTATCAAGCTTTTTGCAATTGAAACCCGTCGATTCAGCGTCAATCTTCATATACTTTGACAAACACTCACACGCTAGCGCCCCCGCCTCGCTCTTGCGAGTGTGTTATATCTTAAGCCGCTCCGTGGATCCTGCGTATTCACTTGCAGTAAGTTATCTAGCTTCACAGCCGGCCAAGGGAATGGCGCGTCGTAATCACGCTGCTAACATGCCACAAGGTTAGGACCAGCCCACTGCAACGGCCCAGAACAAAGCCCGGTGGGCAAAGGTCCTGGCCACATACAAGGCTGCGAAGATCGAGCCAACATCAGCCAAGGCAACGCACATCATGACGGTCACTTCCAGGTAGACGCACGAGCCGCAAGCAGAAGCGCAGGCAAGCATCACTACTTGGTCGCGCGCACGTGATGGGGAAAGGCCCGACACACAAGCTTCCGCGTATTACGAGGATACCTACTCAAGGGCAGGATCTGGCCAAACGACTGTCCGAATTACCAGGCCGTGCCAAAAACAGGGGTCATTCTGCGATACTGATGAGAGATCCCATAGTGTTCTGTGTTGGAAAAAGAAGAACATCTCCAGGGGATATGCACCCGCGTTTTATGGAATGTTGACCCTCAGGGTAACCAGACTCACATGCGAATGGCTTCAGACAGGTCACGAATGGACGGATCAGAAGCCAGGTTATAAAAAGCTGCGCCTGTTATGATTGCCCTATAGCGCGGTGATCTAGCGCATGCAGGCCTGTAAGCCACGGGAAGCCACATCCGAGCATGTTATGATATCAAACACACCCTAGAGCATGTTATGATATACACCACTAAGCCAACGGTGAGAGGTACTGAAGACACGTATGACAGTGTGCTGGCAGCATATACGAGGAGGTGCCCATCCCCGAGTACTGAGGAAATGCTCCCCAGAAATACCAGCCGATTCAGTCCCAAGATCACGAAGCACCTTGTATGGTCAGACTTCGCCCTCAGCTTCACAATGACAGCGGTGGCCCATAGTTCGACTTCACCGTATTAGGTGATAGGACCCCGACCATACTTGCCTCAAGTTCGCAGTGAGTAGTATCATTTGCCCAACAATACTGTTTAGTGTCTTTTTCTTTTTTAAGCTCTTCGACCGAAAAGAGAAGCTAAACACAAATACCTCAAAAGATAACAAAAAGCAAAGCCCCCGTGTTATACGTATAAAACAACTTTAAATACGTTCGTAATTTAGAACAATCGCTGCCAACGGCGCGAAAAGGGTACGAGATAGCTAATAATTTAAGAGACTATTAAGGTTACGCTACGCCGAACAGTTATAAACTTTAAAGCTACCGCCGCAAGACTCATCGAAGCCATGCCGAGGGACTTCCAAACTCTAAGCCCATCCGACTAATCGCAATGAAAACCCCGTCCGACGCGCACAAAACGGCCGTTCCTCTCCTTCTACTTCCTTCACAACCACCATCCAAACCTGTCGCAACCACATCCCCCATTACTACATTTCCACACCACAATCAAGCGACAAGCTGCCTTAAAATCTCAGCGCAATTCCACCAGGCTTTTTCAACTTAAAATTAATAGTGCAACCGACACATTTCTATGCTTCGCGAGGCCATTCGTGGGACTCGAATTCAATGATGTCTTACCCGGGCAAGAATGCATTGGGTTGGGACAAGTTGTAGGTACTTCGAAACCCCTTTTGACATGCTGCTTACAGCACCTAGCCGAGTCCGCGACGACCCCTACAAGCCCGTATACGAAGCCTGGGAGATTGTCTCAGTGCGACCGACAACCGAGCTGCGCTCCTTCAAGCGGATCCTGGGCGTGAACCTGAGCTCGGAGTATAGGGTGCTGGATGACGGTTACACCGGTGTCCGAGCTGCGCCTTCGTATTCTCAGGCCGAACTGGAGAACATGGTAGCTGCCAATCAGCAAGCGTATGAGACGGCAACCCCCGAACTCCTGAGTATCGCCAAGAGATCTTCATACGCGCAGGATCTGGCCAATCGAGTGTTCGACTTACCAGGGCCTCTCCCAAGCAAAGTTGGACAACTGCTAGACCATCGATTGGTGGCAACTAACAAGTGCCCATACGCCGGGCGGGAGTGGAAGATCGCAGCTCTTCCTGCAATGGAAGATTGGATGACCGACGAAGCTCCAAGAGCCAAGGGATGGAGTCTCTTCAAGCGCTCCGGCGTCAGTCAGGAATATCCTGTTCATAAGTGGCTGATTGTGCTGCGCGGCCAAGAGACCAAGACCAGTCAAGGTTTCGAAGCGTTCGATATGCATTCAAATCCTTGGTTGAAGATGGACGTGATGGATAACGACGCGCAGTATTGAAGGAAATATCACTTGGCCGTTAGGATCGGTATGAAGGAGCGTAATGAAGTCCAATTGCCGGACAGTGTCCAGAGTGTAACTAGGTTAATTCATGGGTACTATGGCACACATTATTGCATCTGCAACTTTTGCTCTGAGCTGATTTGAAGACCTCTAATTTCATTCTGATTATACCGTTGGTCTTTATACTTACTCCCAGCTAGCGAGGAATGGCCGAGATGAGCTCCAGGCTCGAAACTGCTTGTATACCTTTTTGACGCACTCCTTCGAGCGATCAACTCACCTATTCCACTCGAGACTAAGAGTGCTTCCCTTGAAGCGGTTCAGTTTACTCGAAGTTGCTGTGGCTGACTTTTTCTAGCCCAGTGACTGCGCTCAGCGGCACGGAGTGCTGGCCTTGTGAGCGAAACACGCAAGCGCCTTACTGAACGAGAATAAGCTGTCGGCTCAGGATCCCACAGTTCGGACAATGACCCAAAGATACTCAACTCAGGATCTCGTCCATGACTCGTGAAGAGCAGGTTGCGCAACCGAGGTTTCGTCGCATCGCGAATCTCCCATACGCCCCCATTCCGCTTCGCTTCCGCAAGCTTCTTCGCAAGATTCTTCTCGCAGTTCTCCACTATACTCAATGCCTCCTCAGAGGCCAGACGGTCCTTGCTGTCATGTCCGCGAACTGTAGACGCTAGTCTGTAGGCATCATAAGCCTCCGGGTACTTTTTGAGGGCCCGCAGGATATGACCCTTGTAGAGCTGGCATCTCGCCAGGGGGGCGAACTCACCGGCGTCGGGGTCCCTGGCAAACAGGAGAGCCTCTCTTAGCAGGCCATAGGCTTCGGCGTAGACTGCTTTGACGTAGTCGGCTTCGGCGTCGTCGGCCCCTGCGTCATCGGCCTCTGAGGGCTGGCGTCGATCACTGGCTAGCAGTGACTCGCAGGAGAGCAGCAACTCCTCAATGTGCTCTCTGGTCGCGAGCTTCTCCTCCATCGATAGATCAAAAGCGGACGTGTTGAGCAGAGCCATGACTAAATGTTACTGATAGCGTTGGTAGGCGAAAGATTTGGTCAATGGCTGATGTCGGATGCTATGCTCAACGAAAGGTGTTGACTCCTCCATTCTGTTTGGCACTGGGCTCTTAAGTAGTCCATCAATGGCCTTGTTCACCCGGTCTCTTTGGCTCATTGACGCCTTGCAAAGCGATAACAAAGGCTGAAAGAGCAGACCAGGTAAAGGGAATACCCAATACAATGGCGCTTACATACAATGAACATTATGAGCATGGGAATCTCCTTCACTTCTCTACGTCATCCCATGATGTGTATTTCTTCTATCAATTATCCAGCAGCGTTCTGTTAGTCTCGTGACAATGGTGGTCTTGTCCAAGGCACAAAGTAGCTCATTGTCGCTCTGGCTGGACCGCAGATGACCATGCTGACGACCATCGGGCGTTCTGGCATCGGGACTAACCCTCGAAACACGAAGTTCATTGCGCTGCTGGAAATGGCTGTCTCACTCGTTGCAGCTGCAGGTAACCAGGTGCTATGGACGAATGAGCAATCTTCGGTGACTTCACCGGTGGGCGCATTGGTCCTCGGCGGCCGGTTTCGCGTACAACACCAGGGTCACCAGCAGTGTAAGAGCCTTACTACCTTTGCATATAGCCATCGGCATGCCCGTACGAAGTGTGCCAAGTCCCACCAAAGCATAAGCATGAGCCTCAGCGCCATTTGTGTCCTTTGAATGCTTCTGCCAATGAACTGATCCAAGTGTCAACATCAGCCTGCCAAGTCGCCTAGCACAATAGCCAAGCATTGCCTCTCAGCGGCACGGTCCGCCGCGAACGCCATTTCGAATATCGCTCATAGCGTCCAGTGACTGTGATGCCCTATACAGTGGCACAGCCAAGCAGACGGGGAGCTCATACTCCGTAGCAAGACCAATTGAGTCGGTATAATGCCGCACACCTGACTAAATGCCTATCGGGCACACCATCAGCCGGATGTACTTGACAAACACGGCGGCGACCAGTCATGCGGCCGTAAGACCTAATCGCCGCGGGGAGGTTTTCCCCTCATACATAAAATCAAGGGCTTGGTGCAGTCGAACCCATCACAACACTTCCAGCCAGGACACAGAGACGAGCGCAACCAAGCTCAAAGGAAGAGAACATCATGGACGATCACATGACAGTCTCTGCGCTTGCAGACATCATCAGACACCAGGCTGAGATTCTCGAAGATGGTCGGCTGAGACATACATACCCAGACCACTATGGCGACAAGTCTCTCACCACGGCCAGATCGAGACTTCTCGAAGCTTGCGACAAGCTAAATCACCTCGTCACGGGCCCTGAGGAGTACATGATGGGACTCGCTCAAGGGCATCGACTGCAGGCGGCGCTGCAATACGTCTGCCACTTCCGCCTGGCATCGCACATTCCTGCGGACGGAACTCCGATCTCGTACGACGAGCTGGCTGAGAAGGCCAGTGTCGAGGCATCTCGCTGTGTTCGCATCCTCCGGCTCCTCATGACGCACCACATATTCAGAGAGCCGGGAACCCGTCTCATCGCGCATAATCGCAACTCCAGGGTTCTCCTGGATTCCGACGCCGGAGCGGCAATTGAGTGGTACACCAACGAGGCCTTCCGCTCCAGTACTTTTCTTGCCGAGGCAAGCGAATTATGGCCAAGCAGTGAGCAAATGAACCAGACAGCGCTCAATCTCGCATACGACACGAGTCTTCCGGCTTTCAGATTCTTATCACAGTCGCTCGAGCCGTCCAGGGCCGACCGGTACTCGCGAGCGATGGCCGGGCTTTCGAAGCGCAGGCAACTCACAGTTGAGCATCTCGTCACGGGGTATGATTGGAAAAGCCTGCCGAACGACACGACGATGGTCGATGTGGGTGGTGGGAATGGATACTGTTCCAAGGCCATCGCCGACGCCAACCCGGGACTGAAATTCGTCGTGCAGGACTTGAAGAAAACGTTCGGTGCCGTACACACTGACCTGAAGGGGCGGTTGCGATTCATGGAGTACGACTTCTTCACACCGCAGCCAGTGGTCGCCGACGTCTATCTCCTCAGGCGGGTCCTGCATTACCACCCGAATAAGTATGTAGTCAAGATACTTCAGGCCCAGGTGAGCGCCATGAAGAAACCTGGGGCTAGAATCATCATCATGGACGATATTGCGATACGCAGCGGGATGATCACCACGCTGGAAGAACGGAAGACAAGGTGCGCAATCCTGGTAGTACCATAATCATCTGCTCACTGATCTTACAGGACCTTGGACATCTCGATGATGTCGCTTTACAACTCTGCCGAACGAGACCTTGGCGACTGGAAGGCGTTGTTTCACACAGTAGACCCGAAGCTGAAGCTGGTCGACGTCAGGAAGCCGCCTGGAAGTTCTCTGTCCATCATGGAGCTCTGGATGGATCAACAAAGTCAATCTCGTGGTCAGAACGACGGTTCATTGCCATATGCCTTTACTAAAAGGAACTCAGTATCCTAGGAAGGTAAGCATAAAGGAACGGGGCGTCTGCGGTTACAGTTCAGTAATGGGTGGGAACACAATGGGAAGAGCCAGGCGTTCGTTTGGCTACTCTCTCTGGGCGTTTCGTCGCCTTTCTCGGCCAACGGACTCCTCCTTCATTCATGGGGCCGGTTTGGAGACCAACTCTTGGTAAAGGTCGATCAATGCGCCGCTCAACCGGCACGATTGGTATGATTTTCCTCTCAGGCGAAGTATCGTGAAATAGGTAGTATATCGAGCTGTCATTGTATGCTGCTATCAGTGAATCCTCTTCATGTCTGCCGCTCTCGTCGAAAATTTCAGCGTACTGAGGAGCTTGAGATCCCCGACGTCCTTGCAATGCTGCCGTCGAGTATGATTCAAGACCATATCTGGTCTCACAACCACGCTGCACTAGTCGGGCAGAACGATGGGCATGGTCCAGTTCTCGTCGCAGAATACTTATCTTCTGAGGATTTTTCGAACGGTTTCCTTGCTCAATTTGGGCACAGGTACGACCGACCTTCTTAATGGCTGCGCTGGATGAGGCCGGAGGTTTGCGACCGCGCAGTGCGAAGTTGCATGGTGTCCATTTATGCAAGGTACCACACGAAAATGAGTTGTTTTATGCAGAAATGAAAGTTACCTTATTCTCTGCGACACCCGAGTTCCAGTGGTGGAAGACGTCATACTGTTTGACGTCACTCTTACACAGTACCTAACAGAAGCCCCGCAGCCCGAGGGAGGTGCCGGACCAAGCTCCGGGCCTCAAGCTGGGAGCTCTCCCTCCCCCTCGAGCTTCACTCCAGCTCCTACAACCAATCAATCTCACGACTTCACCTCGAACCTAGTCTCACGACGTTGCCTCGAACCCAATCACATGTGCGAACGAGATCGATTGCCTTTATTCGACAGCTACAACAGATTGGCTACGATGGCGGGAGGATCAGGAGCTGAACAAGACCGCTTCGGCGGCTGGTTCGGCGGGAACAAAGCCGACCAGGTCAAGGACGCTGCCCAGCAGAACCTGCCGAGAGGCTTGGGAGCTGAGCAAGACCGCTTAGGTGGCTGGTTTGGTGGCGACAAAGCCGACAAAGTCAAGGACGCCGCCCAGAAGAACCTACCGACCGGCTCGGGCGCGGAGCAAGACCGGCTCGGTGGCTGGCTTGGGGGCAATAAGGGGGCCGACGTTAAAGACGCAGTGCAGGAACAAATGCCTAAAGCCTCCGGAGCTGAGCAAGACCGATTTGGCGGCTGGTTTGGCGGTGGTCAGGCAGACCAAGCCAAAGATGCCGTACAGAGACGCATGCCCAGCACATCTGGTGCCGAACAAGACAGATACGGCGGTCATTTCAGCGGCGACCAGGCAGACAAGGCCAGAGATACCGTGAATAGACACCTCCCACGCACATCAGGAGCTGAGCAAGATCGACTGGGTGGTTGGTTCGGTGGAGACAAACTACCCTCTCGAGCCGAGGTTGAGAGAAACCTACCCAGTGGCTCTGGCGCTGAACAGGACAGGTACGGTGGCTGGTTCGGAGGCCACAAAGGCCCTTCCGCTCAGGATATTCGCGATAAACTGCCCAGAGCTTCAGGTGCTGAGCAGGACCGCTATGGATCCCACTTCAACATTGGCAGCGAGCGCTACATCGGGACCACGACGCTTGGTCTTCTTCAACACGCCGTCTTGCCGTCATTTGGACTCCACGCCGGCCTTGGCGCCATTGCATACGGAATCGGTTGCTACACCGACAGAGCTGAGGCCAAAGACTACCTATGGCCCAGTGGTCAGGTTGCTAACGCTTGGTGGTCTGCCATTGGTGTTCCCGTCGTCTACGGCGGCCTGTCCGTCTCTGCTGCTTGGGCTGCTTTGACATACGACCAGAAGCTGCTCCTCACCGGCGTCACGGCCTGGGGAGCACGTCTCTTCTACCATGTTGCGTCTCGCGGCGTGCGGCGCGGCGAGGATGACCCCCGTTACGTGACCGCCAAGAAACAAGATCCGGGATTCTGGAACAAGGCTGCATTCTCCATGTTCTTGCCCGAGGCGGTTGCGCAGACCCTGATCACCCTGCCCTTCGTGCTTCCTTTCCGTGCCCCTGTGTCTAGTGCCGTTTCGTCTCTCAGTGCAGGCCCTTCGGCTATCTCGCACAGCTTGGCCGTCTTCCTGTTCGTCGCCGGTTTCGCCACGGAAGTTCTTGCCGATTACCAGTTAGAGGCTCACACTCAGGAGTCTGGTAACACCAGTTTGAACCGTGAGGGCGTATGGAGCATTGTTCGCCATCCCAAGTGAGTCTTTCCGCTCTTCTGTGATTGTCATGCCGACTGACCCGTTATCAGCTACTTGGGCGACGCACTGTCCCATCTCTCGTTTTCGGTCTTAGCATCTAGTGCTGGCCTGCTGCACCCGCTAGCCGCCATTGGTCCCATCGTCAATTACATTTTCCTGCGTGCGGTCGGCGGCGACAAGGAGAACGAGGCATCGCAGGAGGCACGCTACGCCAAGGAGAACCCGCCCAAGTACCAGCAACTGCAGGAGTACAAGCGGACGAAGAACAGCTTCTGGCCAAGCCTGAACGAGGTGGGCAACAAGTGGCTGTGGGCCATTGTTGCTGCTGGTGCTGGAGGTGTCGCACTTGAGCAGTCGCTTGTGAACTTTTCGACATGATGAGAGCCGAGACTCAATTAGAGCAACTGAGTCGAAGGGCAACTACTTGTATGATAGGATTGTGCCGATAACGACGGGTCCTCAAGGAAACAGATTAACAGATCATGATTAAGTACTCAACCTATGTCGCAGTAGCTGTACAGTCTCGTGGACTTTTGCCTGACGCGGAAATTCGGGGCGGGGCGGGTGGGGGCAGAGAACAGCCCCTTTGCTCAATGGGCTTGTGATTACGGCCCCCGTGAACACCGTCTGAGTTATCTGAGGCAATTTACAACCCAGGCAAGAAAGACAACATCGACTTGGCTGGCGCTTTGGTCCGCCGCGGCCGGCTTTTTGAAGCGACTCGGGGGCCTGGGAGCTGCCTCTCGAAACAGTTAATGGTCTGTATAAGCTGTTGAGGAACTCTTCATCTGATTCGACTCATCTTCCTTGAATTCTCGAGGACCTCTGAGCATAACAATCCATCCATTGATCTTTTGAGAGCCGAGGAAAGCGGAATGGATGTCCCTGGCGCCCGCTGGCGTCTGTGGATCTCGACGAGTCGCAGTAGACGTCATCGGCGCTCCCCTTTGGCGCTTTCGGAGCCGTAAACGATAGTCTTGAGCTGTCCTTACCTATATTATTGGAGCGCCTAGGACCACTTCGACTGTTCTCCAGCTTTCTGGTCTTCGACTCCAACAGGGTGCAAATCTTCCGAGACCGACCTCTCTGCACCCCGTATTCTTCTTCCCCGCAGACCAGGGTTTGCGTGCCCACTGCCATATTGGCCCCGGCCATTTGATCCCCTCACCAAACCTGATTGCTTCGAGTCATGTTACTCTATGCCAGATTCACGGTCGTATGCGAGTGCTTGGTGTTGTAGCTCTGGAGAAAAGTACCTCGTGCCGGGCAATGTTTACGAAGGGGGAAGTGCACGTGGCTGCACAGCAAGTGGGCAGCATGAAATACCACTCATTCAAGATGTCTCATAGGTGGATCTCCAACAAACATATCGCGGCAGGGTGCCAGTCTGATGAGGTCGTATGGAACATGGACAACTGGCCCAGGTCATGTACGTCTCTGTGGATCGTCTCGACGGACGGATATTCTTGATTCGCTCCAACCTCGCCGAAGCCAGAAGTCCGGTGGGAGTACTTGTGCTGTGCAGCCGATATAAAGCAGGTACATAGTCCAGCTGGCCCGCATAGCCTGGGTCCTGTTGCGGACAGTACTGAGCCCCTTTAATTCTCCAAAGTAACTTCAATATGCGTTCCTTGGTACTCTCAGCTCTTGTCGGTTCTGTGCCTATTGCTGCCAATTACATCCCTCGACCAGCATCGAAGGTGCAGAGACAGGCAACAGATGTATTCGAAGGCTATGCCTTTGCGTACTTCACGGGCGATACCACCGCAGGGGAGAACATCTACTTCGCGGCAAGCAACGGCAACGATGCGCTCGATTGGATTGAACTCAACGGAGGGAAGCCTGTGCTGACCTCTTCAATGGGTACCGGCGGTCTTCGGGATCCCTTTATTATGCGCTCGGTGGAGGGAGACACCTTCTACATCCTGGCGACAGACCTATCTATCGGCTCCGGAACATCTTGGGATGATGCTGTCCGCACCGGAAGTCGATATCTAGAAATATGGGAATCGAGCGACTTGGTAACCTGGTCCGATCAACGACACGTGCTGGTCTCACCTGAGACTGCTGGGATGACCTGGGCTCCAGAAGCATACTACGACGATGAACTTGGCACGTACGTTGTCTACTGGGCGTCCGCCCTCTATGATGAGTCGGACACGAATCACACGGGCGATACCTATGACAAAATGTTGTACGCAACAACCGACGACTTTACGACTTTCAGCGAGCCCCAGACGTGGCAGGATGCCGGATCAGCACGCATAGACTCAACCGTGCTCGAGGTCGACGGTGTCTACTACCGCTTCACCAAAGACGAGGGCGCGAGCACCGGCTGTACGGATATCATCGAAGAGAGCTCCACCTACTTGACGGCTACCTTGGATTCATGGACTCAGATCGCAACATGCATTGGGGCAAACGCTGGGACTGGGGCCGTGGAAGGCCCAAGCATCTTCAAGTCGAATCCTGACGATGTCAATGGAGACAAGTATTACCTCTTCGTCGACGAGTACACGGACCGGGGTTACATTCCACTGGAGTCCACCAGCATTAGCAGCCCCGACTGGCAGATTTCAAGCTCCTATACTCTACCCACCAGTCCCCGTCATGGCACCGTCATGCCCATCATGGCTGCCGAATTATTGGCCTTTACGGCTGCCTGGACAGCTTCTGGTTCTGCAGCCAAGCGCTCGACTCAGAAGGACAAGCGCGACAGTCCGGTGTTGGCAGGCTACTATGCCGACCCGAACATTGCCGTCTTTGGCGACACGTTCTACATCTATCCTACGACAGATGGTATACCTGACTGGGGTGGAAATGTGTTCTACACGTGGAAGTCGGTATGTGTCTTCTAGTCGTGTCTTCGAGACATTGCATTACTCTCATGATCAGTGGGTAACGAGTGGCCACTGACATATTCCTCGCAGACTGATCTACAGACTTGGACGCGATCGGATGAACCCTTTCTGACTCTCAACGAAACTGCCGGCAATGTGCCGTGGGCAACGGGGGTAAGTCGCGCGGATACTCCCTACTTAACGCAGAGTCATGTACTGATCGTCTATCGCAGAACGCGTGGGCCCCAACAATCATCGATAGATATGGGAGCTACTACTTCTACTTCAGCGGCCAAAACCCGACCTATGATTGGAAGACGATTGGCGTAGCCGTCGCTGATTCTCCCGAGGGACCCTTCACAGCCCAAGATGAAGCGATGATCCTCAATAATGAGGCCTTAACGACTAATCAAGCCATCGATCCCGCTACCTTCCTAGACCCTGCGACCGGGAAGTATTATCTATGTTGGGGAAACGGGTAGGCCAACCTCAGATTTCATCTCAGCCTACCGGCAGTTTCATCATGTTTACTGATTTCGTCCTACAGCGTTGCTCTAATGGCAGAGCTAGGTGATGACATGATCTCGATCAAAGAAGACACTTTGATCGCGCCAGAAGGCCTGACCGACTTCCGAGAGGGTTCCTTCATGAACTACCGTGACGGACTGTATCACATGACATACTCGATCGATGACACGCGATCCGAAGACTACCGCGTGGGCTATGCGACGGCCTCGAGTGCCACCGGGCCGTTCACATACCAGGGTGTCATTCTGCAGAAGGACGAGTCGCAGGGCATCTTGGCGACGGGACACAATTCGATCATTAACCTTCCCGGTACTGATGACTGGTACATCGCTTATCATCGCTTTGCTATTCCGAATGGCAACGGGACGATGCGGGAGGTCACCATTGATGTTTTGAACTTTGATGCGGACACGGGTCTCATTCAGGAGGTTATTCCAACGTTGGAGAGCGTGGCACCAGTGTCACTATAGCGTTGATGCCAGAAGTAAGGGCTAAATACCTAGAAATGCCATATGATTCATACCTGGAGCTTGTCCGAAATAAGCACACCGTTATCGCTTCTGTAGTAGGGCTCGTCCGGAAGCGCCCGCCTAGAAATCATTTGTCTCGAGTCCTGCATTCAGCCAAGAGCTGTGTGCCTTGATCCAGACGCCCGGAGCTATCGTGCTTCGCGGATTGGCTCTTTCGAAGCGAGAAGGGTATGGCGTACACCAATATGCAGCCTCGATGTCGAATCACGCTGTAGCGACATGGGGCAGTGCTGCAAGGGAACCAACATGTCCTACTATGCATAATACACTTGTCGGCGTTGTGATGTGCGGCCGAGTCAAGTGCGGGGAATTTGGGATATGTCCGGCCTTCCATCTTCACTGAGCAAATGATTCTCTGTACCTGCGCACATCGTCGATATGGAGAAGTTCAAGGGCATTTCGCCTCACAAACCCCTTCGAACTGATGTGAACGAAATCCGCATCGTCAAGCTGTTACCCAACGTCTTCAATGCGCCTATTGAGTGCGAGCTGGAGCACATCACGATCGACGTCGAGGCCGATTACGAGGCCCTGTCATACTGCTGGGGAGATGCATCAGTCACTCATCCCATTCGGTTGAACGGCCGAGTATACCCTATCACCACGAGCTTATTCACTGGTCTGAACTATCTTCGGCTCGAAGACCGCCCGAGGCGACTTTGGGTGGATAGTCTCTGCATCAACCAGACCGACCTCGATGAACGCAGCCATGAAGTCCAGAGGATGCGCGATATCTACGAAAAGGCCAAAGAGGTTATCATTTGGCTTGGAGATTATCACCCGTTTACTCGTCTATACGTCAAACGAGTATTCGATTACGTGACTAAGCTAGCTACTTGCTGGGAAGATGAGGAAGAGGAGGCTCTCATCTCGGCCTGGGGTTTTGACGAGCTTTGGCATTTCCAGACAGAGCTTCAGGACTTCCTCAAAACCCGCCAATGGTTTCAGCGGATATGGGTTTTGCAAGAGGTCTCTGTTCGCCCTAATCCATGGTTGAAGAACGTGGATATCACCCCTGATCTTATCTGTGGACACCTCCGACTCCCGGTGGTATACTTGAGGCAAGTTCAGAATTACTGGGTGACACAACCCACTACGGCTCGACTCAGCCTGCCATCTTTGTGCCCTACTCTCGATCGTCTGAGGCTCATTTGGGAGGGGCACCAAGACCTGATGGGACAAGAACCTCATCCCTTTGCCAATCAGCTCGTATGGATTCTTTCCTTGGTCGCTGCTAAGTTTGACGCGACTGACGAGCGAGACACGATTTTTGCCACTCTGGGGCTTTTGAACGCAAAATCGATACCCTCACAAGTCCGACCGGACTACACCAAGACTGCATCACAAGTTCTGATCGACTGTGCAACATTCCTGATCGAAGATTCTAACTTCGTCAATATCATACAATACAACTCAATGCAAACAACCCAACTGCCATCATGGGTGCCTGATTGGCGATATAATGCGCGGCACCCAATATATGCAGGGAGCGAGACTGGTCCAGGCATTCATTCCAGGGTCCTTGAAAAAGGCAATGCACTGGAGGTCGACATAATGCCATTTACAGAGATCTCCATGTTGGGGCCGAAGTTTGAGATCATCAACACCGAGGAAAAGATGTTCAATGTTTGGGAAGACTTCTTCCTCGATATTGGAGAATGTTTGGATGGGCGAAAACTGCCGGCCCGTGGCTACACAAACTTTGAAGAGGCTGTGTGGCAGTTGCTGATTATATTCAGCATCAACTTTCAATGGTTGCTTGATCCGGGGTGCTTTGAGGGCGTCTTGGGAGACAACGCCCCGTCATTTATCAGGAGACACTCACTGGACGTTTCCGCACGTGGGCATTCGACACTCGAGAAGGATTTTATGGAAGATAGCTTGAAGATCATCTCGGAGTCGGTAACCAACAAATACGTTTTTCGCTGCGCAGATAACTCGATTGGCATCATGGGCCAATCGTTCGCGAAGCCTCAGCCCGGAGACATGATCTGCTCTATCCGGGGTGCTTGCTCAGAGTTTGTACTGCGGCCCCTTATCAAAGGATACCGCATCATTGGCAGGTGCGAGAGAACAATAAGGACGCTCGAATTAACGATGACGGAAGTTGGGTTGCTGGATTGGATGGGTACTACTCATTTATTGAGTGTTTTGAGTGAATTATGGGCAACGGCTGACTTCCACCGCACAACTATCTACTGAAGCAGTTGTATCTATATTCCCTTGTCAAGTAAAGGAATAAGGCGCCCCCGAAAGTGGTACCCTCGCCAGGAGGCTTGGTTGCAAAGGAGTGATTGATACGTTGATGTGTCGACATTATGTAGGACTACTAAGATATCAGTCTCGCTTCTCCCAATCACATGGCGACGCATTGATCGCACTCTTCTGTGATAGGCATTGTAATCTTAGCTTACAAGGTATCGTCACGTACGAGCCATTAATCACAAAGGAGTCTTCCCAACTCGATTTTCTTCCGGCACTCAGAGCAAAGAACTCGGACCGCCGGGTTTCTGACATTATCGTATGACTGTAGGTCGGCGGAATGCCCACATCCGTGGATGCAAGAGCACGTGGTGCCCTGCGACTGACTAGGTGTCGACTTCGATGTCAAAAGACTGGATGTGACCGACAAAAGAGAGGTTCGTCTACCGGAGACGGATGGATTCTGCGAGGCTTGGGTCAGTCATGAATTCAAAAGAGGGTGTAATCAAGAACCAGGCTTGAATACCTTTGGTTGCCGGGACCCTTCTGTGGTCTGCCGTTGCCGAACTTGAGGCGGGTACCATTGAGATGCTGCAGGCACGCGGATCGACGAAGACGGAGATGTTACGAGGTAGTTTTCACCGTCGGTAGCGTTCGTTATAGGGGGTGGGAACTCGTTCCATGATCCGGGGTTCTCCTGGGGTGGGGATATTGTTGCGAGACGAGTGTATGGTTCCTTGCTAGGAGGATAGCCGGCGACATTGAGGTTTGGGGAGTGCGTAGTTGACTGCATCAAGACATGAAGGTCGTCCAGACTGGCAACAATGCTCGAATAGTACGACATATTTAAGTGAAAGGCAGTGTTCTTTTACACCACGAATTACTCACTGTTGTTGGTATAGAGTCATGGCTCCTGTGACAGATTGGCCACACTGTTGGTCTGCGGTACTATGTTGGGCCTGTCAGTGAATCATGAAACAATGTGGCATCAGAGAACAAAGGCTTCTCGTCTGGAATACGTATAGTATGCGCGAAAAATTGAGGCTCAGACTTGAGTGTTCTGTGTCCTCGCACCCATGCAACTTTGCTTCACAAAGAGCATCATCCAACATTTACCGACCAACACCAACTTGGTGACTCGTGACCTGAATTCGTGACAAGGCCCAACCAGCAATGACTCTGTGGACTGTCCCGCCGCAATATGCTCTTTGTCTTTGCTGCGTGGACGTTCTGTCGAAGCTGAAGTCCATCTGGAAGATGACCAAATCAGGGGTACCCAGGGGTAAGCGACGGTCTCTGATTGGACCAACGAGTCAGAACAACAACTCCCGCCACCAACACCGCCTCACGAGAACAAAGAACAAAGAACAAAGCCGTCGCAGAATCTCTCAGCAGACCAAGAGCAAACATCATCCAGCGGTGGCTGCTGCGACATGTTGGTACTACAGAAGGCCTCCCGCTCCCCTACGAGGGCACATGAGCACCGGCGCTCAATCGCACAACCCACTTGCACACGCAACGCCGTAGATTCACCTCACAGCAGCATCATTACTATCCAACGCATCGTGTGTCAGTTGGAAAACAATCACTGATACCACGCACTCCGTTTCAATCACCTATTTGTAGATTATTCTTGCTTGGTGCTTAAACATCAAAAGCTGCTTAGCCAAAGGAGCAAACCGCGAAACCCCCGGGCGGCCCGGCTCGCAATCCGCAGCCCGGGGCCTGCCCCGATCGCCGTATCCGCGATGCGCGCTACCAAACCCCCGGCGCCGCCGGCCCCCCACGGAGGCAGGAGTTGCAGGGCCCCTCCCCCTTTCCGCAATGAGTCCCGCAAGCACGTCGCATCGCCAACGCCGAGCACGCCGGCCTTCCACGTAGAGCTGGAGCTGGCGCGTGCAGCCGCTCGAACTCGGGGCAACGCGGACGTGCATTACTCGTCAGGGGGTCAATTGCGCTTGGAGCGCTGACGAGTGTATGAGAAACAGGACGCCGTGCCCCCAGCACCTGAGGCTAGAAACGTAAGATTGAATCACGTATGCTACCTGCATGAGCGCACGATCGAGACCCATCCCAGCGCGATTAGACAATAAGATGAATCTCGAGGTGAAACCCAGAAGCCTAGTTATCTGGCTCACCATCTACCTAATACATATTATACTCACCTGTCCACGGTACTATACCCACTCGCTCACCGGTGATATCTAGTCGCTTCATTAAGCAAAGATCAAATCAAAGAGATTGTCTGATTTGTACTGAGCCTATCAATAACGGGCTTCATAACTGTGGGAGATACTTTGTTTAAAAGACTGATTGATGGGATAACTAGGAGGCTGTGCAGTACATCTAGAACCGTCTATTGGAGGCCATCGAGGATGCGGAAAAGTCGATGTTGGAAATACCTGTGGTCGTACTGTTGTTTATAGTCTCTTGTTTTACAGCTTCTATAATCGAAACGGCGTCTCTGGAATCGGCAGACACCCGTACCACCAGTATAGAATGTGGCTGGTAGTATCCTTAACAGCGACTCAGTCATCCACGAGACGGTGCGGACATGAAGCAGATAGACACAGACGGCGCGAGTTCATGGAATTGAAAGCATTTGGGTATTATTAAATAATCAACTGCGTACTGGATATCATTAGCTCTACCAGGGCAACAGAACATAGACTACCGCTACCCATTCCTAGCCTCAAGAACTCCCGCTCCAGTTCGTAAGTCGTGATGTGTGCTTGGAAGGTTCCGCAAACTTAGACAATATCATCACCTCTGTGCTGAGCACCATTGCCGACAGGCTTGCGCGGGTATCCAGGGCCAGCAGCTCCAGATCCGAACACCCCCTCGCCATTGGCGCCGTGCTGGGCTCCGTGATGGGCAGAAGCCGTTCCCCAGCCAGCCCTTCGTGTCCAGTAGGCATCACCCAACTCGAGACCGTCGTGAGTGTAAAGGCAGGACTGGCTACGGTTCAGGGGCACGTGGTTCCAGCGCCAATCCCAGATGGAGGCGTAGACCATCCTGTAGGCAGAGAAGGCCATGACAGTTCCAATGACTGCACCTGCAAACACGTCGTACCAGTTGTGGTATTCGTCGATGGTCAGAGCGCCGCCAATGAGTACGGCACCCAGGATGGGAATGTAGATGACGATCAACTTCCACATGGCCGGGTGGTAGTTGGAGAAGACCTTGAGCTTGGCGTTCAGGTACAGGTAGAGGTAGACGAAGCCAGCGAAGGCGGCGGTGGTGTGTCCCGAGGGCATGGACTCGAGCGAGTCGTCGATCTCGCTGATGTCGCCAGTGCAGATCTCCTGGGTGTAGTAGAGTTGCTGGAAGCCCGCTGCGTTGAGGCCTGAGCCAACGACGCCAGCGGCATTCTTGGCGAGACTGATATCTGGCTTGCAGACATCCAGGAAGTGGGGTCGCAACCCACCGATGAGCCACTTAACGAATACCTGGAAGACGGCGGCGGTGATGAGGGCGTACAGCAGACCGATGATACCGTTGTTGACGTCCCAGAAAGATCGGATGCGTATCTGCATGATGAGAATGGCCAGAGTAGGGACTATGAAAGCCAGGAAGGCGGCAAGCCAGATGGGGATGATCTCCTTTCGCAGTGGGTACGCGAACTGGGGATAGACAACTTCGCCGTCGGAAGGATAGGTGACGGCGAACGAACGCGTAGGCGCCGGGTGGGCTTCGTAGATCTAGATAGATACGGATTAGCCAGGCTCACAGGGAGCCCATGTTTCCAGGAGACACTTACACCGAGACCCAAAGCACCCATGGCAACCATGGTCAGGATGTCGACCCAGGTAACCTTCAGCCATTGACCGAAAGACGGGCGCGTAGACATCGGGTAAGTGTTGCGAGCATGGCCATGGCTCTTCTTGGGCGTCTTGGTCGCCTGAGTGTGGCCGGGTCCCTCACGGGCACGCTTGTTGAACAGGCCCATGATTCTTGCGCGAAGGATACCAGTATGCTTAGTATGCGCTGGATGTCGGCAGATGGCAACTACCTGGGTTGGTAGGGTACAACGTCAGGGTGTCCCGCGCTGGACACTGATGCAAGACGAGCAGAACGATATGGGCTTTGGAGTTGAGATGGGCTTGACTTGGGGGAGGAGAGGAAGAGGCAGAGGAGGAGCTGGGTTGGGAAGATATAAGAGAAGCTGCAGACTGGATTGGGGTGTCACTGCTGGCTTGAGCTCCCCTCGCTCCCCTCGCTTCAGCACTGTTCCTACCTTACCGCCACGCAATTTGGACTTACCAAGGCACGAGGCCTGCAACTCACTGTTTCGGGGTGTTTGCCGTCGTACCTGACGTCAACATCCGGAGCATCTGCTGCTGCATTCTCATTTTATCAAGGCGCAGCGACAGGTCACGGTCACGGCAAAACGAACCGTGATGCGTGGCACAACCTGGGGAATGTTTCGCAATGCGCCGGCGGCCAATCACGGCGGGCAGAGTGAAGTCCAGGCAATGCCATTTTGACATTAAGGTAGCAGACATCGTGATCTGTGGCGGTGTGGCGGGTGCAGGATCGCCCTGGACGGTCCCCCGTTCGGGGCTAGACGCCAACGTCATGGCACCTAAAGTTGGCGCGAACTTGGCACACAACCTCTTGGCAACCTTGTGCTTGTTCCAAACTTCTAATCTTTTTTGGCGGTGTCACTGCCGCTTCAGGTAACTTGCAATGTCCGGGCTGTCGAACTCTCCTGACGCCAAACACGAATTGGGATCGGTGTCAGATGGCGCCGGCTTCACATGCTATCAATAGACCTACGATAGAGACGGACTGGATGACTACATATGTAGTGAGAACCTAAGCCTGGGGGCCTGCTACACAGATGCATGTAGTGGACCATTCAGAACGGCCTCATCGCATTAGGTACACAAGGAGAGTGATCTTGACACACCATGGAAGTGGTTGGATAAAGTACCCGTTCGTGTGGCCTATTCCGACACCTCTGGAGTGGTTCAGTTGCAAACCTGGAGGATGTGAAGGCAGACATCTGTGCACGACAACAATATAAAGAAAAGCTCGGGCCGCTCGAGCGTAAGGTAGCGGGCCTTCCGTCGTTTGGCAGCCCGGCCCGGAGCTAGGCGAGTGGGGACTTCACGGGGCACAAAACGCACAAAGACCCCACTGCGGGGTATCGTCGGAGAAAGGAAAAATCCCCAGCCGATGAACAGCTTTCTGGATGGACGGGCCTGCAGTGGACTGGACCCCCTGCATCCATGGGCAAGATATCTTCACCACGAACCCCACAACACTTCTTGTTGCACGGCTCGGTAGCCGCGTCCATACAATATGGTTCTTCAGGATCTCGGTCGACGCATCAGCGGCGCATTGCACGATGCGACTCGTGCTCCCAACCTTGACGAGAAGGTATGCGACAAGTGTCTCCTCCAGCCATGTCTCGCCCCGCAGTCCACTGACGGATCGTCTATTTGTAGACCTTCAAAGCCATGCTCAACGAGATCTCCGGCGCCCTCCTCGAAGCCGATGTCAACGTGCGACTAGTCAGCCGCCTAAAGAACTCCATAAGTACCACCGTCAACTTCAAGGAGCTCCCGCCCGGCGTCAACAAGAAGCGATTAGTCCAGAAAGCCGTCTTCGACGAACTCGTCAAGCTCGTCGACCCCCATGCCGAACCCTTCAAGCCCAAGAAGGGCAAGTCGAACGTCATCATGTTCGTTGGTCTACAAGGTGCCGGAAAGACGACGACATGTACGAAGCTTGCGCGACACTACCAAGCCAGAGGCTTCCGAGCCTGCCTCGTCTGCGCCGATACCTTCCGAGCAGGTGCCTTCGACCAGCTGAAACAGAACGCGACCAAGGCCAAAATCCCATACTACGGTTCCCTGACGGAAACGGACCCGGCCAAGGTTGCCAGAGAGGGCGTTGACAAGTTCAAGAAGGAGCGGTTCGAGGTCATCATCGTCGATACCTCGGGTCGGCATCGACAGGAGTCTGCGCTGTTCCAGGAGATGATGGACATCCAAGAAGCGGTCAAGCCCGATGAGACTATCATGGTCCTCGATGCTTCGATCGGTCAGCAGGCCGAGAACCAAGCCAAAGCCTTCAAGGAAGCGGCGGACTTTGGAGCCATCATCATCACCAAAACAGATGGTCATGCGAGTGGAGGTGGTGCTATATCTGCTGTGGCCGCTACACATACTCCTATCGTTTTCATTGGAACCGGAGAGCACATGCTGGATTTTGAGCGTTTCGCACCGCAACAATTCGTCAACAAGCTGTTAGGAATGGGAGACATGGCAGGGTTGGTGGAGCACGTTCAGTCCCTCAAGCTGGACCAGAAGGATACGATCAAGCACATCACCGAAGGTATCTTCACAATACGCGACCTCCGCGATCAGCTCAGCAACATCATGAAGATGGGCCCTCTGTCCAAAATGGCCGGCATGATACCCGGAATGTCAAACATGCCAGGTATGGCCGGCATGGACGACGAGGAATCGAGCTCACGCCTGAAGCGCATGATCTACATATGCGACAGCATGACCGAGAAGGAACTCGACAGTGATGGCAAGATGTTTATCGAGCAGCCCACGCGTATGACGCGAGTGGCCTGCGGCAGCGGTGTCAGCGTACGAGAAGTCGAGGATCTGCTGACGCAGCAGCGCATGATGGCCGGCATGGCCAAGAAAATGGGTGGCAGCATGAAGAACATGCAAAAAGCACAGCAAGCCATGGGCGGCGGAAACAAGGCTCAGCAGATGGCAGCCATGCAGAAGAGACTGCAGAGTATGGGTGGAGCAGGTGCGGGCGGTATGCCAGACATGGCCAGCCTGGCGAAGATGTTTGGCGGCGGCGGCGGAGGTATGCCTGGCATGCCCGGTGGGATGGACATGCAGAAGATGATGGAGAGTATGGGCGGTATGATGGGAGGCGGACGAGGAGGCGGAAGAAGGTAGCACGCCTGTCGGAAACAAAGATATGGGGCATTGGGGGCTACGGATTCATGACACGCATGGCATGGCGTTTGGCTGGGTTTAACATGCATCCAGACAGGGGTATGGATTCATCTGGTGACATCTTCGATTCTCCGTACCCAAATGAAATGGACCGAGATCTATAGAGATACTTCACAGTAGGAGATACTGCCCTACCTATTTTAGTGGAATGCTCATTGCGTATCTCGAATCAGCTACTTTCATCGAAGATGACTGACTTTCTGCTTACTCCGTACCGAGCACGAGCGCTCAAAGTACCTAATGTAATCCATATATGAGTATCAAGGCAATGTGTTCCTTCAGTAATGGGAACTACCTCAGTAGCCAGAACTTATCAGGTTCCATATCGCATGCTAAGGGATAGAAACGTCGAAGCTATTCACTTAGGGGCCTCACAATTTACTGTGTCTTTCTTGTTAATTTAAGACATTATAGCGCAGTGTTTATTCCATGGCGGGACTTGCTTTATGATCCCATTTCCCATTCTCTCTATGAGACGTCTCCGACAAACGATGTACTGTAGTCGGCACTGAAGGCGGTTGCCTTTCCAGCCTAGGGTACAGCAATGTCACCGATCTCCTCCAGCTTCTCATCAGTCCCAACAGTCGGGTAGATGGCCGTCCGACTTCCGTCTGCTTTCCATTCACACCATTCCATACCCGGGAGTACGTAAGCAGTAGCCGAGAAGCATTTCTGATTCTCACTGATCCCGAACACAACGTCGAACCCACCAGCGCGGACGAAGCCACATTTCTCAGCAACCCTCTGCGACTTGACATTGTTGTCCATGGCGGCGATAAACATCTCCTTCACCCCAACTTCGTCCCGCCAGAAGCTCGTGACTGCACGGCCGGCCTCGGATGCGTAGCCACGACCCCAGTGTGGCTGGTAGAACGCGTACCCAAGGTCTGGATAGGGCATTTCCGACCGAAAACTGACGCTGACAAGGCCGATGAGGTCGTCTTCTGTCTCCTCCTTGCCTTCGGGAGGCTTCAGGTACACGAGGTGGATCATGCCGGGGGGTGCTGGTGCTTTCGTGCAGAGCTCCTGCTTGGGCATATGTCTCTTGTGCTTGGCTTGTACGTGTTTGACTGTCTTGATGCCGACCTGCGCATTGCCGCCGAGTCCGGCACTTGGGTCGCTGAGCACCCGAATGAAGCGCCTGCAGTGTTCGCTATTATTTGGGTCCACGAGTCGCAGCACCAAACGTTCGGTAGTCAAATCTCCGGTCGGTCGGTCCATCTTGTCCATCCCAATGTTGAGGTTCAAGTTTCGAGCAGTTCAAGTTGAGGCGTATGAGTTCACACAGGTCCTTAAGTAGATACAAGGGTGTTCGGACCATACCTACCTAAGCAGACCCGTACTTATACGTCTTGATAGGGCGTGTTCAACACGCCCTTAAGCATGTACAGGTTGCAAGGATGGTAATGGTTAGCGGTTCCAGGTTACGGGTCCGAATCCAATATGATGCTTGTAACTCCCATGCTAAAGACATGCCTAATAACAGTCTAATAGAACGTTAAGATAAAAAAGTTCCATGAGAAAGTTCTTATCGTGTAAAGTTCTACCTACCTATTACCATTGCCCAGATACACGTGAACCCGCTAACCATTACCATCTTGAGCACCTGTAAGTGCCCAAGGCAAGCATGGATCATCCGACCGTTCGGAGCATCGGGAGGAGGTACGGCCTGCGTGTTTGCAGGTACTTACAGGGTCCCCGCCTGTCCGACTGTCAGTCTCCGAGTCTCGGGCTGTCAGATTGGTCACCGCTTATCGGGCAATTATGCAAACCAACCTTACGCTCTTTCTCATTTTGTATCGGATGTGTTGCATGTGACTGTACCTACCATCTCACGTCACCGCTAGCCTTGGAGATTTTCTTCCTCCAGCATCATTACCACTACCACCCGATCCAGACCTCTGCTCATAAACCAGTCAATGAATTATTATACTATCAACGTAACTATCAGCATATCCGTCCCAGCGCCTGAACTATGCCAGCAACATCTCAGAGTCCAGTCTCAAGATCACCGAGCCTCGCGAGGTGGGCGTAGTGGGTATGTATGTCTGCCCGAGGTCCTCTCCCGACTTGAAGATGATCATCCCAGGAGCCCTCCGTGTCGCTGTCGACTATCGTTAAGGCTTCGGCATGCTGTCTGCTCCGATTCGCTTCACTTCGCTTCGACTCGACCTGGTGGATACAGCACCGCCATCTTGGTACGCAACGCGATGCTTGCTGATCATATCCCGGCGTATTGATCCATCAACTCCACCCAACCGGGCAAAGACGGAAATCCGCGCGCCAACCTTCGGGAAATATTAGGTTGCTCACGATGCTCCGCACATCATCGTCCTTCTGCCGCCGCTGGTCGACAGCCTCTCCAAGCAAGATGGGGGTGAGTGCAACCTGGCCCTCAATGATATAAACCTCATCCACATCCCGCAGCCAGCAGTACAGAAAGGCATCCCCATCAATGCCCTAGTTCTTCCAGAAGAGGCACGCCGCATTGTCCGACCCGAACTGTCTCGACAGACAGACGGCAAGCTGGCCGGAATCGTGGTCCGACAGCGCGATGCGGCGGACCTCGTGCTTGGCCGCGAACTCCTCCAGCCTCGCCCGGTAGTTGGCGCCGCGCGTCGGCCGTCTTGAGGTAGAACGAGTATTGGCTAGGGCGCGACCCGTTGCGCTGAAATGCGTGGCCGGGGTAGCAGGGGATCGAGAAGTCGATCTTGAAAGCGACGATGTCGTCGAAAAACGAGACGACGGGTCCGCGGGCGCAGCAGGGATCGCTGAGTGGGCGCGGGGTACTCATCATCTGGCCTCCTGGCAGGCGCTGGTAGAACTTTTCGGTCTCGTGTTTCGATTCTTTGCAGACGAGGAAGAGCAGCGGCCAGGGCGCGCGAGCGATGTACATGGATGTTTTCGGTGGCGGTCGCATGTGTACGACGCGGTCTTGGGCGTGGACAGCAGCGCGCCAGATCTTGTGGCGTATCTCTGGGGCCAGGTTGTTGAACAGCGTGAATGGGTATGCGCGGAATTTCGCGTTGAATTCTCGCTCGGTCTCTGCTAGAGACTTTGCTAGATAGTCTGGCATTTCTTCGGTAGGAGTCGCGGCTCGAGTATCTGTGATGGCGGTTTGATATTTGGTGGTAAGGCTGCTTCGAATATCTAAGGTGGCGATTTGGTATTTGACGGTGAGGCAGCTTCGAGATTGTGATGGTGACGTGCAAGTGGGTGTGGAAGTTGAAAAGTAAGGTAGGAAGAGAGAAGTAAAAGGCGGCGAAAATCAAGGGTACTTATATATTATAATAGAAATAGGTTGAGCAGATTTGTATGGTGGACCCAGGTACTGATGAACTCTATTACCTTATTGTAAAGGAGACTCGCAAGCCACCGCCCAAGTATCCTGCTCAAAAAGGCAAACCACCGCAGAAAGGCATGCGCCACCAGAACTAAAAGCATAGAAGTGAGAAGAATCCGGCGCAAGAACGTTGAACCCACACTGTTCGAGCGACGCCATCTTCAACGTAGAACTCTAGGTCAACAGATAAGAAGGCCCACACGAATCCAGAAATCTAAGCTTTCGAAGGCCCCTTGCGAGAGATATAGACCTCCAAGCCCTCCTGTATGACGAAGAACGTGGCCGTGGCCTTGAGCTCGCGCGTGGGATCGACCAGCTGGAACTCGTAGTCTCGCAGCAGTCGCGGGCACACCTTGTTGATTTCGAGGATGGCCAGATTCCGGCCGATGCAGATATGAGCGCCGCCGCCAAACTGCGCATAAAAGATCAGAACAATTTGAGCACATGATGCGGTGATGAGAGGTGAAGCCCGTGACGTACCTGGAACATGTACCTCTCCATGACCTTCGCGTTCTCCTCGTCGTCCAGCCACCGCTCCGGGCGGTAGAGGTCGGCGTCCTCGCCGAAGATCTCCCTGTCCCGGTGCAGCACCCAGCCATTCATCGCCAGCCGCGTGCCTCCGGGGAAGTGGTGGCCCTCGAGGTCGACGCCCTCCGACGGTGCGTGGCGCGTCATGTTCAGACCCACGGCAGGACGTAGGCGCATGGCTTCCTTCAGGCAGGCCTGGAAATAGGACAGGCTCTGCGCCTCGGCCCAGTCGATGTTGCCCGTGGAGGAGATGGTCCCGTTTTGCACGGCAGCGTCAGTCTCGGCGGTGATTGTGGCGTAGACTCGGGGCGTTGAGAGAATCAACCAGAAGAGTGATTGCATTGTGGATGCGGTTGAGTCGGAACCGGCGAAGCTAGTAGTTGTCAGTCAGCATGGTGATCTCCGGCTACCTACTCATAAAGGGAGTGGATATTTTGGGAGTCGAAAGGCTCACATAGCACCATGGGCGACAGAAAATACATCACCTTCGTGGAACCTTTCGCGGTCCTTGAGGTGGCCCTTTATGAGACTGGCCAAGAGATCCTCACGCCCGTCGCTATTGGCACCCTTGCCCTCCCTTTCAACCTCGAATGGGCGGCGTTTATTCATCTCCTCCTTGGCGATGCGCGTGATGAGGTAGTTAGATGGGTCGAGCGCCGGAATCAGCTTCAACAGCGGGTTGCGGCGCAGCAAGTAGTCGAACTCGGGGATCTGGCCAACGACGCCGTTGTACCTCTGGCTGTTGTCGATGGTCTTGATGGCGTCCTCCTTGTCGAAGCCCGCGGCCAGGAACCCGAAGGAGCGGCCGAAGGCCACCTCGCCCAGCACATCGAAAGCGAAGTAGTGCAGCCACTTACCGAGATCGACGGTCTGCGGCTTGGTGTCGACGCCGGCTTGCTTGAAGCCGGGCGTGTCCGAGGCCGGGCAGTAGGACTCGAGGCGGCTCATGAAGAACTCGACGGTGTCGTCGATGAAGGGGCTAAGCTGCCGCATGGCAGCCATCGAGTACGGCACATTGGCGACCTTCTTCTTCATAGCATGCCTAATGGGATAAAGAGATGTCGTGTCAGTACTTGAACCCTACATCTCCAGTATATACCAGGCAACGCCTGGCAAATCAAGGATGTTCTACTCACTGCCAAACTGTTAGTATCAAGAGCCAAAAGGGAGTATTCTAGTAATCAGCAGTTGCGTTACTTGAGCAACATGTTTTTATACGCACCACTTCAGACCGGATCTCGGTGAAGATGTCCGGGTTCTCGGGCGGCGGGAACACCCAGTAGAAGTCGGTCTTGGTGAACCGCTTGCCGGCTGCCAGCACGTGCCGGGCGACCTGCGGTGACGAGAAGGAGACCTCGTCGGGCGCGATCCGCACAATGGGGCCGTACTTCTTGTGTAGCTCCACGTGGTCCCAGTTCGTTCTCCCCAGGAAGGTCGACTTGACTTTCCAGACACGGCTGCAGGAGGCCCAAAAGGGGCCTGGATAGGACCGCAAGGGTGATGCATAGCGCTTGTATGCCAGGCGGGCTGTGATGAGCAGCGGGAGGAGGACCGCCCACCACTGCTCGATGGATACCAGAGCAATGGAGATGAACGCCCTGACCGGCGAGATGCTGTCCTCGTGAGTCTCCGAAGTAACGTTTGCATTGTCGGAGTCCATGGCTTGGTGTGTGAGCGGTAACTTGCTGGAAAGTTTCGAGGTCAGTGTTAAAGGGGGGCTGTGTCTTCCGGGCCACCTTGGCCTATGTATTCTACGTACGATGCTGAAATATCGTCCGGCATACACAGCCAGCTCCTGTTGAAGGAGTGAAGGAGGCAGAAGCGTGAGGTTTGCTGACGGGCAGCTGACTATTATTTCAAATTGTCGATCACTCGAGGGAACAGTAAGAAGCCGGCATGTTTAGCAGCTATTGTGGACCCGGGCCGGATCGCACTGGCACTAGAGTATAGACAGATCCATGGATGTATGAGACACGACATTGCGTACCGTATTAACTTCTAAGGGACGACTCCCCCATCTGCGAGATGCCGCGGGCTCGACAGCTTGCTTACCTGAGCTATTATTAACCGGCGTACGGCGGCCCTCGAGCCAATCAGCGAATTGCCGACGAAACGTCCCCGGCATCGAGGAGCGGCGCGGGCGACAACTAGACTGAGGAGAGAGTGGGTCATGGATGACGCTGTCTATAGGTGTCCAGGCATCCAGGCAGGATGGCAGGATGGTAACTGCCATGCAGCCCATGCTAATACCCGTGGACATAACGAGAAATTCCCATCGCGTAAAGTTCTACCTATCACCATTGCAGATAATTACAGATCAAAACCTTGCTATTGCCATCCAGGCAACCTGGCAGCTGGCACGAATACGATTACTAGCAATTTCTTATTCATCGTTAGGTCAGCGGACTGCGGGGAGAGCTGAAAAGTCAGAAGGATGCGCATCTCGGCAGTAAAAAAACGACCTTGGTCGATCATCACTACATATATGCGGCATTCCCTTGGCTGTGTGTGAGTGTAACACAACGCCGTCATTTTGCCGTACTGCTCGACATCTCCTCGTCAGACTATCAGTCGGCCACTCGGCCCATTCATGCTTGGCGCCGCATACTGTCGTGAGTATGTAGGGGGTGGCAATTGAATATACCAATACGAATCACATACCCCTGCCGCCTTGGTCAGCATGCAGCTGGGGATCATTGGCTGTTCCGCTCACCTGGTTCACGACGGCACGAAACCAACGCTGACTTGTCGGCCGGCCCTGCGGCGGCCCTGCAGTTGTCCCTAAAGGGAAACCCATGGATTACCACGTGAAATAGTTACATTGACTCCAATTTTCTAATAATCATCGGTTGTCGCACAGGATTCGGGCTCAGGGAGCCTGGTTGGAACCTTTTTTGGTCCTAGTCGTGTATTTAAGCTGGATCAGGCCACCCGTCATACAGGGCTCCTTTTTCCCCCTTGGAGCTAGCTTCCAATACGCCTGGTATTTCACGCCATATCAGTCGTATTGAGTAGGTATCGATAAAGTAAAGTGATAAGCCGGTTGGTATCGTACGCCGAACCCACCCGCTGTGCCTTTTGTCATCCACGCCCGAGTAAAAGCACGAAGCCCCAAAGACGAATCAAGAAACACGAAACGCCTTGATCAGCAGATCAGAGAAGAATATCACTGCTCGTCCCACTTCTTCGCTTCAGCACCGTCCGGGGGAAGAGTCTTGTACTCCTTCTCCTTCGCCTCCGACCAGCTCGTGCTCAGTGACGTTCCGTTGCTCTCGACGTAGCTCTTCATCATGGCCCGCTTGGTATCCTCGTTGGCATTCTTGTAGAGTTTCTGGAAGAAGCTGTTAACGTCCCCCTCCTCCTTCTCGTCGTCGTCTACGTCGAGGTTGTCCCAGTTCTTGGGCCCCTTCTTCGATGAGGTGGGGTAAGCAGGAACACCCCCGGTTGCTTTTGTCGCGTTGGTCTGTTTGGCCAGAGGGGCTGCCTTATCCGCAGGGCTGTCAACATCCATGGCTTCACCTTTTGGCTGCTCGGGTAGCGTTGCGGCTTGGGTAGATGATGTGGCTTGAACGCCCGCATCTGATGAGCCCTGACTGTTGGTGCCATTGACTCCTGCTCGAAGCTTCCCAAGGAGGGCCCGGTACCACTCATTCTGATCCTTGCCAAAATCGGGGAGCTGCAGGTCCTCGGCCTCTCTATATCTGCAACCGGTCAGTATTGATATCGTAATGGGGGCTCGAACGAAAGAGACGTACCCCAGGGAAGTCACCAAGGCGTGAAACTGGTTGAAAGCAGCCCCAGCCCCAGCGGTGGTGCCAAGTGCAATGTGGTCAATGATCTCGGCGTTTTCTTTACGCATTGTCGGCCATTTGCCTGGGGTCTCTTTCTGCAGGACCAGTTCAATCTTCATCGACTTGACGGTGTGCTTGGTCTCGAGTGGCTTGACTTTGGCGAAGAGGAGTAGATCGAGTGTCGCCTCGAGCGTGCCTGGTACGGGAAATAGGGTGACACTTTCAGGCCGAGCGTGAATCTTGAAATCATCCTTGGGTACATTCTTGACGAAGAAATCAATGTTTAGCGTAGTGTCGGTCTGGTAGAAATTTGACCGAATTGCGTTCTTCCCGTAAACCACTTTGTATTGCTTCCAGATTTTCTCCCATGGGTCAGCTTGAGATGTCTCATCGTGCGAGATAGTCTCCTCGGTTCGCTTGTCAGTCCCGTTGCCAGCAGCCTTGGCCGTGGACTTCTGCTGGGTCTTCTTGGTAGGTGGGTTTTCAGAGGGAGTCGGGTACTTGATCGAAATAGTGACCTTTCTGCCGGCGTGATCAGCGGGAAGCTGGTCCAACTGAGTCAGAGATTGCAGGCGCCATGAGAAGGCCTGGTTCCGTATGGAGATCGGCTTGCTTCTTCCAGCAGGGCCTCCCATGGCTGCGGCCAAGCCGTCGCCCTTGGCAGGCTTGTTCGCATCGATGATTTCGCTCGCGCGTACGGTGTAGTTGCCATTCTCGTCGACCTTCTTCTGCTGTCCATCATCCTCGGAGGCTTTCGCACCTTCGGTGAGCTTGATAGCCCAGGAGGCACAGATATCGGCATCGGCGTATTGGCCCATGCGGAAAAGGGTGACAGCTCGTCGGATCTGAGCCTCGGCCATCAGGTCGCGGTTGGCACGGTCGAAAGCAACACGTAGAGCCTTCTCGGCATCGTAAAGCGCGAGATCGAAATCGTTGGTTCGGAGGTAAGCCTTGGAGCGTTCGAGCAGCCAGAGGGGCGCAGGGCGCTCCTTGAGAGCGTCGGACAGCTTCGCAATACCCTCGTCGTACCTTCCAGCCTGGACGGCCTTGACGCCTTCATCGGCCAGAACAGCAGATGACGGCATCGTAACAGTGTGTTCGGCAAGGCGGGTATATGGTGTTCTAGTTAGAAGCAGACTTTCGCGCAGGTCCTGGGTGTGTAGCGGGATGGGTCTGGGGATGTGTCTGCCCAGCAAGGGGACAGTTAGATGCGGCGGTTGTATCTTGGTTACTCCAAGTGCCGAAATGGGGAAACGGTTTGAAATGTGAGATCAAGCTTTTATGTTCGTGTCTAGCGGAGAATGCAGCACCTTGAGGGGGCGAAGCTGGAAAAATTTAAGAAGCTCGAGCTGTTCGTTTCTGGTGGGGTAGTAGTGAGTTCTGCCCGACTTATTAATTAGGTAGGCGGTGACTGGAGACTAGAGCTTCTCACCGCCTTAGTTATTCCGGCAGCTGCATCCCGTCTTCACCCCGTTCATGCTGATCAGGTTGGTTCGTAAGCAGACGGGCAGCAATTTACCAAATCAACAATTAGTATAGATCATTCGATAATATAGAAATGCACTTGGAGCTACCCGATGTGCAGCATATTGCTAGGTTTTAACCATAACAGGGCCCGCCACCCTGAGCTGTAAGCAAGACAACGCCCAGCACAGCTTTTCGAAATATAGTTATTGATATGATCTATATAAATAAATAAATAATAAAAATAAAAATCCTTATCCGTTACTGCTTATACATGTTGTTGGAACCGTTACATACTTATATATGCCGTTAAAGCCTATATAAAAACATATTAAAAAGCTATACTTATCGCTTTATTTAATATAAAATATTTTCAAAATATAAATAAACGTATAAAATAACCGCATGTGATGGTTACTACGTGGCTACCATCAGTGATGGTCCTTGGATCACGTGACAGCACTTGACCTCAGACGACTGGTTGTCCCAGACCCACTAATGTTGAACACACGGATGTTAATTGATTCTATTGATTGTTGTTGAATACACGGCTGTTGATTGATTCTATTGATTGTTCTGCTTTGCGTGCAGAGATTGATCATCTGTCTTCTTAGTGGGTTAGATGCCCTGTGCGTCCCTGTTCCACTGGAGATCTTCCGGTGTCTATCTCTGGCTCCCATTCAACGGGATCCCATTCGAGAAGTATCTAAATACCTAAATTACAGTGGGTTGGTACTTGTCACCTGGTGCAGCCATCCCAGGTAACCTTATCGTAGAACGCCCTGGATAACAGGAGATCCGATAAGGTACTTGTGGCTGGATCAAGTGGTTGGGATCTACATTACGTTAAAAAAATTAAACTTTAGGCTAACTACGGATATAACTTTTTTAATTATAATAAAAGACTTAGTAACTTTAATAACTAACTGATCGTAATAAAACCCCCGTTTAACGCGTATAAAACGGCCATTTTTTCCTTTTACTTCTTTTACAACTACTATTTAAACTTATTATAACCGTATCGGATCATCAGAGTCAGAACATGGGGGTTATGATCGGTCTAGTGCGTTGCATTTTATCCATGGGTCTGGGGGACCAATCTAGTACTAAATACACACCAAAATACAAAGATGTACCCATCCATTGATCCTCTAGCCAAAGATCCCTTGTCTATCACCAATGAAAGCCACCTTTCCTGGTGCTTCCATCCCTTTATTCTGCCAAGGTGCCTGCCTGACCCCTTGTCAGCTGGCAGCCTCCCTGACTGCCACCATACTGCCACCACAATCCTCACACGCCCTCATGGGGGCAAGTGTGGGCAGCTGTCAGTGCCTTCTTCTTTGCGATCGTCTTTTTTAGGGGCTCCAACCCCAGAAGAGCCACGAAATGTGCGAACTTCGCGCCTTCTAGCGGCTTTGTAAACCCGTCTGCAGGGTTATCCTCTGAGGGAACCCACTGAGCGATGACGTGACCAGCCTCGGCTTCCCGGCGTGCATAGTTATACGCGATCCGAACGTGCCTCTTTGCTTTGTTTAGCGCTGAGGACTTGTCCAGGCGATTGTGCCCAGGTTATCCTCGAGTATCGTGATCGCTCCATTAGGCATCACACCTATCTCTGTCAGGAACGATCTGATCCACGCCGCATCACCAGCTGCTTCAGCAAAGCCGACGTACTCCGCTTCACAGCTTCCTCGGGCGATGACGGACTGGAGTTTGGCGTGCCACAGGATCGGACATCCTGCCATCCAAAATGCGTACCCCGTGATCGACTTTGCGTCGTCCTGATCAGAGGCGAGGCTCGCATCAACCGCGCCGAAAAGCCCCAGCTCATTATACTTATAGTGATTATAGGCCTTGTCAAGAGCCCTGTATCTGATTGAGAGCCCGTCTGTACCATTCAGGTATCTCGCGATACGCTTCACAGCAATCTGCTGGTCCTCACTCGGGTTGGCCATGAACCGTGCCCAGGTTGAAGTGACGTGACTGATATCGGGGCGTGTTATACACGCTGGAAAGTTCTATTTTCCGACCTGGGAGGCGTAATCGAACACCTCTTCCTTTGTGGCCTGATCCTCCTGTCTGATCGCCGCCTTCAGAGCTTTAGCATCCATCAGTGTTGAGACTGCCTTGCATTCGGCCATCCCGTTTGTCTTGAGGGCCTTCTGAACGTATTGCTGCTGATCAAGCCGTACGTCTCCCGTGGGGGTGCTCCTGACAATTCGAACACTCAGGAACCAGTCTGCATCACCAAGATCAGTGACGGGCACATCCTCCTTGAAGTTGACCGCGAAAGCCTTGAGCCCCTTCACATCTGTGCCGAAGAGCAGCCAATTATCGACGTGGCTTGCGATGATGACGCCTGTCCTCTTGTTGATATACATGGCATCGTCAGACTCAAGTGGCTCAAACCCTCGCTTACGGAGTATCTTGCGAGCTTTCTTTTGCCAGGTATTGCCTGCTTGCTTCAGGCCGTACAGGGGATTGAGGAGCTCAATCATCTTGCAGGGATCGTACTTGTACTTCGCGATCTCTTCAGGATGGGCATCAAAGTATTCATTTAGTATTGGAAACTGCTTCATAAAGATCTGCTCATCGAGATCACTGTTGAGATAGGCTGCAATAAAGTCAATCTGAATGGCATACCACCCTTTGATCGCTGCAAGAGCCATCAGTATTCGCCAAGATGCCGCTCGCGCAGTGCTCGCGGCGGTCTCATTATAGCCGATACCCTTTTGTTGACGAAAGCCTTAGGCGCAGATCCGCGCTTTCAGCTTATCGAGCTCGCTAGTTGAAAGGTTCTTCTCCTTGAGCACCTATTTGCTGTCAATCGTATTGTAATCGCCGATCTCGTGCCTCCAGATGAAGCGGAACGTCCCCTTGAGCAGATTCTGGCGGATCTCGTCGAACACCGCCTTTCTCCAGGCTTCAGATTTGTGCCCTTCCAGCACTTCTTTCATTGTGGGCTGGTCCGCATTCATCACATGGATGAGGCGATTTGATACCGTGAACCTCAGGAGCGCTTCGGCGAAATCCTGATGTGAGTCGCGCTGCCCGAAGAGAGCTCGTTTGCTCTTAAAGGCATCGCGCTGTAGCTGAGCAAAAGAGCCCTGGAGATCGTCAGCTGCCGAATCGTCCGTATCACTAACCATCTCGCCCTCTGAAAGGGCAATTCGGAGCGCCTTGAGCACTTCGGAGTGATCAGGCGGAGCCTCACATACGAAGTGCCTAGCTATCTTTCGCTTTAGGCGACCTCTTTGTGGGCGCCCATCTTCGTTGGGGGATATATCCTCCTCAACGACGTTGTCATCGCGGGTTCGTATGTATGTACGACCCTTCCTATAGCAGTGACGAAGTCTCCGCTGTACTGCTGGCGGGAGCGATCTGACAATATCTGTGGGGTCTTCTGATCCGATCATGCCAGTGTTTTCGTGGAACACCACATGCGGAGTATCCAGAAACCTCCCTCCATCGATCAGCCATACCACATAGTTGTGTTGACCCTTGTAACCCATCAATACCGCTCTCGCGCGCCTACCCTCCATCTTCTCGCTGGTTACACAGAACTGCGCGTCGATGTAAACAAAGCAGCGGCTTCCCAAGATACGCAGGTTGGACTGATCAGGCTTGTACTCGCGCCGCGGGTCCAACGCAGACTCGTACCTCTCTGACGGGGTGATCGTCTTGAGTGTTGACTGACCCGTTCGGTTTATCACGTACGCGGTCGCTCCCATGATTCGATCCCAGAAGATCGAAGAAATGCGCGCGCACCTCATTGTGGCGCGAGACTGCTCCTGAAGGAAGCCAATCCCTCGCTCTGCAGCGCCGTTCTGGTACTGATTTGCTGGGGTTGAGAGGATCAGAGTGATCGCCTCTCTTGAGCAAAAGCTCTCCATCTTCGTCGTCCCGAACTCCCTGCCGCCGTCGAGGCGGAGGATGCGAACACGCCTGGCAATGCCGTCCTGATCAGGTGGCTGGCTCTTGAGGGCCATCTGTACCCTCGTGAGCTGCGTGATGATAGCTCCCTCAGCCTCATTTTTGGTCTTGTGCACTTGAAATGTACGGTAACGACTATCGTCTTTCGTTATGAGGATGAAATACTTGCGGTTATCAACCATGGCGGGCCTGAACTCGCCCAGGTCCGCCCAAAAGATCTCTCCGACGTACTTCCCTCGCTCTTAGGGGTCCTTAAAGTCAATCCTTTGTGCTTTTGACTCGTCGCAACCCTCATAGGGGATGTCAATAACATCCGCAGGATCAAGATCGATCCCAGTGGTCATTTTTATGGTCCATATTAGCCGTTTCTTGCTGGGGTGGCATAGACGTCGGTGCCAGAGGATCAGAAGCTTGACAACTTCCTCTGTCACTAACACTGACGCCTTGTTGACGATCCAGATACTCAGGAGCGCTCGCAGCTCGCTGATTGCAGCATCGTCAAACCCTAGTGCGCACCGTCATCGTGCGTTGAGACGCGGCTCTGGTTTCCTATGCTCCCAGAGCAGAAAACCTCGCTTTGGCACATCCAGAGTCGTCAGAGGAGCTCCTTCCGTGCCGATAAGCCGATTTCCTTGAATGCTGCCTCCCATGCGATAGAGGCGCTCGCCTGAGAAGATCCTGATCGGGAACTCCTTCACAAACAGCAAGTACTTGAATTGAATGAGCACCTTTTCGCGGTTGACTCCCATCAGGTCGTACTGGATGACGCCACAATTTGTGGCCTTGACCATGCCGGCGCCTGTGCGAATCAGGAAGTCTTTCTCACTGATATCGACGATGGTGTCCTTGATGAAGTCGTCTTTAGTGTTTGTGATGGGGATGTTTGATCCCGTATCACACAGCAAGCCGTTCCTGGAATCCTCGCCTGCTGCGAAGGCGTGGCAAAGAAGAGATATGGGTTCTCCGCTCGCGCTGATCTGTGCGGCGCCCTCATGATGGGTAGCTGGCGTTGAGCCGATCTCGTCGGCTTCATCCTTGGTCTCCCAGTCGTCCTCGTGCTCGTCAGAGGCTTGAGTCTGCCGTAATGCGATCTGTTGATCGTAGTAGGCCATCACATCCTCCATTGTTGAGGGATCGACGTGAGCCGAGAAGCTCCTGTTTAGTCCAGGGACGTTCTTGAGGTCTTCGAGCCCTTTTGGCGGCTCAAACTCTTTCTGCTTGCACTGAGCAGCGTGCCCTTGAGCAGAGCCTCCGCCACTCGTACAATTTCGCTCGATGTGACCCCATTTGCCACATTTTCGGCACTAGGGACCCTTATCCTTGTCGTACTCATCAGTAGAGAGTCCCTTGCACTTCTTTTTCTTGTTGGCGCCCTTATTGGCATCCTTTTTGTCATCGCCATCTGCAGCGTGTGAGCGACCGCCCTGTCCCTTGTTCTTCTTGTCAGAACTGTTGGTGTCAGGCTTCTTGCCGACTTTATCCTTGAATTCGTTGTGGAAATCCTCGATCAGGACGCTCACACGACCCGTCTTCTGGTATCGAAGCAGCTTTTCGATCTGCTTTGTCCATCCAGTGGCCTTGCTCTTCGTAGATGAGAGGAACATGGTGACGAGCTGATCTCGTCCCATCTTGAAGCCTGAGTCTGTACACTGGCAAACAAGTCTCTGCCATTTCGAGGTGTATCTGATCGGGCAGTTGCCATCGTACTCGAGCTTCGTGAGCTCGTCCCAGAGCGCTCGTTGGTGTATCTTGCCGCTTGTCGCGTAGGCCTTATCAAGAGCCTTGATCATCGCGACGCCACCTCTGAGTCCGGAGATGAGGTCGATCGGGCCAGCTTTGCAGGTGTTGATAATTGCCTCAGCGATGGTGAGATCTCCCTCGCGGCTGATCTCATCACCCCAATCCCATCCGATCATATAGAGGGAGATGAGGAGAGTGTCCTTGTATAACACCCAATTCTCAAAGCCTTTGAGATAGTTTTCTTTCACCGGGGAAAACTTGAATTTCTTCCACTGAATGGCGCGCTGTATCGGCTCCTGAGATGCCCTCATGCTTCGGATGTCTATCTTGGGCTTCTTTTTCTTTGAAGAAGCGCTGCGATTGTCAGAGTCTGAGTCCGGCGAATCGTCATCCGAGCTATAAGAGCAATCGGAGTCAGGATCGGATGCTTCTCTGGCATCCTGTTCCTGATCGGAGTCTCTCATGAGGTCGAACACCGATTCATCGCGCCTGTTGCGTTTCTGGTCGCTATTCTTTGCAAACAGGTTCTTCTTCCGATTGGGCTTGATGGTCTGCCATGCCTCGGCAAATGTATCGTCATTCTCAAGGTCGCTCGCTGGCGGCTGCTTCTTCAGAAAGCGGCCTTTGGAGTCGCGCAGGCGTACCGCGCGCTCGCGCTTTGGGGGGGCATCCGAATCGGATCCCTCGAGGGTGAGATGAACAGTCCCATCTTCACCAAGCTTGCGAACAGTCGTCGTGGATGCTTCTGATCCAGCTCGCAATCGTGGACCCGGGGTCTGTGGGTTCTTCAGGAGCGCGTCGTACTTCGCTTGCAACAGCGCGTACTTCTCCGCGAGATCAGGGGACTCGCCCTTCGCGTCTCCGCCTTCTTTCGGAGAGGGTGCCATCACAGCTTCGTTGTGTGGCTATTGTACCCTTGGTCTCCTTCCCTTCTGCGAAGGCTCTCACGCCGATTGAACGGGCTCGTGAGTGGGAATCGGGGGGTGAGCAGGCCGCGGTGCCAGGCTCAGAGAGATCAGAATGGGTGAGGCTCGTGTACTTACCAAAGTACGCCTCCAGAGATCTCAAACGGGGGTCCTTTTACGCAAAAAGAGGAGATGCTACCATACCGGATCATCAGAGTCAGAACATGGGGGTGATGATCGGTCTAGTGCGTTGCATTTTATCCATGGGTCTGGGGGACCAATCTAGTACTAAATACACACCAAAATACAAAGATGTACCCATCCATTGATCCTCCAGCCAAAGATCCCTTGTCTATCACCAATGAAAGCCACCTTTCATGGTGCTTCCATCCCTTTATTCTGCCAAGGTGCCTGCCTGACCCCTTGTCAGCTGGCAGCCTCCCTGACTGCTACCATACTGCCACCACAATCCTCACAAACCGTATCTTTTATTATTAGATTCTATAAAACGATCAAGCAATAATTAAAATGTTAACGTAAGTCTACTAGCCCATATTTACTCGAACAACGTATCGTTGATACGTTTTAATATTTAGTATACCGACCGAGATTTATATTTATTAATTTCACTGGAAATAGCAAGTAAAAATATTTTTTTTAAAAATTCGTTAAATATCTGAAGAAAATCAATCGTATTTACCGTACCGAAAATTAAAAGTAAATGTATTAATCGTACGATATAACAATACCAAAAACTTTAACCCAATAAGTTATACGACGGTATCAAAGAATAAGTTATCGCATTATATAAGTTATAAAGATTAACGGTTATCAAAAATAATTACGGTAATAAAGCTAGTTTATAAACTAAATTATAAACGTAAAAGATAAAAAGATCGGCTTATAATTCGGATTTGTAACACCGATTTAACGTCGAAATTAAAAAGCTAAAATAAAAAATCGTCGTCAGTAGGACGCGGCATACCGGATAGATCGGGCGATTGTGGTCGGCGTCGGCGCCAGCGCTCCGAACAGGAAGATATTTAACCTTAAATTAGTTTTAAATAATCGACCAACGACCGTTACAAACCCCGTAATACACCTATTAAAAACACAGAATAAACACATGATAAGGTAGTTTTAAGCCATACCCAAGGCATAATATTACCTATATATCTATATACACTCGCTCCTTGTATCTAAGTCTTTAGACCTTTTTGAGCATATCTGTGTAGAAGCACTGCACTTATACTACTGGCTCGTTGGGGTACTTCTTTGCAAACATTCCCAGAGCTTTCATCGTGAATGTGAACTTGTAGTTGGGGTACGAGATCATGCAGCTCTTGTTGAACACGCCTTCAATGGCTTCTTGTTTCCATTCACCATTTGGCTGTTGCCGATCCATGATGAGTTTGATACCTTTCTTCAAGGCCTCAATGTCTGGGTAGTCGGCTTTCATCAAGCCGATCAGGGCCCAAGCCGTCATGACAACCTGAGAACCATGTGGATGCTCCGTATAGGCCATTTGCTCGCAAGACTGAGGGTGATTAGGAACTGGAAACTTGCAGTATGTGGGATGGAACTTACACGGTAGCTTTCGGACCATCCTCCATCTTCTCTCTGCTTGGAAATCAGAAAGTCGCAAGCCTTTTTCGCATGTGAGCTGTTGCTATACGTCTCACCGATGCTTCTCAGGCTCTCCAACGCAAACATTGTGGCATACGTAAAACAGATGGCCCAATTGCCGTACCACGCACCATCTGGACGTTGACACGACTTGATCCATCGTAAGGATCGCCCAACGAAGGCGTCGATCTCATCGGCCCTATATTCGGGCCAGTGTTTCTTGAAGAGGGAGAGGGCGGTAATGACAGCTGTTGTGCACTCGACATAATCATATTCGACCATGATCTTCCCAAACACTTCAGCCGCATTGAGCATCTCCAGCGACTCACTTCCACGTGTGGGCTCGTATGAGGAACAAGCGCCTGACTTGTTCTGGTAGGTCAGAAGAGTGTCAACGGCATCGAAGATGCGCTGGTCCTCTAGAAGTTGGGGGTATCCGGGCGTCTTCTGCAGCATAATAACTGATTTCAACGCCTCCGAGATGCAGTCACACACAGCATAGCCCTGGTCTTTGTTGCTGAACGCCCAGGCACCCTTGCGTTGTTGACGATAGCAGACGTCTTGGCCCTTGCAGTTTTCGCGAATCTGTTGGTCATCGAGGAACTCCAGTGCCTTTGTCAGCATTGGCCTCCAGCGAGGGTCTTGTTCCAGTCCAGAGTCCGTCGCGACTTGGATCAAGAATGCTGTATCCCAACATTGCACTCCGTTGGTACCATTGCTGAACATGCCCTCATGGTTGACCCACATACCATCCTCGAGCCTCTCAATATGTCTTCGCACCGAGTACGCGCCCGGCCCATCGCGAATGTAACAGAGCACGGTGTTCATGGCACCGCTGACGGGAGCCAGGTCTGCGTAGTCGGTATTCTCGTCCTCCATATCAGTCAGCTTGCTGACCCAGTCGCTGGCCCTCTGCGAAAGACCCTTGGTTCGCAAGTATGGATTCCAGACATTGACCAGTGCCCAGTTGACAGTGTTGAGAAGCCAGGATTTGGGGTGGAAGTTGTCGATCGAACAAATACTGTTTCGATGGCCTGCCCAATCAATATCCTCCCATGGCTCAACGAACAGCTCTTCCCGCAGTTCACGGATCAGGTCAGTCTCTTCGCAAACCCATCTTTTGTCCCATATATAGCTCATTGGCAAGAAAACGGCGCGCATGTGAATCCACCATCTCCACGGTGCAATGGGCACCCAGTCTGGTAGGAGCCACAGCTCAGGGGGTATAGGATTGACGATATCCCATTTGCAGACACCCATGATGCTCAGCCAGAACTTGGCCCAGTGTGGCGCATGTGTAGCACCTCCCAGCTTGTGTAATCTTTGGCGCGCCTTGACCATGACTGGGTGCTCAGGATCAACTCCCACTATTCGAAGCACGGTGTAGTTCAGCGATGTCCCGAAGACGGTGCTCTCTCCCTCAATATGCAAGCCCCATCCTCCGTGTTCGGGATGGGCGCGCGCGACCAGGTAGTTCTTGATCTCGGTGGCGACATACCAAGGGATGGGTGTCTTGGTCGCGTACCAGGCGAGGACCACGCCTGGCAGGAGAAACATGGGGCCGCCATATTCGCAGCCCCATTGCCCAGACGGCAGTTGGAGCTTCTCGAAGAACGAGAGACCATTATGGACCGAATCGAGGGGGTTCTTGACTTGCGGGAGGGTGGGAAGGCCCTGGGTATCATTAAGGGTCAGCCATGATCCTCCTACCTTGGGAGACCAGCAAGGAACGGCACGAAGCTCACGGTATCCAGTCCGAGATACCACCTGTCGGCAGTGGTTTGCGGCCACTCCTTGACGGCTTCGTCGTCTTCTAGGTAGTGCCATGTATGTCGGCCTCTCTCGTCCAGCATTCGCCATCGCGTGCGGTCCGTCTTATCTCCAAGCCGTGGGCGCTTCGTGTTGGCGTTGAGGTTGCCGTCACTCGTACGTTTCCTCGATAGCTGTGCATGGCCGTTTCCATTTCCATTTCCAAGGTCGGCGCCGGTACTATTGCCATTGGGCTTAGCAGCGATGCCCGAGCGAGTCGTGACCATGTCGTTTCTTATCTCCTGCACTCCCCAAATGCGCCGGAGTTGAAATTGTGAAAAATTCCAACGGGTGAGAACTTCAGAAGTCGGTCAGTCGGTCAGTCGGTCAGTCGATCTTCGACGACCCGGCGCCCCGATACGGCGGCGCGTTTGCGGGGCAGGCACAGTGGACGCCAAGAGCCCAATTTACAGGGGCGATAACTTGAAGATTCAGGGTCTCCCGGGCCCTATTGGCTCCCAAGGTCAGGGGAAACGGACCCCCAATCACTGCAGATGTCAGACGGGAACGTCCCTTCCATCCAACCTGAAGCCCGAGGTTCCGCGACTTCCACCCAAACTCATGAGGCTATCACCGCTTCACTTGACCGCGTGCTCAATCGTATCCCTTCCGCATTGTCTTTGTTCCCCTGGGGCACCCAACGCCAATCTTGACTTACCTACTAGGTACGAACCTGGGTAATTGCGCCAGTCAGTTCTTTCAATGGTGTAGTAAGGCCGGTAGCCACATGCATCACGCGCCGGGTTGGCGCGTGTCTGTGGAAGTTGCAACCGCGTCGTGATGGATTCTAGCATCCCTTCCGGGTCAGGAAGTCCGGCAATCGCCCCACGTTCACATTCTCCTTCTTCTTACAGACGTCGTGGTGAAGGCATCGTCACATTCTCCGGGGATCATACGCAGAATCCAAGGGTCGGAGCAGCTGTATCCAAGATTGAAGACATCCTTGAGGCAGTTGTCGATGCTCTCAAGGAGAATCGTCTTCTGGTCATCCCTCTCCGGAACCGCCAGACAGGCAATATCGCCTCGGTCAGGTTTCCGTCGGCCAGGGGCGGAAAGAGATTCAGTAGGTTCATCGTGGCATGCGCGACCACGGGCTTTTACTTGTCTCCCGTTTACTCATATCGTCTGTTCTACTGTCTAGCCTGTCTCCTTCAAATCCTCCATCTGTCACATGAGGCGCTTGTCTCTGGCACTATCATCACGAAGAGGTTCGCCTTTTCTTTTTTTCTCCCTTTTGCGTCTTGACGGAGACGTGGTAAATAGTTCTGGGTAGGCTTTTCTATCATTTTCGAGGTAATTGACCGAGATTGACAGAAGCATTTACTACCAAAACCCCGAACTGTTCGGTACTCAGCACTACGTCGACGCACTCGTTGACGATATCGCGTATACATTCGGGCTTGGAAGAGATGCGCTGAACGTGGTACGCGACGTCCTCCCTGGCAAATTACTCGCGTAATCAAAGCTAACCGTTATGCAGGTCGCAGCATGTAAAGGGCTTGTTGCGGGCAAGATCACTATCAGTATACGCAACGGCACCGTTCATGATTGCAGTCACAACCACCATGTAAGGCTGTCTTCGACTTCATGTTCCAGCTCGGAAATCATGAACTGACTGAGTCCCATCAGGGCATTCTCATTCCTGATATCAGAGCCGTGGGAGAGATCGACGTCAGCATGGCGAGGTGGATTCTAGTGATCGAAAAGGAGGCAAAGCTCCCTTACTACATGCTGGCCACGGGTGAGGGTACCTATGTATGCTGACCTCTACGTCCAGGCTACCTTTCGCGGGTTGGCTGCATCCCAGTACTTTGCCACTTCATCTGCTGGCCCTGGTATCCTCGTTACAGTAGGCTTCACCTCGTCTGCCTTCCCTTTCATGAGCTCCAGCTGACCAGTGACATAGGCCAAAGGCTATCCCGATCTAGCGACGCGGCGGTTCCTCCACGTCGTTCATTCGGCATTTCCTCATCTCCCTGCATATGCACTGGTCGATTTTGACCCGCATGGCATCGCCATTATGCGCACTTATAAGCATGGAAGTCTTAGCCTAGCTCACGAGGTCGCCGTCGACGTTCCGGGGCTTTCCTGGTTAGGCCCTAAGAGTCACGACATCATGGGCAGAGCCACACGATACGAGACACCACCTTCATCTCAGGCCAGTCAGGCGTCGTATCATCCACCCCAGTATGACCTGGGATCTTCGTCCCGGCAGTGGGATGAGCCGTCTCGCGGGACAGGGCCCATCCACGCCATCAAAAGCACGTCATCACTCAGTGCCTCTGACCGCAAGAAGGCCGTCAGCCAACTGAATCAGATAGCAGGGGATCAGACTGGGGATGCCTACGATACGGAACTTGCACGCGAGCTGCAGGTCATGCTTGTGCTCAATATCAAAGCCGAGATACAAGCGGTAGATGATGCCGGCGACCTGACAGGTTGGTTGGACGAAAAGCTATCCGACGAGTTCGCCTGGTTGTGAACTGCATTAGTCTACAGAATGGGGGCACTGTCAACTCGTCCGTCTGATCTGGCCTGCCAGCTCGGTCAGGGAGACACGTCTGGGTGTCTGCAGGTGGCAGGTGGCACACAGCTTCGTACGAATAAGGTACGGGGATCACTGTCACATCACAGTGCGTCAGGCATTACCGCGATCTGTGCATATTTGCTGTATCACATTGGCTGGTTTCGGCGTCTGACTGGTATCGTTCAACGTTCGACCGTTCCCATAGACTTACGTCAATTGGTGCAGGTGGTGCCAAACTGCGTCACGTGACCCTCTCTAATTGGGAATGTTCGTCTTTGAGCTTTGGGAGCAACGACGTCGTGGCACACTGCAACTTCACCAACCCTCCCATAAATCTGCAATCGGATAGAAAACTCGGGTAGATTCTCCGGAATATTGAGTTTACAGGGAAATATCCACGAGAGCGAGTTGCGGGAACCCCACGCAGAGAACAAAGACGTTGACCACGCCAATCGCGACTGAAAATTTTCCCCAGTTTCCTCCAGTGGCAGCCGCAGCCGCAGCAGCAGCACCAAACAGCTCCACGATCCAGCTTGGGCTTCAACCTTTCAAGGAGCGCAGTCCCGACAGCGCGTCACAGCAGTTGCACGACATCCAGATTTCCAAATCGGGGTGACAAATCCGCAGAGAGGAGGCAGAATGGCACCCAAGCTGTCAGAGGACGAGATCGACGACCTGATCTATCTGGCCCGAGCCGGTCAGGATGCAGATCTCACCGACATGCTGCGGGAGATCTCCAGCCGTGATGGTGCGACGCCGGCTGAAATCCTCGCAGCTGCACGAGACGAGGGAAAGGCCACCTGCTTGCATATGGCGGCGGCGAATGGGCATGCGAGTAAGTTCCCCTGGCGGGCGGGCGCCTGTCATTTTCTTCGGTCGCTCCTTTTTGCTCGCTGCTATCTATCTGTCTGTGTATGCAAGCTCCGCATGGATCGAGCGGTGTGGCGGCTGTCGGGGTCGTTCGCTGGGACGGGTGCGCAACACCACGCAAGCTATACCTCTTCAGCCCCGAGATGCACATCTGTCGCGTTTCCCCCCCAATCACACCCCCCGTCAATCGTACGATGCACACGATATTAGCCTGGCTAACCCTGTCCTGCTAGAAACCGTCACACTCATACTATCACATCTGCCATCCGGCGAGTCAGTGACAGCGGCAACGACAGCCACGTCACAGTCCTCGCCTGAGTCATCTGCAGAAACGCCATACATCAACGTGCAGAACTCCTTCGGCAACTCGGCCCTGCACTGGGCCTGTCTGGGCGGCCATCTTGATGTAGTCAAGTTGCTGCTATCGAGAGGGGCGTCGCCTACCGTGGCCAATGACAAGGATCAGATACCCCTGGACCTGGCGGCGTTCAATAACCATATGCACGTCGTCGAGTATTTCCTGTCACAAAGCAAGGATATTGAGGGGGATAACGCGAAGGAGGGTGGTCTAGAAAAAGGGGCTCAGGACCTGGAAATGGCGGAGCGTGCTGGTGAAAATACGGATGAGAATGCATCTGCCTAAGAGAATTAAACCGACGATGTGGTCAGACTTACAATGCGCACTGCGGCTGTTGTATACAATGACTGAATGACAGATCCCTCTGCCTCTTCGTAATGGTACCCAATGTGATAGTGATCCGACCTAGGCTGCTCAGACATGCAAATGCGTATGGAAGGAAGCCTTGGTCATCTGTGTCTCTCAGTCGCTTTTTATTATGTTGGACTCTACATGCAGCACGGGGGCTCCGATCTGGGTTTGACTCTTCCCCTGTGGTCGAAGATCTTAAAAATAAAATAAGTTGACAAGAACTATACAGGTATTGATTGTTCAAGATTTCTTCGTATACGTGAAAGAATATGTTTCGTAGCTTCGTGACCATCCCAGGGGATACAATATCCCAGCAGATTGCGTCCTGTAGACTCGGGCATGTCATAATACATGATCAAGCTGTGGAGATGAAATACAAAGAGAACCCCGAGTTTCCCCAAGTTTGAGAAAGAGCCTAGTGGAAAAACAAAGCAAAACGTTGGTCTCCTCAGAGCTAAATACCAGGGCAGATATAAAACGTATCACCCAAGAACCAGCGATTCCATGGCGTTACAATTTCCACCAGGTGGCATCCTGTAGACTCGTGCATATCAGACCCCAAGTATGAGAAAAAGCCTGATGGAAAAACAAAGCAAAACGTTGGTCCACCCAGTGCTAATATCAGGGCAAGTATATAACGTATCATCCACGGACAGCGATTCCATGGCGTTCGAAGTAGTCGATGCCAATAGCAGCTTGCTCCGGATCTTGAGTTGGTTCCAAGGCCACGTGGACCAGAACCCCTCTAGGGGGCCCTTCAGTGGCTGTGTTTCCGTTTAGTAGTAATTAACCAGGCAGCTAATAGTATCAACTTACAAACGCTGACTTGTCTGCGCCCACTCCACTGTTGTCCGCTCCAGTGACGACTGAAAGCATCGTTGGTGTGACGGTGTCGTTCAGCTAGAGCCATGAGACCAAGCAAGGGGCCAAGTTCGCCCCCGAGGCCTTCAGATAGAGGAGGGTTGGTCCTCAAGTTTCGATAGCTCTCCGGAACAAGAGATCCTAGCCAGCTGCATTGCTGACCCGCGACGAGCTTTTCCCCGCCAGAGGTTACACGGCTCACGCCTCTCTGGTGCGCAAAGTTCACAGCCCAGAACCTGTCATATGGTTGGTCGTTATACTCGACGTCGTGAGTGCTGGCATCAACGTCGACGTACACCCATGGGAGGAAGGGTCCGGCATCAAAGACGGTGCAAGTCTTGTACCCCACCACTGGCCGGAAGGTGTTGACGATGTTGCCAGACGCGTCAAGAGACTGCGTGTCGTAGCCGATTGCACCCTCTGTGCCAACCCCATTCGGTCGTCGCCAGTGGTAGCCCGCGGCCGGAGATACGACTCCGTTGCTGTAGCGAAAGACGACGCCTCTTGTCTCTGCTCTGTAGGCTGCCCTCTGCCTTGGGGGCCGCTCGTTTCCCCATTCGTCGGCATCGCGCGGAAATGCGGGATCAAGTTGGATCTCATTGACGACGAAGAGAAACATCGTACCGGCATTGTAGTCCACTTTGCTGCTGGAGCTGGGGACCGATGATGTGGCAGCCCTCTGAGACTTGCTGGAAGAGCCTTTGTGGTGTCTCGACTTTGTGTTCTTAGAACAGTTATACGTCTCAGATATAGGGGAATACTTACAGCCGACATCCTGATTGGGGGGAGTTGTGTCCGTTTGGAAGATGCTGTTACTCAAGTAGGAGCTCCGAATCAACGACCCAAGTTGACCTGAGTAGTTGAGTGTTGGTTGCAGATCCTAAGTGGATGTTGTCGAGGAGGATACAGCACAGGCTTTAAGACTGTCCAGTTGTCCGCCTCTGACATATGCCGTCCCCTTTGGATTACATATGCTCTCTTCCCGAAGCTTACGTGCCACCATGCACGGCCAGGCACTACGATCCATCTAGGTATTTGGCTGGTAAATTCCCGATGGAAAGCCGAGAATGGCAAGCGGACCCCTGAGAGGTTGCAGGGCCGTGGCATTCCTGCTCTAGCTCCATCACGAGACTCGTCGGCACTATTGCGATGCCTATCACGACCGGTCCTTCACCACCATGTATCACCCCACGACTTATCACCCCACAACTTATCGAGCCGGTACGAAAAGACGGTCACGATAGTTTCGAGCCCGTTGCCGAAGTCTCGTAGCACCATACGGCACCTCGTGACAACCCGCCAGCCAGCCAAGGCCTGGCCACGATTCCGTCAATTTAATTGACCAGCGTGGTTCTTCAGCAACGTTGCCGTTCTGACTTCCTGCAGTACCCTGTCAAACGGGCCGTTGTCTGTCGACCTGCTCCGAAGAAGCAAAGCCGTCCAATCTTCAGCAGTCAGACCACGCGGCCAAGACTTTGACATGCCGCGATCTAGCGCCGGCTGGAGTGTCAAGAAGTGAGACATCCGCATCTGTTGACACCAGCACCTGCAGGCTGTACTTCTCACTGGCCAGCTGAGGAAGAGGCACCATCCAGCTGGGGCTTTATGGTGTTCGTCTCCGGATAGCGCACTGTGGAAGCTCGACGCTGACGTCTGTCATCGCAGGGCAGAGTGAGGTATCGTCGTCTCCCATTGGCTGCGCAAACATCCCCAAGTTGAGAAAAGCTTCAAAACGTCCCGACACACCGGTCCGGGCGAGATCGAATTCGTCGTGGACCGTGCAACAGGAGTGACCAATCGCCGGTGCCATCATTTATATGCCATCATTTGTAGCTGGGTTCAGTCGCAGCTGGGGTCATCCCGGCCGCGAAGACTTGGGGAGAAACGGCCAGACCAGGGGTAGGACGTCGAAGGAGGCGTCGTCTTTTTGTGATATTGGGCTCCTCCTACTCGGATCAGACCACCGCACTCGGCAGATGGTCTCGCGAAAGAAGCATGAACGAATAGGCGCGGACAGTTGCGATGCCAGTGTGCTTGCCCCTGGACTCGATACGGCCTTGGTCTTTTGTGAGAGCAGAATATGACGCATTCCCATGTAGCGTTGGCGGTCCACTTTGGCCAGAAGCTTCCATAAGCAGAGTGTCATGGAGGATTCATTCGGGTTAAGCCGGCATTGCTGATCCTTGCCCTCCATGATTGGACTCGACACCAGCAACACCCGGCCCTAACTCTGATGATGGGGGTAACCAGGGTGTGAATGACAGCAGACGGGGGCTTGGTGACAGTTGCAATTTGGAGTCCAAACCTGTCGACCTCTGTATCTTTAAACCGCAAATCTGTAAGACAATGACAGAAGATTTTCCTCAAACGGCTACATGTAGCGGGCGTCTTATACTTCTCTGTGATAAAGCCACCAGGCTTCCATCTTGACCATGATACACGGATGGGTTTTCCTCCTCCAAGATCGGTGCTGCAACTGAACTAATTGGGCGTCGATGTCGGCACATATATCACTGACGTGCTAAGGTCTGCTTGACAGCGAGCCAATGGGGATGCTCCAAGACACCATGATCTTGGGGTATGCTTTGGCCATTCCGTCATTAGCTGCAGAATTACGGATGCGGATGATTTGAATTTCCATCGATGCAGCTTCAAGCCACTTTCGGATACTGGTCGCTATGACGTGTCATTTTAAAAGTAGTTGAAGACAGACTCTGATGCCGGCAGTTTATCTAGGTGGAGCGATCGTGTGCATGAAGGCGATGCCATAATCCGATTGAAAATCGCAAAGCCCGGTTCCGAAGACTGTACAAGAGCATTGTCAACACTGCTACGACCGATCTGCGATAGAAGTCGTCCTGAGGTCGCCGTAAAAGAAGTAGAGGGGTAGGAAAATCTCCGCTCGATGAGATCGAACACGATTGATAGCATCGAACCTAACAATATCCAAAAAAGTAAGGAATGAGAGTGCGCAGAATAATCTGTCTTGTTATCAGGTGCTGTTGCTATGGAACGTCACTCTACTACTACTACACTTGATCGACTCTTCGGAGGCATTGGCAGACAGCATGAAACGAGTCTTGGTCACTGTTGATGGGTCCTACAGCCACAACCATCAACAGCGACTACAGAAAATAAAAGCCCTTAGGTGCGCGTCTCGGTGGCCTGAGAAATACCTTATTAAGAGCTGACCTTGGAATGAGCAACTAGAATGTCGCCACTTGAGATATCTAAATTATCGGCCCGGCCAAGGCGTGGACATATTAGCTAAGTCATAGTCTCTGCATCGGACATTCACTTATACACAGGTGTTACCAGATCGTTTATTCACAAAAGTCTCAGCGAGTCTATGCCAGGTTGGGTGTTTATATATATACTTATCCTGCCCGGCAGCGGCCTCGGAGACTTGAGGACAGTAGCTACCGAAAGATATCGGACATACAGTACGACTTGCGGATGATGCCCGGCTTGCACTTCCATCACATCACCCCATGCTTTTTTTGTGGTAAATCTAACCGAGACCAATGGCGAAACCAGACTTCCGTAACGCGACGCTCGAGGTTGAAGCTCGGCAGGGTACATGTCCACGTAGGCTATATTCTAAGGCACTGAGTACTTCGGGTCGAGACTTTTGATCTAGAAATCCCTCCTCCAAGATGACGTCTTTTGAATGGGTACAAGAACCGCAGTGTTCTCCTCAATCACGTACTTTCATAACACATAACTAGTAATGTAAGTTTTCTTCCCACGTCCTAAGTATGTGGCAAAACAGCTGCATGCCTTGCGGATCGCCTAGCATGCTATATGTACTCCGCGCGACGAAGTACCAGATTTTAAAAGCGAAGGCACCTGTGATATGAGTTGAGCTTAAGAAACGTGTGTGATACCGGTACTTATATAGGCGTATTTAGATGAGATGCAGCGAAATCAAGTCCAGTGATAACATAAGCCTGGAGCTTCGTCTATAACATCTATGGCCTTGTCCAGGGTATGTTATATGGTCGCTATTGAAGGTCTATATAGGCAAGGCCTAAGTATAAATGCAGAGAAAGACACGACGCCAATTGCCTTATGACTTAGGTACCTTATAGTATGGACCTGCTCATATGCTCATAATGGCACTTTATCAAGGTTAATGTCAGATGTTGGATCCCAGATATGGTGTCCTTAGGTGCAGTACCCACTAGGGGGCTGTCAAGGGAACAGTGGATCCGGTATTTAGCTGTAGATTAGCCCTGCCGAGCATACTTGAGAATGACAACAACATTTGCAGCGACCGCTCACACCCCCAAGGCTTGTGACCCTTCTAGAATCTCACAGTTAACAATCATTTTCTATATACCCGTGCCCCGCACCACTTTCCACCTCGCCTAGGCTCACCACGTAAAGTCGTGCTCACCACAGTAGCACACCAACCACAATAACACACCAATATGAGGTTATTCAGCATTAAAATTTATGTAGCGACCGCATCTTCTTGTCAGATTCGTAGATATCAGCAGCAGGCAGTCTTTTAGTCATTCTTTAATGCCTGGCCAACTTTGTTGCCTCCTTGGTGAGGTTCTTTTATGGTTAGAGCTCCTTCTTTACCAGGGTATTTGCCTTCTTTTGGAGGCTTATTACGGTCTCTTGCTCATTTTTCTTTGCTATCTGACGCCTGATCTCAACTGTGAGTATTCCTCTTGATTAGAGAGGAGTGTTCTTTACAGACTTACACTGTTTATTAACTTAAGAGGCTAATTCAGTCCTTATAAGGTCCCTTTTAGTCTGGACTAGCTGGGAGGCGTGGAAGCGCACCCCCTTGGATAGGAGCCTGATCCTCTCAATATGATCAGGAGTAAGATCCTCACCATCGTCCAGGTTATTCAAGGCCTCGTCTACTTGATAAGCGACCTTGTGAATCTGTTACATTGTAGTTGGAGTGGCAACTGGAGAGGAACCAGGCTGGTTAGGGAGGGGGGGGGGCGGTTGACAGGGTCCTCGCATAAGCTTCGCGCTCCTTCAACTGGTTAATCACAACTGACTGTTTGAAGGGATAGATGCCCGTTTTCTTGAAGGCAGAAAGGATAGTAGTCTTCTTAAAAGCTTGCTGGCGAACCCTTTCAATATACGACAAGAACTTAATCTTTCTGATGTGCATGAGATCATCACGCATCATAATATCTAGGGCTTTAACATAGTAGTGCTTCAAGGGCTGGAAAACCACTACAACGAGCGGCTGTAGTAAATGCTTCATATTCGGAGAGAGACCAAAAGGGATAATGCCGTAGTCGTCACAATATCTAATGAATTGTATCATGTTGTGGCTCCTGTGACCGTCGATGATTAAGAGCCTCTTTACACTAATTTGAGAGGTCTTAGAGTGCTTGTTAAAGTGTTTAATCCATTTTAGGCTAATCTCGTTGTTTAAATAACCACTTTCTGCGGTTATAATTGCCATCTTGGGGTCTAATTTGGGTACCTTGTACCATGGAGACATATGAAGGGTGCAAGAGAGGATAAAGAAGCCTGGGATAACCTCGCTGGCGGCAGAGATAGCTTCTATGCTAGTAGCAGACTCCTTATTCTCTGGTATTCCAAAATAATAGGCTCTTTTTTGCTTAGTGACGACTATCTGGTCCTTTTCAACCCCTAATGAAAAGCCAGTCTTGTCCATGTTCCATAGGTCGTCAAGGAGGATGCCCTACGTGGTGAGCCCTGGTGAGGTGGAAGGTGGTGCAGGGCACGGGTAGTTTAAAGCTTTGTTTTAAAGTTGGGAAAGGTTTACTATTAACTATTTCTGAATTTAAATTTTTGAGTATACTCTAAATAAATCTAACTAATTAAAAGGGTGCGGACATTTCTAGCAACAAATAGACTTTGAAAAAGACCTGCTTAGGTGTTGGATTAAAGGTGAGCCAAGAGGGCACCTTGATAGGTAGACACCGGAGCCTAGTTGTTCCGTCCCGATCCAGCCCCCTCTGGCACAAAACTGCCACGGTCGCACGAGGACACTCTAAAGAGACAGAACACACACACACACACTTCAACCTCACGATTGGCTCAAATCTGACATTAGGTTAGTGGGGCGATAGAAAGGGCCTTGTTAGAAGGGGACAGTTAGAAAGACACCTGAGGCCTCCAGAAGCATCTAGGCATCTAGCGAAGCGACCTAAACTTTGGTAAAGGTTATAGTAATAGACTGGATGTTTTAAACCTTTCCCAATTATGTTGTGGCTCCTCAACCCATTTTCCAGCCACAATGACGGATGGGTCACGGACCAGGATACAAGGTACCTTGGAGCTCAACGGGTACCCGTTGTACCTGATTTGTACCCAACTGGAATGATAGCTACTTCTGGGATGGGGACACCACCCATCCCTTCTTTCAATCAAGCAACTTCCAGAATACAGACCAATAGCCACCTATCGTGACCCTGGTCCTTATTCTGGATACCGCTACCACAAGGCACAATGTCTTGCCTTCTGGCAGGGGCCCAGAATACCATGTTACGATGACTAGTATTCTGGATGTTCTGCTTGCTGTCTAGAAGGATGGGAGCGTGTCCCATCCGAAAGGTCACTTAAGTACTAGATACAGTGCAAACGGTACCTTGTCCCTTGGGCAACAATCCGGCCCAACCGACAAGACACCTGACAGCTGGAATCAGCTGGATCCACAATGTGCTCATTGTTGCATATTCCCGAGGTGAGAGCACGGGCCCCTTTAGACGCATATCAGCTTACTTTAGGTGGGGGTTCGTGCAATCATCGGGACACAATGAAGATTCTCTGAATCCATCACCCAGCAACCTTGTCGAGAACTGCGAGTTCGCTACGCCCGCCTGAAATCATAGCAAAGTGAGATCTCGCCAGCAGTCAGAAATGTCGGATCCCACGTATAATGCGAAGTCCGCATCATTTCTTGATTGGTTCAAGGCGTGGCCCGGCGCAACCTTTCACCCTCACATCAAGATCGAAGATCTTCGCGCGCAAGGGGCTGGCAGAGGAATTGGTAAGGCTTGGCACGCAAGAGACTCCATTCCGATGACATGGTGTCCACTGATCAACCGAGTAGTCACTACCGCCGATATCCCCGAAGATACCGTGCTGTTCACCATACCAAGGCTTGCCATCATCAATACGCAGACCTCGGATCTCGCGAAGAGAATTCCGGGCATCTTTGCGACGACGGGCTTGGAGGACGCTGACAACGAGGCAGACGAGGATGGCAGTGAGACGAGCGGCCCCCCGGACAACTGGGTCTCACTCATTCTTGTCATGGTCTATGAGTATCTGCAGGGAGACAAGTCGCACTGGAGACCGTACTTCGATGTGCTGCCCGATAAGTTCGAGACGTTGATGTGGTGGTCCGACCAGGAGCTACAGCAGCTGCAAGCCAGCTCGATCGTGGCCAAGATTGGTAGGGACGACGCTGATAGCATGTTTCGTGCCAAGGTTCTGCCTCTGGTCAGGGAACACGCCAGCGTCTTCTACCCGCAAGGGTCAGAGCAACTTAGCGATGACCAGCTGATGTTGTTGTCACATCGTATGGGTAGTATGATCATGGCTTACGCATTTGACCTCGAAAACGACGACGACGACGAGGCAAATGCCGAAAACGGAGAGGAGTGGGTGGAGGACAAGGAAGGCCAGATTCTTATGGGGATGGTGCCGATGGCTGATATACTGAATGCCGACGCCGAATTCAACGTGAGCTTACTTCCTCCCTGATGTGATACTCTATCACGTGGAAGCCTCGCCTCTGACGCTAATGTACCTAGGCCCACGTCAACCACGGCGAGGATAGCTTGACCGTCACGTCCCTGAGGCCAATCCCGGCTGGCGAGCAAGTTGTGAACTACTACGGCCCACTTGGAAACGGCGAGCTGTTGAGGCGCTACGGCTACGTGACGCACCGCCATACTCGATACGATGTTGTAGAGCTATCATGGAATTTGATACTCTCTGTGCTCAGAGAGCTTCTGGAAGTCGATGATGCTACTTGGGGCAAAGCGGTAAGGATGAAGTGTCCAGACAATAGACTGCTTTCCTGCAAGACATATAGGGCTAATTAAAGAGCCACAGATCAACGAGCTCGACCCAGAAGAGGTTGAGGATGCCTTCATTGTAGATCGGGACCTGGAAGAGCCAGACTCTCGAGGCGAGGTTCACGACCCCCCAGCGTTCAAGCATCTTCCGGAAGACCTCCGAGAGCAGATTCACATGTTTCTCAAGGCTGTCCGAAAAGCCAGAGCAGAACTAATTCCCGATAAGCGCAAGAGGGATGAGGTCACCCTGTCAGCAATGCGTCGCGCGTTGGAGTTGCGACTAGCTGCGTACGGCACAAGTGCAGCTGACGACATGAAGCTGATATCTGGAAATGAGATCAGCGGCCGCCATAAGATGGCTGTAGTGGTTCGACACGGCGAGAAGGTCTTGCTGCAAGAGGCAATCAATCTTGCTAACGAGAAGATCAGCCAGTTGGCACTGGCGGGTCAAGATGGACACCAACATTCCGCGAAACGGCAAAGGACGAAGTGAGACGATGCATCATGCAACACGGCAGTTCTCTCGAAATTCAGAATCAAGGGCAACAGGTCGGCGATGCATGTGCCAGACTACCGGTACGATTAATGACTGCGCCACGCAGGCGCTCCCAGCGCGACACGGTTCAACACCAACAAGTTCCAACTCCACATGCAGTCAGCGCTAAACAAGGGAGTCAATTCCTCCTGCCGCGCTGTCATATCAAACTTCACTATCACGAGCTCCTTCCGCGGCGATCTTGCCACTTTTTGTACTTGAGCTTTCACGCGCCTTGAGTTCTGGTAGGACCAGGATGCGCCAGCGCGCTGAGCAGCCGGGATTTGCGAATTAGAGTGCTGACCAGAATCCTGGGATGTTCATAAATATAGACCTCACCGCAATTCAATTTCTCCAAAATTGGACATGACATTAATTCCCATAATACATCCCTTGGAGGTCGGGCAGCTTGAAAGACAACACTGCCCAATGGACTCGCTTTCGGTCAAGTTGGTGACTCGCCTGTGTCACTTCAGTACCTAGCCGTTTGGACCTTGTGAATCATGAGCATATCGTGATTTATACTTTCCGCCTCATCTGGATTGCGGCTTACCGGTCAGGCCTCGGTCAGGAAGTTCACCCACAAGCTTCTCCTCACGTTGGCGCAACGCATTGTGATCAGGCTCGAACCAGCGCATAGCAGCTAAACAACCTTGGTCCGGGTATCGAATCCAGGCGAAGAACCCCGATGCCGCAACTCGCACAGTTCCACGAGACAGACTGATTCACCTCCTGCCTGGACACCGCCAAAGAGATTGTGCTCATCCGTTCACTGCCACACAGAGGCCACCAGCAGTGCGACACTCGAATCGAGACGCGGGGTGCGAAAACTCTTCAACTATATACGCGATCATGCTGGCTCCTTGGTATGCCGTGGTCATAGGCTGCGTCGTTCTGCTCGTGAGTTTTGTCGTTGCCGTACTGTAAGTTCTCGTACCATGCTGCCGTCCCGGCAATCAGGTTCATTGCAACCACTAACTAGCAGCCTCGCAGTTGTCTCAGATGGGCCGTGTGTAAGGAGCCTTTCCGATTTTTCAGAAGAAACGAGAGTAGACCCGCGAAGCAATTGCCGAAATCGATCCTGTCTGCCTTGACGCAGCTGGAAGGGGTCACTGAGAAGAGGGACCGAAGAAATTCGCAGACCGAGGCGGAGGACGCCGAATGGTAAGAGTTGTGATGATACTTCCGAACTTCGTGCATTGTGTCTAATGATTGGTAGTCCCATCTGTCTCGCTTCTCTCTATGGGAGTCCAGCAGGAGCGTCGGCGCCGACAGGGGCTGGGGTAGACCTCGAAGCTGGGATTGACATATCGAGAACGACAACAACCAAGACGATGTCGACATCCACAGCGTCCACGTCCACTACGACAACGGCGAAGGAAGAGCGATGTTCCCTGCAGCCCGTCAACGATGAAGTACTGAAGATGAAGCGCTGCAGACACCTGTACCACGCCAAATGTCTAGCGACATGGTTCATGAGGAAGAAGTACAACTGCCCGGTCTGCAGGACTCCATACTATCAGCCCGTGCAACGGGTTCAGCCCGTTCAAGAGCTGGAGGGGAATGTCGACTATGGCCGTGGTCATGCTCTGCCGGTTGCCATGTTCTGGTAATGGGCCTACTCTGGCCTCTTTCAACAGAGTGCCTACGAATTGACCCAGTTACTTAGGATGTAGCTAGCTACACAGCTGGAGTTCGCTGTCACAACTGGGTAGCACGGCGAGGGTTTCGAGGTTTTGGGGGGGGGCCGACTTGACTCGTATGAAGTTGAGAGAGAGACAATTATGATGATACCTATGGGGTCATTCGAGGAGTACGTACTCACGATACCATCTGTTCATTTGTATTAAGGGGTAAGGATGGGTTGGCGAGGGCCGGCATGCCGGGGCGGGGATGATTTCCACGGGCAGGACGGCGTCGGCGTTCACTCTACCAATGCGGGAATAACTATCTGCAACCAAAGCTATGTAATTGGTGTCGACACGACGAATATCGGTATCTTGTGCAAATAGACTTTTGTCACCTGCAGCATTGAATTGACTCTAAAACGAGTAGACTGTCCTGTCAACCTGTCTCGGTGGTAGGGCTGCAGTACCAGCTGGCGAGCGCTGCCAGGCGGCCCACATAGCACTGGCAGGCCGCCAAGTAGGGCCAGGGGTGGCCGAGTGGTAGCACCACCACCTGACCACCCAGACAGAGCCCCTGGGACATATGCCTCCGCCTGACCGCCCGGCACAAAAGTTAAAAGGCGTCAAGGCTGGCCCATCTGCCCATCTGTGATCCCATCTGTCTGTGCACTTGCAATCTCGATCGGGCCATGATGATTTCATCGACTCCAGATGCCTTCCCGTTTGGCCTCACAGCCATCTGAATTTTCAGCACGGATCGAGCCAGCCAGCGTAGCACCACTTGAGATTTGCCAATCCATTCTCGTCTTGTCTGACAATTGCTGATGGGTTACATAACAGTGGGTGAGTGCCGTGACCCGCGACCGCCTGCCACTGCAAACAAAGGAGTCCAGGGGGAGCAAAACTTCCTGTCCAAAAGAGCCCTCACGGCCGTCACTAACCTCACTCCATGACGTGTACTCCGTCATTGTTCTGCTTGCGGCGCCTCCAGACTGCCCAGGACGAAGGACGAAGCAATCTGCATTGCTTCCATGCAATTGCGTTAATGGTGGAGTTTGACCTCAATCTCCTCCGCTTCCCTCACATCCATCCCGATTCCGACTCTCGCATGTGTCTCGTACCTTATGTGTGTGTATGCAGTCTGCAGTCTGCAGTCCCGCATCCAAGACCATCGGCACCCAATAAGTTACGGATCTCGTCAGACGACTGTGTCTGTGCCTCGTGACAGCACTCCCCTACCGTATCTTCTCATCCCCACCAATATCCGAGTTGGATGCAAGGTTCCGTCAGGTGTCTGATTCGCTCTTGTAAGGCTGAATCGGGACACTTCGTCGGTCTCTTTGCTCCGGCCTGTTCTTCTCATATACCCTTGCGTTCCACCGTCCGTCGCCGTAGCTGTCTCGCGATGGCCCCGAAGCGTAAGAAGTCGGACATGGCGCTCCTACCCGAGAACTTCCCAACCGAGGAACGCTCTACGATAGACCGTCCGCGCGGCGGCCCACGACGATCAGGTCGCAACGTGCAGAAACCAGGCCAAGCACTACGCGATGGCGTTGAGGTCTCACAACCGACGAAAGATGCGCCCAAGGTCCAACGGCGGAAGTCCAGTGCGAAGCAGGGGGTTGACCATGCTATACATGGCCTCCAGGAGATGGAAGACAACCTACGTAGCGCCGTCAAACGACAGAAGCTTGCTGTGAACGACAGCTTGCCACTCAAGAACCCTCCACCCGATGACCCCGAGCGGGCCGCCTTTCTACCGAGGCCGATCAAGCCCGAGCCGGACGTCATACCCGCTCATTTAGAGATGGACGCCCTGAACGAACGCAACAAGCAACGCCGTGAAAAACGTCGCGGAGAGCACACCAAAAACACATCCGTCGACGAGACAGCAGAAGAAGCACCACCGCAAAAGGAGGAGGACGGTGATGATCTCCCGGAGGAGACAGACATCAACACATTAAAACAACAAGGTGCGAGGCCGCCGCCCGTCAACAGTGACTATCTTCCGTTGCCCTGGAAGGGGAGACTAGGCTATGTAAACAGGCCTAATGATCATGGCTGAGTCGAGTCAGTGGATAAAGTGTAGCATGCTGACGTGGTACAGGCCTGTCTCAACACGTATCTTCGTCAATGCAACCCGCCGGTCTTCAGCTCTCGAACATGTCGGATAGCTTCCATCATAGAGCATCGCCACCCGCTTCAGGATCCCACACTACCGGAACATGCGACCAAAAATCGTCCTGACAAGGACCAGCCTGCCGAGCTAGCAAGGGGTCAGAAGTATGTCGAGAATCTAGGTCTCGCCAACGCTCGTGACATTGTGAAGATGATTCGGTGGAACGACAAGTACGGTATCAAGTTTATGCGTCTCAGCTCGGAGATGTTTCCGTTCGCTAGCCATGAGGTCTATGGGTACAAGCTAGCCCCTTTTGCTTCCGAAACATTGGCGCAGGCTGGGAAGCTGGCGGGTGAGCTTGGCCACCGGCTCACCACGCATCCCGGACAGGTACGTGCCATTATACCCCGACTTTCTACTATAGCTAATCATTCGCCAAGTTTACCCAGCTGGGGTCTCCTAGAACAGAGGTGGTGAGAAACGCCGTCAGAGATTTGGAGTATCACAACGAGTTGTTGACACTCCTGCGGCTCCCTGAGCAATTAAACAAGGACGCTATCATGATTCTTCATATGGGCGGAGTCTTCGGTGATAAGAACGCCACTCTCGATCGTTTCAGAGAGAACTACGCCAAACTTTCAGACGGCATCAAGGCGAGACTTGTACTAGAGAATGACGATGTCTCCTGGACGGTGCATGACTTGCTTCCCATATGTGAAGAGCTCAACATCCCGATGGTTTTGGACTACCATCATCATAACATCATGTTCGACTCGGACCAGATTCGCGAGGGCACAAAAGATATAATGGAACTTTACCCGCGCATCAAGGCAACGTGGGACCGGAAGGGTATCACACAGAAGATGCACTACAGCGAGCCGTGCTCGGACGCTGTGACCGGCAGACAACGACGAAAGCACCGTCCTCGTGTCATGACTCTGCCTCCATGTCCCGACACCATGGATCTCATGATTGAGGCCAAAGATAAGGAACAAGCGGTCTTCGATCTCATGCGTAATTTCCGACTGCCCGGATGGGACACCTTTAACGACATTGTTCCCTATGAGAGGGAAGATGAGAACAGGCCCTTACCGAAGACGCCGAAGAAGAAGAAGCTGCGCAAGAAGAGGGTGAAGGATGAAGACGAGGTTGACAAGGTCGAAGAAGAAGAAGAGCCGGAACCCCTGCCGCCGCCAGAGGTTCCAGAGGAGGAGTTGGGCATGGGCGGCCCCGATAATCGGGTGTACTGGCCGCTCGGCATGGAAGAGTGGTTGCGCCCGAAGAAGCGGGAGGTGAAGAAGAAAAAGAAAGACGATGAGGAAGTTGAAGAGGGCTGAGGCTGGTGAACTTCCTGCTCAAGATGTTTGATGTACAACATTCCTCGCGTATGATACCTACCTGAATGCATGATAGATGTACGACAACCTACCTAATATATACCTAACAATCGAGCAGAATTAACTACTTGACTTAAGTATGAGATAGTGCTTGGTGAATGTGATTTGATGTTCGATGGAGCTGGTTTGGATAGCATTTAGAAGCATACACAGGCGATAACTCCTGTCGGAGCATAACTGTCTCTAGAACACGGTCATAGGATTGGACCGATATCTTGTTGCCAGCGGCACCCATAGCGGTCGTCCGTTACCATGCATGCGGTCAGGAGGAATCTGACCACTATAGTTGACGACGATGCTGCGGCACTTTATTAATCTACAGGCTGCATCGAGACACATCTATCAAAACAGCAGATGAACCACCGGCAATAGGCATATGACTAGAGACCCCCAAGCGTGCCTATAGAATGCAAAACCCTTATCGCCATGTCAGCTGAAGCGTCGTGGAATATACAAACTCTAGGGTCCAGATGCTTCCACAACTCAGCACGGCATTGCCATCACGGTCCGTCGATGCTACCTCACCTGCCTTCCATCGTCACGTAACAAATGCGGTGGCTGGACCAAGAGCAGCATATCCCGATTGCGACGACGAAATGCACACATCATCAGGACTACGTACCAGCCAGAAGAATTGGTCTCATGACCATCGTGAAGCCTCCATATCATGAGGTCACGCCGAGTGGTGTCGTGAGAACCTAATGTCGAACGAACGTGGGAGGACATCCATGGATGGATAGGTGTGAAAGGTGGCAGGCCATGATGTCAGCCGCGCCGGGTCCGGGAGCAAGGTTCAGGGGTTGTGGAAGTTTGGAATGGGCTAGCTTTTGCGAAGTAGACAGTACTTCTATTAGATACCGCGGCTTCGCATGAGCTTCTGGTCTCTGCAACCTCGTGAATGACGAAAAGCGGGGTCAATCAGACTCTCGTCTTTTCCCCAGCCCCTCCGAGGCATGTGCATTGTGCACCCCTCCTTCCAGCGCATGGGCAGTGACGCTGCAACACCTGCAGTGACAGCATCCAGTGAAATGCAGCGCTGAAGTCCGTTGTCAGTGGTCCGGGTCGCATGTAGTGGCACCAGTGCACCAATACCATTACCATGCATCTTCCAGTTCCCCAGACAGATCGTCGAGGCTGGAGCAATCAATCATCACCCTCCTGCCATCATCACAACTGAAGTTGGCCGAGTGTAACCCTGATTTGACTGATTTGACCAAGAACATTCAAGTCCTCGAGAGTCGAGAGTCGAGACTGGTCTTCTTTCTTCCAAGCTTCGTTCCCCCAGCACGGAAAACGGAAAACCCAGCACCTTCGGCATTCTATATCTGGTACACCCGGCATCACGTATCATCAATATCACACGCCTGATCACCCGCTGAGACATACATGCATGCATACCTCCAGCACAAGTAGAGACCAGAATCCCATACCCAAAACACCAGAGTCTTCCTATCTTCTGCATCTTTCATATTTCTCACTGCTTTGTCAACTTGCATCGGCGCGTTATATCAACGGTTATCGACCGTCACCCACCACAAGTTACAACGCACTCAGTACGCCAGTCTTCCATCTGCAGGGTCCAAGCGTTTTCCCCGCGACCGCCGAAGCCTCTCTCCTCTCGAGTCTCCGCCTGGACACAACTTCGACCTCACTCTCCACCACACGCCTCACCCTTCGATCTATCCTGTTTCGATCGCTACATACCGCTCATCCCTAACCTTCGGACTCCGTAAAGCACGACCTCGCGCTCGCGGGCCCACCAACCAACACCACCAAGCCTAGAACTGCATTCAAGCAACATGGCCACCGTTGAGACAAGTCCCAAGGTCATCCACACTCCTCCGGGACCCGAGGTGAAGCGTCCTCGAGGTATGCGCCATCTCGCTACATCACGATAACCATATGACCCTGTCACGTCTTTCTATGCTAATGTTCGATTCCGGCAGGCATCCTCAAACACTCGTTCCAGAAGTCACCGCCCGTATCGCCGACACAGGAACATGATATGGAGGAGAAGGATCTCACGATTGTCAACACCCAAGCGAATGCTGGCCACCGCCGATCTTCAAGTGCCGCCAGCCGCCCTGCCGGCTCCCGTCGCCAGTCAACACGCGCCCCGTCGCAAGGACCCGAGGATGATCTCAACAATAGTCAGCGCCTGCAGTGGGATGAGGCCAATCTCTACCTGACCGAGCAGGAGCGCACGTCAACCATGAAGATCACCGAGCCCAAGACACCATATGCCAGACATTACGAGCCCTCGGAAGATGAGGACGACGAGATGCTCGACGGAGAAGCGACCCAGCGAGAAGAGATCCCGGGCCTCTCACTTGGCGAGCCCGAGGAGGAGGTTCCCGAGGACGGCTTCGACTGGACTCGGAAGCAGAGCAAGGTTCAGGTTAACGACGAGGATGCGACGCCGCTGCATGATGCCGAGAAGGAGCTCCTCGGCATGACCCCTGAAGAGCGCGAGAAACACCGCAAGTTTGAGCTACTACGGAAGAAGCATTACGAGATGAAGGACGTTGCCAAGTTCCTCGGCCACCCTGAAGAGCTTGACGAGTTAGAAGAGGAGGACGATGCGGCGCCCCCGGTGCCTACCATCAATGGTGCCAAGGTCGGTGCTGGGGACTAGAGAGACGACCACCCAGCCTGCTTGACTGGTACCGATACAAACAAGAACTGGGCAGAGCAGGACGACGACGACGGCGTGCATGTGAATGGAGTTCATAGGCTTAGGCGTCTTGCATTATGAGAATCTTCGACTCTTTTCAGTGCCGTTGATTGGGGCAAGCAGCCGATCTGGTACGGGAGGAGCACTCGTTTTATCGCACAATAGCAAGCTTATGAGGGCTGCGGGCGTTTGAATTACGACGTTTGCATTGGAACCCACGATGAGGGCATCCTGATTTTGATGCACCCTCCAGTTGCATTGTAACTCCGGAAAGCACATGATGAAGAGACCCAGGTTGGAGGTAGAGTCTTGATCCATGAGATAGCCATTGCTCTGCGACAATTTAGAGGTAGTCTGCAAGTTATCCTGTCACTCCTCGCTCACCTCAAGCGAAAGCGCTCGCCCAAATCAATATAGTTCCGTCATTCATAACAACCCCTTGCGCGCGAGCTCGACCTTCTTAGCAGCTTCGCCGTCCCTGAAGCCGCCTTTCGAGACACAGAGCCTGTGTCCTTCGCCCATCTCGAATTTGTCCTCGTTCGCAGGCCACGGGCACGGGCAATGGTGTGGAAAGTGTACGCAAGCTGCCAAGTGACCATTTATCAATGACCCAAGTTCGCAGCCAATATCGGGTTCGCGTTGACGCTGCTTACCTAAAGTATCCGGGCATAGATAGTTGTCGCAATGCAAGCGGTCGAAGTTGTTTTGGTAGATGGACGAGTCGCTAGGTACGTTTTGTGGCTGCTGCTGTTGCTGCTGCTGCCCGCCGCCGAACATCTGGTCGAAGAAGCCAAACTGGGCGCTGGCCGACGAGAGGAGGGTGAAGAGGAGGAACGACACGGAGGTTAGGAAGCGCATTGTAACGACTGGCTGTGGGAACCCTGATACGGCTTCGGTTTCTGTGATAACTGGAAGAGTGAGTAGATAGTTGCGCCGGGTGCTAGAAAGCAATAAGTATCATGGAAGGTTCGTTGTATTCGTAGACGGGCATTGCTGGCCACTTCAATGTTGGACAGCTCAATCAATTGACGGATGCTTATCGTTATCGCGCATTGTCCAGATGACTAAGCAGGAAATTTTGGTGACCCGGAGCTTTGGACCGCGAACAGTGGAAGCTCCATTCTCACGCAGCCTCCTTTGCTGGAAACCTCGACAACGACGGCAACAATACTTCGCGACCTACTACGCATCGAATCATGCGGATCACTCAATTGCAGCGGCCGCTGGTGGCTGCTGCGTCCACCCTTGCGAGATCGACATCGGCCCCGACGACAATACGACAGTTGCAGGATGTGTTAGGTCAGCTGAGAATAGGAGCCAGCAATGCCGCTGTCGAGGGTCGGAGGCACGCTTCGGTCAAGTCGCAGGGAATGTACAAGCTCCGGGATTCGAGCACAATACCGAAGAAGCTGGGAGCAAAGAAGACTGGTGGTATGTCTTCCCAAAGCCCATTGATGCCCTGAACTAGAGCTGCATCCATGCAGGGGCAGGGCTGAAGACCGAGGATGGACGGACGGGGCTAACCCTCTGCAGACTCCTGGGTCATCACAGGCAACATCATATACAAGCAGCGAGGCACCAAATGGTTCGCGGGCGAGAACTGCGGCATGGGACGCGACCACACCATCTTCGCCCTGGCCTCGGGCTACGTCAAGTACTACAAGGACCCGGCCAAGCACCCGAAGCGCCAGTACATCGGCGTAGTCTTCGACAAGGCCGACAAGCTGCCCTACGCGCCGCACCAGATGCGCAAGCGCAAGCTCAACATGGTAGCCGTGCCCGTGGCCGTGCCGCCCGCCGAGCCCACCCTCTCCGCCTCGGGCATCCCCAACACGGTCGTGCGCCAGGGCTACGGCCGCAAGCCGCACCCGCGCGATGAGCGCATCATGAAGCTGCAGAAGGACGGCAGCTACGCGTACCGCGAGGAGAACTGGCGGCTGGGCACGCTGGTGCGCACCGAGAAGCGCAAGCTGGGGTCGCGGAGGGTGGCCATGAAGCACAGGCGCAGACGGACGAAGGCGATCGCGCTGGAGATGCGTGCCGAGCGCGAGGACAAGATTGCGAGACGTAAGGAGGCGCTCGATGCGCAGAGGGCGGCGCGCTTGCGCAAGATGAAGGAGTATAGGGCGCGTAGGGCCCTGGAGAGTAATAATGCGAGCATCCCTCCGGCTGGCGGTGCGATGCCGCCATCGCAGCCGCCTCCACCGCGGGCTGAGGTGTAGGCTTGGTGTCATGAGCAGGATTCCGATATGGAGATTGTCTACGACTAGACAAGGCTCTGGTCTTTGTCGAGCGGGTGCCCGACTGCCGATGCTCTCAGGCATTGACCGCTTCCCGACGGGTGAATCCTCTAGATGGATGTGTATGTCGATGTCTGGACTAGATCAGTGGGCGTCTTCTGGCTGCCAGGCTGTGTAGCATAACGGTGGTTCGACTATGTAATAGTAGCAAGTACAAGGGCAGCTCTCGGGGCTGTATACATGATATCAAACCGGTCCACCTTCCAAATGGTGATGGATAATATTCGCTACTCCTTCAGCTTGGTCCTCAGCCAGTATGTCACTAATAGGTAAAAGGCCAGGGTTGTTTTCTGCGTACTGGACCGTTTGCCTCATAAGAATAATGCTTGAATTCAGTACTACGGTTTGTGAGCATCTCTACTTAATGCAGAGTCGGGATTTGCTGACAAGCTTACTCTACATCATCCAGGCAACAAACAGGATAGCAGGACATTCTTGATGACTACCGCATGTTAACCCGTTCCGGCGTCTCTATCACATCAGCAACGAGGATGGTCTTGGCGGTACCGAAATCCTACCACAGGCCCTACGACATGCAAAGCCGTCCCTAGAACAGCATAGATATGGAAAAGCTGATGCGAGTGCCCCCATACATCAAACGAGCCAGGACTCAGCCTCTCCGGCAGCCTGCCGACGAAGAAGCATACCCCAACCAGAAGAGTAATATCCTCGGTGAGGTACCAATGAGCCCCTACCTCGACACATGCCCTCTCCCAACCCACTACACCAACAGCATGAAACATCGGCAACATGGCAGAAACAGCAAGCACACTGAAAACCCCACCGTGCAGAATTCTCATCCGACTCCCCCCTCCTCCACTATCGAACAGCATAACAGCAGCAGCAACCGCCGAGCCCAGGTTGAGACCCCAGTACACGCGCTGGATGGTGGGATGGCAATAAAATGCATAGTACGTCAGTGAAGTCCCGCCTCCAAGGGCCAGCACGCAGATCCCGAGGATGTCTAGCTTGCCCAGAAGTGGTGGACGGTGTAGGAGTGGCTGCGCGGGGTGTGGAATGCGGCGCTGAGGCCGAAGCAGATGGTGGCTGCTGTTAGGCAGGTGCTGAAGGCGAAGAGGTCGCTTGTGCTGAGTTGCGGTTGTAGGTTGCAGTTGTCAGGTGCGTGTGCGTAGTTGGAGAGGAAGAAGATGCCGACGGCTAGGAAAGAAAGGCTTCCCAGTGCGTGCGTCCAGATGTTCAGGGTCTCCATGTGCAGGCAGCGCCAGAGACGGAGAGAGCGGCGGGAGGAGTTTGTTGGGAGGGGATGGTTGAATATTATGAAGTCGTTGTCGCGTAGCCAGATGGGGATTTGGTCTTTGGTCCCGATCTGCGGCCAGTAGGATGCATCGTGCTTGTTGGGCGGGTTAGGCGGTGTGCCGTCGCTTGCTTTGGGACCGGACGTGGTTGGTGATTGGGGCATGGTTGCGTCTTTGGCCATGGTCGATGTTCTGTGTCATGACCTCCAGAGCTGCACGGAAAGTCCAGGGCCAGATGATGGTGATGATGATTGAGGTATTCTGCAATGTAGCTCCGAAAGCACTGATGGATGTTGAAAGTAGGTGGGCGGTTGCGTTCCAGGGGCGCGGTTAGCAAACAACCATCCAACAAACAGTTGCGGAGGGCCTCACTTGTTCGGATGACAAAGCTTCTCATCATTGTTTATCGCATACACCATATCAACCCAAGTTAACTTCATCCGAGCGTAATATGGTATGATTCATGTTGGAGACTTCACGTATGGTACTCCAGTCCTACGCGCCGCCTAGGGAGGCCCCCGTTTTGGGCTTGGTTGAAATAGGTCGTAGTTACTATCATGAGTGAGTGCTTCTTGGATTTTGATTGGTCCGTATGCCACGAATATTCGAAGGATAAAAGAAAGGGGCTGTACAATCTGTAGCTTCGTATCTACAGATTGGCACGATGGGGGTTCCGAGTTCTTGGAAGCATTCGGACGGCATTTGGCAGAGCAGAGGTACAAGGTCACGGCTAGCTCTTCGCGGATTGATGGACAATTGATTCAATGTCCTATATATACGCAGAGTTCATCACATACAGCCCCCCAGATCCCAGTCACTCCCAATCCCTCAGTGTACCTCGCATCCCAACATCAGCGCCATCACATAGTGACATGGATGAGCGAGTATACCGCAGCACGGTTCCCATTGCCTTGGAAGCCGATGCACCAACGAACACCATCTAGCCAGTGTAGCTGCAGACAACCTCGCTGGAGCCAGAAGTCGAGCACGACGTCAAGACCTTGCTGTTCTGCTCAATGTCGATGATAGTGGCACCGCTAACACCAGTGCCGCCATTGACCGACGCGCCGGTGAAGGTCACAGTGCCAAAGTCGGCAAAGTTGACCAGGCTGCTGCCGCTCTCGTAGTCCTCGACGATCCACTCGGCGTTCTCCTCGCAGAGCTGGTTGGTCTCGCTCGAGAACGAGTGGGTGACCGTCTTGCCGGTCGTGTTGTTCTTGATGACGGCCGTGCCGGCCTTCTTGCTCGTCGCAGTCACCGTCATGGTGATGGAGTCGCCGGCGGAGATGGGGATGCCGGAGAAGTCGTAGGCGTAGTCCGGGTACCACTCGTACCAGGCGTCGTAGGACACGGTGCTGCCCGAGATGGTGAAGTCGATGCCGGTCTGCAGGATGGCGGTTCCGCAGGTGTCCCCGTCGATGCCCACCCAGGCAGAGCCCGAGTAGGTGCCAGAGCTGCTGCCCGACGGCTTCGAGGGCGTGGGGACGACGATGGTGCCGGTGACCGAGGTGTATCCAGTCCCGATCAGAACGGCGCCGGCCCAGTTGCTACTGTATTCAACATGAGCGGTGCCGTTGCCGTTGGGGAGCTCGAGCGCGCCTACGGCCGGCTGGAGGGTGTTGGTCCTCCGGTTGATGCTCCTCTGCACTTCTCGCTCGCGTCGTGCAGCTGTGCCTGGTGCGGCAGCGGCAATGTTGGCGCACAGAAGGGCGCTGGCAACGGCTGTGAACTTCATGGTAGCGAGTATGTGGAAGCTGAAAGCTAGAAGCGAGTTGGGGGAGCAGGATCGTGGAGTGTCCTTGATCTGGTAAGAATGAGTGAACTGGTGGTGCTGCTACCGAACAGTTGAAGATGGCGGAAACGACGCATTATATAGCTGATGATGTTGAGTCCTTGCCCTCACGAACGATAGCAGCAACGTAGTATCAGGTACTCTCAACAGTATCAGGTACTCTCACCGATGAAAGGTCCGGTCCGACTGTCGTCGTGGCCACCATCTCGTCCGATGGGTGGTCCGTCGTGTCCCCCACGGCCCAGTTGCGCCATAGGATGTCCAACCACCTGCCCGATAGATTAATGAATAGCCGCCCCAGTGACCAACTCTCACGATAGATATGCCAAGAATGACGATGTGGTTCTTAGCCACAATCAGCACGTAGCCGACCACACCCGCAGCGCCCAGGTGGAATATCGCGCTCCGTTGGTTGACTGTCACATGAAGGGATGTCGACCCATGGCTCATGGCTCATGGTGTGGATGTGACCGTCGATGGTGGCATATGCACGCACGGCAATACGTTATCGCAACCAGGCACACGAGGAAGTGCCCTGGAACCCAACAAGACGTTATATTGCATTCCCACCACGAAGAAAGGCCGACGCGGCCAGTGCGGCTGTTGCGAACATGATTGGGCCGAGAGGCTGACGCAAATCTTCATCTTAGAAGGAAGGTAGTAATGGCGAGTCTAAATCCCAGGTTCTAGACTGTAACTCTGCATGAGGACCGGGAGGTGGGCGGCGACACACTCCGGGGCCGGGTGCGTGATTGGAACACGGTTTTTCCGAGTGACGGGGAGGCTTATGTCGTGTCTGCATACTATATACCACATATTGCAGCCACCGATAAGAGAGGACAAAACTTGGCCGCTATCAGGAGCAGGACATGGGGCTGGAGACAGAAGTGCAACGGCATGCCATAGCACGTGCTGCCACTCCTCACTCGTCACTCGCAAGATAAGCCGAAAGGGCATGGGTGTGAGCGAGGGTGTGGTGGTGACGGGCGTAGCCGACGGCGAGGGCAGCGGGGTCGGTCATCTGCCGGCAGTCCTGAGCTGGGGTCTGTGTCTCGCAGGACCCTTCTTCCAACTACACCACAGTAGGTCTTGAAGCATCGATGCAAATCGTCAGCGCCGGATCGCTTCGAACTGCGTCTGATTATACAGGGTTGGGCGTTGGGAGGATATCGGTATCGAAACAAGCTTTATGGCTTGGTCTGCCAAGTGTGTCAAAGACTTGAAGGGGGTTTTTCCTACGCGCCAAGTCAACCCCACGATCGCCAAGGCAAACAAACGAGTACGATGGACCGCCAAACAAGGCAGGTAACTTTCCCTGGGTAAGGTACCTATAGGCACTCGTTGCGCTGGCCCGCGCGCGCCGGTATCTCCATGACCCGCCAGGCTTCTGAGTGTAGTAGTACATGTAGCGGAGATGTCAACCGAACTTGGCGTTTTGATACGGTCGAGGTATCATGGCTCACTTTCCGAACCGAGGAGTGTTCAAACAAGGGCCGACTGCTCTGCTGCGTGGAAACTTGTAGTATGACCATAGTCCTTCCTCTTTGGAAGTAAACAACAGGCTGGTCCGATCAGAGTCACCATTACTGACCTGACCGCTTCGATAAGAGCAACAAGATGTTGCAACCTTCGATCGAAATCGGTAGAACTCGTCTTCTAACGTTATCACATAACGTTTCGATATTCGCTGCGATTGAAGATAACGTTACATACCGTAGGTACCTAACATTTGTCATTTGAACTTGGATGAGACTGACTGCCATGAGGAGGATATGCTCTCATCAAGGTTCGTGGGAAAATCCAACCAGCAGTCAGGATAAGTAAGGTTCAGCGTGGGTGCATGTCTCCTCGACCCTGTCAACAGAAGTCTGGAGACTGGAAGGGCCGAGGTCAATCTCGTGATGGATAGCTGGTACTTTAGTCCATTCCCTTGGACTGAAGAGGCACTCTCTCTCCAGACTCAGCGCAATGCTGATGAAGCCCCTCTTCGGCTTTGTTTCTTGGAGTATCGTACTTGCTGGCCGAGGTAACCGTGGATATGACGCAGGTTTCAACTATGGCAAACCTTAACTCTCTGGTAGCAGATCTGCATACAAATGAGACAGTTGAATGGAGTGAACAGTGAAAAGATTGAGATGATGGGAGTGGGATGGATCTCGGCCATACCGGAGATATCGGCCCGAGCGACATTATGTCCCCGCCAAGCGACCCGTCCCGTCTTTAGGCTGCCCGGCAACACTGAACTTAGCGCACGGACCCCACGGCAGAGATGCCTTAACTTCAATCTTTTCTTTTTCCCTCCTCGTCAAATATTTCGAGAAATTTTGGCTCACCTAGCCTCAGTGTATCGTAACAACGAGGCTACTCATCTGCTTACAAGACCATTTCGCACAGGCTTCTTGTTCCCAACCCAGCAGTTTGAGATGGTATCGATGATGTGGAATCAATTCAGGCTCTGCCATACCTTTCCAGGTAAGTCGTCTGCTACAGCTGCCACCGAGTCTGAGACTAAGCCTGTCTTGCCTAGGGAAAAACAACCACGCTGTTGCAATAACTCACAAACGCTGAAAACCACCACGGAGACTTCTCGCGCAGTTTCATATACGCACAGACATCGATGGCAACGAGCTGTTGATGTGAACTGGGTCCGATACTGGGCGGCACATTCACCCACTATGCAACGTGGAGATGGATCTTCTGGATCAAGTACGTCCTCTTGGCTTGATTAACCGACCATGTTAGCAAGTATACAGCGCTAACCTATAATTCAGTTTTCCATTGGCAGATTTGCTGATAGGCCTCAGGGCTGTAACGTTGTCGAGGACAAGAAGGGCATCAAGGAGCACCCGACGTGATGGTGGACCATGTCGGCAACGAGTGCTTCTGGGGCGGCTGCGGCCAGACCTCCGCCACGTCGGAGCTGCTGATTGGCCACCTGGATAGTCAGGATCTGCCTCCCTCTGCCTGATGTCGGACATCTCCACGGGTCGCGACATTGTTGCAGTACGCTGATCTGCCCTAATCCCGTTTCGACTGCAGTAACTAACTTGTGTTAGCACTACCGCAACAATCCGCACTAGAGAGTCATCGCCTATGATATCAAGAAGATAAAGAAGCCCCGGTCGATGCAGCCGAGCAGTACCTCAAGTGATATGAGGTTGACCGTCGCTCAATCTATATCGGCGGTCTACCCTCTGACGTCACGAACCCAAGTCGCTGATATCGTTGAAGTCGACAAAGGCGCTGGAGTTGACGAAGCCTCTGCTGCTGACGAAGCCCCTGCTGAGGAAGCCTCTGCTATTGCTGAAGTCGCCGCTGTCGCTGGAGTCGCGGCCATGGACTCCGACAAGCCGGATGGTGGGTCCCCTTTTATTTTCCAGCCGCTGCTAAGTCCGGAGGGTTGCCAGGGCACCAACCGTCCACACGGGACCCGCGTGGACAATGTTTGTGTGACCCTAGACGAGATTATCGAGGCGGCTGCGGGACAGTACGGCAAAATCAAGGGTCTGCAGGTGATCCGCAAGCCCCTGCCCGGTATGCAGTCAGCCACCCACCATCAATTTCGCGTTACTTGCGCGGTTTGCTTGCGATACTACACTTTCTGTTGGGAAAGTAGGGAAGCACGCATAACCCAGAAAGTAGGATCGATAAACTTCATACTCCAGGTAGCATCCACGAATGTTTAGGATATGTATGTATATGCATGGTTAGGTTCACACACACTACCGCGACGGATTCGTGAATTCCGAGTGAATTCCGAGTGAATTCATACGCGTAAGTTTGCCAACCAGAATGGTAACAGATCACTGACCTGAACGAACAACAGACTGCGCGGACCTTGTGGACAGGACAAAACCAACATCTGACCAGTCTATTAGCATCCAGCCTTTCACTGAAAGGAAGCAAGGAGGCAAGGAAGAAAGGACAAAATGACTGGCCCTCTAGCTGCATTCTGAGAGGCAGAAGCTTCTTGGAGGGACGGCTCAAATAAATCCAGACAGCCTGAGCGAATACCGGCATGGGTAGAACCTCCCAAGCGATTAAGACGAAGAGGAGGACGCAGCCCCCGCCTGACGGTGACCCTATATAATGGGAAGGAATGTACGACGACGTCTCCCAGCTCAACGCCAACCCGGGAGGCCGAGGAGGCTTGCACCGAAATTGGGGTAGTTATAGACATCACAGTCCTGCGCCTAGCGATCCGACCCAGGCGCCCCCTCCGAACGCGTCCACGGGCCCTAAGAACGCTGGCCGACTGGGCGCAGACTATCACGTTGGTCTGCCGCCAGGCTCGTTCGTTGTCACGCGCTGTCCCTTGCTGAGCTTGACGTCAAGCCTGGTATATACACTTGCAAGGAGTACAAGTATGTGATCAACACGAACGGCATGCCTGAACATGTGCCCAACATGCATGTGGGTAGAAAACGCTTTATGCGTCACTTCCGCGTCGATGTTGGTAAAAATGTCCGCCAGCATCTCCTGGATGCTCACCCGGCCTGAAAGCAAGGAAGGAAGTAGGAACACCCATCGCGACGAGCTGAAGAGGGCACCACTCCGCCGTCTGATACCCAGGAGGCTCAGAGGGTTAGCCACACCCCACCAACAGCAGAAGTCTTCAATGAGAAGATCTGGCTGGTTCAGCCACTTACCCGATCTCTCCTGAGGGGATGACCGAGCTGAATTGCAACTTTACTAGATGTCTCGCGATCGTGAAATTCGATGTTGACAGGATCTAGGAAATCCTCGACTCATTGAAGATCTGATATAAGAAGCCTGAGGACCACCTGGAAGACCTCTGGTTCGGCGAGAACGGCACCACGCTCTGTGTTTCCTTCCAGATGCTACATACACCAGTGTGCAAGAGATACCTCGCAGCGGATATTTGTGCAGGTCCTTTGGACGAGGTGCACGCCCTTCGGATACGTACCGGTTTCCGTCCCGTCCGGCTTTCATCAAGCGGCTCTCGTGTCGCGCACCCGGACAGGTGGTCATGCGTCTCATCTGTGAATGGGCATCCATATTGGCGGTAAAGGGCCTTGTGCGGGCCAATGACACGATGCGCCAGCCAGGTAGCAAACAATCAGTGATGATGTCTCGGGGCATGACTCCAGGCGCGGCTTCCAATTGCGCTTCCGGCAGCAGCGAATGGAACAGTCACGATCCATCCCCACCAGTCGCAGTTTCCAGTCACAGTTTTCAGTCGAGTCGTAGTCACCAGTCACTAACCACAACTTGGAGTCTGTACGTGGACCTGTGCATCAAAGTCTAGGTCTCCAAACTCCAAGGCATTCTCATCTCTCGCCAGATAATTACGGTCTGTCAAGAACCGCAGCGCTGACACACTCTACGAACCCCCTAAAGAGCGGAATGCATTCTCATCTCCCGTCGTATCATGGAAGTGCGTCCTACACTGGAAACACCACCAGGCCCCAATCGTCTGGTGTTTTGCTCAGCAAACTTGGCGGCGTATTCCTACATGGTGCACACCAGCTCGCCAGGCTCCAACTTCCACTTGAACTTCCACAGCAGCTACCTCGTTCCTCTCAAGTACACAACGGACGGTGCTTTGACAACCCTTGGCGACGAGGAATCCGGGTACGTGGCTGCTCATCTGGTGGCATAAGCAATACTTGGGCACTGATGGCGACCATAACTTGGTGGCCAGTAATATTCAGGCACTTGACCCGGCCTGCCAATCTGAAATATGATGCTGACCTTCAGTCCCTGTCTAGACATGGAGGAAGTGAAGAAGGAATTTCAGCACGTCGGCGGTGCGCAGGGCACTCGTGCGTTCCAATCGGCTACCAATCGCATGGTCCGAAGCAAGCTGAAGCCGTTTACGCGCCCGCGAGCCCCGAACAGAAGACGTGCTGCGCGTCCAAAGCGTCGTGCCAGAGACCTGATCCCCTTTCGAAGTACTCCCGCTCAAAGTATCCCCTTTCGAAACATCATCTGGGCCCAGCTCAAGAAGCAACTAAAGGAGATCCGATTTGGAACTCTGCCTTCGCCGAAGAACAACCACCATAAGTGGTGCGAGGACCAGGATGCCTTACTCGAGTTCCCTCCCCTCCGCGATATCGAATTCTCCCAACGCAGATCTGCTCCCTTCGCGCCGAAGTGGCCAGATAACATCGCTTCGGCTATCGGTTACGTCGTGGGCGAGGTCGCCGAGGTTCCGTGCGGAAGATGTAGCCAAGGCAAGGGTTTATTCGAAAAGTGCATCCTGCCACCGCCCGCACTGAAGCAGTCGTTCGACAGTCGCTGGTGCTGCTTCAACTGCCGCTACAACTGGCAGTCCCATTGCTGCTCGTTGCGTCAGAAGAGCAAGGCGCAACGTCGTCTTGGCGATGAAGATCACGTTGGCGGACGAGGCGGTAGCCCTATACTTGGAGAGGACCATGATGTTGTACAGTTTGGCGATGAGGATCATGGCGTTGAATCAGCGAAGGCCGACGAGCCTGATGCCGCTCTCCCGGCTGTCCTAGGAGGACCAGCTGCCCCAGTTGTGGCTTTGAACCGAGATAGCCTCAACAGACTGAACCAACTCTGGATCATCCCCCGCGGAATCCGCCTGGGCTCGGAGTTTGTGGAAGCTCGCCAAGGCTACGAAATCGATGCCCACGATAGCCACGTGCGCGTTGTGACGGTTCTCGGTGGTGTTGTTACCTTGAAAGTCAAAGGGGAATACCACGAAATTTGCCAAGGAGGCGCTTTCGTGGTAACCTCTGGCTCGGCTTGTGGGGTGAGAAACGAGGGCCCGGAGCGTGCTGAGGTTATGTGGACCATCGTTGAATTGGGTGCGGCTTGAAGGAAGTGAAGGACGATGTAAGAGGGTTATTAAGTAGGCACTTGAGCGGCTTTAACGAAGATTTAGAAGAGGCAGATATGGCAAATTTATACAATACCAGCAGTGCATGATGATGCTATACAGCCCCCTGCCTGAGCACAATTACACCGACAGCTGTACCGACAGCTGCACCAACAAAAGCACCGACAACGGTACAGACAACTGCACCGACAACAGCATTTCACCGACAACTGCACCAACAAAGGCCAAGGCGCTGTTACTAGCAATCAAGAAATGGCGAATGGGGTCGTCAGCCTTCGTAGGTGCTTGGGTGATCACTTGGCCCATCATCACGGTTATAAAGGTCTGGGGGAATGGACGGTTCGCGGTCTTGTTGCGGCTGCCGCGGCTCGGTCCGTTGTCCGTTGTCCGTTGTCCGTTGGATCGCTGACTAGCACCCGGCTATCCGGCACGAACCCCTGGCATCAGCTTAAAGAAAGAGGTGGAGACCCGGGAAGACTCGATGCTTATTTAAACTGCAGGCACGAGAAATGCGTCCAATTCATGGATATTCAACGTTCTGCTCATGCCGCCAGTGCACCTTGCGAGGATTATCTAACGTGATGAGTAAGTAGGTAGAACTATCCTCGGCTGGCAGGGTGACGTCAAGGGATGCTGATCCTTTGCCGTTCCTACCCGCCGATAAAATAGTTGTGGTGTAGGCGCTGCCAAGGACCGAAAAGGGGCAGGGGAGTCGGTCAGGCCTCAGCTTATGTGTGCCCCTAAGCCGCATCTGTCGCAAGCGTGCGGGCGACACTGCGTGTCTTGCGCATCAGATGACCAGCCATCTGTATATATGGTTGCAACGGTGCGCCAGTAAGCTTGGGGCTGAAGAGATTATCGACGGTGCGTGTGCCTGTAGAAGAGCCGCAGCTGGTCACACCACCTGTGCCACTCAGCCTTGCGGCAAACCGGAATTGCCTATATGGTTGTACCCTTCTTGCCTTTTCAAGGTCTTGTCTCAGTCATTCTCTTTGATGCTCTTCACACGTCTGCCACTGTCATTTGGGTGACGCTCGGATTCCACTGGTGATCAAGATGACAGCAGGACCGCAGGACCGGCAGGATGCCACTCTCGCGGTTGAGATGGAGGCGCAGGAAGTGATGCCGGTCAGAGATGTGCCGATCCACAGACCAGAGGAACGGCAGTCTACGAGTGAGCGGTCGCTGAAAAGCGAGGATGCGACCGAGGATGCGACCGAGGATGGATATCTGAAGGAATTCATTCCCGCCGCTTACTCTCACTGGGACCCGGAGCCAGGCTTCGCGCATATCGACGGCGACATCAGCGGCCGTGGCTACAACGACACGACTGTCGACGTGATCGCCGTGCCATGCATTGGCGCTTCTCCGGTCGATACCTGGGCACGAGACCCCCTGAGCGAGGGTTACTTCGGGTTCCCTGTGGCGACCGAACTCGACAAGTATTCCACCGTCAAGGAGCTGCCCGGAAGCAGCCTACTCTCGCCAACCATTGACCGCGTTCTGCCCAAGGCCAGTCACACCTGGATCAGACAGGGCATTCGCAAAGAAGTCAACACTGCCCGGGTCATGCTGTACAGACACCGCGAACTCACCGAGGGCATGACGCTTGAACAGGCAGCTGACGATCTGCTGGGACAACTCGCAAAGATGCGCGCTGGCCTGACGAAGTCGCGGCCCATCTTCTTTGTGTGTCACAGCATCGGAGGCCTAGTCGTCAAGTCAGCCATGGTCAAAGCTAGCCAGAAGGAGGAGCTGAAGCCTCTGGTGTTTGATTGTCATGGCATGGCTTTCTTTGGTAAGATCACTTTCACATAAGGGCATGTTCCATACACTAGTTAACTGACAGGACAGGCACGCCTCACCGGGGATCCAGCTACCTGTCCATGCCAAACCTCCGCGAGAGCATCCAGCATCTACTCTATCTGCAGAGCCCCTTACCAAGATCCATTACCGACGAGCTACGGCTGGGCTATAAACCCCTGTTGCGATTACACGAGCAGTTCATGGATATCGCCAGTGAGCTCAGAATTTGGACCTTCTACGAAATGATTGACTCCCAACTGTCGGGCCTGGGCACTTCTGACTTTGACGAGGTTCACTTCAGTGCTCCTATCACTTCCATCAAGTCCTGTTTGATCGGAACCAGAGCGGAGCAGGCGTTGTCACTAGAGAGCGACCATGCCCACTGCGCCTCTTTCGGGCCGCTCAACATACGGATGATGCACTCTTTCCTTGCTGATCTGGGGCAGGCGGTTCGTAAGGCCGAGTCTCTAAGCGCGAACTTCATCCATACGCCGCTGCGACTCCCAAGCAAAGTCAAGCTTGAGTTGATTGGGTTCTACGAAGATCCCGATAGCGAGACGAGCCAAGATCTTAGACTTTACGTGACGAGGCACTATCTGGATGAGTTCCTTGACAAAGGACCAGAGAGCTGTCTTCGAGAACGATTAAACACCGTAGCAGCGGAACCTCGAAGGGGAACTCTGCCTCCATCACGGCGCCTCACAACGAACCCTTCCAGGATGTCCGGTGCTCTGGGGATCATGCAAGAATTTGGCCAAAGGTTCCTGGGCTCGGCTCGACCCGACGACTCATCGAAAGGCCCTGGGCAGGAGACAGCGGACGCCGGCTCGCCAGAGATTGTAGTGACAAGCCACGCACGGCGACCTTCAGTGGCTGGCGCAGCAACAGAACCGTTGCCTAACACTACCCCAAGACGAAGCCCAGGTCTGACTGTGCCTTCCTTGTCGACGCCGGGATTTGGACGACCATCCAGTCGAAGTAGCAGCGTCGGGACTGACAGCGAAGGTACAGGGAGAACTCTCTCAGAGCCTCTGGGAACTGATATCTCCCCAAAGGAGGGTGGTAGAGCGCCACAGATTGGGCCTGCGAATTCACATGATGTGATGCCGGGTATAGACGAGAGAGACCACATATCGGAGAGAAAAAGTCGACGCGATCGCATGAGTCGTGCATCCGCTTTGCAAGACCTGACCGCTGGATTCTCCAGGCCGGATCCGACCAAGAGGAGATTCATGTGGATTCATCTACCGTTCAACAATCCTCACTGGGTGAAGGTAGGGGCACTTCTTCAAGTAGTGAATGCAAATTGGCAAGCTGACCTATTCACCAGAGCATTTTCGGAAAGCTTTCCGAGACCCAGAACCGAAGCTATTCGAAGCTTCTGAGCAACGACTACTGGGCTAGCAAGCACGTTCAAGGGAGGCATTCCAACTTACACGGCTCGTACGTAAAACCAGGTTGCGCGTTTGTCCCCGCAGAAGCCAGTAAGGAATCCTAGCGCCGTTATACGTATAGTCATCAAGACTAATGTATCTGCCCTCAGACTCACCCCGTCCATCATCCTCAGGAAGAAATGGAAGAAGCACCAGCCCAAGCATATATCCGTCCCACTTGTACTTGTACCTCCCGTACTTGCACTACGATACTTATGTTAATATTGTGAGGCGTCGTAGCATTGTCACGAGGCGGATGAAGCATGGCAGGGCAAGGCCTGTTCCCAAAGACATCAGTCAGCTCGAGTCGCTCGAGTGTCGAGTAATATGGGAATTTATTGGCCATGATCCACCACTCCACACACGAAGAACGCTAGATGAGTATGGCTACCCGTCATTACGGGATACCTATGCCAGGGACGATGATCAAATGTTGTACAAGCTTACAAAAGAGAGGTTGACGATGCAGTCCAACCGCAAGCGGGACATGTACCATCCTGGCGGCGAATCTTTCAGTGCTGTTTCGCCAGCTAGTCGATTCAGGTCGATTGCGGATACGCTCTTGAAGTCTGATGCGGCCAGTCGTGCAGATGACACAGAGCCGGAGCTAGAAGATGATATCATCGATGGTAAAGTGCTCATGGTAGACCAGTTGTGGTTGTGGGCCGTTGATGCAAGTAAGTCGACAAATGATCCCCTCGACTTAATCGACCACTGACAGCCTCCAGCGACTTTGATGACGTTCTTCCCAAAACGAGAATCCCAGCCGACAGAAGGTCCTCTTTTTCAACAAGCGGACCTCAGAAATAGTGTCTATAATGAGCTCAACGGAGATCTGACTGGACGCTGCAATAACGCGTATGACTTGGCAGCTTTCATCACCCTTCACGCGGTCACTGTTCTCCTCGACCGAAGCTCCCATCCCGATCTCGAAATCTTTCGCATCTTCGAGGAAGCCCTGGGGATATTGGTATGTGCCCAACCTCCCCTTCTCTAGGAGCTCAAGTGCTAAGTGTTTCATAGACCGAGAAGATGACCTCGTCACTCAAACGATTCCGAATGCAGACTTACAGGGATAATATTCCCAGTGAGTCAGACTCGGACGAAGGGGACGACAACAAGTCGTCAACCATCAAGAAGAGACACAAAAGAGAGCTGCAACGAGCCGAAAGACAGAACCGCGAAAACACATCGGCGCTGCTCGAGCTTCGCGACATGGAGGACGAACTCAGCACATTGAAGATCCTGTTCTCTGAACAGCAGGCCACGATTGAGGTCATGAAGATGAACTACGAGAAGCCGGAGCTTCAGACGAACACGGAGTGCGGTCGTGCATTCCTCAAAGAGGCGCTGAAGAGGCTGAAAGAATACCAGAAACAAGCGCATGACATGATCGAGCGCGTAGATACCACAAGGAAAGATGTGAGGACCTTTGCGAGACCCAATAGGTAACAACACCGCTAACAAGCCCCCGCAGTATGAGAAACTCCAGGAGATGATCCAGCGCCAAGCCCAAGTCGACGAAGTGCGCTGGTCGAGATTACAGACGGAACTCGCGAGCTCCCAGAACCTCTCGGTCATGATCTTCACCACGTTCACCGTTATTTTCCTGCCCCTGAGTTTCTTCACCAGTCTCTTCGGCATGAACACGCAGGAATGGGGAGGCCCTGACGAGAACAACTTCGTCAGCCTTGGGGTCATTGGAGCAATCGCCCGTACGTGCATTGCTGTAACAAGCCAGATACACTGGATATATCAACTAACAGTGACCTACTGTAGTCCCAGCCTCGGCCTTCCTCGTCGGCACAGCGCTCATCGCCGCCTTCAGCAGCCGCATCCAAGCCGTCTTCAAAGCCATCTTCCGCATATACCGCTCGGGCGTCACACACTTGACGCACGAGCTATCCAAGCTGAAACCAAAGGCATCGAAAGAATCCAAAGAGAGGCGCAAGGAGATGAAGGCGATGCGGGAGCAGCGGCGGCAGCGTAAACGAGAGCGCGGCTACGACTTCTGGGAGACGTTACGAGCGGACCGGCGCCCCGAGTACGAGATCCCAGATATGAATCGGAAGGGGGCTACGAAGAGGAGGCTGGCGGGACGTGGGACGTGGAGGAAGATGGTGAAGGATGGCTATTGATGGATGTGGTGGTTTGTAAGCGTGATCATGATACCCGATGGCGTTCTCGTTGTCCTATTAGTCCAGCAACTTGTGTTGACTTGGGCGTCCCCATATCCCCAAATGAAAAATAGTAATTTTTCGGTAAAAATTTTATGTAGAGTTGCATATTGATTTTTGCTAACGGTGAAATCTTATACGTTTTCTTAATGCGGAAAATACAACTAAAGTTCGTAAAAATGATAGCATTGAAGGCTTCGATCTGTAAGTCAGTACTTGAATACAATACATTTGACGTTTACCTCGCTCCTGAAGTATAGAGCTATGTCTGGTCATACTTAGGACATCTGCACTCACTTAGTGGCGGGTTGAAGCTGCCCGAATGGGGGTGACAACTAGGCCGAACGACCACAGCTCAACCGTCGTTCCACGCCGCTGCATACTGATGTCATCGCTCGTCACATCATCACACATAGAACCGCCCATTATTACTCACATCCATCACGGTCAGCAAACCGAAAACAACTTCTACGAATGCACCGACTGTTTCGACCTTACACCAAAGTCCCGTTGCAGAAGGTAGCAAGAATGGCGACCGTGGATACATCCATTCCTCCCAAGACCACCGGCGCCGCAGCCAAACTAGCAGCGGCGCACGAGGCCGAACATCCGCTCAAGCTGTACGGCGGCTGGTTCTGCCCCTTTGTGCAACGCAGCTGGATCGTTCTGCACGAAAAGAAGATTCCGCACCAGTACGTGGAAATCAACCCATACAAGAAGGCCGCCGACTTCCTCGCGCTGAACCCGCGGGGCCTGGTGCCGACGCTGGCCGTGCCCGTGGGCGACCAAGGCAAGACCCAGAAGCCGCTGTACGAGAGCAGCGTCATCTGCGAGTATTTGGATGAGGCATACTCGGACGAGAGCAAGTACGGCCCTGACCTGCTGCCCAAGGACCCGTACGAGCGCGCGCGGTGCCGACTCTGGATCGACCATATCAGCAACAAGATCATCGCCGGCTTCTACCGGTTCATTCAGCACACGCCCGAGAAGGACTACAGCATCGGAGAGGCGCGGACGAATTTTTTGACGCAAATCAAGACGCTAGCCAAGGAAATGGACGACAGCGGGCCGTGGTTCCTGGGCGAGACCTTCGGCCTGGTCGACATCATGCTGGCGCCGTGGGCGATGCGATTGTTCCTCATTGACCACTACAAACCGGGTGGCGTGGGTGTCCCTGCTGAGGGTCAAGGTGGCGAGGATGAGAAGCTCTGGGCTCGGTGGCGAAAGTGGTTTGATGCTATTGTTGCACGACAGAGTGTCAAGGAGACTTGGAGTGACGACGCGCTGTATATCCAGGCTTACAAGCGGTATGCGGAGGATACCACGAATTCTGAAGTTGGTCAGGCTACGAGGAAAGGGCAGAAACTTCCGTGAGAAGGGGTGTTTCGATACCTTGGCATTCGGGGGTGGAAGGATGAGTGGGCAATCCAGCAAGATCTGGTGTTAGAGCTTCTACTGAGTAGATGCTGCAGGAGCAGGGGAGCTTGCAACCCGTTGCAGAACTTTCCAATACTCGCCTTTTGCTAATCAAACACGATCCTTCGCTCAAGTCCGGTCGTGCTTCAGACGATATTCCTCCTGTTTCCTGACACAAAACGCTGTTTAACACAGTTGTTTGTGAGTGACAGCTCACTTCCTTGGGAGACTCCAGAGCTTGTCGGCATTGCACGACAGCGTATTGTACACCGTCACAAACAAGAAAGGCCGCACCAGCAAAGTCCAATGACGATGTCCAAGTGACGATGTTCAATCTTAGTTGAGCCCCTATTGTCCACGGGGCCGCCCCTGAGCTTTTCGCGGGGGGTCGCCCCTTGGACCACAGCCCTCGGCCACCCCACCCAACAAGGATCATACCAAAACATCTCAAGTTTCATGTTGCCAACGTCTTCAATGCGTCGGCTCTTCTCTTCGACCAATATGAGCTATAATCCTCGATATCGATTTACTTGTTCCGTCTGAAGTCGATCACAAAATTTTGTTCTGACCTGTTGGCTTCTAGAACATGCCCAGGTCTAGGCCGCGTTCCCCCTGCGCTGCCCATGAACATGCTGGTCAAGTGGTGTTCAAATGCTTCAGCAGAGTCATATTACTCTTTCTACGATCTCCAAGTACAGCGATGATTTCGAGTTCTCTAAGCATGACGGTTTGTCGACCCGGCAGTATTCTCTCGACCTTGCGCACGTGGCCTTTGCTAGAACAAGAACAGACAGTCGATGCTCTTGTTTCTAGGAGACCACCGGGATCTTGGTCTCATCTCAAGGCTGCCTGCTTCGCAGCTTCATCAGCTCCGGGCCGTTATTCGCTTGTTGCTGATGAAGCTGCATTGCTTCTGTGCCCGCGTGTGGCTTGCTTCAGAGTACAGTCTGCAGACGGAGCCGAGCCTTGGATGTCTAACCTAGGATTCGAACGTTGTTTGGTCCCCTGAATGCGCCCGCCAAGCAGCCGGAAACCAAGCACTCAGCCAGTCTCTGCTCTCCCGGGCCACGTATAGGACTATTTCCGTCCCAGGTGACAGGACAGGCATTAGGTTTTGACGGCGACCTGATCATGTACTCAATGCGTGACATCCCTTCATCGAATCAGTAGACTCATCTTGGGGGCCTCTTGGGGTGTCGCCACAGTGGCTCAGCCCATGCTTTCTTACAGCTTGGCTGGGGTCCTTTCCTTGATGCTATATATTCATCCCCATCCTGTCTTGCGGGTTTTGCCTTGTGTCTTGCTTCGTTTCTTCGCTCCAACTAGACACTTTCGTTAAACATATTCACAATAGACAGCTTTCATTTCACATAGGACGAGTCCCAAACTAGTCACCATGAATACCTCAACCTTCCTTCCCGCCTTCACGCTGGCACTTACCACACTCGCTGAGCCGGCCCAGTTCGAGCCCCCAACCAAGGTCTCGAGACATTGCCACAGTCACATCAGTCATCGCCCAGATCTCAGATGCCATGGTCAAGCTCGACACATCGGTCAAGGCCTTCGAGAGCGACACAACCCAAGTGCAAGCAGACACGCAAAACCTCGTCACCACCATCGACTCAGGTGTGACCACGCTCGCGGGATCCGGAAACCTAACCCTAACCGACACCCTCGGCCTGCAGGACGTCGTGGCCTCGCTCAGCACCATCGGCCAGACCCTGATCACGGATATCGAAAGCAAGAAGTCCCAGTTCGAGGCGGCTGGCCTCTGCACCGGTCTCGAGTCCAGAAACACAGCCGTGGCCACCTCAGCCCAGGCGCTGGTCGATGCTGTCGTCCAACAAGTTCCCGCTGAGGTGCAGGAGCTGGCTAAGCAGCTCTCCAGTGGACTCACGGACGCCCTGGCAAAGGGGGCGGCTGCTTTGGGTCCCGATAGCTGCCAGAACTCTGGTAGTGCCACAGCCTCCGCGACCTCTCTCGGGAGCGTCATCGCCGTTTCATCTGCAAAGGCCGTCATAGCCAGCTCGTCTGCGGCGGCTCTCATCCAAACCTCATCTGCAGTAGCCATCGCTACCAACGTCGCCACCGTCACCGTCACGGCGCCGTGCGTCTGCGTAGGCACTTCGAAGACGAGCGCGATACCATCCTGACTACGAGCGCGATTCCCATCCTCACCACAAGTGCCATTGCAGTCGTTACCCCGCCCTTCGCGGCGAACTCGACGTTCGCTACTCCCACCGCGACCGGGGCGCTGACGACGGGGACTTTTGTGACTATACCCAGCGGAGCTGCTGTGGCGAATGGTGTCGGTTCCGTCGGTGTCATGGCTGGCCTGGCTGCTGCGTTGTTCCTGTAGGGAATTTGGCTCTGTTTTCTTTTCGTTCATGGTGAAACTGGTGGTTCGGGATTTGGGCTGGGCTCGGCTTGTGATACCTAAAGCTGGTTCTTTTTCTCTTCTTTTATATTATGATCATTCTCCGCGCTTCCGTGCCGAGGCAGGAGTACCAGCTGTGGTGTCATGTATATAGTCTTTACAGATGTTAGACCGTATAAATGAGAGTTTTACTTATCACGCCCGGTCATGAGGAGACACGCTCTGAAGCTAATCTCGTCGGACGACGTTGAGAACTCTGCTTTGAATGACGGGCTGTGCTACGTAAGTAACTCCAGCTACTACAACCGAGGTGAAGTAGTATAATGCTTCAAGGTCTAGATATTGCAGCAAGTTGATATTCGAGTGCTTATTTGTCTCCATTCACCCCAGCTAACTCCCTATACTCACTGACGCCAGTGTCTTTGGCCTTTCCCAGAAGCACACCCCGAGATTAGTATGTTGCTGCGCATCCTGGCACTTCGGGAGTAGGGGTCGGGCAAGGCGGCGGGGTGTATGTGACACGCTCGCCTATATCATGACATCTGTGAAGGATCAGCCAATCTTCTTCGCCAGAGACAGTATCGTCGTGACATACCCTCCGTAACCCAGCGTAGTCGTCGGCGTGGATGAGCCGCAGGGCTTAAAATAGTCCTCGCATATGGTCCCCGTGCTGGTGAAGGTGGGGGTGGTGGTTGAGGAAGTCACTGGACAAGGTGGCGCCGTGGGCTTCGAGTGGGTGCTGCATACGGGGTAGCATCCTCCATATGGGATACCTACGCAGGCTCCAGGTCAGGGAGGTTCGGTGAAGGAGGCTCAGAGAGCGAGAGGTATGTCTCCTGTTGCAGAAGTGCAGGGGCACCAAAGATAAAGCCCTCTGAGCGATCCGAGAACAGTCGGGTGCAACGTACCACAGTCGTTCACTGCATCAATACAGAGTGTAGCGCAGTGGGTCGACGAAGGGCAGGGTGGCTTGGAAGGCAGCTCTTCGGTGCATCTATCGATGCAGCCACCATACGTCATTCCTATTCGGCTTGTCAGTGGTACTCCCATGGTAACACCTAGAGTATGGGCAGGTGTCTGTGCAATGTATGACTGACCACACTCGTTGATCCCCTCAATACAGAATGTACCGGGACAGCCAGACATTTCGTCGGCAGGGCGAGCGGCAGCAACAGCTGCGATCGCCAGGATGCAAAGGTTGAACAGCATGGCGAGTTTCTTGTGTGGCTTTTTTTGATCGTGTCACCCATTGGTCTCAGAACAAACTTGAGAATTCCCGCGGGAATATCGGTTTTTATAGTCAACGTCTTTGGAATGTGAGGAACCTATGGCCAACCTCGTGATCTGCTCAGCCCAGCCTCCAGTACCACTGGCTGTCGATCATTGAGATTTGTACCCCTTCGAGAGACGGCGACTCTCTATTAGGAATTCTAGTCCAAAGACACAAGGTTCAACGTTCAACATACCCTGAAGGTGTCAATAGGGCAAGCCACTCGACAGAGAAGGGTGATTGGGGCGTGCATAATCCAAGGAGATGTCCCTTCTTATGATCCCATCGTGAAATATGGCCAAGCCTAGCAACAATAAATTTCAGGTTGATTGGCAATGGCAATGCGTTGCCTGGCTTCCACAATTAGTGATGCGACTTACGGCATGGAGAAGGAACATCAAAGTCAGAAAGACCAGCCCTGTCTAATATCTTTTTGTTTGGCCTGACAAGGCGTTTTCGGAGACCCGTCATTCAGCATACATGGTCTCTACCTCTGTCATATGTAGAGATTGTTCGTATATGCTCCCAATCAGAGCAAGGTGGCTGACCGCGAGGATACATATCTTCTGTAGTGAAGGTAGGGGAATAATGACCAAGTCAACCTTTGTTGAGCACCTGGCACTGGGTACCAGACCCTTCCACCTGGTCTCTGGGCGATCACTGAGGGGACAGGACACCAGGAGTCACCTCCAGTCTTTACCCCTGACAGTCTAGCTCAGGGGCTCTGCTGGACCTGGCTGACAGCTGGCGCGCGGAGTTTCACCACCTGAGCGATCCGGGGTTCCATTGTGTGGCCCAAGCTCCCAGTGCCTAGACGGGCTATGACGGGCTCTAACGATAGCCCCGCGAATCACCTGCTAGCGCTCAATGATTTCGAGCCGCTGCTCTTCAGCTTCTCACCCGATGTGCGATGTACGAACATCTTCGACTGTCGGGCTTTATGAGGCGTCAGGCTTCCAGGGCTTCAACGAGCCAGGCTGGGTCACATAGCCGGACAGGATATTGCTTCGTGCGACGAGGACGGTAGGTGACCATGAAGCGCAACTCATCGATGCGGTGCAACGTGAAAGGCCATCAACCTGTTGGTGTCTTCTGAAGACCCCGGGAGTCTCCAGCGATTTCGCATTTGTTGAGGAACACGAAGTCAAAGTCACCATTTCGGCACACAACCCGGAGGGAGAAATCCAACTTTTCATGGCTCGTCGTCAATCACCACTATCAGATGCCAACGCAAGCTGTGGTGGCTCTGCAGTTACCGAAGTCGTCGAGACTCGGATTTACAGTGTCTGACATGGCATCGGCGATCGCATATGTATTCCCGGCCTTCAGAGTCCAGACCTGTCAAGTCCCGTCGTCCGACAGAATGACAACCGGCTATTAGGTACCGACCTAGGCGCCTGCTTATGTGGAAGTGTACAGCCCAGACCTCTCAGGGCGCACCGCCTGACTGCTCGAGTGAACGTTCGCTGCTTTTAGTCAGACTTTGGTGACTGGCCGGTGCCTAAAATGCGAGGACGCTTGCTGAGCTGGCACGCGTCGACGAGCACAGGGTCACAGGGGCACACGAAAGACACCGACCAAAGACAGAAGACACCGAAGTGGCAGAGTGGCAGACATGAGATCATGCGCGGGGGCGGGTCGGTCACTTAAAGGGGCAGCAGCAGAGTTCCAATCATGAGTGAGGTGGCGACGAAATGACAGTACAGTATTACCGAGAAGAGGGTTCAGAGGGTCCGGAGTGGCAGAGGCAGAGAGGTAACCGTCAGGGGGCTGAGGGGGCGTGTACATACGCTCCCACTTCCCAGCCATCGCCCATCGCCCATCGGGGATATTCCACGACCAGTTGGCAGTGACATCATAAGCCAATGCGCAGTGCGTTTCCGGCAATCAGTGAGAGCTTGTCCCAGATGCGCGACATTCATTCGCTACACCGCCAGATCACCGCTGCAGGGTCCAGCAGGCTCGAACATTCCGTGACGGGAAGCAGTAGACAGGAGGCCCCAGCAAAGCACACGCCGGAAGCGCACAACCGGACAACCTGCAAAGTTCAAACCTACGTCGACCTGCCTCCGCCTCCAATTATCCAGGCTATCCTGGCGACCTCACGAACCTTTTAAGACCCGCCCCGCCGCTTACAGTCACGTTCCTGGCTTGCCAGCACCATTCTTGGACCCAGCCAGTCACTCATTGACCACTTATTGACATCGCAGACCATGGGATCCCGAGCAGGTAAACACCACGGCCGCTACGACGACCCGTATACCTACGATGACCCTTACCTCCATGCCTCGCCCACGAGCAAGGACGCCGAGCCTGCCTACGAGTACGTAGGCACCGACGAGCCCGAATATTCCCATGATCCCGCACCTCCCCGTCACACATACTCACCGGACCATGAGCCTCGACGGCGGCCTAGCCCGACAAGGAGGATGTCGAGGACGACGAGCCCGCCTCGTCGCTCTAGGCACCACCGCAAACACTATTCACCACCCCCACGAGACAGCCCTCGAGACAGCCCTCGAGGCGGTGGGAAACGTACCGACTCGAGGCGCCAGAAATACCAAGAAAAGTATCAGGACTTTGCTCAAAAGCCGGCTGTTCAACGCACCAAGACATATGGCCGTCAAGGGTTGAACCTCATCGGAGAAGCCGCCGCCGCCTACGCTGCTGCTCAGGCCGGAGGACGTGAAGAACCTAGAGGTCCGCGAGGGCGGTCTCTGGGTCGCGAAGAAGCCTACGGCCGCTACTCCCCCGAACCACCAGAACCACGCCGCAGTCGCCACAGTCGCCGATACTCGCCGAGCCCCTCCCCGTCCCCCTCACCACCGCGGCGGCACCGCTCATCCAGGACCGACGACCGGGGGCGTAGCGATCGCCCCCGCCTGAACGATCGGTACAAATCCTACAGCGCTTCTCCGCCACCACGGAGTCGCAAACCAGATTCAGAATATGACCTTGACGACCGTGGGCGCGAGCGTCGGCACAGGCGACCAAAGCCCCGGTCCCCTTCCATCACCTCGTCGCCATCACCCCCTCCCCGCTCCAGACGCCGTGGTCGCTCCGGTCCCTCGACCCCATCGTCCGGCTTCCGATCAACGTTCAAGAACGAACACGCAATGCCGGGCGAGGTCGCTGCCGCTCGGTGGCAGATGGCAGCACGCGCGGCCCTCGAGGCGGGTGGCGTGACCGCATTCCGGCTGCGGAAGGAGCCCGGGAAGTGGACTGGAGATAAAGGCGCAAAGGTAGCCACCGCTGCCCTAGGCGCTGCCGCCATCGACGCCTTCATCGATAAAGATCCGAGACGCTCCAAGTCATCTGGCCGTGGAATGAAGGGTATGGCTGAAAACGCGATTGGCAGTATGCTGGCTTCACAACTGATGGGTTTCAAAGGATCGACGTCGAGGGGTAAGCCGAGATACTGATGTGGTCGGAGAGGCTGCTGGTAATTCCTTCATGTTGTGTTCTGTTCTTGTCTTGTCGTATTTATTGTTATTTGCCAAAGTTCTTGCAGAGGTCTTTGCCTCGAAACTAGCGAGCCTTGTTATGATTGCAGCGTTCTTTGGATTTTACGACTTGATTTACCGACTTCATGCGACTGGGCGCCTCAAGCGGGATGAAAAGGATATGTGGCTGACTATAGCAGGGCGTGAGCGCGGGTAATGGCACGACGACGATACAATTTCTTTCCAACTCCATGTTTTATATAAGGGCATGTTTAGAAACAGGGCACGAGGACGGCGTTGGAATTGGGCACTCCCATCTAATTGAAGGCATTTCAACACAAACCTGGAAGGGCTCTATGAGCACTCAAGTCTGACTCTTGTAGTCTCTCCTAATAGAGCTCTATTGTTGTCTCTAATCGCCACGAGCCGGATCTATTGGCCTGCTCGGGGAAGAAGTGACCAAACTCATCACCATGCCCATAGCTCTCACCCAGGGTTGGCGTTAGCAACTCGATTTATCAGCCTCCTCAACCTATTTGATGACGACTTTAGCACAGGCAGGGCACTCGGAGCACTTCATGAGGTGCCAATGAGATGGGAGCTTTCCACCCGTGTACTTCTTTCATGCTACTCGAGGCTATGGTTACATCTCAAGATAATATAACTGAACAACATCGTAGCCTGACTTGGTCTGCCATTCCAACCCTTCACGTAAGGTATGCAAGGAAGCCGGCGTGCCCAGCGTGGAGGTATACAACGGTTCGTCCATCCCTCCATCCTACACACCGACACCACATCGTCCATCCCAAGCTGACAAACCCGCAGTCTACGCAAGCGAGTTGACCGACCCAGCCCGCTCCTTCGACGTGGATTTGGACACGTTCTGGCAGCACATGGACATTAACGTAGCCAGCGGCTAAGTCGCGGCGTGCCAAGCCGTCGTGGGTTTCGAGCAACTAGGTCCCGGGGAGGGACTTCCATCTTGACGGGCAACCTGCTCAACGTCGGTGCAGCGTCGCAGCTCTTGCGAAAAAGCGCGGCTGCGCATTTGGTCCAGCATCTTGCGCTTGCGGCGTATGCGGATGAGCCGTGCAAGTACGTGCAATACCCCCGGGCCGACGATAACGAGGACTGCGGTTCGGTTTAGTCTGTTCTGTTGAGGGGGTAAAGGTTGCTGACACGTCGGTGTAGGTTCCACTTCGGCGACGAGCGATTGGAGGACGGAGCGGGTAGTGGCCTTGAAATCGATGGTGAGGCTGATAATGAGGCCTATCTCGAGTTGGCTGAAGACCTGATGCAGAGGCCTTAGCAGTATACGTTTGTGAAGGGTAAGAGCCGTGTGGATTTTCCTCTTAAGGAGCTGCAGTTATTTTCTCGGCATGGTGTGGAGGAGTAGTTGGCCATTTCCTGGATATCATTGTAGGAAATACAGGTCGCGATCAGCTCCTGGATCAGTCAATTTGGGTACAAAACCGTCCTGTCTCTGTATGTGTGGCAAGTATGACATTCTTCCCGAAAGCGCATGTCAGGCTAGATCACATTGAACGCAACATGACTTCATAGCAAATTGATTGACTACGAATGGAGGAGTCTATAGATGTAGACGACCAGTGTCGATGTTGCTGATGGCCAAGCAAGTATATACAAGAATGTATGAAATTACCAGCCAGCACACCAGCTTCTGCGTCATCGAATGCCATCTATAGCAGCATGTTGTAGCGAAGAATCGACGTTCTCGCAAGTCCCCTATCTCAAAGACAGATTTGGATGGTATCATGTCCGGTCTGTTCAGTTATTGACCCTCCTCTGACGCAATATTGTGCATACTGCAAGAAATATCAGCGGTCGGCTCATTGAAATGGCTGGGGTCAAGGTAGCACATACCTGATGTCCTCCCGGTTGTCTGGCGTCCGCGGTGGGAGTGCCTCCGCAAGCGGTGAAGTGGATCCGTCGCCGCCGTGAGCGAGAGGATTCTTTCTGACCTGCAGTGTAGCCGTCTCGTTGGTGGGCACAAGAACGGGGCCACTGTTGCCAGTCGCAACCGCGTCTTGACCCTCTACCGCATCGGGCAGCTTTCTCTTCTTGCCTTTGCCGCGAAGCTCATCGAGATGTTCAAAGTAGCCGACCGGTACCTCCGTCTTGTACTTGCCGCAGAACACTCCAACCTCGAAGTCCTTCACCTCGCCTTCCGGGGCAGCCTCTGTGCAAGCTGCCGCCAGGTCTTCGAGAGACTGATATATCACGTCGTCACTGCCGATGTGCTTGGCGATGTCTTCTCTGGTTTTCTCATGCGCGATGAGCTCCTGGGGGCTAGCGAGATCGATTCCATAGATATGGGGATATACGATGGTCGGCGCGCAGGAGGCAAACAGGACCTTGCGAGCGCCAGACTCTCGAGCCATGCTGACGATTTCTCTACTGGTGGTGCCTCGTACGATGGAGTCGTCAACTAAACAGACAACACGCCCCTTGAACTCGGTTTCAATGGTGCTGAGCTTCCTTCGGACGCTTTTCTGCCTCGCTTTTTGACCGGGCAGAATGAAGGTGCGGAAGACATAGCGATTCTTCACAAATCCATTGGAAAGGGGGATACCGAGTCTCTCTGAAACAACCGACGCGGATGTGTTGCTAGTCTCCGGAACCGGAATGATAACGTCAATCTCCTTGATTCCAGCTTCTCCCAGGATCTCCTTCATCTTATCGGCCAGCTTCAGTCCCATGTTTTGTCTACTGCGGTGGACGCTGATGGAATCGATAATGGAGTCAGGCCTAGCGAAGTAGACATATTCGAAGATGTCTGGGGTGTACCCCTGTCTTGGAGCAACCTGCTTGAAGTCTGCCTTTCCACCCTTTTGAACGAAGACAGCCTGGCCCGGAAGAATGTCCTTTATGTCTCCGAAGCCCAACTGACGGAGTGCAACACTCTCAGAGGCCATCATGTAGTCTTTGGCGCCCTCAATAGTTGCAGATGGGCGACTGCCAATGACGAGCGGGCGGATTCCATGTGAATCACGGAAAGCTAGGATGCCAAAGCCAGCGATCATGGCAGTGACAGCCCAGGCGCCCTGGCACTTCTTGTATGTCGCTTCCAAGGCGCGGAAGATGTCGTCAACGTTGACACGGGCCTTGCCCGTCTCGTTCAAGGAGTTTGCGAAGATGTTGAGCATGAGCTCGCTGTCCGAGTCGGTGTTGCAATGTCGGTGCGCTTCCTGGTCGAGAAAACGTCGCAGCTCGGGCGCATTGATCAGGTTTCCGTTATGTGCGAAGCAGATACCGTAAGGGCTGTTGCAGTAGAAAGGCTGGCTTTCAGCGCTCGAGCTGGTTCCTGCCGTGGGATATCTCAAGTGGCCGAGGCTAAGCAAAGGGCACAAAGAGTTAGCTGACTGGCTGACGGGTTGTCCTCTCGAAGCGCAACGGGGACTCTGGTGGTGTAGAGTAGACTCACCCCATGTAACCAGGCAAGTCCTGCACTCGCTTCCCATCATTGAAGACCTAACTTCACAGTTAGCTAAGCGGTTCCTGCATGCTGCTTGTGCCATCGTGTACCTTTGAAGCCATTCCGCTGGTTGTGATGTCAGCTTCCAAACCTCTGGACACAGCACGAGGCTGGTGGGATATGCTACTCACTTCCCCTTGCACTGAAATATTCTACCGCCGGCAGCGCATAGAGCCAGTCCGCAAGCATCTTGGCCCCGATGCTGTAGGTAATATACTAATCAGCAGTTAGAGACGCCTCATCTCAATGCTGTATATACGGAACAGGACAGCCCAAGTTGCTACTCACGACTCTCGTGCAGTTCAACGGCTGCAACATTGTGCGAGCTGGTGTCAGCCAGAAGGAGACCTGTTACACCACACATGATGCCGGTATTTGTGCGACGATCGTCAGAGTAGCACGATTGGTACTCGGTGTGTAGTTCGAGGTGCGGGATGCGAGGTGCAAGACGTGAGGCCGGCGACAAGGGGCGGAAATCGCTTTCAGACAGGCGCGAGAACTGGAGTTGAATACTTCAGATGTGCGTCGGATATCAAGCGAGTGATATCATCGTCAACAAACCCACTGGAAGGCAGGCGACAGAAGATGTGGTCGGCGCAGAGGGAAGTTGCCAACAATCCCGACGATGCATGGCAACCCGTAAGAGGTAGCAGCGGCTGGCGGTATATGGGGGGACCCGATGAGTCCAGCTTTTTTGCGACTCGAGGATTCGATAAGAAATTTTTTGGAGGGGCACAATGAGGGACAGGCAGGCGGGGCAGGATAGTTGTGGCATCCCTCCCCATTCTTTGGAGCCTATGCGGGGTATCGTGCATAGTGCTAGCCTGTTACAACTAGAAAGCTGTCTTGTCGCAGGGTGTCTTGATCTTATCGTCTCTAGCGGCCATCCTTTTCTCCAAATTTAGATCAGGCACATGCAACCCAAGACATGGATGCATCTCCAGCCTCCTGCATGGACTGCATATCACCGGGCAGGCGACAGGCTAGAAGCGATGGGTGAAGCTGGATGGACTTTGACGACTTATTACTTCTCCTATACTGGCAAGCTATATAGAGTTGGCCCGGTTGCGGTTGTCTTTCTCTCAATCCCCCTCATCCCCGCTTGAGGAGTGGTTGAAGAATTATGAAGCAGGGCAGGTATTTTGAGCTAAACGCTTCTGATATGTGCCTTGATAAGTTAGTGAATGGCTTAATGTATAAGTAGTAGGATGGTGTCTCTTGTCCTCATTTGATACGCTACCTAGGTGCTTAGGCAGTGCTTGTCCGCCATGTCTTCCATCTAGCCTACTGCTACCATCTAAAGTTTATAGACTATTTTGCCTTTGTGCCTTCGTCTTTGGAACGCTTCAAGGTGGTTGCAACAGGGTGGTTCCAGATAACGCCACTAGCTTATTCCTACAAGTCGTCTTATTGCAGGATGATAATGCAGGTGATCAATATGTCTCAATAGCGGGTAGCAGCACAGGACGGTCGATGTGGCAGGTTGAGGGTCTCTGCATGAACATGCCCCTTTTCAATTAGGGCCTGATGAAATGAATGACTGAAGGTGTCTCAGGATGTTGTTGATGCTGTAGAGCTGGCCGTACTTGGGTGACCGCCGCAGAAGGAACGTTGAGGCGGAACATGACGATGGCAGGCCACATGGTGCCAAAAATGGCAAGATTGATAGAGTCCTCGAGGCAGCACGACCACCTGAATGAGGATATACAAATACATTCAAACCCTAAATCGACGCAGTACATCTTGTCTCGTATGGCTACATGAGTGCATAGAGTATTTGTACCAACTGGTGGAGACCCCAGTCTTCAGTGTTGGTCCCGAAGACAAATCTAGCAATACGAGGACTATCCGTACCTGCCCTGCTACCCGCCCTCGTTCAACAGAGATGCAATCTTTCAAACCATGGTACGGCTGGTGGCCTCGTGCAACAATATGGATGGTTGAAAGATTTAATGTTTTGCGCGCAGTTGAAGAAATTCGACTATCCTTGAATATCTGCGTGGAAGCCGAAAGGGGCAGCTTCAGCCACAGTCAGACACAGCTTCAGCCACATTCGGGTACAGCTTCAGCCACTGGGTATCCAATAATTCAATTGTCCTTGCCAAGGCCAAGGCTGAGCAGTCAAACCTCACGGCCTCCTCAAGTCTCTCTCACAGGTGCATCTCCTCGCACTCATATTCATGGCCTGGCATTGAGCACTGCCTTGCTACTCCGCGCACCTCCTGAACTGGGCTGGCTCAACTGGTTTGCCTGTCAAAAGACTCGAAACCTCAAACATCTACCTAGGTACCTCCTGGGTAAAGTGAGAGTGGTTGGGTCATTTCAGTCGGTTGCCCGCGTCGTGCTCCTCGAGCACCCCGCCAACAATATCGACTACGAACAACGCTCAATACTTCCTCTCCCTGGATCTCCATCATCCGCGTACTCTATCTAGATCCCGGATCCGATTGTCGACCCTCGTTCTCTCTATCCCACATACAACACGTCTTGCGAACATACTCATCTCTTATTCACGGTACCCAACATCTACTCGAGTCCGATCCCGACGGCCGACACAGCGAGCCCATTCATCCTATAACTCCGCACAACTTGCGCACAACTTGGGATCACTATCAGCCACGGTCGGTACATCTCGACGTCCTACATCCCTCTCTTCGCGTCCCAGCCTACTAGAAGTGGCCGCGCCCCGCCAGTCGCCTCTTTGTGCAACACAAGATACCGACAGCTGCTTCTACCTTCGAGGTACAGCCATTCACCATGGCAGCGAATCGAGACGCTCGTGGCTCTGTTCAAGACGTCTCTAGCAAGGGACCTGCCAACGAACGTGAGCAGAGGCTCTTGTGGAATCCCGAAAACGTCAAAGACGTTGCCGAGTCTGTAGGCATCTCCACTCTCGGCGAAGATGCCCTGCGCACGCTCTCCCAAGACGTCGAATATCGTATCGGCCAAGTTCTTGTCGAGGCCCTCCGCTTCATGCGACTTTGCCGACGGACGACCATGACCACGCAGGATGTTTCCCAAGCATTACGTGTGCTAGACGTCGAACCGCTCTACGGGTACGACTCAACCAGATCATTACGTTACGGGGAAGCGAGTCTAGGTCCCGGACAGCCGTTATTCTATATCGATGATGAGGAAGTGGATTTCGAGAAGGTCATCAACGGGCCGCTGCCCAAGGTACCCCGGGATATCAACTTTACTGGTATGGTCCCCCGGCAGAAAGAACAGGCCCTCTTGACTGAACTATTACTGATTATCTACCTACAGCGCATTGGCTAGCGGTCGAAGGCGTGCAGCCAACTATTCCTCAGAACCCCACGACGGCCGAGTCGCGATCACAAGATCTTCTACCCAAAGGCCCCGGTGCCAACCCTACGCTGGCAGCCCTGGCCGGCCACGACAACGCGAGCTTTCGACCGGCTGTCAAGCACATCATCTCCAAAGAACTTACCCTCTACTTTGAGAAGGTGCAGGCAGCCTTGTTGGATGACAACCCTGATCCCGAGGTTCAGCGATTGCGCGATGCAGCGCTGGAGTCGGTCAGCTCTGATCCGGGCCTCCACCAACTTGTACCGTACTTTGTCAACTTCATCTCGAATCAGGTTACCCATCACCTCGATGATATCTTCGTCCTGCGACAGATGATGGAGCTCACCAACGCCTTGATCATGAACGAACACATATATCTGGACCCGTACGCGGGTGCTCTGTGTGCGCCAGTCCTCACATGCCTGTTGGGCCGCAAGCTTGGATCGGAGATTGGAGGCGATGCGGTTAAGGACCAATACCAACTCCGCGAGTACGCCGCAACGCTGATCGGACAGATTGCGCGCAAGTACTCGAGCTCCAACAAGCTGCTACGCCCCAAGCTCACTCGCTCATGTCTCAAGACGTTCCTGAATCTCTCCATGTCGCCGCAGGTATGGTATGGGGCCGTCTCCGGTATACTGGCAGCGGGCGGTCCAGAGGCAATCAAGGTTCTCGTGCTGCCGAATCTAAAGGACTTTGAAGCGGGTGTTCTCAGCCCGCTGCGGGAGAAAGGCGAAGCCAGCCGCACAGATTTTGAGATGCTGGTGGGTGGCATCATGAAGGCGGTCCGATCTCTGGCGGAATCAGACTTTCCCATGATGAATGGTATCAACGGTGGTACCAGCGAGCGTGAGACAGCTGCCATCAAGGCCTTCGTGGGCGATATTATCGGTGAGCGTGTGGGGGCATTGGCCGACCACAACCTGAATCAGGCTGTGCTGGATGCCCAAAACTTCTCGTAGGATATGAAATTCTGGCGGGCGCATTATCCTCTCTAGACAAGGCCTAGGCCCTTGAAATCATGAGGCAGGCGTTTGGTCAATACCCTCATTGCGATGGCGCATGGCGTCTCAACTCGGGCTTTTTCGGGTCTTCTGGGCTGGCGAAGTAGGTGGCATCCTTCTATCTGTATATAGACCTTAGTGCATGGCGCATTTACATACAGCAGCCAGGAGTTTACATATCACTTCGGTGCAACCAACCAGACACGCCAAAAGTACAAATGTTGTATTCATGCATGCCACGGTATTCTCACCTGAGCATCCTGCGTAGTGCAAGGCTAACCCTGAACCCTCTTACTACACCTGCGCGTTTACCTTCTTTGCTTTCCCCCATTCGCTCAGTACGGCCTTTGCCTTACGTACTGCTTTCACGCCTAACTCTGTACCTCTTACCAGTTTAGTCGCGCCAATCCACCATGTTTCATCCAAGCCAGTGACTCCATCTACAGCAGGAAGGCGATGCCGAGGGCACTCAGCAAGCTCCCGCCCCAGATGACCCAGGCGCCCTTCGTCACGTCGCCCTTCTGGAAGCCGATGGCGAAGTCCCAGACGAGATGCCGCGTGCCGTTGAAGGCGTGGTACAGGAAGGGCCACGCCACCAAGAACTTGGCCCCGCCCTTGACGGCCATCGGGAGGCCCGCCACGGCCGCGGCCAGCGACGCGGACTCCAGGTGCCAGCCCATGAGGGGGGCCGCGAGGTACGCCAGCGAGAAGGTGTATAGGCCGCCCGTGAGAACCGAGCCCGTGATGCGCGTCCAGATCGAGGAGCCGAACCATGTCTGGCTGTAGTCGTAGGCCGTCAGGTGGGGCGCTACAGGGCGCTGCTTGCGCTGAGCGGCGAGGAGGGCTTGGGCGTCGTCTTGGTTGAGCTTGGTTGTGGCAGCACCGCTGTTGACACAGTTAGCATGCTGAGGTTCGAGATGCTCCATGGGGGAGTGGTGGTTAGGGCGTACCGGGTCTGGTAGTTGGCCAGGGCGAGGCGTGGAAGGTTGTGGGCGAAGAAGGCATTGGGCTGCCTGGCGACTACTAAGTAGTTGGGTCTCTGTTAGCATATTGCTACCCAGTATCATTGCTATCTGATGGAACAGCAAGACAATGCCTAGGTATGGATGGTTCGACAACCTCCAGATTTTCAGGTGAACGCCTACCTTGTCGCAGTGCCCGCATGCCAACTCTTTGTGCGTTCATGATGATAAAGTGCGCAATCCCGCTACCTCTGTACCCGACTCGTTGAGACGCTGTAGGCTGGTGATAAAGTCTCGTGGCGGTAGTTCGAGAGTGGTGCTTCCGGGTGAAGATTGAGGCCAAAGGTGCTCTGATGCGCTCATAGAAACGGATACACTTCAAGATGCCAGTCCCGACTCCCGAGAGTCGTCTCTCCCGAGGTCCTTTACCAGCCAATCAGCGGCGGGCAGATTGTCAACGGACTCAGCCAGTCACAGCTCAAGCTGACACTCCACAAGTCACATGACCTCACTTGGTCCGTGCTTTGACGACCGCCATGTAAAACTTGTGCATCTCCCAAATGGCATTTCCCTCTTCTTGCTTTCCTTCCTCAGATAGCCAGGGCACTCCGACCGCCGGTGTCCTTCCAACTGGACATTGCGCAAGGTCATGGGCGGCTTCTTGCTGCACGGGTGCTCTCAGAGTAAACATTCTTGGGAAAGAAGGATCCGTCGTTAATCTCGACACCGAGTTGTTCACTGTCTCGGTGCCGTTTCATTTTGAGATCTACATTTCTGCCAGTTTGGACGAGTTCGCCTTGTCAATTTTGGCATTTGACCGATAAAGGTCGTGCTTGCGAGATGGTTGACAAGTGTGTGCTCTCATTAGTCTCGGAACCAATGGACATTCACCAATCGCATCGTTCGTTGATGCCTCTATTTACTCATGTGATAATGTATTACTTGGTTCCTAGGATGTCTACCCAAGTGACCACGACGATAACGGTACTACCTGTCACTCATCTTTCACCAGAGGAATATATGCATGAGATACTGTTCTCGGAGGTGTCTGTGGCAGGAGGAAGGTGGGCATAAGGTTGTTGAGGCGAGTTTGACGTCGTCTGGATGTCGAGGCATCTCAACGATAGATGAGCACTTGGTCTGCTGAGGTGGTTGAAGCTTTGGTCATCATGTGGGAGTCGGAAAGAAGCCTACGCTGCTTGGGCATGGACAAAGACACTTTGCATAAGGAAACAAGTGTGCTATGGTTGTGCCTTGTGGGTAGCGGTTCCAGAATCAGGACCAAGGTCACGAATGGTGGCTATTGGTCTGGATTCTGGAAGTTGTTTGATTGAAAGAAAGGATGGGTGGTGTCCCCATCCTAGAAGTAGCTATCATCCCAGTTGGGTACGAATCTGGTACAAACGGGTACCAGTTGGGCTCCAAGGTACCTTGTACCCTGGTCCGTGACCCATCCGTCATTCTGGCTGGAAATGGGGTTGAAGAGCCACATGGTTGTTGCCTTGCCGCACGTCATGGTTTGGTTGGAATTGCTGTCAGCTGCAAGGCATCTGCAGTGTTCTTCTCGGGGCAACGAGGTAGGTCCCATTCGGTGTCGGTTCAAAAATCATCAACCATCCTGTGTGTCGTCTCTTCAACTCGCCGTCCTGTGCGCACCCGCTGTAATTTTCAACCTCATTGCCTTTTCGCACCTACTTTCCCCGGAGTCTACCAGTCGAGAGCAGCTCTTGGGCCAAGCCGTCTTTCTCGCCGATACCATCATTGTCGCTCTTGATTTTCTTGTCTGAGTCGCACTCTTCCTATACACTTCGTGTCATACTCGCCAAAGAGGTTTCTCCTGGATCTCCAACACTTCGTTGTACGTACACCATACCACATTTTATACGACCTCACCACCACCCTTATCGCTGAAGTCGCTAATACATAAAAAGGCGCCTGCTCACCATGCAGCCTCCCACGGCCACCATGATAAGCCTCATGGCCTGAGTATGTGGTCAGCAGGCCTACATTGCTGTCGGCTATGCCCGCGCTGGAATATCCGGACATGCACCTCGCGAAGCCTTTCGCGCTGACGACCGAGCCCACCGAGAGCAAAGCCTAAGCCAGCTCATCCGCAAGAAGAACAAGGCTGGCGACTGCTGGCTGTACCGACGTTTTGCTTGGATATTGTTCAGAGCTCAGCAACCATGGCTGTAGCGATGGTAGCCGGGCCTATGACCCTTCCGAAGCAGGGGCGGTATCTGTGAACAGTTCAAGCTTCACCGAGATCCTGGCCAGACTGCAACAGTCTTTAGGAACCACGCAATCGCGAAGGAAAGCCTGAGGCCGGTCGCCCACCACCTCAAGTCCAGTGTGTCGGGAGACACCCTACGCGGACATCGAGATCGATGTCTACGGGGACTTCAACGCGGACAACGACCCGAAGCTTGAAGACTTGAACGCTCAAGCCTACGAAGCCAGCTCGGGCATCACTATTGCGAATGATCCCGAGCTCCCAGAGATATCATTCTGCCAATGATGGTAACGGTGATGATCGCGATGATGGCAACAATTGTCGTCGCAACACCTACGGTGATAGCCAGTTGTCTTTATCGAGCCTCGGATCTTCGTGGCGACCGTGACATACTGATGACCAAGCAGTGCACAATGTCGACACTATCATTACTCAGAGCTGGAAAGCAGTAAGCATGAATCTAGAATAAGTCGAGACGGGGCCACAATTCTGTTTCCCTCGGACGGGAAATGGGCAGCATATTTTCACAGGATACCGCCACGATCCCGGTTCCCTTTACCAGGGGAAATTGGCATGGCACCCATACTCACGTGATTGATGCCTTCTTCTCCAGATGAAGAGCCAGGATAATTGTGCAGCCAATCGGGCCTGACTCCGCCCCCATAGTAAGCGTGCAGCAGGCGGCCTCGGTCACCCATATCGGTCCACTTGGGGGTTTGGGATATCTTCGCCACCGTCAGGTTCAAGGCTGGTTTCAACATCGTCCACCAACAGACCGCAGGGAACCGCACAGTACTAACGACAAGACCCAAACGCAGCCCTCACCCAGGGCATACCCCCTGAGAGAGGATGGATCCTTTGCCCCTTGTCACGACGCGATAAAGGCTGTACGTGGGTATCGCGAAGCATTGGTGAACAGACAAAGTCTATTGACACACTGATAACTGAGCTACAGGCACTGGAAACATGCCTCAGGAGTTGACGAGCTCCTCAACAGTGATGCACTGCAGAGTCGTACCATCAAGTTCAACGAGACGTCTGTCCTGCGCTCCTGCTGCTCAGCCTGCGAAACCAAGTTGAGAGAGCTGTACAAGAAGCTTGCCAAAGAGGGCAACGGGAGAATGTCGCGCTATCTGTGGCCCCTGAGCGAAAAGGAACACGAGAAGGCTGTTCAGAGCGTCCGAAACTTCACCACATGGATACAGCTCGCCCTCTAGGTCGACGGCTGTGGACTACTCTCTCGTACCTCCGAGGATGTCCTGAAGATCCTTGGTCAACAGTTGGCGCAGTTCGACACCATCCAGTCTATTCATTTGGAAACAATGCAATTGAGGGAATCGGTCGAGGCACAGACTCGCTTGCTCGAAGAGTCTAAAGCCAGTGGGACAAGGCGAGATCTTCTTGATTGGTTGTCAACCACGAAACACGACCAAAAGCACTCCAGAATTCGAGCAGCACGCGCGCCGCATACCGGCTCTTGGCTACTGGAAGAGCACGAGTATCGGCTCTGGCGAGACTGTGAGACAACACAGAATGTTCTCTGGTGTCCTGGTATTCAGGGATCTGGGAAAACAAATTTGACGTATGACTGCCAGCATATCCAGAGTGGTTATCAAAGCAGCAACTAACAAGCGGGTAGTTCAGTGATCATTGATGACCTATTGGAAACTGCCCTGAGTCTGGTATCACCGGTAGCATACTTCTACTTCGACTACCAATATCAGAACAGTCAGACACTAGTCGCCATGTTGAGATGCCTTCTTAGGCAGCTGGTCGAGGCTCTGCCTATGATTCCTACGTCTATCTATTATTTCTATGAGAGGTTGGATGCCAACAGAGGGCCACTTCCCCAGCATGAGTGCGAACGATTCATCACCGAGCTGGCAAGCGATTTAGACGGTTGCTTTCTGGTCTTCGATGCTCTCGACGAAGTGTGACGGCTCAGCCTACCGTAAAGATTTCTGGCGGCTATTGGAGCGCTTGCAGAAGGTACAGAATATCCGAACTCTCGTAACCAGCCGGCCCCATGTTGAAGATTCCGACGGTATCCTCCGACACTACGCTACAATGAAAATCGAAGCCAAGGCTGGGGATTTCGTACATATCTTCGCCAGGAAATTGACCAACATGGTACACTACAATCTGTTGGAGACGACTTTGCGAAGAGACTGCTGGATACATTGCCAGAGCGAGCCGATGGGATGTATGTCTGAAGCCATGACAAGAACACAGAGACACGTGCTAACATTGACAGGTTTCTACTTGCTGTCCTTCAGCTTCGCACCATACTTCGGGAGCCAACACTCGGCGAAATGGAGGATGCCTTGGAGAGCTTGTCTCACGACCTGACCGAAGCCTTCAAGGATACCGTACTACGAATCAAAACTTTGCCAAAGAGCCGCTGTCGCCTCGGGATGGACGCCTTGATGTGGGTCAGTCACGCCAAGCGGCCATTGACTTTGGAAGAACTGCTTGATGTGTTGGTCGTTCGGCCCGGCCTTGCGAGAGTAAACGCCAAATACCGGCCGAGTCTAATAACAGTCTTGGACTGCTGTCAGGGGCTCCTAGTCATGGATCAGGAGACCCGTGTCATCCGCCCGGCTCACTATGCTATCCAAGAATATCTTCATAGCAGCAGTACCAGGAAATTTCCAACAGCTCTGAGCCAAATGGCTTGTATCTGTCCTGGGTACTTGTCATTTAATGATTTCCGCGATGGTCCGTGGGACGACAAAAAAGACATAGACGATCACATATCCTCATGGAGGTTCCTGGAATACGCGTCTCTATACTGGGGTAAGCACGTGAAAGCACAAGACAGCAACCCACAAGTCATGTCGAGCCTAGACAACTTCTTCAGCTCTTCGTTTGCGCCTTCTGTGGCCATCCAGGTGGTCCGGCGCCTCGCAGGCTACCGAGAAGTCTACTGGGACCCCGAGGAGTGTCGAAGCTTCACTCCGCTGCACCACGCGGCTCGCAGCGGACTTGCATCACGTGTCAACTCGATACTAAGCTCTGGCCTCTACAATGTCAACATCTGTACTAAGATGGGGACGACAGCCATCATCCAGGCGGCGGCCGAGGACCATACCTCGGTCGTGCGAACCCTTCTGCAACACGGAGCAGATCCGTTATTAGAAAACTGGTACGGGAATGCCTTACACCGCGCCATCGGAGCCGGCTCACTGGGCGCTATTCATGAACTGCTCGCTTGGGGAATGGACTTGGATGATCCCCGATACATAATCAGCACGATGGATAACGACCAAGCAGACGCCTTTGGAGCACTGGTCGATTTGGGCGCCCGAGAGGACAGCTACCTTCGCGGAGAAGACCAAGAAGACAGAATTAACTTGTTCCACTACGCAGCTGCCCACGGTTGCGGAAGGATTGTTGAAGTCATCGTGCGAAAGGGGTCGTGGGACTTGCACTCTCGAGACGCCAGAGGCCGGACAGTGATGCATTACGCAGCCACAACGCTGGACCCTCAGGCTTTCAAGGCACTGGTTGATGCTGGTGGCAGGGTGAATTTGATAGATGACTTTGGGAAGGGGCCACTAGACTACGCCGTAGAACACTACAACGAGGCGTGGGTGGGCCTTCTCGAGGACGCTGCCGCCGTCCGCTTCTCAACCGAGAGCCCGGCCTGAGGTCGGTGTAAACGACTATAAGGCGCAGTTGTGTGGACAAACCGGAACATCAACGCTGGGCTATGTAGGGTCCTGCTTCAGCCGACCGGGGCACATCAACGGCTCCAAGTTTGATACAGCCACCGTAGATCTGGTACCCGAGAAGGACGGTCCCAAAGACATGACATTTGCGCTTGTGACTTACCACCTGCAAATCTGGGCGTCTGTTCAGCTTCCTGCACGAGAGACAGATGGCGTAACAGCCGTGACATCGTCTTCGCTGAACCTCGAGCCATGAACAACAGGCGCAGCGCTTTGAGGAAGAAGCTCTGAAGCTGCAAGCTCTCGAGAAGGCATCGTTTTCGCATATGGAACCATGTCGTGAGAAGGAGGCGTATTTGGTTCGATGTCTCCGATTCCCTTTTTCGATTCCCTTTTTCGCCCGAGTACTCAAAAGGGAAGGTTCGAAGGGACCTGCGACGAATTGTATGAGACAAAGGGTGATTTTTGAATTCAACTCATCCTTCCGGTTAGAGGCTTCAGCTCAGCTGTTCAGTAGAGCCTTGAGATGGTATGAGGTTCTCAGGGGTAGGCATCCGCCCTGGATTTCAGCTCCCACATACCAAATGGTCGAACGGGTCTTACGGATAATACCGTCATCGACATTGGACATCATGGGCATTATATCTACCAATCAATATACGACGTCAGCGCCCCAAAAGCGCCTTCTCAGTGAGCGGAAACACCCCTAACCCCCGTGGAGCTGACGGTTTCAGGCCCACCCCAAATGGACGACAATGCCACAATCTTCCGACGAGCGAGGTTTCTCCCCAACTTTCCTCCTCCATTCGTACGAGCATCCGAACTTTCTGGTTTGAGTCCAGCTACACCATCTCATGGTGAACGATTATGCAGTGATGATATTTGACTTGTTCCGACCTCCTAGTTGCGTTGAAACTTCATGCTTTGGATTCCAAACAGCCATCGCTAGCCGCCAAAAACCAACATATGGATGTCCATTCGATCGCACCGTCGCGTAATCCTGCCGGAGTACCAGTCGCCCGGAACCCTCTTTACGGGAGTAAGGGAGAGCTGCGACCGCCCACGGCTCTGAGGCTGCGCCGAATCCCTGGCCCGAGCTTCCGGGCGGCATTCTGGGGCTGACGTCTAAGCCCAACATTGAACCAACATTGAACCGCCCAGCCCTCTGCTGCTATATTGCCATGAATGTTGGTGTGGCAATGCTTGACTGGCATCTAATCTGTGGAGCTTGATACCGAGCGACGGGGCATTGGCAAAGTGCGAAGGCATTCATGACTTCGACCAGCATCACAACCCCAAAGAGCAGGCAGGTCGTGAAGTTCGGGCAATAATCGATGATCAGCAGATGATCCCCGATGACTATATACTAGGAAGTTGACGACAAGGTCTAATGACCCCATGCGGCAGGTCATCCGTCTTCACCTTGCATGAACGTTATGAAAATCCGGGGTCCAGAAGCTGGGAACAAGCCCGTCATGATCGCCAAATCTACGGAGGACCTGCGCGGGGGAAAGAAGATGGCCACAGCCAGCATGGAAATAGTCCGTGGCCTCAACTGCAGGTCACCGCAAGGGTGAACGGCATAGGGCTAGCCGCCACTGCCGCCGACCTGGAAATGACCCTACCAACGGCATATTGAAGTTACCGGCTTATAATAGAACGGAATGCAGGGTCGTTGCAAAGATGCACACCGTACAAAGTAAGGGCGGTGCGGCAACTCGCAATGCCAGCACTTCATGACCCAGCCCTTTGGTATTATGTGATTGGTTGTTGGACCAGATCGGGGATGAGGCATGACCCCTTGCGCCGTTCCGTGATGCGCAGCACATCAAACGCGGCATGTTAGAGGCCCACGCAACTCAGTCTTACGGTCCTCTCAACCCCGAGACAGGGGCAAAGAAGGCTTCGAGAACAGACGAAGGCAACTGATATGTCCAGGTTCAGGTCCTGCCTGACCAAAGATATATAAGAGATGACCATTCGGAGATGTCGAAACGATTCTGAACAGTTCACCATCATCACCATCATCACCATCATCACCATCATCACCATCATCACCATCATCACCATCATCACCATCATCACCACCACCATAATCGCAATCACACACCACTGCAAGCATCAACCACGACCACCTCGTCCACTGACAAGATTCGAACTCACCTTCATATCCTACACTTTACCACTACCACCAACAACATGGTTTCCTTCAACCTTGCAGCTGCCCTGGCTCGTAAGTTCTCACTGATGCCTCTCAGACTACCCTTCCTAACATACTCGCACAGTGGCCCTGACCGTCTTGGCCATCCCGAGCCCCCTTACCCCTGACCCGTCGGGCGACAAGAACATCGGCAACGGAAAAGCCCAGCAGTTCATCGGCGGCGCCTGCCTTGGAGCCGCCGACTGCGCCAGCACCTGCTGCGCTTTCCTCTCTGACGGCGGTATCTGCTCAGGCCTCGGCGCGTCGACCCAGGCCGGGAAGAAGGGATGTGGCTTCGAGCAGGGTGGTGCTGCACCCCCGGCAACGTCGACCACTGCCCCGGCTGGGAGCGCTACGGGTGTCCCGGCATCCGGTGCCATCAACCCCAACGAGGCGGGCAGCCAGAATGTCGGACTGGGCAACGGAAGCCAGTTCATCACTGGCCAATGCCTCAGTGACGCCGACTGCGCGAGTGCTTGCTGTGCCATTGGCAAGGGGCAGTGCGCAGCTAAGGCCGTGGCGACGTGCGGCTTCGTCGCCGCTTGAACACTTCATGCATACACGATTAGCTTTCTAGCAAAGCACAACTAAGACGGATGACTCTTGGGCTTGGGGATATCAGGATATAGTGGCGTTATGGGTTGAATGAATTCTTGGGAGGGACATGGAACGGACGGGGCGGACAAGGAAACACAGGTTGCATTGTGAGAATACCATGGAGTCCTATTTGGATACTTACTTTAAATAGTATCGTAGTCTCGATTAGGCATTTTCCCGGCGTATATGAACTGAGAAGATTATCCTGTCAACCCGCCATGCGTCGATATTCTGTTGTTGTGCGACCAGCAGCTTTGACTCGGGGTATCATATCTGACGAATGCCAAGTAGTACAAAGAAAGGTGCATGTGGGAACATCCAACGCTCATGTTGGCCACAAGTTTGAATGTCCGGGCAAGCTTGAGTAAGCACGGTTGACAGATGAAACATATGCTATTATGTACTTCCTTGTGTACAGTCTTACGCACCCTTTTCCGGTATACCCTCAACAATCAATTCTGTTATGTTGCTCCGGCCAGTACCCGATCAACCGGCTTTGGCCGGCCCGGGCTTGCAACAGCAACGTCCTCCCACATACAAAGGAAAGTAATACAAGTAGACATGAGTTTTGCTCGAAGATGGTGTCACACTACACTTCCTGTTGGACAGGATCGGCTGTGGCTGGGGCTCTCTGGGCCACACAAAGGCCCAACACCAGGTTGTTGGGGGTACTAGACTCGGCAAGCACATCCCAACTGAACGGCGACTCCACGCAGTTGTATCTTGGTATTGCTGCATTCAGTTGTGCTGTGCCCCTTTTCACGGTTGACCTTTGTGAGGACAAGCCCACGATGCTTGACAACAAAGAGTCACCTACGAAGTTGGCGGTATACACCACCGAAAAACCAGTATTCCTGGGCAACTGGACATGTATTCTTTGACGGTCGTCCCGGTGAATGTAACAGAGTTTACATGACATGGTGTCGCCACGACCAGAGCGACGGTACCATGGCCAACATAGACATCTTTCATTCTCCAACACGCTGTGGAATCGTGCAGTGCAGTGCAGTGTGGTCTTTGTTCTAGGGTGATATGGAAAAACACGCTCAGGTGTCATCGAAAGCCGTGTCTACCCAATGGACATGCTACGCAGTTCCTACTTCACTTTACTGTCAGCCGGAACCATCTCACTTTATGCACAAGCTCCCCTAAAGCCATGCCACCACCACTACCAACTCGATCAGCTGATGAGCACGATGCTCGTGCACTGGCAGAGATCGAGGCCAGCTTGTTCCACAATATAAACGTCACTGAACGCCAGAAAGTGCACGAAAGCCAGACCAAGGACAAACACACCCTCTACAATGTTCTACTGGAAAATCAAAGCGGCATCGTTGGTTTCATCAGCCTTCAACCGCGTTATGTCGACACTAGCTCTGAGAAAAGCTGTCTATGGCCAGGGCTTGATGGAAACGAAGTGCTCACTAAACTCGCTGCCGGCCAGATGCCAACGAACCAGCTACTCGATCTGGCAATACGAGAGCATCATTCTCTGAAAGGAGCGGATTTCCTCTGTATGTACCATACCATCCTCACATATGGCTCGTTCGCCTATCAAGATGGCACACTCATCTTGGATTATAGTTGTACCATCTCTCTGCGTTGTGAAAGACGAGCAGAAGAAAGGCTACGGAACAAACCTCCTCACGAAAGCTAAGGTAGTTGCAGATCAGACCCAGACAATGATCATACTTCTAGCCGAGGGTACTGTTCTCGAAGCAGCTCAAGAGTTCCGGAAAGCTGCCATGAAAGACCAAGAAGACGCCGGGGCTGAAAAGGATAAAGAAGTTCAAGCCTATAACCTGAATGACGCAAAAGAACGACTAGAAGTAGCAGAGAAGGCTTTGAAGAAGGAGGAATACAGTTCTTCTTCATCGTCAGTGCGGGTCCCAGCAGAATTCTACCTAAAGCGTGGCTTCGAAACCCATGGGCATATTCTCTGGCCACGAGCAGAGTCCTCACGTGAACTCTCCGGTGTGCCGCACATCTATCACATCATGGAGTACAACCCCCCGAAGGCTCTTGCATCGCTGCGGAAGGATTAAGGGTTGGCCACGCAGCTTGAAACTGGCAGAGGGTAGGACCAAGGAAGTTGATCAGCAGTGGAACATGGATGCAAGCACGGAACGGGTGTATATCGATGTCCATGCTGGATGTCTTATGAGTACTCAATACTGGGAGGATCACACTTATAGACAGTGTTTCGTAAGCTTCGTGTTTGCACTGGTCGGCTTAGGAGCCAAATTCAATGTCAACCATCCTGCTTGTATTGGTGAAGGGGACTGTCTAAATAACATGCAAGCCTCCTTTCATGCCAGATGCAGAATAATTATTCTTGGCTCGCATGTGAGGATTTTTAGTAATGCTGCCACCTTTGATGCTACTCCAGGCGCCATTAAATGACCAAAGAAGGCTCGGGACGACTCAAGCTTCTCTCCCGAAACGTACATCGAACTCCTTCAAGACGCCCATTATGCTTGCTGTCTCTACCTCTATAGGTAGTCTAGCTGCTGGGTTTGCTTCCTTGGGGACCGCTCGAAGCTTTGGCAGCCACATTCCGATCTCATCGGCTGCTCTGTCGAAGTTGCGATGACTCGACAAGGTCTTATACGCGTCCGCACATGATAGGCTGAGGCCAAGCGGTGGTGCATTTGTAGGCGGTGGTCCTGTTGGGTTGGTAGACTTGCAACACCCTGACACACCCGAGCCACCGCAGCATCCACCACTGGGTTGTGTCTCGCCGCGCGCAAAATTGGCTGCAAGACTGCGACAAAACAATCCTGATTTGGCGTCCCCGAGACACTGAGTGCAAGTACCTGGTCCATTGGGGCCGCAACCACCAGGCTTGCGAACGGGCTGAATAGGAGTACGATTCAACGAGTTGATGCTTGGGAGCTTGATGGCACCAGTCGAGGTCACCTCCATGGGAGGTGGGCCAACATCGTTTTCTGAAGGGGGCGGCGTCTGGACCTGCGAGCCCATAGGAGCAAGGGTCTGTGATGCAGCAGCTTCGGCGCACATACAATACGTTCCCTCTGTGCAAAAGCCGCAAGAGTCTCGTGGTGGAATGGCCTGCTGCGTGACAGGTTGATATATAGGTGGCTCTGTAGTGATGTCTTTCTTCTTGGAAGAGAACATGGATGTGAAGTCAATCTCATTGGGATACGGGTCAGACTTCTGTCTCTTCTCGTCTGGCGCCAAAGCCGATATCGATGACGGTCTCCGTTTGAGATCAACTTCGGAATTGATAGCAGCACCGCCAAGGGCGGCCTCTAGGCATTCGCACCTAGTACCCAGACTGCACTTTCCGCACCCAGCGGCTAGTACATCATCGACACAAGCACACGGACCGTCTGCTTTACAGTTGCCGCATCCTGTCGTATCGGCTGAAGACTGTTGTAGGTGACCTGACATGCTTGATGTGTCGGGAGGTGAGATGATCTGGGAGATAGAGAAGGCCGTCGTAGAGTTGCGGTACTCAGATGTATTGCTAGCCAGACTGCCTCTAGGCTGTTGGAGTTGAGCGGCCATGCCTATTGAGCCCGGGGCCCGACCCTGGTGCGAGGAATGACTTCCATTCCTCGACGAGATGCTGGAGCCTTCATCTCGCCAACGTCTCCTGAAAGACTCAAGTTCATTTGCCATCTTGCTGCGCTCCGTGCGTTCCTTTTCCAGCATATCCTCAAGGGTAACGCATCTGCTGCGTAGGGACTGCACCTCGGCATCTAAGTTTTGCACTTGCTGCCGAAGGCCTTCCTGCTGGCGCTCATGCTCGTCCTGTATCTCGTCGAGCTGCTCCTCCAACTCGCCAACACGGGCAGCCCTCCTCTCCCTGAAAGCACGTTGAGCTGCTCTGTTCTGGGCCTTGCGCTTAGTCGGTGGGGTGTCCGTTGCAGGTTTCCTGCCGGGCTTTGGCCTCGGAGGGATGACCCATTCCTTGCTGGTGATAGAGCTCTTTGAAGCCATGGCACCGGTCACTGCGAGGGTAGGTATCTTGGCGGACATAGTGCCCGGAGCGGCAGGCTTCATGGCCAGTTGATGTGTCGATGTGGGTGTAGACGCACTCGAGATGGGCGAGGCGGCTGAAGCGGGGGACGAAGCAGCGGACATGGAGGTGATGGCCAGCTTGGGTGGACGTGATCTGGTGTTGTCGTCGTTATTCATGGTTGGAAGTGGTACAGCAGCCATTATTGCCTTTAGAATCGGGGTTTGGAATGAGGTGTGGTGAAAATCCGGTGCAAAACAAATCTATGGGTTGTTTGGTTGATGTGATGCATATGCTGCACCGTAACGGCTGTTTTCTCCGGGTGCAGACCCAGCTGTACTCGGCGCCGAAGGTGTACCAGAATGGAACCTCCAACGGGAAGGGCAATGACAATTTGAATCGAGTTGCCACGTGCTGAGAGCGATGTTCAATGACAGAAGCGGGTATGACTTGAGACGCAGTTAAGGAAGACGTGGGCAAAGTACCGAGACACGCTGGGCCTAAGAGTCTCTCAAGAGGGGCTCCGACTTAGGGCTCTCTGCTTGACAGTGTCCGATAGCGAAGAACTCTGGGTTGACGAGGGCTGCAGAAAAGTGAGTGCGAGTTATGACCAGACTGTCCGCTAGCCGCGATAGAGTTGTCTCGTGAGACAACCTTAGGCTTTTAAGGACGTATAAAGGCAATAAAGACAGTTGCGTTGATTGACAGGTTGGAAAAGGTTCTCCCGCCCAGGGGGGCAGAGAGGGGGCTCGCTCGCTACACGGCAGGCAACAAACGGCCTGGACGATGAAGAGTGGTGACGAGATGGGGGATGGACGAAAATCACTGATCAGATTGATAAGATTATGCCAGGCCCTGGTCGGTACCGTAGTCCGTAGTCCTTGCATGTGCCAGGTGTCAGCCTCCAGAGACCAGGACCAACGGTCATGCGATCGTTCCACTTTCTGCATGCGCCGCGCTGTTGTGGTCCGGTGTCGCCTGGGCATGGAACTGTACCAGCGGTGTTTATCTTCTCGACATTGCAGCTTGCCTGATCTCTTTAGGAAGGGAGCGAGGCTCACACGAGTCAGAAGACAAATGGAGGTGAGCTGACAATCTCGGGCGAGTCCGGAGACTAGTCGACAGCGCCGGTATCGGTTCAAAGATGAAAGCCACATACATTAGCCACACATAGGTGATGCGCCACAGTCGTGGACCCCAGCTCATCCCACCACGACGCTTGGCAGCTTGGTATCCCAAGCGGGACGGGAGTCTTCAACATGATGTTCTCTGACCATGTCTACTTCTCATCCTGGAACAACTCCTCAACGAATGTTTATATTGAAGTCTTGAAAACGCCCGTCCAACCGTCGAGTTGACTACTGGTTTCCTTGTCCAAATAGCACGGAACCCGACTGGACGGAAAGCACTAGTTCCAGGCCCTTACATGTCTTGAACGACGACAACCAAGCGCCGTGGGCACGAGTCCACACCCGCCGTTATACGACCTCTCTAGCGACCAGGCAACCCACAATGGCCCAGCACCTATCGGCCTTCTCGCCAACCCGTCCCACGAGCTCCCGCAGCTTCGCCCTACCCTCTTCCTCCTCTTCCTCAGACAACGAAGACGATGCGCCTCTCCCCTTCCCCACGGCGCTCCCGCGCTCCGACTTCCTCGCGCCCGATTTTGACGCCGCCGCCTACCTATCCTCGCTCGCCCACCGCCACCAGACTCTCGAGGACCTGCGCTCCGACCTGCGCGAGCGCAGTGCCGCCATCAGCTCCGAGCTGCTCGAGCTGGTCAACGCCAATTACACCAGCTTCTTGAGTCTCGGCGATGAGCTCAAGGGCGGCGAGGAACGCGTCGAGGATGTGCGCGTGGCCCTGCTTGGCTTCCGGCGGGCCGTCGACGAGATCAAGGGCCATGTCCGGGAGAGGGGGTCCGAGGCTGGTGCCCTGAATAAGGACCTGGGGGCTGTGCGGGGCGACATTGAGACGGGCAGGAAGATGCTGGAGCTCGACGAACGGATATCGGTCCTCGAGGGGCGCTTGGCTATTGACAGTACTGGGCTTGATAGCAACGAGAGTGAAGAGGAAGACGACGACGACGACGAGGAAGCGCCAGACGGAATGGTCGGTAGCAGCTCAGCAAAGCTGACCCAGCTGGCGAACGAGTACGTGGCCTTCGACGAGCTGGCCGTTGATATTGGGCGCGAGACGCCCTTCGTACGAAAGATGGAGGAGAGGATGATCAGATGTCGAAACACCATCCTGCTGGACCTGAACAGCGCGTTGAAGGAAGCCAAGAAGGCTGGTACTCAGGGGCAGACCAAGCTGCTGAAGCTGATGGGCATATATGCGCTGATGGATGCACAGTCCGAAGTTGTCAAGGCTCTAAAGGCTAAATGAGATGGGCTATGGACCCCTATTTGGGATAAAGGACTTCGAAGACTGTCTGATGGTGACACTTAAGAGATACCCAGGTGGATTAGACAAAAGAAGCTGGTTTCAATATAGTACAATCTTGTACAAGTGCTCTGCTCTACATCTTCCTCTTGGTACATGTTTACATGGCCGTGCTGAGGTGAGCCGGCAGGACCTTGTCGTCGGTAGGGCTGAAGCCTCCACTCAGGGGGAAACCGGGCCCGTTTGACGACGTGAGGACAACCTCGATCAGATCCTTCTTGACCCTGTCCTCCATCACCACGATGTTATCCTTCACTGAGCCGACCATGGCCTTGACATTCTCGGTCAACATTTTGGGAGAGAACTGAATGTTGCCGATGGGCATGCGGATGGCGCCAATCTTCTCTCTGTAGTTCTCGGCACCGACCATCTCGTGCATCAAGGACTTGACGCTCTTGGTGATGGAGTTCGTCTTGAGACTGGGCATCAGACCCTTCGGCCCCAGTATCCGACCCAGGGCAGCTTTCTTCAGGGCGGGTTCCGAGTCGACGTGGCAGATCAGACGGTTGAAAGGCAGCTTGTTCGGATTCTTCTTGATCATCTCGAACAGGGACTCCTCTCCAAAGGCCACGGCACCTCCTGTGCGGGCGTCATGCATGGCACCACTGCCTTCCTTGCAGATGACCGCGATACGCGTGTCGTTTTTGACTGGATAGGGGAGTCGTATCCTGTCGCGGAGTACGGGGCCGTTTTTGATGGTGCGAATCTTCAGGGCGAGTTCGTAGGTGACGGATCCTGGAGGACGGCCGACTTCTGCAGCTCGTAGGTATCTATAGGGTCGTTAAGTCAGCTCGACTGGCCTTGCATACTGGACTACCCAATGGTGATGACTGACCGCATCGCATCGCACAGCGAGAATTGCTCTTCCTTGCTCGGTGTCGCATATTTGTACTCCTTGAACCGCTGTTGCCTCCGCTTCCTCTTCAGTTTTTCCTTCTCTCGCTCACGCGATTGCATGGCGCTCGTCCCGGCGCTCTTCCATCGCGTCTGTGTCTGTCCCTGGATTATGGAGGGAGCTAGGAATTTCGGTATTTGCGAAGTCGTCGGCCTGGCGGCGGATGTCAGACTCATCCTTGCCATGGAAGCAATGCATTGTTTCGTCGAGGCCATCGTGGGGCCGTCGTCGCCGTCAACTAGTGTCGAGTGTGATGAGTTCGCTAGCCGTCCTGATGGACGCCGGAGAGCTCAGGGATGCGATCAACTTTTGAAGAATTGCTAGCGTCTTGAATCTCAGGCAAGGTGGCAGCTGGCAGGTCACAGCTCGGGCCAAGTCCAAGGAATTCCTTATCTTATCGGCATTGCCAGTACTGTCCTAAATGCACGGCCGCAACCCCGCCAGGCCTCCAGCGGGCAGCAATCGCAGTGACTCTACCCCGCCACAGAAAACATTGGACTTTTGTGACTGGAAAACGGCCGGGTCATCGAGTCACTCAGCTGTCACTACTCCATACAACGAGGCTCAGTTGAACCCTTAACGAACTCAGCATCCTGTGTTGCCAGCCAAGATGAAGGCAGACGAGCTCGTCGCCGTCTCTACCTCCCTCGGAGGGGACTTCAAGTCCATTGAACCCCACCTCATCCGACTCGAGAAGCACTTGACCCTGCGGACATACCTCGCCGGATACACACTGAGCGAGCTCGACAGCAAGATCTGGCTTGCCATCAGCAACAACCGCGTTGCCGTCTCCTTCGTCCGCAAGGGCTCCTACGCCAACGTCCAGCGATGGTTCACCTACGTCGAACAAGCCCACCCCGAGATCCAGGCCGAAGTCAAGGCCGCCGACTCTGCTCGCAAGGCCAAGGTGCAAGCTGCTAGCCGTGCTGGTGCAAGTTACAACCTGGCCTTGCAGGAGGCCGACAAGGGAGTCGTCTGCCGATTCCTTCCTGAGCCGTCGTAAGTCCAATGCGCCTCACAGACCGTTCTAGTCCAGCTTCTAATCAACGGCTTACAGTGGCTACCTTCACATCGGACACGCCAAAGCTGCACTGCTCAGCGACTACTTTGCACACCAGGCCTACAACGGACAGCTTCGACTGCGGCTAGACGATACCAACCCGAGCAAGGAGAAGGAGGAGTACCAAGATGCCATCATCGAGGACCTCGCGCTTATGGGCGTCAAGCCCGACACTGTCACCTACACTTCCGATTATTTCGATCACCTCTACGATACCTGCTTGGGCCTCATAAAGAGCGGCAACGCGTATGCCGATGATACTGATGTGGAGACCATGCGCGATGAGAGAGGAAGGGGTATTGCTTCAAAAAGGCGAGAGAGAACAGTCGAGGAGAACCTGGCCATCTTCGACGCCATGAAGTCCGGCACCGAGGAAGGCTTGAAGAACTGCATTCGGGCCAAGATTTCTGTCGACAACCCCAACAAGGCCATGCGCGACCCCGTCATCTACCGGTGCAACCCCAACGATGCTCATCACCGCACCGGTACAAAGTGGAAGATATATCCTACCTACGATCTCGCGTGCCCTGTCGTGGATAGCTTGGAGGGTGTGACGCACGCTTTGAGATCGACCGAGTACACGGACCGAAACCCCCAGTTCCAGTGGTTCCTCGACACCCTCAAGCTTCGTCAGGTTTACATGTGGGACTTTGCCCGCATGAACTTCATTCGCACCTTCCTGTCCAAGCGAAAGCTCGCCAAGCTGGTCGATACCGGCAAGGTATGGGGCTGGGACGACCCGCGGATGCCCACAATTCGCGGTGTTCGAAGACGAGGCATGACCATCCCTGCCCTTCGAGACTTCATCCTGAAGCAGGGCCCTTCGCGAAATGTCGTGGTCATGGACTGGACTAGTTTCTGGGCTGCCAACAAGAAAGAGATCGACCCTGTTGCGCCACGACACACCGCCATCTCCAAGAAGGACCATGTGAAGGTATCCGTCACAGGAGACGAAGCCCCCACAGAGGCCCGATCCGAAGACAAGCCTCGTCACCCCAAGAACCCATCCATCGGTACAAAGAAGGTGGCCTTCAGCAAGGAGCTCATCATTGACCAAGCCGATGCCAACAGCTTCAAGGATGGAGAGGAGATTACGGTCATGCAGTGGGGCAATGCGTTTGCCAAGGACATTGCTGGAAAGGAGCCTGTCACGGGTCTCACTCTAGAATTGAATCTCAAAGGCGATGTCCGGAGCACAGACAAGAAGATTACGTGGCTCTCGACACAGGGGCAGAACCTGATTGACGCAGAACTATGGGACTTCGACTACCTTATCACCAAGGATAAGCTCGAGGAGGAAGACGACATGGACAAATTCTTGAACCCAGTTACATCGACGATGGAGGAGGCTTGGTGTGACGAGGGTGTAGTCAACCTCAAGAAGGATGATATCATCCAGCTGGAGAGGCGAGGGTACTACCGGGTAGACAAGGCATACAACGACGGAGACGAGAAGAAGATCGTATTGTTCTGTATTCCAACTGGCAAGAGCAAGTAGATAGGTAGTGCACCCACATCAGCTGTGCTGACCAGAAAGAAATGTAAGCCTAGAGCACATGTCTTGTTAGCCACGGACCCTTCCACCAAACTTATCGTTGCCATCAATGTTCGTCTAGTCCATTCCAGTCGGCGGAAACTCAGATGAGAAATGCTTCCGGCTGCGATACCACACAGGTCAGCCGAAAGATGCTGTTGGTTTGACACGTGAGCAGGGCAGGCACATACTGTTTTTGAATACTACCAGACTGCTCGCTTGGTATTTCGATCAGTTTCGAATTATCAAAATGTGAGAACTTCCCTAAGGATGATTGGAACCAGATCTGTGCGGATCAAGCTCTGTTGGAAAGAAGCTTGCATGAAACAGACGGTGGTCCTAGATGCTAAATACCTCACCTTATCTTGGCCAGTTTTCTAAATGGACCAGATCGTTCGTCAGGCTCTATGTATTAGTGGCAAAGCAGCATAAGATTGGATCTGCCCTAGGGAATAAAGGGGGGCAGGTGCTAGAAAGGGGGAGAGGGGGGCCTGTTTGCCTGTTATTGCCTGGAGGATTATTGTTAAGCTGTAAGGTTAACCTTACTTTGGGCACTCTTTCCTGGAGGTCGAGCTGGCTACTTTTGAAACCCCTTTCCATGGTGTTCAAAAGCGCATCACCGTCCTCCCAGTTTCCGAGGAATAAGGGGCCCAGGTACCAAACAACCCCCGGTATGGTATTAGTCGAGCCATCTATAGCCACCACATGTGCGAGTCTATAGTGTCTGTTAGTTGTCGAAAGTGCACTAAGTACCTAAAGTATGGGTGTATGCATGATGGGAGAACTGTCTTGTTACGAGATTGTACATGTTCCGGTTCATGGCAAGGGTTTGCGTTGCTATGACCGTCGAGTGCTCATCATGGGACAGGACCTACCTACTACCCGCCCAGACTAATATCGCGGTAACCGCGGGTATGTGTATTTGGCCTATAGCAGCCACTGCGGTATTTTGTCCATTTACTTGTGTCGGAAGTGGTCCCTATTGCCTCGAAGCCTTTTCAGTGGACGACGTCCATTTCTGAAACTATGAACTGACGGCAACTCTACGCGGTCGGAACGATAGAGTTGGAACGAAGCAAGTTTTGACGAGGAGAAGGTCACGAGCATTGTGTTGACAGCGGGCGGCTGCATGTGCTTTGCTACCTATGCATCTGGTACCGTGGCACGGGCTGGACATACATGTGGCCGACCAGTCGTGGTGTTGTTCACTACAGTGCGCGCGCATGGCTTCAATGTCATCTGGATAATGACAGCTGGTGAGCCGGGTTGATGCCTGAATCCCGCATACGGAGCGAGATGAACTGAACTGTCATTTCGCTGTTGACATATCGCCTGCGATTCGCGGTCTCTGTAGCGCCGGCCGGCTCTTGCCCGTTTCCAGGCCCAAATCGACCGACTCCGGCCCGGGCCATATCGTCGCGTTCGGATGGACTTGTCGAAGGGAGCACTAGTAGAAGACCCACGCAGGTGCCACGTCGTCGGGAGTGATGAGCCTTCCTAGCCTTCGTTTGCTCATTAGATCTGTCGCGGAATTGTACACTAAGGCCTCACGACGTGTAGCGGGTTGCGCAGCTAGTCAAAGGTCTGGTAATAGTTAGATAGCATGAGGAACGCCCAACTGAGCTGTATGCGACTGTCCCTCAACAGAAGACAAAATGCCGCCTTGAAAGGGCAATGTGTTGGCTCTCATGCACACCTATCAACTCGTCGGCTATTTCAGACGAACGCATTGCCGGCGGCGCCTCGACCGTAAATGGATAGCTTGCAGCTGACGTGCAGCGCTGGGAAGCTGTACAAGGCTGAAAGAGGGAACACGAGTCACGACGGCGTGTCACGTTCTGGGAACCACAGGGCTGGGGAGTGTCAGTGCCCAGGTGAGTTTCAGTTGAACAGGTATCTCAGCCGCTGCAGGTGCCACGCCGTCGTCGTGTCATTCAACCATCGATCCGTCCATTCATCCACACACGGGCCATCACGCATGCAGTATGCGTACATATCGCCCAATCGACACCGGAGCATGAGAAATCCGTAACAGGGCCATCGCATTCCTCGGCCAATTGACGACGGCGGAAGCGTGGAGTCGACAGACGATAGGCCGGAGGGGGGGAGGCAAGTAAATGGCGGACTCCGTGAATAAACTCTGAAGCGTGCAGGCAGGTGGCCATTTGATGCGTTGGCAGTCCAAGTAGGTAGCGGATGGACGGCGTGGACGGCGTGGATTGGATGAACTGCAGGTCTCAGAGGCTCCTCCTCTTGGACCGGCGCAAACAGGCGGACAAGGAGATTTGGGCTTACGGAACTGGTCGTACTGACCGCTATCTCGGCCGCCGGTGTGTACATGTATCGTGTCCGGGTATTTCTTGAACAGTAAGGGAATAGGGGGAAACTGTAGAGAGGCGAAAGACACGAGGTAGGTAGATTAGAATGCATGATGCATGGCCAGCGCAGCTCATGTTCAACAGTATGGGAGCTGGGGAGTCCAGAACACTGACAGGACCAAGAGGGTTCTCTGGCCAGAGAATCACCTGGACTTACCCAGCATTGTATTGCCATGGTTGTTTCTTGCCATCTGTCTGGACCAGTCGCTCTTCCATTGCGCTGTAGGGTTTGTGTTGTTGTTGTTGTTGTTGTTGTTGTTGTTGATGATGCCGAGGTACGACGTAGAGAACCCAAACCCACAACGACAAGGCCAAAACATCAGAACAACTGATAACGCACTGGATCATTTGCCAGATTCATGCCTATGATGCGAAGAAATAGAAGTTAGATAACATTGAAGCTAGAAGAGTTGAGAGGAAGGCATGTTGGAGATGTTTCTTTTGGGGTTTCAACAGAGGATATGGCAGTTGAATGATATTACTGTATTACCCCACGGCGGAACCAACAGACAGTACGCATATCAAGGATCCCACACAGTATAGGTTCTGGTCCCTGTATTGGTGCTGTTGCCGCGCTATGTCTGCTAATGTCTGCTGTGCTGTGAACCACTAACCACTCGACAAGGATCATCGCAGCAGAGAGGAACACCTCATCGCATCGCATTGCATCTCGTCTCCTGTCTGCTCTCTTCTCCCTTTCTCTCCTCAGCAGTTATTGCTGTTGCTCTCCTTCTCTGCGCCCTCAGCTCCCATGCTCTCGTTTCCAGTAACTAGAATCGACAGTTATACACATACCTACAAACCAGCGAAGTATTGCCGGAGACCTTAACAGCTGCCATGTGCTAGCTAGACTCAGCAACCCACCCGCGACGAGGTTGCGACTCCTGACCTACATCCCACCCAACCACCCATCGAGACAACAAACGAGACGCACCGAGACGACGGCACTCTCTTTCCAAGCGCATCCACCGTTGTCTGCACCCATGACAGTCCTCCCGAGAAATCGAGTCGTCGTCGTAACGAAGCTAGCTGGCTGGTAGCTCTCATCTGGGTGCTGCTAAGTAGCGCGATGCTCGATAGCGGTCCACATGGACCCAGCATGATCGCCATGCAACGATCCCTCTCTTCGCCTGTTTGCATACGTTCCTCCCCTCGTGAGTTAGCATGTGAGAGACTGGTTGCTCTCGGTGTTGGTGCTGGTGATCGAGGTTGCTAACTCATCTGTCCCCAACGTCCAGCTGTATCTCCGACGGCCCCCCGTCCCCCCTCGAGGTCGCCGAGCCCCTCACCCAAATCGCGCGCCGACACGACGACGGCGACGGCGACGGCGACGAGAACACGAGGCTTGCGGTCGCGAAGTCCCGTCCACTCCGCGCCCCCTCCAGAGTCTACGGCGTCTCTTCCTCTACGCCGTAGCGAAGACACGCCTCGCGATGGAGCCACCCACCATCAGAGAGGCGCGAGTGCGTCCAAGAGACCCGTCATCGCCCAAGCTCCCGCCCGGTCGAACGCTTCACCATCGCGCAGCCCGCCAGCTCCCTCTAGTCCCCTCCGGCCCGCCCTAAAAGACGAAGGCTTCGCTCGTCCACAGCTGCGAAGTCTCCTTACTGATTCCTCCCTGTATACGAACCCCCACCTGACCGTCGAAGACGAAGGGACTACTCTCCAAGAGCTGGCGCACCTGGTTCGCCTATCCAAGTATCAGGAGCGCAAGCGCGCAAACACGCGCATCCGCCTCCAGAGGACCTTGGTTTCCACTGCACTCTCAGCGCGCTTGACCCGTTGCGGAGAGGCCACCCAGCGGAATCTGGCCGAGTCGTTTCGCAGCAGTGATACCCAGGGCTTTGCTAACCTCTTCAGTGCTATGCAAGATGTTCGGAATAGCTGTGATGCCACCCGTCGTTATGCGCTTTTGGAGCCCGAGATGGAATCACTCCAGTCGCCTGGCATGGCATCGCCTGAGAGCCTGGATGTCCCTCCCAGCACCATAGGAGGCAACGGTTTAAGCTTGGTGACGCCATTCCTGGGTGAACTATCTGTTTCTGCCAGAGAGACTATCCTCAACTTCCTGACCCAACTTCGGACAAATCCGGACTACTTGGCAAGCCGGCTGTGTGCGCTAACCGACGCAGAACTCCAGGCCCTCACCATGTTCCATCGGGGATTGGAGCCCATAGAATCGCAGATGCCCTTTCATGAGATTCGATCCAGTGGGCGTGGCGGTGCTAGTACTGCCAACCGGAACTCTGCCGTCGCCCCTAATCCTGTTGAACGACTCCTGTCGTTTCAACGCCACGACCCCCTTTCTGCCCTCATACACACCTGTTTTGCCAACTCTGCCGGCCCGGACAGCGCAGAGGACAAGAGGAGAACAGAGATATGGGCTTCTGCCTGTGCCCGTCTCATCTCCTCCAAGTCCCATCACAATACGTTAATCTCTATCCTCAATGTTTGGTCCGCCATGCGTGATTGGTCTGGACGGTCCAATATGGAATGGTTCCTCATGAAGATCCTGGAAGAGGGCGCCTTTCTTCTCGACCGAGCTGAGGACCCGCAAGGAACAAGATTTCATATCTCGGATTGGAGCTCCAAGGATAGTATTGCTGCCGAGGAATTCTACGATCGAGCCGTCGATGAACTGTTCGATATCATTGATGATGAAGATGCCACAGGGATACCAGAAGGCGTCATCGAGTTGGGGAATGAGATCCTACGTCAACTAGGTGACAAATTCGTCGACGAGACGCGATCGTGGTTCGTGTACAAGTGGCTCTTTTCGAGCTGGTTGATGGCCGTTGTGATCCACCCGGAAAGCTATGGTATGATGGCCGAATACAATATCACCGAATACGGCCGCCAGAAGATCCTCAAGGCCGTTGCCCAACGCGCCAGTGCGCTCGTTGTTGACATGCTTTGGCCTCACAATTCACATCCGGTCTCTACTCCTCTGAAGGTCAAGGGGCATATCAAAAACCTAGTGGCCCGTTTTGGGCCGTCCAAGAAGCAAAGGACCGCAAGGCTTCTTCCGGCTAGGTCCATTACTTCGTTGCGAGAAACCGTCGAGGTGCATCCTTATCTAGTGATTAGCCCTGCCGACCTCGTGACGCTTGTCAACGCACTGTTTCCGGAACGCAGGCCCCAGTCTGCACATTCGAGCAGTATCCGCTCTGGAGCACCATCCATCTCTGGCTTCTCGGCCATCTCCCAGCCGATATCCATAGCGACTTCTAGGAGCAACGCTGAGACCGCTTCTGTCATCAGCACAAGTACGTCATCCATCCTCAGCGATGCGACGACTTCGCACGAACCTCTGCTCGAGAGCCACATCACCGGGACAACTCGTCGATATTCACCTACCGTCCCCGATACTGCCAGCCAGAAGCGGCTGAGCAACTATGAAGAAGATGGTCATCTCCTTCGGTCAGCAATGCAGGAGATGGCCCATGTACTCGGTGCGGACGTTGTTGCAGGTTCATGCCATCCATGCGCCGAACAGTGGGCGGTCGTCTTTGTCGCCTCTGATGGCAAGAGCCTTTCCCTGCACATGACTTACGATCCTGATGATGAACTGGCAGAGGAGAACTCCTCCACGACCAGCGACTCCGAAGATGATGAGCCTGATGACAAACCCGAACTTGACAAGGACTACCACCAACTGCGTGACTCGATATTGAGACTCGTCGAAGACTTTGAGATCCCCCAAGGTCTTGAAAATTCGGAGACCCATACGACTTTCAGCAACCGGGCTTCGGGTTTGAAGAAGTACCGTTCCAAGAACAAGGTCATTACCCCTGAGAGGTCTATGGGTAGCCGCAATCCGTACCGTAAGCGTGAGGAAGAAGAGAAAGCCAAGCAAAGTCCAGAGAGCCCTTCACATGCTCTCGGAGGCGGGGAGTCAGCATCAGTGCTCATCACGATGCTCAACGCCGCCTCGTCGCAGTCTCGCGTTCAGTCTGATTTTGTCTCGGCGCACCTGTATTGGAGGACGCTGCAACAACTCAACACGCTGACATCGCCTTCTCTCCGTCAGAACGGGTTTGCATCCCTTCTCAATATCTTTTCCCGCGGGCCACGAGATTCAATCCGGCGCTCTGCTTCTGCAATTGAAGAATACGATGCCTGGCTCGTCTGGTTGAAGCAGAGCCAGGAACGCCACGAGGGCCTGATTGAGACCATGATGAAGCGTCTGAGGGCTTTCCGAGACAAGATGTGGTACGTGACGGATGTCCGCAACTCGGACGTCTATGAACACGCTCGCAACTTCTGCAGCGCCCTCAAGATCATGGGGGTATCGAGGAAATGGGAGTCGCTCCAGCGTAGCCGGGCTCAGCTCGCTCGAAGTTCTGCTCTGAGCTACATACACCTGCAGGAGTCTCAAATGCTGGGTCTACTTGCCGCCAGTGACGAACAAGGAGGTCCAAACAAGCTGAGCGACGACCAAGCTGAAAAAACGAAGAAATGGTTGGAGCAGTTCAGTGTGCACAATTGGTGTGATGGCGAGGAGCGCATACATCGATTCTGCTGTGAAATGCACACCTGCATGGACAAGCTGGTCGGCGACAGTGTGACGGCGAACCCAGTTCTATGGTCGAGTCCCCTTTTCTTGCGAGATCGGAAGACCTTTGAAGGGCCTCGCAAAGGTCGAGATAGAGACAGCATCTTTGGAGGCGACGACGCCGCGAGCGTCATAAGCGCCGACCACGATCGGAGGTATACCTCGTCATCCAATCGCCCGAACTCGATTGTCCGGGATCTGCGGAACATGTCGTCTCATAATATGAGCCAGATTTCTCTGAGCTCGGGGCGGCACAGCTTCTCCAGGGCGAGCACGGTCATGTCGGACGTCATGGACCCGCGTGATTACTTTGGTGTCTCGTCGCCGGTCCATACCATCGACTCGGCCAGCACGTATTGGTCCCCTTTCCAATCCACGATGTCGAACGTCAGCTCGGCAACCTCCCGTGCGCAATCTCCAACCGCGAGTGTCACCAACCTCTCCGGCTCCTCCTCTCAGCCGTATCGTCATCGCTTGCCATCCAGCCACTCCATCGCACGACCTAGGACCTCCACCTCGTCTGACGAGACTGTTCATATTCAGCGCCTTTCGGACGAGAAGCAGCGCTTCCTATCCGACCTTCGTCAAACCTTACTCGGTCTGGTGTTGTCCGACCTTGGCAACTTTGTGTTCGCACGCGGTTCCGAGACCGACGCCTGGTTCAATGACCTAGGACAAGACTGTATCGAGCATCGCGAAGCTGCGGAACGCAGTGCCGGGCGAACGCCGGGGAAGAGGGAGAAAACGAGCACCGGACACACGAAGCAGCGAGTGATCGGGAAGAAGAAGAGCTCTGGTAATCTACGTGAGGCTGGGGACTCGAACGCATCCGGGCGGAGTACGGGTAGGCATCGTAGTCCGTCTGGACCCAGTAACGCCAGCTCTGCTACAAACGAAACGGTCTCAGCCCACACACTTCCTCCCAGGAAGGATGAATCCTCCGAGTTCCCCTATAAAAAGGCTTACCAGAGGTTGCTGAAGATGTTTTCTGTTCACCCCAGCCCTTACAGCAAACTCAACACTCTCTTCGAGTTGGAACAACTCATTATTGCTTCATTGTCTACTGGAGGCCGTCGCTCCCGTTGGAATCCCCGGAGTCCATTCGCACCGAGCGACGACTCAGATAGGTCCAATTCTCAGGAGCAGAGCAGCCGGGAACGGCGGCCCACTGCGTTTCAACCCTCCTTGGTACCAGGGCTGTATTCACGATCCACGGCGAATGCCGATACTCGCTCCATCGTTTCGGTCAGCCTAGCCAACAAAGACGCGATTCGCAATGTGCTGAAGGCTCTATTTCGGGATGCGGGTGTTCGACCCCAAACTCTCTTCCGTGACCTGCAGTTCATCAGCGCATTCGTCTCTCCATCTGTCCTGGATACGGAGAGAAACGCGGCATATTGGGATATCGGAATCGCAGCAGCATCCCTCAAGCAGAGTATCGTCACAACCATGGTAGAGATTGCCGACGAGGCTGTCGCTTCGTCACGGAAGCGGTCCAGCGGCACCGACAACGCGACGGAAACACCACCTCCATCACATTCGCTGCATGATGCCGCGAGGATGTTGACCATCGCGGCCAAGGAGGGGGATCCAACGGCGCAGCGAGAGTTGGGACTCTTTCAGCTGAGCAACCCGGAGCTGGTTGCACGTGCGACCTTGCCTCTGTCCAAGCCGCGGGAGATCTTCAAGCAGACGGTCATGGAGAACTTTGGTGCACGGCCGGGCAGCAGTGCACGACATCCGGCGGACCGAGCGCGGGCCGGCTTGGGAATGGCGGTACCAAATCCCACTACGTTTCAAGATGCGGGCAACCACGGTAACGTGAGGGATCCGGCTCTGATGTGCGTGGCCTTCCATTGGATGGAGGCGGCAGAGAACGGAGGTGACGAGCTGGCGAGGAGATTCCTCCGCCAGAACAACGAGATGATGGGGCTCGGCTGAGATCGGGCGGCTGTGCCGTTTGCTGGTATTCCTATTTACGGTCCGACGTAATAATGGTGTACACGGGCGAAAATCCCAGCTGGGTGCACAGCACATGATACAGGATACAGGGTACAAAGTCGTGGTTTTTATGTTTATCTTGTTGGATACCCCCCAGTTTGCCCTTTTTGTTGCCTGCTGTTGTTCAACTTTGGGATCGTCGGTCGCTTTTCATCCATACGGGAATCGGGAGGCGGTGGAACTTCTTGAATTCCCATCATGCATTTGCTGGCAGGATGACTTGGGCTGGATGGGGTGGCTCCGGATTTTCACATTATTCATCATTGGGCGGAATGGCTCTGTGTTTAAGCATATACCTATATAGATATCTTCCATACGGCGGATATACCAAGAGTGTTTTGATGTGCCAATTGGAATTTTCTATGCATTCATGATCTGCCGTGGACACGTGTCGTGAGAACAGCCACAGTAGTGTTGCGAGAGAGGCAGTCCATATGGTTCTTGCCGAGTACTCCAGGTTGGCATCACTCTCTAGGGTTAAAGCAGCAGTCAACTTTTAAAAAAAATCAAACACAGCTTTGAGTACTCTTTGGATATCTCTAGTCTAACTTCCCTCGCGCCGGCCGTATATGATCAGCGGCGTCTCCGTTAGATCGCGGACCGGCAACACCCTTATTCTCACGATCAATCGCTAGGACTGTCATATCAGAGCGTACCCGGAACTGCTTGCCTCTCCATTTCACCGTAGTGCCAAGCAGGACAGCCCAAGTCCATATGGGAAGGGCCAGGGTTTCTCGGCCGAGCCACGCCAGAAACCACTCACCGAATGGACGTTTCTCGGCACCGCCACGGCTGGCACCCTTGGCGAACGATGGCGTGTTTTCGTCGACGTATATGCTCTGACCAGCGTGAAGCCGTAAAAACACGGCCCGGTCGACCAGCATCCAGATGAAAACTCCAGCGAGCCAACAAGTACCCAGAGCCTGCCAAGTTTGCGGTACACCAAGGGTGTGGTGGACCCAGGGGACGGTGGTCAGACCGAATGACAGGTAGAAACAGCAGACCAAGCTCTCAACTCCATGCTCAACCAGTGTTGCTGACAAGACGGTCCACTTCCTGGCGCGCAACCACCTTGCCCGACGTGCGGCATAAGCCCTGATGGACATCCCCGCCATGGGCTGTATGGCCAGATCCCCAGCGACCAATCCGTGATTCGCAAAGCCAGGGAAAGTGGTTCGCCAAAGGAGGTCACCAATGGCATGGTCTTCGCACATGTAGGAAGAGAAGTGATCGAGTCCTTTGGGAAGGGTAGCGGCTCTGCCTGACAGGATGGGGTTGCGGGAGGAGTCGGTGGCCTCGTCCAGGTGGGCTTTCCGGAACATGTTGCTCTTGCCTAGGATGCAAGGGGCAATGCCGACCGTGTTGATAGCGCCGTAAAACTTGGCATGCGTTGTGGCCATGAACATCTCCTCCAGCCGACCTCCTCCGTGCGCCCAAGAACGGGACAAGATGGAAGAGGGCACGTTGACGTTAGGCTGGTTTTCGGTCCCGCCGGTCACAGAGGAACCGGACAGCAGCGACTGCCCTTCCGAGTTCAGCTGGCTCATGGACGTGACGGTGTCGACGACCAATGGCAGCTGGTGTACGAACTTGAATGATTTTTTCCGCTGGCCATCTGGACCAAAGCCGCAGAGCTTGTCGACCATGCGGCCAGCCACATCCCTCGCGATCCACACATTGCAGTCCAGGGGCCATATGATGTCGCCCTTTGCCTCTCGGTATGCTCTGCTCAGATTGCGTATCTTTGGGTTTGGCCCTATATTCTCGGCATTCCCTTGCGCACCGTGGAGATAGGGATCTTCAGTCTCAACAAAGACCTTGGCGTCAAAGTCGGGGAAGTCGTCCACCAGCTGTCGCAGTACGGGATATGCTGGGTCTTGTTTGGACTCGACGCAGAAGTAGACGGTCAGCTTGTCCTTCGGGTACGACTGCTGGAATATGGAAGCGAGGCATTCGTAGAGCGCGGGCTCCAAGCCCTTGGCTGGTCGGATGACGGTGACATGCGGTATTTCGTCTTTGGGCAAGCTGGGAGACACAGGTCTACGTGGTATGGAGGAGTAGGACCGGAAGCTGCCAACACCGCCAGTCAGCAAATGCAGCAAGTACGGATTTGCAGACCAGGGCAGACTCACATCTTGACGATGCCTATGCCCTGAACGAAGATGACAAGGCAGCCCCAGAAGAGCGCCGGATAGGCTAGAATTTGTATGAAGGAGAGCATCGGCACATGGCTCTGCAGGAGAGGAACAATTGACAGGAATAGGACCCGGCGGTCAGTGTTCGTCTTCAAGACAGGATGACTTTAGCCATGTGAAATAGGCAAATAACGAAGAGGTGAGACAGGAAGACGTCAACGCTGAATGAGGCCCTCACACACGAACGGGCGAAACGAGATGAAACAGATGCCGGGCAATCGTCATTTCAAAGCTACCGAGATTTTATTATTACCTGAGGTGGGATTCAACATTGCGGCTGTCGCTATCCTGGCGGAGAAGATCCTGTTATTAGTTCGAGTCAATAGGCCACGGATGCCTGCAGTAGATTGACCCTTTCACTGGCGGGCCCCAACATTGAAGCATCCTGTCGATGGCATTCTCAGCTCGCAGTTCAAACAGACACGAGAAGATCGAGAAAATAAGAGGATTATGGAAGAAACGAGGACCTTGAGCGCCGCCACTCCAAACGCAGCAACGAAAGGCTGAGGTTGTGATTTTTCATGATGTGGGAGATATCAACATGAGAAACCACGAAAATTCGAGGTACGGATGTACCTTCACTATCAGCCCCTCATACAAGAAGCCCCTGCCCCACATCGTCACACCGACCATAGCTCCGGCTACCGAGGATATCCCGCCCCGCTACGAGTTTCCCGCCAAAACCTTTACCGAACCAGGCCAGCCTCCCAAAACTTTTTTCTTTCCTCAGAAACTTCCAACTGAGGGAATACTTTCCACGCGCCGACTCACCAGACTTTGGACACAGACATGTGAATCCGGTTCATTGCCTGCTGGGACCAGGCTATTTCCTTTCTACTACAGCATTTCTGTCTCGTTGAGAATTCGGCGTTGCACATTCAACCGGCTTGTCGACCGGTATATACGAGCCACCTCTATTCGGTAAGACTCCCTCTCTTCTCAGCGCATGCTGCCCTCATTCTCCTTACTCGGCAAAGCTGCCTAAATCCTCAAATCGCGGTGATGAGAGACTTTATTCGTACTCAGAGATGCAATACTCTCGATGAGTTACCAAATTATAGACTACAACGGTATCTGAGCGATCAACCACCCTGTGCAAGGCTTCTGTTGAAACCATGCCTTGACTTCACCAATTTGACTGTCCGCCGGCGTATCGTTTCAATGACTGACAGACGGTTTAGGACATCGAGATGAGGTTCGGCAATCATGACGGATATAACGAAACCCAACTTGCCGCAAGCTGATGCTGCAGTCCTCGCGTCCGATAAGCCTGTAGATCCAGAAGTGAAGCAAGATGTTCGCCCACTTGTCCCAAGAGGGCCCCCGATGCACCAAATATATGCCCTACCTGCTCCCATTCGTACATTTCCCTTGCCCAACTTCTATCCTAGCAATCCCCTTTCACTCTTGCATCTCATCTATGCATGGGTAAGGCAGACTGTGTCGCCTCCACGGCACGAGCCGGCCGTTGTCCATCAGGGCATCTGGTCTCCCAACACAAGGTCGGTCCATATCAAGGATCCAAAGTCAATTAGAGCCTTGTGGGAGCAGGGTTTCTTCGGCAAGGGACTTTACAGCCGGAGTGAGCCAAACTGGCTCAAACGAGAACAAGCCCGGCAGGGCAAGCATGAGGATCATGTTGCCGAACTGTACACTACCCAGAGGCGTGAAGAACGGAAACTGATGAAGTGGGAGCGGGCTCGGAAAGAGCAGGAGGCAATATCAAGAACACGGCTGCAGGAAGCCTGGGTTGGCCCTGTTGGACCTAAGGAGTTGTTGGCCTTGCCCAACTCACAGCGAGACCTGCAGCTCACCTCATTGATTGACTTGCCTGACGAGGATGAGGGGATTCTAGCCAGTGGTCCGACGAACTTGACCAGTGCTAATGGGGACAAGTCTGAGGGACGCCCTAATGGCATCCTCATGCCCTCGAGCCCTCTACCTGATGTCAATGGTGGGTCAATGATTGAGTCCGAGACCAGCACATTCCCAACTCTGAACGGTGTGCATACGGGTCCTTCGCCTACTGTTTCGGGCGCATATACACCCAAGGCATCACCAGGCTGCAGTACAGTAGCCACGAAGCGTCGGAAGAGTGTGCGTTTCTCGCCCAAGGTAGAGTCGACCACCTTCCATCTCTCGGATCCGCCAAGCCCTGGCCAAGGCTTGCAGCCAAACGGCAAAGTCCCGAATGGCTCTATAACGAACGGCAATTCGCCACTGTCCCAAGCAGTTGCCGATGCGATCCATACCGATTCTCTCGAGGATGAGGTATTTGGAAACAACTCAGATCTAGCGATCGAGATTGTGGACCGAGAACACCTTCAACTCACCCTGGAAGAAGCTTTCTACCTTGTCTTCGCCCTCGGCGTCTTGACCATCATGAACCCCGTGACTGGGAAGTCTATGACTGCGCCTGAACTGTTCACTCTTTGCCGGCAGCAGTCTTATTTCCCTCCAAGATCTATGGGACTGCAGCCTGACGATCCGTTCCTCATCCAATATGCTGTGTACCACCACTTTCGATCTCTAGGCTGGGTGGTCCGACCTGGTATTAAGTTCGGTGTCGACTGGCTGCTGTACAATCGTGGTCCCGTGTTCTCTCACGCTGAATTCGCGGTGATGGTACTGCCTGCGTATACACATGACTGGTGGAAGGCTGAGGGACGCCGGCCTCCCCAGAAGTCCTGGCACTGGTTGCACTCGATAAACCGTGTGCAATCCACAGCATTGAAGACATTGGTCCTCGTCTATGTTGACATACCACCCCGGTGTGATGAGGAGCTCGAGCCAGCGACCATCTTGAAGCAATATCGAGTTCGAGAATTCATCGTCAAAAGGTGGCTCAGCAATCGCAACCGAGATTGAGTTGCATTTAAGATACCTTGCATGAGAGGCGTTCTCGCATAGAATGGCGTTGGTGGTATACTGATAGCCCCCTGGCATAGCATAGGTGTGCGACATTTTTTGTATTAAACGGGCAATGTTAGGATCACGACCATGTCACATATTGTGCAACAAGGCATCTAGAAGCTCTGCGGAATGCTACTTCTACAACATCTTGACTTCCACGTATCTTGCAAACCACTTTCGTGAATGCTGAATATGATATGCAAGTATCGTGACGCCGCTCAGTCATCCATCCCCTGCACACGTTGTGTCTCCAAGAATCTCAGTCACCTCGAACAGTGTCATCTGAATCCTCCTCGGAGGGACTCTCTTGTACTGCTGTCAAGTCTTCATTATCCTTCTCGCTTGCCTGGGGCAGAAACCTTGTCGAGATAGTGAAGCCCAATGCCAAAACGGCCATGATGATCCAAACGAAGTACCCATAGAAGAACTGATTTTTAGCTCCAATGGCAAACAGACTAGCGAACAAGGCAGGCGAGAAGGACCGCAATGCGCTCGATATTGTGAGGGCGACTGCGTTGAGCATGCCCAGGGACTGGGGCGATGGCGAGACATCGTTCAGGGCGAGCTGCGCGGCCGTAAATGCCATGCTCACACCCGGACCAACGACCAAGGCAATGGGGGTGACGACCCAGAAGGCGGTCGTCGCGGCGTCGGTCCCCTGGCGCAGGAGCAGATTCAAGAAGGGCATCCCGGCCATAAAGAAGGGGTAGGCGTTTCCACATGCTCGCATGACCCAGTTGGTGCCAAATCGGTGTTGCAGTGGCGGGAAGAACACGAGTAGCCATATGGCCTGGGAGAAGCCGGTCAGGCCCATGAATAGCGAGATCTGCAGGGGACTGAAATGGAGACCGCCCAGGTGAACCTTGGTGAACCAGAAGACAGGCACGATGGCTGTGTAGGCAAAGGCGAGTAACATGACGTGTCCGTAGTTGTAGAGGACGGCCCCGACGCCGCGCGACTTGAGCAACTGCCACGTCGACTTGGCTGGGGGTTTCGGAGCGGTACCAGCTTCGTTGCCGCCCTTGGGCTCCCTGTGCAGCGTTTCCTCGACGAACAAGGCGCTCGTGAACACGGCCGTGAGGCCGATACATCCGACAACGATGGACGACAGGGCATACGGGTACACCTCAAAGAACCATACGCCACCAAAAGTCCGGGGGTACTGACCGGCCGGATCGGCCAGGGCGCCTCCCAGCAGGGGCCCGATGAGGATGCCCAGATTACCGCTGAAGGCGAACCAGCCGAAGGCCCTCGCCTGCGTATGGCTCGTGCTGTGCTCGCTGATCATGGTGCGGATGGTGACGATAGTGCCCGCGAAGACGCCGGCCAGGCACCGGAAAAGGATCATCTGCCACACGGTCTTGGCCAGGCCGAACAGGGCGGTGGCGAGGGCGACGCCGACGAGCGAGAAGACCAGCACGGGCTTGCGGCCCAGGCGGTCGGCGGCGGCGCCCCAGAACATCATCACCACCATCATGGTCAGCGAGAACAGCGACTCGATGAGCCCCGAGTAGAAGCCGACGTCGTCGTCGGCGAGGTTGCCGTTCTCCTGCACCATCTGGTTGATGTAAGGGAATATGGAGAAGAAGGCGATGGGCTCGATCATGCGGGCGTAGCAGAGCAGCAGGATCTGCCGCTTGGGCAACGGCTTGTCTTGCGACTTGGGTGAGGATGTCGCGATCGCGTCGGCGACGTCGGGGTCACCGGCCGGCGCGACCGGGGACGTTGCCAGGAGGGGTGTGGTCTCGCTGGCCGCCGCATCGGTGCCGGAGTTTTGTGCCATGCTGCCTTCTGAAGCGCGGCTGGATGCCATTGTCAGTAGGATTGCCCAGGCGAGTTGAAATTGGCGGAGTGTTGCGCTGGAATGAAGTCCGCCTGAGCTGAGTGGAGGTGTCTGCTTTATGTCGCAAAACCTTAGGCGCAGATCGTGTAGCTTGACCCCTGGCCGGGTCAGCTTTTTGGTGCCTTGAGAGTCGGCCATGCAGATGAGATGTACGCAATGCTCAAGTTCCAGTCACTAATGATACACGCAATCTCGGAAGCGACGGGCCTACTGGCAATCTTCCTTTCGCTGCTGGATGAATGGATGCGAATGCGACTGCAACACGATACGATACGAATGACTATGACGCTCGTCGCGCTGATGTTTAGCACGCCGTTCGAACTTTTGGTGGGATACGCCCCGAATTTACAGCGCCCTAGTAGCCCCTTCAACAGCAACTCGCAGTACGCAACATGTGTATATGGTCGTCCACCTTATGATGATTACCGCAACAACAGGCTATCCTATCTACAAGCGTGATGACCTCTCATCGGTTTAATCGTCCAGGGCAGCCCCTTAATGACAGCCAGTTGAGTCTAGTTGAGTCCCCCATTGCCCGTTCCTACATCCCACTCCATGCCCTTGGCCGACTCGACCCAACCATTCCAGTCCACCTCTCCACCAAAGTCCATATTTAGATCATTCGCGTCGACATCTAGATTGCCGAAGATATCGACATTGCTGTCAGCATCAGCCCATAACCAAGTTCCGATCCCGCCACCGCCGGATGGGCCACGAGCCCAGTCTATAGGATTCGATGGGAAAGCATTGTATGTTGGCTGGGCGCCCACGGCCTGACCTGCAGGCATCGTGCCGTGGGACTTCCAAGGTATAGCAGATTCCATGTTGGTCATGGGGTTTGCTGAGCCCTGACCCGTAGAGATATGGGCAGGCTGGAAGTTTGTGCTGCTATCCGAGCCATATTGCCCGAGTTGATGCTGGCCTTCAGTGGCCACCGGTGGTGCGGTGAGTGAGGCAGCCGCCTCTGTGCTTGGTAGCACTGGTATGTGAGCTTCATCCCCCGATTCGGCTATGAGCATGCGCCATCTCTCGCGGAAATACTCGACATTCTGCTCAGCGGAGAGTGGGCCGTCGCTCAACGGCACAGGGAGTTTACCGTCTTCAGCCTCGAGCTGTTGAGCAGCCCACGCATTACCACGTAGCCTCTCGAGCTCAGCAGCACGATGCCTCCGCGCCTTGGCTACCAGCTTTCGCAGCGGAAACCAGATACGTAAGTTCTTATCCATGTTGGATTGAGCTGGAATCAACCAGGGGCTTTGCAGTCCCAGATAGGCTCGTTCGATGGTGGGCGACCATGGGCGCTGGGATATCTCAATCAGGATATAGACAATCGCGTGCCATTGGGTGTACGTCTGGAAGATCCAACGCCATGGACGACAAGCTGGCTCGGCGTGCAGCACGTGGTTGTTCTCGGCCACCTCAATTGCCGACACGAGCAGTTTGTCTCGAATCTCATCCGAGAAGTGCTCACTGGGCGTTGCAAACAGGACAGGAAGATGGGTGATGAGCGTCATTTTCGCGGCCGTGACACGCACCACCCGGACCAAAACCCAATGCATCATCTTTCGACCTTCGGGAAATTCAAGATTGTTCCGCTCCGGTACCTCGTACATCTCGTTCAGGAGGCGGGTTTGCTGTTCAAGGCCCTGGGGTCCGCCCTTGGGCATGGCAACCGTCATCCGCCTCGTGATGGCACAAATCTCAGAGGAAACAATAGCAACCGTGGCATCTGTAAAGCCTTCGCGTGGTGGGGGCATTTCTTTGGTATCAGGCCCAAAGTCTGCGTCGTTGATGTTCAGGGGTAGCCTGGTGTCGAAGCTGTTGCTGCTGATGGTGATGTCGGACCCCTGGTCGTCTGACGCTCTCATATCGAGTGCGCACAGTGCCCACCAGACCCGTCTGCGCATCTCAACCTCGAATGGGGTGAGGTGGCCGAAATGGCTTCCGTCGCGGTGCATCCCCAAGGCTTGCGCCATACGGATTACCAGCCCCGTCATCATCCAACCGAATCTCGGGCTGTCGTGGAGGCGAACGAGAAAGAGGAAGATGGCAAACGCCTGTACCAGTACTATATCAGGGACGTTGAGGAAATCTGCCTTGGCGAGGGCATATTCGAGTCCAAGCCGATATTTGAGGTTGAGATCGGTCTTGGTAGCACCAAAATTCATCGCTACCTAGACATGAAGTTGGCAACTGCCCGTCACATGGTGTCTACATATGAAAATAAGACTCACGTCGTCCTCCTCCATTGATGTTACCGCTGCATAATAGATGGAAAACATCAACGCCTCGCTAACAGGCGTGAGGCTGTTCGCACTGCCGGCGCGTGAACTGCGGGCCATCTGATTCACAGTGGGCATATGAACAATCTGAAGGAGGGTGTTGATGTTCTCGGAAAACACGTCCAGAAGAAAGGGCACCTGAGAGGGAAGAGGTTGGAACTGACGGAGGTCCGAGCCCGAAGGGTTGAGGTTGTGACGAAACAAGAAAGCATGGCGTTCCGAAGGCGTCCGTTCCAACTCTTGGGTAGACGAATATTTCCCCGGGCTTGCCTCATCATCTGATGTATCGGAATCGGAATCAGTGCCGGCAAGACCTCGCGTGTCTTTCTTTAATGCATCGAGCTACGAGACAGCTTAGCTCCTAGGCGAGTGATTCCTGTACATGAAGCATGAATCAGGCCGAACATAGGTACCTACCTCGTCGTTGACGCGTGACCAAAAACCGCTGCTCACATAACGACTCTTGCTTGCATCGTTGAGCACCAACCTCCCAAATTGCTGTTGAACATTGCCAGCACTTGTAGTAGAGGGCTGTTCTGCTCGATGGTCTGCATCACGGCCGTGGGTCGAGCTACCAGGAGAATCGATGTCTATCCGAGGCGAGCTGCCGGTTGAGAGTGCTGCGGCTTGAGCCTGCTCCAGCTGTCCGCTGAGGTCCTTGACAAGGCTCTCGAGACTCCGTAGTCTCTCCATGACTTGGCTAACGCCCGGGTCGACATCCGGGGCGGGTGTTGAGTCGGCAGCTGCACTAGCAGCTGCCGAGGCGGTGATGCGCTCAAGACGCCGAGCCCACCGCGGAGGACGGTCGGCGGATGGGACGACACACGGGATGTTGGCCCGACGGCAGTTGGAGCACGGCGACTGCTTGTCGCAACGGACCTTGCGGGTCCTACAGACGGCACAACTGCGCACCTTTGGGCGTGGCGCCGAAGCGGTAGCAGGTGTTGCTGTTGTGGAGGGCGAGGTCGCGGCTTTCTCGGTTCCCGAAGCCGAAGCCGAGCGGGCGGCGGTCGAGGCCCCCGGGCCTGGAAGAGCCCCAGCCGGAGGTGGAACCTTGGACATACTGATGTGAGGTGTGCGCAGTTAATCGCTTTTCTTTCGCACCTTTGCACCTTTGTTCGCGTTACTCTCGGTCAGGCGCCGTGGCAGAGCCAATCCCTCATCTTCCTCTTGCAGCGCCTCACGTCTCTGGCCCAATCATAATCATCAATGGCTGCTGGCGACGGAATGGCTGGTGGTGGTGGGTCTGTTCAGGGGTCGATCAAAGCTGAGTCAGCATATTCAGCTCCGAACAAAAGCGCGAAAATAAAGCGAGACGGGCACGACGGGATAACTTTATGAGCAGCGCCACACTCGTGACACTCCTTTGTTTCGCACCATCATCGGGTCCGCGTCGTCAACGGCGAGTAGGACTCAAAGTGAAGAAGATAAAATCCTCGGAATGCCATGCGGATTCAATGGTAAGAATTGTTAAACATCTACGAACCTCCAACAAACTGCAGTCAAGTTTCAATCCTATCATAAACACTTGCACAAACAAACCCCCACACAGGAACATATCCAGCTTGCATAACTTCTATCAATCACAATGACTTCCTCCATCGAGACAGTTGCCTTCCTCGGCGCCAGCACAGGAGTTGGACTCTCGGCACTCAAGCACACCCTCGCCACGGGCCGCAGATGCATCGCCCTCTGCCGCAACCCAGCCAAGCTTGCCGCCATTCTCCCTACCGAGTCCAACCCCAACCTCGCCATCGTGCAAGGCAACGCCAAAAGCGTAGAAGACGTCTCGAAATGTCTGAAGGCTAGCCACGGCAAGCTCGTCGATACGGTTGTCTCTAGCATCGGCGCCGCGCCAGTGATGAACAAACTGTCCATCAGCATTGACGACCCCGTCGTCTGCAGAAAAGGCATGGCCACCCTCCTCGAAGCAATCGAGAACCTTCGCCGGGATGGCGCTACTGGCAAGCCGTATATCGTCGCCTGCAGCACTACCGGCATGTCGCGCTTCGGTCGCGATATCCCAGCTCTGATGGTGCCGCTGTACCACGTCATGCTCAAGGTCCCACACGAGGACAAGGCCGCCATGGAAGACCGCCTGATCGCGAGCCAGGAAGACTTCACCATCGTGCGCATGAGCTTCCTGCTCAACGGCGAGACGAAGAAGCAGGTCCGTGTGGGCATTGAGGATCCCAAGGCCGGGCGCGAGTCTGAAGCTGTGGGCTACTTCATTACCAGAGAGGACGCTGGGAAGTGGATTGCCGAAGACCTGGTGCGGAACCGGGTTGCGAGGTACAACAAGAAGATTGTAATGGTCACGCATTGAAAGGAGTCTCTTGGGCATATATTGGTTGGCGTACTGGTCTAAATTGTCTTAATCCGGTCATTGTTTCCTTTCGTCTGGCTATAATCGGGAGTTCAGGAGGTCAGGAGGCCTTTCTTGAAGAATTGAATAGACTCGGAGTAATCCCACACCACGTACAGCTTCAGTGCCATCACAGAAAAAGAAAAATCCACATCTATGTCAAGGTGCCTCATGATCGCACCCTGCGTCAGTCAGAGTGAAAACACACCGGTGGACTTCACCCACTTTGGAGCACTTGCACTTTTGAAATCAACGCTACGAAGCATCATCTTTAGATTGGCACAGAGGCTGAGTTATTTAACTAGGAAAAGGGTTGGGAAATTATCTGAGAACTCAGATACGGTTCGGTATGGTAGGCCAACGGCCTTCCTCTGACAACGCAAAGGTATGTTTCTTAATGGTCTCAAGAGCCTCGCGAAGTCCAGCTAGCCTTTGCAACAGGAGTTCAAGTTGAGCATCCCGACCGGCGAGCTCATTGTCCAGCTCTGCCTTCCGCTGACCCAGGCTGTTGTAGATATGGTCGATCCTCTTTTTGACCTGCGTGCTTCTCTCGTGCTACGGAAGCCAGTTCCGCGGCTCTACAAGAATGCCGTCGATCTCCCTAGTCATCCCTTCCACGCCTGGTCTCTCGAATGGCAGCTATTGAGCGCTAGCTCAAATTCATCCAGCTCTGACTGGTACAGCGACGCCTTGGTGGCCTCCATTTTCGCCCACATATCTCGAAGCTCGGCTGTCGTGCCAGCTTCCGTCAAGAGCTTCGAGAAAGACGGATCCGTAGCACCACTTACCTCTACCTCGTACCGCTGCACTCTGTCAGCAAACTTGGTCTCCAAAACCTCGCATCATTTTTGAAGGTGGGTTGTCGACGTGGTAGCTGTGTGTATAAACTGCTCGAGCAGTTTGTCTAAATTCTGGAACCTATGGGAGATTGAGTTGATACGGCATTCTGGACACCTGCGCGGAAGTTCGTTCTGGTTGGGAAAACGGCCTTTGTTTTCATCAACTCTTGTTTGGCTTATGATTGCTCCATCGGCCGTGTGTGTGAAGTGGCCACAAGCCCACTTCAGAACAACTGAATCTGACATGGCAGGGTGGTTTAGGTAGATCCTCAAGATGGTCCCTATGTGTCAGTAAGGCAAGCCACTCAATATTCCAGTCCGATGGGATGCGACTGGAACTCTTTTGGTCTCGCCTGTAGAAGCCGGGCTTGCGCGTGAAATACACTCGGAAAAGTAGAAAAACATGCATTCTGATACATCGTAAAGCCTATATTCCTGAACAACATCTTTATTGTGATGTATGAGTTAGAGCATGGGGCTAACCATAAAGAAGAATCTATTGTCAAACAGCTCTGATAGAAAGGCCTTGTTACTTGATTGACGAGCTTGAAGCGCTTTGTCACTTACGCAAGCCGTTAGTCAATGATGCAGATGACAGCACAACCTAGACGGCAATCGTCTTGTGTTCATTGTTAAAGCTGACAGAGACGAGGCCTTGTCTGTATCGAGGCAATAAGTATAAAGTATCGTTCAACGCCGACCCAAAACAGAAACATTGTACTCTTCGATACCAACCCCTTTCTTCTCATCCACTCAGCAAAATGCCTTCTTTCGTCACTTCTGAAGTGTTCACCTGCAGCCACGTTCTGGAGACGAAGCACAGGTCTTTCGGTAGCGACGAGTCCACCATCGTCGACACGATCCCCATTCCCATGCGGTGCCTCATGTGTGTATGCCAATCCACCCTGGATTCGTCTCTCGGTGGCCTGAGCGCCGTGCCGAGAAGCTGCATGCGGGAATTGGCAGCGCACTTCCAGATGCTGATGAGCAAGCCCGACGGGATGAGACATGAGCTGGAGACACTCAAGTATCAGCTGCAGAATGTCGACGACGTGACTAAGTTCCGGCGCGCAACGGTGGCTTTAGCGGGATACCCTGGGGTGGGCGGTCGCTTTGTTCTCCAGTATTAGGGTAACTCAGATAAGTAGCCCACCACCCATCGGTTCAGGGTATGTAAGTAGTTCGCAGGGAGCTTGAATTTAATGATTGAATTAAGACGTTCGAACTGATATAAGGATTGTACATGATACGGACGCCTCCGCCATAATAGTGATGTCGATCCATCGTTCCTCATCTCCTGTCCCCTCCTGCCTCACCAAGTATGATACAGGTGCTGACAGTTGATATGCACCAAAGATTAAATGATACTTAGCTCGTGGTACGCAGCTCGTACACATGAGGGAAGAGTCTGAGCTCTTCTCCAAGCGCATTCTAGTGCTCTACTATACTATGTAGGCTTTGAAACCGACACGTTACTTCCACACTGACTTAAGCACGTCGAGCCGGAACTGGAATGGCAAATGCCACTGAACAGGGCCTGTCAGCAATGTCGTGCCCCAGCGCGATGGCCCGAAGCTCACCTTGGCAGATCTGGCTTGTATCCTCAAGGTGTCTAACACAGACAAACGGCGCATGCTCTGACCAACATCAGATTGTGGTTTGAGACTGGATCATCCGTTCGTTGTTCTATCCCCGGCCGTCGCCGAGTAGCCGATCCTACTCTGAATGCAGCTGTGCGAAGCTCCCGGACACCCTTTGTTCAAGGAGGGGGCGCATCACTGTGGATCGTTTCTTTGCAGACCTCAAGGCGGCCGCAAGCCTCGTTCAGCAATTCGGAATGTGATTCAGACGCGAGCGTGCCGACGGTATCAAGAAGATCCGATAGACCGCCCTGAAGGGTTCTCGAAGTCGTCAGGTCCAGCTCGTTTAGCTGCGCAATTCGGGAGAGGTATTCGGGTACTCCGTTCGAATTTCGCCGCAGGTGGGATGAGAATGGCTGGACAGCCTTGAAATGACCCTTTGATTGCTCTAAAGCTCGGACAAAGGACCAAATGCTCAACGTAGCGTAATACATGAGCCACGGTCGGTGGGGGTCAGCGTCAGTACGGGTCGAATATTGGATTCCATGTGCAATGCCCGATTCGCTTTGCCCTATGTTCTTCCTCTGGCGGGGGTCGACCAGGATTCGATGGAGCAGCTTGAAAGCATGCAATATTGCACGGCGAGTTGTCACCTGTGCTGCCCACAGAGTCATTCGCGAGACCACATTCGTGTAGTCCCTCGTTGACACCTTTCGACCAAGCAATTGCTTCGCTCCGGTATAAACCTGGCAGTCGACGATGTCGATGTAGAGGCTGATATGGGCCAAGTGGTACAGGAGGGCGGCACTTTGGATCAGGCCGTTTGATCCAGATTGTTGGCCGGAAATGCCCAACTCGGAATCATTCAAGCCAATTGCCTTATCAAAGCTGGTCTTCCAATCGTCGAATGCCTTCAAGAGCATCCTGCACCATCTTTCTCTTGTTTCGGCAGTGTTTGACCCCAACTCTAGCCACTTCAGATGCGTCTCGCGGTGCCTGAGATGCCAGCCAACACTTAGCAGTCCACACATGATGATCATTCGGCCCAGCGAGTGTGTTTTGACCTCCTTTCCGTGGATGGCATGCTTCAGACCATCGAGGAACGAGACAGGTTTGACCCCGTACATGCGAAGATTGGCATCCTTATTCCGTACGATGTCGGGGCTCGAGGCAGACCATAGGGATTCATCGCACGGGAGCGGGAGCCGAATTTCGTGCGGTGCCATATCCGCAGCATGCCCAAACATGGCAGCATGAACCACGTCCATCATGAAAGCAGCGAAGACGACTCTGTGCATTGACTCAGTCTCGGCCCATCGAATCCACCAAGTCCTTGCATCTGAAGCAGCGGGATGCTCCGGCCCCTCCTGCTGATCAGGTGGCGACTCGGAACCTGCTCGGCCGATCAAGGGACTGCCCCGTCTAAGCAAGGTCAGTGTGGCCGAGTGGTAGATGTGAGCCCTCTCATGAAGTTTTCTAGACGAGTACATCTTTTCGTAGAACTCTAAGAGCAGTAGGGCTTGCGCAACCCACAACCCGACGGGCGGCGATGCCTCATCCGTAGTCAGAATCTCAAAACGGACTGACGTGATGATGAGATCGGCAAGTATCTTGTACTCTTCCAGATCATCGGTGTCAGATTGATTGTGAAGTTGCGCGGCTCCGAGTGCAATGATGACCAGGAGGAGATGTATCGAGCACGTCGTGGAAGAGAAGGTCGGCTGGTGTACGATAGGCAAGCGTGGGGACACGAAGTCCCAATAATGCCGAATACAGTCTCTGAAGAAGTCCAAACTCAAGCGAGGTATGTCACCTCCAGATTCCAGCATGAGCTTCTCCAGCTTAGCATTGTATTTGTTCTGCTTCTGACGGAACATCTGAATCCACCGAATGACTTCGTGTCGGCGATATTCGGATATGAGCTCGTCGGGCATATCTGCATGCCGCGGCGGCGTGACATCCACCTGGGACCTGCTAGTGAGAGACTCACGATCGTAGTGTATGTTGTTGTTGAATGGGGACTCGAGTCCGCCTTCAAGAAAGGGGATGTTTGTAAAGTCTCCATAGTTTCTCTGTGAATTGAAGAGCCACATGCCGAAGTCGTTTTGGGCCAGGTCGTTGGGGTCGGTCGGAATCTGGACATGGTGAAAGGGCACAAAGGTTGAGGGATCGTGCATGGGTGCCGGTTCATGACCGTAGAAGTTGGGCTTCGGGCGTGTGATCTTGACTCCTTCCATAGGAGTGCCCCAACTAGAGCCCGGCGTGATTGGGCTTACCTGAGACCCAGGCAGTGATGGAGGTCCTCGAGGATGAGACTGGATGGGCGAGTCCGAGGTCATAAGCACCGAAGCATTGCGAGGGGCACTGACTGGCCGCTGGGAATAGGTTGCCGGCGAAGGCGGAAGTGGTGCTTGACCTGAGATCAGAGCTGGAGCCGGAGCCGACACTGTGTGCCCATTATTGGCAGCACTCGGCGAGGCCATCACCGACATCTCTGACGGAGAGTTCGAGGTCTGAACACTGAAGCTGCTAGTCCGATTCCTCGGGATATAAGACGCTGAGTGGCGCTTCTTGTGTCGCGCCAGCAAGTCTGGTCGGACAAACATCTGAGTGCAGTCTGCAACATCGCATCTGTAGATCTCCTTGGGGTCATCTTGGGCGTTCAGTCAGCATCGTGATATGCACACACAGACATGACCGACGCGGAAGGAGGTTCCGTATGTTGGGTTCAGCCTTACGGTTCAATTGATGCCGTTGGAGATGCTCAGCCCGTGAGTAGACCTTCTCGCACCTATCGCACGAGAACTTCCTCGGGGCGCCCTTTCGGCTGGCGCGCTTGTAGGCGGCGGCGCTAGCGCCTGGAGACTGCTGTTGGGACGCCATTCATCTGAGACATCGCCAGCTCGAGGACCGATCTGCGGTTGTTGGGAATGTAATTGTTCAAGGCAGCTTGGGCGGAGTCGATGGGGTTCCAACGCGGCTTTTCAAACAGGCAGCCAGGAACAGTGGACATTTGTGTCCATGAGACCCTTCGAAGACCCCACGCGGGGGTGAGTTCCATGTGGGGACTAGCGTGGGGGCACATGCTGCGAGTGATCCGGGGAAGATGTGGGGGTTCCCGTTTTGGCTATGGCACCCATACAAGAGAGACCCTACCTTACTATACGTTAACGTTGGCACTCTAGAAATATGAAGGGGACCAAGCTGTTGGCTCCTTAAGCGTTAGTCATGGGCCAGGATGAAGATTTTGCTAACTTCATGATATACTACAATGACTCGGCTGAAGAATAGGTTCCATGATGTTGCGACTCGAGTTTAATGACTTCCCACTTAGGAGACGGCGTCTTTCGAACAGGCACAAACCCCCTTAAAAGGCTAGCAATCGATCCTTATTCTGGGATGCGATGTCTTATTGGGTAAACAAGCGACCCAGATAATATAGCGTGTTTCGACTTACGCCGAAAAGAAAAGTAAGATCGTTATTCTATCCTCGCAGAAGATGAAGTATATATTGCCGCTGGAGTGATGAGTAGGTGCGTTTGCTTGGGCAAGACCGTACCTATAGTTGTCGAGTTCGTGGAACCTAATCTTCGCCTTGGTCAACTTATTCTTTATTTTACCTTTGATGTTACGACCAGTTTCTTTGGCGTCGCTGCATGCGGCTATGGTGTCTGTATACCTTCTATAAACAAAGCTGCTAGAACGAAGATCTAGAAGGAGCTCTTTCGATTCTCTTAAAAGGGTTCTTCGTATCTTCTTTAAAATACAACTCATTACGCCCTGTTAAGCCGGCTGTGGCTTGGAACAAGCAATTATTAGATGCTATTGTCTTGATACTATACGTTAAATCAATCTTCTAATCCCCAATTGTCCCTAATTATCTTACTTCAAACGAAAAGCAGCCCTACGAACCACTTCAAAGCCGCGACAGCCCTTATATGACTTTTCCGAACAACAAAGTTTCGCGATGAAGCTGCTTGAGTATTTTAAGACGCATGTAAGGAACACTTCCAATCGAACTGGGCCGTTGCCAGCTTTTGATACGCCATACAACCAAGAAAATGAACGGCTGGCCAAGCTTTGGAGAGTTGGTGATAGTGTCATGTTCATTGCCCTTGACATTGGGGTTAGGGATAAGGACCAGCACTTTGTCACTGGTGTGGGACTCTGCTCCTGGTGTCTCGACGAAGACTCTCGTGTCAATTCACGCTACTGGCATGTCGACAATACCACCCACGAAAAGCATCGACCGATCGAAAACAACCCCGAACCCTTTTTGCATGGGAGTGAAAACAGCATTAGTGAGGATGACATCGGACAACTACTTTCTTCCAATATCAAAACTTTCTCCCTCGGTCATCGCTTATGCCTGCCTTGTGGGGCATGATATTGGTCATCAGCTCAAAGCATTGGAAAGGCATTGGCGACTGCCAGACAATATGGTCGTCCTCGACACGCAAAGAATATGGCAAGCCCAGAGAAGGTCTATCAATGGGAATTCACTAGAAAAATGCCTTCAGGGAATTCCTGGGCACGAACCAACTGATCGCCCGCTTAAGAACCCTGGTAATAGTGCATATGCTGTGATGCAGCTGTTACGGGTCCTGGGACCGCAGTCACTTCTCAAGGGCAGCGGTAAAGACACGATGTCGACAGGGCAAATACCACCTAACACTGAAATCGTTGAAAGCTGCTGATTCTTTTGCAAATACCCCAGATTGCTGCATATGATGTAGAACTACTGTCAAAAAGAAATGCCAACTATGGAATTATATCTCTTATGAAAGCAATACCCACCCCACGGATAATGACTCGTAGCACAAATGCCTGCTGTGGTCATCATAGATTCAATGTGCAGTCAGCTTCTTGGGCACTTCCCTGAACACAAACTCGACGACAAGCTCAGGTTGTTCATGAAGATCTTGCAATGCTTCCTTCTCCATGAACACCAGAGGAGCCTCTGCAGCATTCGGAACATCACCTGCCCGCCTCTGGAGCTTCGCGAGACGTGTATGGATTCTGTCCAACTCCGCGGAATTGTTACTGGCCCCCTTAGTGCCTTGGTCAAGTAGACAAGACCACTCCGTTTGAGCTAACATCTTCCGGGATGTCTGCAAGCTGCCATCGGGGAACGTTGTATGTTGCCAGTGTTTCGGGCTCCCACGATCGTCCCAAGCAATAGAGGAAACTGTACTGAAATTGCCGCTTGAGATCACTTGGTGTGACAAGGTAGAGCGGCCTCGTGGCCGAAGGGTTTTGACTGAGAAGTCCACAAGAGGATTCACTGCCTCGTAAGTACGAAATCGGACGTTCATGTGCCCGGAACCGACCATGATATGAGTTCCAGCTGATGATATGTTCGGATTTTGACCACAAGGTAGCACTGAGGCAGGTACTATACTTCGGGAACGAGGTGGAGATTTGGCGATGATGAACAGGTTAGTGTTGGGCTTGCGTACTGCACTGGGGTACATTGTTTCCAGAAACGTTTGGGAAGCTGGGTAGTGTGATCTTTCGAAAATGTCTTGGCTGGACAGGTGAAGCCATATCCAAACTTGGAAACGCCTGCGAACGGGATTGGCATTTCCACCTGACCGATCGTGTTCTACCCGACCGCGAAGTTCACGAGAGCAGTTCAGACCAACAAGAACCATCCCGTAAAGCGCCGAGTGTATCATTGGCAGCTTCATCGATATACCTAAGTTGGTAACCACGAAGGGCGCTCTCCCAATATCCAAGTCCCGAACTATGGATCCACAAGAAAGGAAGTCTCTTGGAAATTGCGCGAGTGCACTTGTCAAAGGCTGCCCTCGGTCTCCAGGTGAATGCCAAGCGAGTACACTCTGATCATCCGATACTTTAATGATCTCTCTTTGAAGTCGGACGAATGAATTTGTTCCTTCGCCATAGAGCAGTGGCATATTGATGTCGAAGATTCCCATGAGGCAGTATGCGATGTCCCCAATCGAGTTGTTTGACGATTAGCAGCCCACGACATCCTCTGGGCAATAGAGTAGTCGTGGATGGAGGATCGATCCTCGAGGGCATCTACATGGATCCGAGTGATGTCAGATATCATGCCAGCCAGATCCTTCCGATCACCAAGAACAGCCCACTGACGATCGAAGAAGATCACCCGCGACGGAGCAAGCAATTATTCCTGAAGCGTCCAACCTCGAGTGAACCACCGACTCTTCGCAAAAGCCCCAGGCTCTCGCCCAACATCAGCCAGGTACGCATAGCAGACCTGCGAGTCGCGATACCAACCAAAACATGCTATTGATGGCCTTGGTCAGCTCGGCCGAGCTGCGCTTGTCGATGCAGTTGGGGTCGCACCACAGGTAATTGAGCTTGTCGGCGTGGGCGCGGCGGCAGGCGCCCACGATCTTGGCGTAACCGGCCTTGCGCTTCACGGCGCTGTCAACGCGCTCCCAGTCCTGGAAGGTCACCTCCTGGTCGCCCCAGGTGTGGGAGAGGATGGCGTAGGGCGGGGTGCCGGTGCCGGGCCGCCGAAGAACTCCTCGAGCTGGAGGGTGGTGACGTTGATCAGACGCATGGTGATGGTTTGGAGATCTGTTGGGTGGTAGAGATAGAGGATGAAGTGTCGGTTCGAGTGGATTCGAGCGGATAGAAGGCCTTGAGTTGTGATGATGGTTGATGAGAATTGAACTGGAGAGTTGAAGTGTGTTCCTGAATGTCACAGACGGTGGTGAATTCAGGGGTAAAGGCCAGCATCGCGGCGAGACAATCCTGTATATGAGAGTAGCTTTCTCAACACCAAACCTTTGGAAGTGATGTACCTTGTATCGTGACTTTGGAAATATGAGCTCATAGTTGACATGTATTACTCTTGCAGCTGGACGAACAGCCCAACCCGCGGGCTGGGGCAGCTGAGGTGGGTCAAAGTGATATACCATTTCTGACAACTAGGCTTCAAATGTTGCGACATGAACGATGGGGTGTGATATGGTGCAGAACAGGCACGATCCTACACATGTCAATCAACCCTGGCACGCCACTGGAGAACGCGAAGCTGTCACCTAGACATGACAGATGTGGTAGTATGGGAGATCAGGGTCACGGACAGCAGGAAAACAGGTTTGGTGTTCGTGTCCTTCGGCCTAGACTTTTGAGGAAGATCTGTTGCGCCCCGATCAAGTGCGATATCACATGCCGCCGAAACTTTTGTCTAAGCCTCGTAGAAGATGACAAAGACCTCATCGTCTCATTATGCTATCAAGCTGACAACTCGACGTTTCATACGACGTCTGGCAGACGGACAGCGATATCCCCTGACTGTGTAATATATCTCACCCATGGTAGTGAGGGATATTGTAGCTGGTGGAACCATTAGCAGGCAATAGACAAAGACGCACATGAGGAAAGACATACCTTGGGTTCTGTGATCTTCAGATATCGCACCTGGATACCACTTGTCGTAAAATAGGGGATCTCAAACTTGACCTGGATCGGTCGCTTGGCGCCCTTGCCAGCACTGACCCCACCCATACTTCCACCGAATCCACCAGTCATACCTCCACCATGCTCGTCGTCTCCTCTCACACTAGGGAGCCCCAGTTCAGCCCGCATGAGGAACTCCTTCCCGCCACCGAATTGCTTGATCTTCCACACGATGGCGCTCTGCTCAGGGGCATAGTGGACACTCCCGATGTTCGTTCGAAACCGGGGTGAGTCAGCATCATCCGGCACAGGCACAATGATCTCGACGTTGTTGGCTGTACTCCTTCTCTTGAACTGCGCCTTTGCCTTCAGCATGTATTCGATTCGCGAACCTGAATGGCTCTCAACCACACACTCGACCCAGATCAGGGGCTTGACTTGGGTGTTCAGCCGGTAACTCATGAGCTCGAATTCGCCATCGGGGGGAATGAAGGAGATGGTCCGGTCGTTCTCGAAGCGTGATAACCGCACACACTGGTGGAATTTGACGTCCTCCATTTCTATAGCCTTGCCTCGTGTCGTTCTCCCTGTCGTCTCGAACATGACCTTGTCGTTCAGACCCAACCGCAACTCTGGCATCCCAGACAGATAGCACTTCATCTTGACAGCACCCAGAATTTCGGAGCGCAAGACATTGCCGTTTGAAGAAACCAGCAAATTCAAGCTCTCAATGACGTCCAAGAACACCTCGTTCTTCCTGTACCGTATTCCCTCGGACCGCCATGAGACGGCATTCGTGACTGCGATGGGTGGCCGTGCTTGTACCTCCAACTTGTGCGACTCCTGTGTGATGTACTCTTGCAAGATCTTGGATTCAGTGGTCTGAGGGTAGCCAAAATCCATCATCTCATCCAGCAGCTCGTATATAATAACGAAGTTGTCGCGAATCGACTCTTCTTCTAGCGCTTTGAAATACTCTGTAAAGACTTCGACGACCTTGTGTAGAAAGAGGAGGATCTCGGCGGCGTTGGTGTTTCGTTTCGTCAGAGCAAGAAGGTAGAGGTTGTTGTGTCGGATGTATAGATACTGCTAGCTGTCAGACAGGCCCGCGAATGGTCAAAGACATAGAACGCACGTTGATGCCTTCGTGTGAGAAGCAGGGTGGCACTGCAGATGATTCTTCTTCGGCTTCGCTCAGAAGGACAGGGAACTTCTCGACTGCCGACATGGGAATATCACCTCGATAATTTCGGGCAAGGAGGGTCTGTTCCAAGCAGGCTATCAGTACTCAAGGGGTTTGGCACAAGCTGAAGCTTCGGGTGCTCACCTTGCCCTTCAAGTCGAGGAAGAAGAGTGCCGATGCCATTGCGTCGTTTCGGGTGCAGAGGTTTAGGAGAGCAAGGGGATAGGCAGTCAATTGGCACTCAGGCCAGAGAGCAGACCCTGGAAACCAGTAGTCATGCACCAAAGCACATCTGGTGAGGTAGAAATGGCAGGTAAAATGGCAAGAAGCTCGTCGTCGTTGTCGTCTCTGGGGTCAGATAGTCTGTGAACCACACAACACACTGGAATTGCGGGATGCCTTCACGAAGCCAAGACCCCACATCGCTTGAGGTCCATTCTTGTGGATCGCCTTGTGCAGTGTTGTCCAGGCTTCAGGTCAGTGGCTGGCGAGGAATGCTGTCGTGTGGCGGTGTGGCTGGAGAAGCTTAGCTTCAGTATGGAGCAAGTCACATGACCACTAAAAGCTTGGACCCGTTCGCTGGATCCACCACCACTATGTTCACAATAAATTTCTTGAACGAGTCCTTCTCTCTTTCTTTCCTTCCTCAACGCGTCCATTTAGACAGTGCAGCTCATTCTTACTCAGGTAAACACACAACTGGTACCGGCATTCTGCTGGTGTTCCGATCGTGTGTTCATTGGTGTAGTTTGCGATTTCGCGGCGCGGAGAAGGATCAATCTTGATATGGTGCCATAAGAGCTGCCCGAGTATTATCTGCTGTAATGGCAAATACTGTTGCTTGGGCGGCGTCAGAGGAACCGCACATTTATTCTGTCGTGACATTCGCTTCCCATTTTGACATTCTCAGCAGCGGGCGCTGATGGGAGCTAGGTGACTTCGCAATGGTCGTTTTCCTCCTGCGATCACGAATCTGTGGACATGCCTGCAGTGACGGTGTAGTGCTCAGCTCGCTACGTCGTTGCGGCATTGGTGATCGTCTTTTGACCTCAATGCATCCCCTCCGCATCTAACAGCCCCGACTACATGTGGTGTGTTCAGTAGCCCGAAGTCAATTCACCTAGTCGGCAGATTGGCATTGTCACATGGGCTTTACTCCCTTCACCCAGACCCGTCCACATGACGATAGCAAGCTTTGTTTGCGACGAACTCTATTGTGACCCCCCCATCACTTGCTACTGTGTGCTATCGAAGAGGAAGCTGGGCGAGTGATCTCGAAAAGCTTCTGCATTCGACGACTGCGGATCGCCCGCAAAATATGCTCGGATGCTGTCGAACACAAACGCCGACATACCGTATTTACTGTCTTAATTCATCCCGAGTCCCCCATGTCTAGTGTGAGTGGCTTGCGTGCGAGAATAAGAGTATCAGCCACATCTGTCTGTGGCTTTATAAGAGATAAGTCTGATAAGAAGCTCTGTGAGGCTCGTCAGGCTCTTTTCCGCACGCAAGCCACTCGCGCTAGCAGGGGAACTCGGGATGAATTAAGACAGTAAATACGGTACGACATCAGATTTGATTCGGACGCGTCAGGTGGCAGGTGAGGGTGACGGCCTGGAACCCGCTGTCTGATTTCAGCTCTGACTTCCGACTGGGCTATCATCCACCGGGCCCAGGCTTGACATGCAAACATTGATGCATGTTGGATGTGCCGCCATCTTCATAGGTAGGATAGGTCTCTTTCCCAAGCGGGCTGTTTCCGTGGCCCGTTGTGACCCCAATTCCCTCGTTCCCCTGACCGACCTCCTCCTGGAGTGCAGTCTGTCATCGCCTGGGAGCGATGGTCCAGGTGTCGCCAGGCTCTCTAGTGGTGGTGCTGGAAGCCGAAGAAGACGTCGAGGGGCCGCTAGGACACATGCATTTTATTACAGTACCTGTTGCATGTGATGACGCTTTGGGCCGTCTGACACGTGCTTGTTCCCCTTTTCTCACCATCGGCATCTAAGTGCCTCTCAACACCCCCAATCAGACCTGTAGGCACCCAAGCGACCGCTGATCTTCTGGCTTTCTAGACTCTCCTCTCTCGTCATCACCAACCTATCATTACGCGGCGTGATGAGGTACCTACATTGGATTGATTTTGTCTGGCTGGAGTCAGTCGTCAGGATCACAGCCCCGCAGTTTGCTGCAACCGGTTCCTCATTCTGATATGTATGTTGGCCAGAGAGCAGTCGGATCTATCAGACAGATCTGAAAGCTATATGTATGTCTGCATCTTATGATGGTGTACACAATAGAGATGAGCCAAAACGGAATGCCCTCACTGTGCCCGGTCGACGTACGACAGCACTCTGTCACAAGCCGGAGTCTCGGTAACGAGCAGCTTCTATGTTTGGGAACTCGTGGGGAGTGATCCTTCCATTGCACCACTCATACATATCCATCCCAACCTCCAACCTGCCCCCCCTTTGAGACCCATGGACCCTGCAGCACGTGCTGGCCGCCTGACCCGACTGTGCCCAGTCACTGCAGCCCCAGTGGGACATGCGCTGGAAAGTGGGAAGACACCCCCGACCCGCCGATAGGACTTTGTCAGCAGGCAAAACCCCGACAGCCCGACGAGAGGGCGGCCGGTAACCTCGTTATTCCCATCGGTTTCACGCTTCATCGGGCACTCCCACATGTGCGGGCTTCTTCCATCACGTTGTCCGTCCCCTTCTCGAAAAGATCTAGCCTACCTGCACCTCGCTCGCCTGTCCAACGTGGAAGATCTAACGACGAGTCAGACTGTGATGATGAACTATTCAACTTGCACTATCTTGTGACTGTCCCCACTCCAGTTCCGAGGGTCGTCAGCTAGTGGGAGCCGCACCCGCGCCGCCTCTGCCGTTCTGCGGTTTCCATCGTTCGGCCATACATCACTACTGCACTCCCGCTTCCCTCGTGGTCACCAGTGACCACTGTCAAGGACTCAAGGAACAAGGAAGGACCATTACTCGAAGCACAACTGCGCAAACGATCCCACGTATGTGACCTGCAACATATCGATCGCCAGAGTGCCTCTCCCCCAGAGGCGCTTTTGGCTTCCCATTGCGATCATCAAGTAAAGGCACGCACGCAATGGAGCACCAGCACAATCACATGCCGTTTCCGCGGCAGACCCACGACCAGAAGCACGCTTTACACCACCAACCCGATCCTCATCGACAGACTCTGCCGCCGTCCGACCCGAATGCGCGAATCTTTGACCGACCGTTCACGCTTCCCTTGTATCCACCACCTTCGTATGCGCAAACTCGCGACCTCGCCGGCCTGAACTTTCCTATCGGCCAGAACACCGAATTGGCGCCCATCAAATCCGCGAGTGCTCAGCATGATGACAGCAACAGGACCATCAACACTCTGCCTTCGCTGTCGTCCCTGACAGCCTCGTCTGCCCCTTTGTACAACCCGTCGCATCCGCATCCGCCAGCGCCAACGTACTCTCCTCCTGCACCCTCGCAGCCGACCAATTGGCCGAGCCTCAACCCGTTGACCGCATACTACAACCCAAGCCATGCGCAGAGTGCCGACTCACCAATGCGAGTGGAAACGGACACCAGCAGTACCAGCGGGGCGAGTGCTGCGTCGCCTGATCACCTCCAAGATGGACGTGCGAGCAGCGTCAGCCTTGACGATCCCGACGTGCGGATGGCCGCGGAGGCGCTGGGCGATTTGAGAGCAGGTCCGTTCTTCCATCTCTGCCTGATTGTTCGATGTTCACTTGTTTTCTCATTGGACAGCGAGAGTGAACAACAAGCTGACAAACGAAACCTGCATCGCAGATTTCGTCTCTTCTCCTTCCAACAGGCACACGCCCCTACCCGGCTCACCTCATTCACAAACGAACGGGACCTCCTCAGAACCGCTCCTGTCGTTACTGACTACGTCGCATCCTCTCCTCGCGACAACCATCGAAGGCGCTACAACCGCCTACAACCATTCCAAGGACTACTCACCGAGGTTCAAGACAGGCGCGGAATATGTCGAGGGCTACGTGATACCCATAGCAAACACCGTCGGTTCGGTTGGTAGAGTAACGGGTGTGGAAGATGGCGTCCGATGGTTCTTGAGGAGGCAATCATCCCATCACTCCGATCTCGAAGCCAACGACCAAGGTTCCAACAAGCGTAGGAAGATCGACAGTGGAAGCGGAACCGACAGTGGCAGCCTTCAAGATGCGAGTCCAGAGTACGATTCTGGCGCGCAAACACCGCGGGCGTCTATGGGAAATGCGCATGACCGTCGTTTGTCTGTTGCCAGCACCGTCGATACGCTACCGGCATATGACGAGTTTCGATCGCCGCCATATGCTGAACACTTTGCGCTGCCCGAGAGTCGTCCGCACAACGCTGCATGGCGATCTCGTTTGATCATGTCAACGTCGGGCCTGAGCATTGCGATGAGCGCAGAGAGCTTACGAAGCCTGAAGTATTGCCTCAGCTGGCTTCGATGGGCCAATGTTCACATAGGAGATGTCATTACTACGCTGAAGACCACGATGGACAGATACGAGCAGACGAAACACAAGTCGGCCGATAGCGATCATCCGATGCAGGGCACTTCCAGTGAATCAGGCGACGTGGACAGGAATCAGCTAGCGGCCAAAATCACCGCGCTCAGGTCGGATGTTCTCAAGACCCTCCAAGATGTTATCAGCACTGTCAGCAAATACGCCGGCGGCGCTCTCCCAGAGAACGCACGGGAGCTTGTTCGACGCCATCTCACGAGCCTGCCGCAACGATTTCGAGTCGCTAGCATGGCTGGTGAAGGCCAAGAGGAAGCTCGTTCTTCCGCGACCAGTGAGGAAGGTCGAGAAGTGCAGGAAAAGGAGACCCGTGAGAGCGCACAACGGGCTCTGGTCCTGGCCAAGGAAGGGCTCGACATGATGTCGCAGGTATCCGGAGTCTTGAACGGCACCATAGTCAGCGCCGAAGGATGGTGCGAACGACTGGGAAGGAAGAAAAGGCAACAGCGAGACGACCTGCTCGGGTTTTCTCATCCTCAATATCCTCTGAATGATGTGAAGATAGGCTGAGATGTGTACGAACACGGGTACGAAAAGACGAGGAGCTCTGGAGAGAAAGCAAAACAAAACAAAAAGGGACGAGGATACTAAAAACAGAGGGAAAGCTCGAGAGGGCGATTCAGTGTACGAGCGAGTCGATCAGCCGACTCAACCAGAATACCGGGCGATACGAGATTTGACGAGTCTCGACCTACACTCCTTCACAGCGCCTTACGAGGCTGACGACTTGGTCCAACTTGGTCCAACTTGACCATGACATTTTTTCTTGTGTCACAACGAATCTTGCCAGAGATACAGCTTATACCCATAACGTGGATACACGGAGCGCATCGATCTAGCGTCTGATTTTGGCTTGCTGAATTTTCTGCGGTCCTTCCCCCCTTTTACTTTACTTGTCCTTCATAGGCTATCTACCTACCATACGGTCGCGGGATTGGTTGCGTTGTTCTATCACGGATTGGGCATTTAGGCTTCAGTAAGAGTTCTTTGTCTCGCAACAAGTTCTTTCACGGCAGAGGATGGGAGTTACGTGTCTCGTCTGTTTGCACATGACGTTACTGTATAGCCGCACACGCACACGCACACCTACACCATACCAACACACACAAAAACAGGTGAATAGATCCCATCTTCCAGCTTGGAACGCCATGGGCATATACACAGCACAATCTGCCCTCTTTAGACCCACTGACTCGCATCACGGCCACGGTGGACCAATCTCAACCTCGTTGTGTTTCTTACGGCCATTTGTACTTCAAGCAGACACGCCTTCATGCACTCAAGGTTGAAGGCCCGACTGGCAGGGAGGAATGTCTGTAAATGGCCTCTCCCCGCTGGCAGTAGTCGATAACCAATATCAGGCAGGTATTCCATGCCACAGATCATAGCTCAGGGTCTCGTTGGGACCTATCCATCGCTCCAGACACCCCCTTTTCTCGATCATCAGGTCGGCCAGCAGGCGCCCGAACACGACACTGCCGTAGTCGTTGAGATGCGTCGTGTCATTGGGGTGCAGGTTGTACACCTGTGCCGACTCATTCCCAATCCTGTTCGCGTAGTTCATGCTGGCTTGGTTGAGGTCCAGATAGGTGGTGTTAGTGGCTCTGGCGGCCGCGATGGTCGCTAGGCGCTGGTCGTGCAAGGAGTCGTCTGTCTGATGCTCCGAGACGAAGCTCCGTCTTGTCAGGGGCGTCACGAGAAACTGCGTGCGCATGCGTCAACATCGACTTTCAGCACGTATCATGCGGGCTGGACATGAACCTACCGGTGTACCGCCGATACCCTTGACTTCCCTTGCTAGCCTTTCCAGATTGGCCTGGTACTGGGAGAGTGAGATGTTACTCGCCGGCTTCTGGTCATTATGCCCGAACTGGATCGTGACATATGTGTCGAATCTGCGTGTGTTCCGTTTGACGTAGTCGGTCACATTCGCCCAGTCGCCGCCTTGGACGAAGCTGACTGTCGTTGCCCCGTTGTGGCCGAGGTTGACTCCCCATGCTGGCGCCTTCAAGAATGATAGGAAGCCGTTGCCCCAACCTCCTCCGCCCTCCGACTGGACTGCTGTCGTACTATCGCCGGCGAGGAAAAACGCTGGTGGTTTGCTCGTGCATTTGAGGGCGCCTTGGTGGAAGGTCGAGTCACCAATAGATGCCACGGCGCGTGCCACAAGTGCCAACAGGCATGATAGAACCATTTGCGACTTCATCGTTGAAGAGGAGGATGATGAACATCTCACGCCGTCTCTGTGTCGTGGGACTAGTGGATGCCGGTCCGACAGGTAGTTATATACGTATATGTCACGGTTCCTGGCCTATGTCCTTTGAACTCTAGATTTTCCGTCTCTGTTGCTACGGCCCATTGGGGAGGCCCGCGGACAAACGGCATCTCGCGAGAATTCAAGACCGAGTGACCAGCTTCTCGTGGCACTCCGCATGCCGACTCCGCACCAATCGTCCTTCTGTATGCCACGGGCCTGAGATGAAGCTCGTCATTAGATGAACGGACATTGCAACGCTGCCATCCTGGGCTGCGGACTCTTACATCACAGCAGGCGTTTCCTTCCGGCCGGATGCACCTTCGTGCCAAGGGTTTCTAGTAGTCGACTGCGTTGTCTTTCTGCATAGATCACCTTCACATTGGCACAACAAGGATGGTGTCTCTTTGTTACCAGTGGTTCGCAAGGTCGGCGTAATACAAAGCATCCATTGTGCGCATACTGCAGGCTGCTTTTGTTCCACTACAATGAGCACGGAGCAAAACGCAGTTAAGATAGGGGACAGACAATAGACTTGTTTGTTGCGTCTCCTCCGCTCTCTGCGGTCCATGTTTTCTATCATGTATAAGAACTGTCCAACGACTCATGTGAATGCTGGAGGGAAGCATCTAGCCCCTCGTTCGCTACTTCTATTCTCAGAGCCGGTCTCCCAAGTCCGGTCACCATTCCTCTAAGTGCCTACTAACCTTAAGAGTTCTCGTCCCGTCTTGCAAGTCAAGCAAAGATGTCGCTAAACAGCTCACATGCGCAGTACGCTCGAAGTAGTGATCTCGGTCGCTTAAAGGCCATCGTTCGCTGCTTCAGAAGCGGTAGCGACGACGCATTACCCACAAGAGCGGCTTCTGGAAGATGTCGAGCCTGCGGGGTGGCTTCTCATCGCGAAGGTATTGTATTTCACCACCCACTACGGCTTAACCCTTCGTACAGAGATGAGGATCTGCTTTTCCCCTGCCGTCTTGCCATCAACAGATTCATCTCCGGAAATGGCCGCCATGGGTTTGAGCTTGGGTTCGAGCTGGAAGATCTGACTTCCGATAGGGTTTGCACCTATCTCCACCTCCAAGGTAGCCCTATCATTGTATACTTGCAGAGCGATAATACATTTGATCTTGGGAGACTGCCAGAAGACCTGCTTGAGACTTTGCATGCTGCCGTAGACTTGCAGCTCATGTCTATTCTAGCTGGCGTTGAGGATGACTCGGTGTCACACACCGGTACACAGGGCGCGGAGATATTTTAGCTGATGGCATGGAATAGCCATGGTCACAGTACGGAATATATTGCTTTACATACGAATGATGGGAGAGTGATGCTTGTGACTTGCAGAGTGCGTGAACGTTAACATGCTTTGTATCTAGATGCTCCGCTCCGGCCAACCAGTGACTTGACGGGTTGTGTTGTCTTCTCTTGCTTAAGTCTTGTCATTCTTAGCCTCCCTCAGCATGGAAGTCTCGAGGTAACGACCGTCATCGAAAGTCATAGTCTCTACTACCTCAAAACCATGCTTCTCGTATAATGGTGCACCCCATGGGCTTGCCGACAAGAATGCGGCGACTCCCTCGTCATCAGCTTGCTTCAGACCCCACCGGAGCAGCTGCTTGCCTGCTCCCCTTCCCTGAAATGCCGTCCGCGTACCAAGTATCTCCAGATACCAATGTGGCCGATCTCCCATGATCTCCGAGTGCTTCTCGTCCAGGGCCCCGAAGAATTCATCTGCGAAAGCGATATCGGCGTCCTCGGGCCAGCTGAGCTGCAGTGGCGAGGGCGCCGACGACGCGGTCCGCGGCTTTACCCACTTTGCAAAGGCGATAACATCTCCAGAGGGCGACGAGTCTCGGTCGGTGACCAGGACGATATTGACATTTGGATTGCGCAACTCGGCGCTGATGTCTTTTATCCAGTAGTCTTGGGCGTGCTTTGAGGTTGCTGGAAATACCCGGCGCGAAGCTGGATGGTCGCGGAAAGCGTCGAAGAAGACGAAAACAATGGCTAGAGCATCCGCCGGGGATGCCATTCTTAGCTCTAGCGACATGGTGATCGTAATCGTTGGCACCACTCTGAGGCTGCGTTTTGGAGAGGACTGCTGTGGAGGAGGAAGCGAAGAATGGTAGATTATATCGTAGGCACTGAAGCAGCGAATACCTCACGTCAGCTGGGCAAGATGCTTGGGGCCTAGACTCCCATGGGTGGAGGGGACTACAGGGTAGGATGCGTGCATGATGTAGGTAGCTTGGCCAGCTGCCAGGCAGCCAGGCGGCCAGGGGTCTTGCTTGCATAATGATTGCATTTGATCGAGTTTAAATATTGACCATCTTCTAAGGGGATGCCGTCATGGAGTAGAGTAGGGTAACTCGTCTGTTCATCCCGTCCACTCCGCTCACCTCCGACAGTAAGAAGCTGGATCGCTGCGATGATTACTTGGGGGACTAAATATTTGCAGAGTTGGTCCCTCGTTTTCTAGGGCGCACCTCGTCGTTTGCCGGCTCTTATACAGGTGCGCCGTCCTCCTCCTTTCTTTTCTCGTCCTTCTCCTTTCCTTGAAGCAGAACATCCTTCTTTGCCTTCGTCTTTCCTGACACTGACCTAGAACCGGTCTTTGCAGACGTGCGTCCTTTCTCCCAGTCGTACAGTTTAGGCCGGGTTGTCCACCCATGGGTTTCGCGCCTATAAGGGCGTCCCTCATACCGCTTAGTGTCAGACTGGTGCGACCTCAGCTTATCGGTGTAGTGTTCGTCAGGGGTAGCCGTGGAGGATGTTGCCCGTGTTGATATCCCGCACGAGTATTCCGCCACGGTGAAGCTTCTTGAGGTTGCGGATCAGCTTCGGGGCCGTCTTTCGGCTTATGGCGGTCTCGATCATCTTCCGGTTGTCATCATAGACACCTTTAGATGGCTTGACCGTGCTGGTGTCTATGTACTCAACACGATGGCCCTCAAAGGTGCGCCTTTATTAGAGGATGCGTCGTATCCCCAGTCAAACTCCTGATCTGCCTCCCCTAGGCGATCCTGATGTTTTTGGTCGAGCATGCTATATCCGTGGCAACGCGCTGCCACGTCGTCCAAGCCAAGTTCTGCGATTTTTCCATAAGCACGCGCCTCGCAGCCGAACGGGTGGAGGTAAGCTAATTCCTCCTCTTCCGTCATCTCCACCTCCCACCGCTCTGGCCCTGCGTATATCTGTGAGAAGGTGAACTGCCCCTCTGTCAGTGCTGCTGGCTGCCCTGAGAGACGTTTTAGACTTACAGTTTTGAGGGCGAAGAGGGCACCGCCAGTCTCTACTAGCCAGACGTGTGCGTGTATGCCTCTCCCAATGTGACCGAGGAAGTTTATGTCAGGTCTCTTCCCATTTTGGCGAAACGGCTGTAACTTGGGCCCGGGCACGCAAGGTAGGTGTTCCATTGGGGTGGAATGAAAAGACTCTGCAGTCGGACCCATTGCCACGCGCAACGCGATAATAGCAAAAGTTTATGGGTGACATGTGTGGTTCCCAACACTTATCTGCCTCAAAGTCAAAGGGCCCACGTACATTTGAGACTGCCGTACGCATTGTGGCTTATCCCCGACCCTCAAAGACAAAGGAGACGGAAGCGACATGCCGTCTTAATGGAGAAGAACAATGAAAACTGGGAAGAATGTGATTTCGAACTTAAGATAGACGATTCATTATATAACACAAAACAACTTTCCACTTCCACTGGAGTCTACTGATGGGGGTCATTCGAAACTAGCCACCAGTCACTTTTCAGTTCTCAATATGCCTTCCCGTTGCACACACTCAAGGCTAGGACCACAAAGATATCTCATTGTAGGCCGGCGCAACGAACACAGGCGATCGCGTAGCTGCCCGGCCCTTGCCATGTACTGATCAAACACCTCTGCGGGAGCTTACTTTTCCACTGTCAAGCTTGCGGACTTTACCCGTGGCTTGGGTCCTGTCACCTTCAGACTCCACTGGGCCTCTTTTGTTTTTACCCAATTTCGCGGCGGGTGTCGGCTGACCTGGCATGTGCTTGGTGTACACTTCTTCCGAACTGTCCCTCCGCTTGGCTGTCTCGACTGTCGGCTGCCACTCGACCCCTAAAACTTCCATGAATGGTACGGAGTCCGGTTCCATCTCAAAGTCGGCACTCTCTGAGAGCTGCTGCTCCGGGATAGTTCTGCCCAACGACGGACCTTGTCTAGAAGTCTTTCCGACGAGCTGGCCATGACGGTCATACCTTTCGTTGGAAGTGAGCGCAGAATCCTTTCTGTGAGGTTATGGACGTAGAAAGTCCTCCCACCATAAAGAAATCGGTACCAGGCATCAAAAGGTTGCATTTGCTGCTTGGGTACGATTGCTCATTGGCTGTCGACCATGCCTAGCATTGCAAGTGCCCAGATACCCTTGGAAGCAGGCATCTCGTTTCTGGTCCTCTTCCACGGTAAAACTCGATACTGTAGACCGAGTCTTTTGTCGTTCTTCTTATCACCAAGGCCGTAGAAGCGCATTAAAGTAACATCAACCGGTGTCATGACAAATGCGTACCTTGTTCTTCCCTGGTAACAGTACATGACCATCTGACTTACCGTTGTACTGGCTCGGTGGTATTTATCGCCTTGGGATAGCCCATCAGAGTCGTGGGCAAAACGCCGTTTTATATCCCCGATGGAAGCTAGGTGTCCATTGCTCGACTCTATATCGATGTGGTGGAGATCCTCAGATTGAGTAGCAGTTCCAGACTCTTCGACGTGGTTAACCGGCGAGTCAGGTTTCTTTTTCTGAGATGTAGCGACCGGGCTTGTGTCAGACCTGGACAACATGCAGTGTACTTTCTTTGAGGCGGCTGAGTTCTTTTCTATGGGTCTTGCGACGAGGGACGGGGCCTCTAATTTCGGAACCCTGACGCCCAAACCCTCGTATGCGAAACCCACAGCTTTGGATGGTTTCAAATTAACGCGCGACTGGAATTCAACAGCAGTGGCACCCCAAAATTTCCGTAGAGCTGGCACCACGGAAAATTCAAACATACATTTGATGTTTTTCTCAGACACGACTATGTGCGTCTGGTTTGCTGCTCGTGTCATGGAAATTAGGTCTTAGACTTGCCACGAGATAGGCTTCTCAAGCAAATCAAGGAACATTCCATGGATGTTTTCTTCCGTGAAGTCTTCCCAAGGCTCGATGTCTTCAAAGTCAATGTCAATGAAGTCTTCGTTGGGCGAAGTGCCGGCCTATTACGAACCAACAAGACCACACAGGGGAGGAGGACCGCGGACAGGCCAGGGTTCATTGGCAGAAAATGAACGATAAGCACAACACACGGAAGAAGGATACTGCGACACGAGTCACGTGACCAGGGGATAGCTGGGATAGCCAACGATCCCAGATATCCACCTCATCAGTGAGAGAGAGATTGGATATATAAGGATGGACATTTCTTAGCTAGACAGATAAACAGTCTCTATTTTAGTGATCAATCTAAGCATCTTAACCAACCCTAAGGTGAGAGAAATCTCTTGACGACTCGACTATTCAGTGATCCCCCGGATCCAGACTAAGCCCCAGTATCTGAGTGTCTTCTAGTTGACAGAAGCCTCTATTGTCCTTTGTGTTAACTTACCTCAGAACATAAACCCTATAGAACCCTTTAGCCTTATAGGTTAGACGGCTCGTCACACGGCTGCATTTAATTCGGACTTTCGAACTATCTTTACAGACGGAAGCTCGAGGAGCTCAAAGACATGGCCGTAACAAGGCTTTTGGTACTTCTGATATACAATAGTCTTACTCAGTGCGTCTCGTATCAAGGCAAACTTGGGCTTAGAGGAAGGCATCGTAAAGTGATTGTAATATCGGGGGCTGAGTTTTATGTTGATGTACTGGCTGATAAGGAGCTCGCGAATGGCTTACAATGATGCCGAAGGAAGCCGTGGGACGTTCCTCTTCTTCTAGGCTTGTCGAAGTGATGAAAGGGGTAAGAATCATGCAGACCGGATGCTATATGTGTGCGATGTGTCTTTGTGGTTAACAGTTGTTGATAGACAACGTATAACGCCAACCTTGAGGGCGCCAAGCACCGGGTATATCCAACTATCCCAGATTCTAGATCTCGTCGACAACAATAGTGTCGAGTCTAGCACGCAGGCCGAAATAGTCTTTTGAGTTCAAGTGAGTATGTTTTGTTCATCCTCGACAAGGAGGCCCGGTCTGTAAAAGCCTGGTAAGTGCCCGGGTCTCATTGACACAATTTGGAACAAAGGTGGTGCTGTGTAACTCATTGTCTGTATAGTGATTTCATCAGGCGTATAAAGAAGTGCGAGGACCTAACAAGATTAGTCTATCTGGAAGTAGGGTGGAACAAGGGATTAGAGGCCAAGAGCATATCGAAGGCCTCTCAAAATGGCGTAGAGCCGACCTAAAGCAGACGTAACAACACCAGAGGTAGCTTGGACTGACGATAACGAGTTTGGTGTGGAACACACCATCATCGCAAAAACAACTATTTTTCTTGGCGCCCCGCTGTTAGGGCGCAACCTCGATATCTGCGCTAAAGTAGGCACTTCTTTTAGTAATTGACTATGTTTGCCAAGGTATAAGAGAATTTTTCTCACAAGCTGGATGGCACCCTTCCATGACGGGTCCCCAAACACGCCCATGGCCGTCCCAAAGACGACCACCGGCGACGTGCTCAAATCCCTGGCCCCTAGAAAGACATACAGCCTGGCAACTCTGAGCAAGCTCCGCCAGGCGCTGCTTGACGACATCAGCAGCAGCCCGTCACAGGTCTCTGAGGCTGACTTCACCGTTGTTTCCCCTCTGAAAAGAAAATCCTGAAATATCAATAACGGCAGCACCACTGGAATGAAACGACCTCAATTGAACAGAATCTCTATAGACCAAGCCATTAAACACGATACAGGGAGTAAAGCCTCCTCCTCGGAGTACCAGGACCAAGTTGCTAAAATACTGAATAAAGACAAGCACCTTTATGAAGCCAGGATAACAATATTTTAAGAGTGTGCTACAACAGTTGACAAGACACTTCAGAAAGCCGGAACCGAATTATACTCACATGCTAAGGAGTTCAGCGCCTTGTTCTCTAAATGTCTGAACGAGTGGCTAGAAACCCGAGATTCAACCATAAGAAAGACCACTTCCGGGGGGATGGGGAAGCCCACCATGACTTTCGCACAAGCCGTCTCTTCTAGCCACTGACAGCATCTACTGACAGTCAACACCACCATGAAGAAAATACAGCCTGGTGCCCTCACCACTGCCAACCAACTGAAGAAGAAGCAGGATGATCTCCGGGTCTTTGTCCGCATAGACAATAGCCATTTAGAGCCTTATGAGATAAAGTCTACACTAAATAGAAGACTTAAGCTTCATCCCTAGGAGCTTAGAGAAGTGACACGGTGCCCCTCCGGATTTACCTTACACCCAAGGGACAAACCAACTCAGGCTAAGCTCCTGGCCTTCCAAGAAGAAATTACCGACATTCTCAAGGCACAAAAGATCGAGACCCACACGGTCTGGCATCACTACAAGGTCGATGGATGCCTAAGAAAGGTCATCAATGCGGAAGAGTTGACAATCGACATTACTGACATTGCTGTCGCTGATAAAATTAAAGCCCAAACAGGTGACAGACCTCTAAGGTGCATACTCTTAAGAAACACAGTTGATTCTGATCCAAAGACCACCTGAGTGATCTCTCTGCCCCGTGCAGCAAAGAAACTATTCACGCTTTTTGCTCACTCAATGACCTTGAGGCACATTCAATACTCCCCCAAGGTTCACCAGTGTGCGAGCTGCTTTAGATACCATAGTAGGAACTACCGATATGAAAAGCAAGTATGTGCACGTTGCGCCAGCGCAGTACACCAGGGGGATTGCGAAAAATCAATCCCAAAATGCGTCAACTGCAAGGGGCCTCATGCTGCTGACTTCAATAAATGCCCTGCACGCCCCAAGGTTATGAAAGGTATCATTCACAAGCACACATAGGAGCAAATCCAGGAAATAAGGCTGGCCGGAGAAAGAGCCAGATCCAGGGCCTTCAATAAAACAAGCAGAAACCAAGCTGGGTCATCACCTAACAACAATAACAAAGACACCACAATACAAATCAACACAACAAATACAGCTCATCCCAGAGATGCCGACACCATTGTTGTCCGTCAATGCTAGGTATATCAAACGAAACATATCGACACGGGCATCTGGTCGTCCATTCTGTGAATGCGGCAGGAGTATAAAAGAGTGCAGGCCCTACAGAGTTAGTCATTAACCTGGCTGACTACAAAAGAGAGCAAGCAGACATCATTTTGATGCAAGAGCCCTGGGTCAGCACACCACCAGGCAGAAGAACAGGAGTGAAGACACACCCAAATTATGATATATATTCCCCGGTTGATTCCTGGGACAGCGACAGTACACGGCCCAGATCTCTCATCTATGTGAGAAAATATCTTCAAGCGGATCAATTTTGGCCTTACGCTACACGAGACATCACTTGGGTCAAGGTACGAGGCATTACATTTGCCAGCGTTTACTGACCATGTAACAACCTGCAGGAAGTGGATAACATTCTGGAAGTATGGACTCCACCTTTTGGCTGCGTTATAGCTGGAGATTTTAATGCTAGCGACACATCCTGGGACTCGAGCAATCCAGGATATCATGGTGGTGTCATATTTGCACAGACTATGGCAGACCACGGACTGGATCTGATTTCTGAACCAGATGTCCCAACACATGATGAAGAAAATGTACTAGATCTGGTGTTCTCAGATGTCCCCATGGCTGAAGCCTCAGTCAATGATACACTTCAGTGCACCTCAGATCATAAGACATTACGAATAGTCATTCCAATTCAGGGAGATCTAGACCGAGTCCCCAAGGCCAATCATTGGATAGTACCGGACGATAAACTACAAGAGCTGGTGGACAATGTCTAAAATAGGATTTTTTGAGCTCCCCCGGCTGGGTGCATCCCCTGGCCAGGTAGATGCCTTTACACAGAGCTTGATCAACATGATCCAAGCCTGTGTCAGGACAGTGGGCAAGAAGCCCCGACAATCTAGGCCCACTGCTTGGTGGAATGATGAATATAAAGCAGCTATTCAGACATACAAGGCCCTTTCTAAACATACTACAAGCCAAAAAGGGCGGAATTCAGCCCGACAGGAATTTTGCTGCGTGGTTCAGAAAGCTAGGAGAGAATACTGGCAGACTCTAATCAATTCAGCGACTGAGCCAAAGGACCTGTACAGAATCGTTTCCTGGTACAAGCTATCAGCAGGATTGCGTTCCCCTCCAATCATCGTAGGAGACCAAATATTCGAGTCACAAGAGAACAAGGCAAATACACTACGCTCAGCCACGCTTAAACAAAGTACTCCAGACAACGATATCATTGCCCCCTGGTCTGCTCATATCACACAACCCAAACCACACATCCCCCTTAAATACCATGTCGGGCTGGAAGAGGCTGAAGGGTGTACTATAGGGACCAAGAACAACTCCCCAGGAATAGACACCCTCACAGTGCGGATTCTGAAAGCTTGCTGGCCAGTCATTGGGGAACATATCAGAGCCCTTTTCCAGACCTGTCTACAGATTGGACACCACCCTAAACCATTCAAAGTAGCTGAGGTGATGATGATCCAAAAACCAGGCAAAAAAGACTATTCCAATCCCAGGACCTACAGACCAATATCACTGTTGTCATGTCTTGGCAAAGGCCTTGAACGACTCATTGCAAAAAGAATTACCTGGTTTGTTATTAAACTTGGAATTCTAGCTCCACAACATTTTGGAGCTCTACCAAAGCGCTCTGCCACTGACCTGGTAGCTGCACTCATACAAGATATTGAGCAGGCCCTCGACCAACGCCTCGTTGCAACGGTAGTCATGTCAGATGTGAAAAGGGCTTTTGACGCTGCCCTAATGGGACGACTGGTGGTTCGCATGAGAGAACAGGGCTGGCCAGGCTTTCTTATAAGATGGGTCCAGTCATTCATGTCCGAGCGGTCTGTAAGGGTTTAGTTTGAAGGTATCGTACCCGATATAAAAGCTCTCACTTGTGGGCTATCACAAGGCTCACCAGCCTCTCCAATCCTTTACATGCTGTATACAGAGCCAATTTGTGCCCGATTTGGTATAAAAAAGAGAAGCTTTGGATATACAAATGACCTAGCGACTCTCTGTATTAGAAAGAACCTTAAAGAAACAGCTATAGAGATTTCTAAAAATCTACTTACTTAATTAATAGGGACATAACAACGCTATTGAATTTGACCCCAACAAAACTGAAATCATGCACTTCTCACGGAAAAAGAACTCAAACAACCCTCCAGTCTACCACAGGACAATGAATAAAACAGCCAAGGTTTCCATGCGATGGCTAGGTGTCTTTCTGGATAAAAAACTAAACTTCAAAGATCATGTTTTTCACTGGGCCAAGAAAGCTAGTAGGGTAGCAAATCACCTTTGAGGACTATGCAACACAGTCAAAGGACTTCCAGTAAAGTCGACCAGGAGGGCTGTGAAAGCTTGTGTTATTCTTATTCTTACACACGGCTTGGAGGCCTGGTACCCAAGAATCGAGAAAGTTGGGAGCTTAGGTGGGACATCAGCATGTCGCATTAAGAGGCTTCTTGAAACGATAGACGCTGTACTACGAACGGCGATCAGGGCTATGCTGCCGGTCTGGAAAATATATCTTGGACATATCCTATACTTTGAATCACAGATTCCCCCAGCAGGAGTTCTTGCAAAGTCAATAAGACGATGTCACGGCCTACGACTCGGACGAATAGACCAGAGACACCCTCTTATTGGCAGGCTCCAAGTACAAGCTTACAAAGAACCAACAAGGTTACAAAGGAACTTCCAGCTAGTCCCTGACTTCCAGAGACCAATACTCACCAAGCCATCATAGAAGAAGTCCTCAATCCGTAAGGATAAAGACAAAAAGCACGCGTATTAAATCTATTGCCCGGTGTCAATGTTTCTGCCCTTCGACCTCCTTATGGGACTCAACGACTGATTGAAGAGGACCATGCGACTTACATGTGTTCGACCCAGGCAGGCGGCCAAGATGCCGAGCCAAATGCCGCTTGGCCTGTCAGGAAGCATATCCTGGGAACAAAGGAATCATACATGTACATATACATGGCCTCCAGGCCTGATTAGTATTGTAGCCCTCTGCAGAACAACATACATCTTTACCCCCCTATATGGTTCGCCTTCTGACATGGCCCAGTAACATTAGTCGGCGAATCAATGCCTTGGCTTCGACGCATGGCAACTTCATGAGATGCAACGCTTACTAGTGAAGCAAGCTTGGCCCGTGGATGGTTACTCTTGGTACAGGACAACGCCGAGCCATTTCTCTGCTTCGCACCATGCCCGCGCGTCGTCTCTGAGGACGGTTGGCCGGCTCTCAGTATAAATATGGACGATAGCCGGGGCAAAACCCGTGAACGCGATATATCCCAAGCTCACCATTTTCCGTACCCATGACAATGACCCGCGATGGGATATTTCTGTGTGCTGGGCTCGCCGTGTTCGGCAGGACAACGTTATCGGCACCATCACTGGTTTCCCGAACCTGGAACGGCGCCGAGTATGGCTGCAAATGCTATATTGACGATGACTGCTGGCCGGCTGACAGTGCTTGGGCGGAACTAAATTCTACCGTGGAGGGCACACTGCTCGTCGACATCCCGCCGGGCGCGTCTTGCTATGATGTATGCTTCCCCAGGCAGGATGGTCCTACTCATTCGCATGCGGGAAGGTGATCTTGGATACCAAACTGAACGCGGTCCACGGCAGGCCTTCGAAGGACCACTCGGCACCACCCCCACCTACGATGCTGCTGCTTGTGCAGACGCAACGGCCAACTGGGCCAATGAGACCTGGACGTAAGTCGTCGTCGTGCCGGCTCTAGATAGTAGATCGCACACGCATGCTAACACTGTCCAGCGTCGATAAGCCGGCTGCGGAGTTATGGACCTACTTCATGAATGACACCTGCCGGCCGACTGATGACCCTTCGCAGTCTTGCACCCTTGGGAACTACGGAGTCTATGTCATTACCGCCGAGTCCCAGGGCCATGTTAAGGCAGGCATTGACTTCGCCAGAGAGAACAACCTGCGCTTGATTGTGCGAAATACCAGACACGTCTTCATTGGGCGTTCGACGGGATGGGGGGCACTTGTCATCAACACACATAGCTTCCAAGACCTCGTCTTCTCTACAGAATACACTGGGCCCGGCAACTACACAGGAGGAAGTGTTATCATGGGCGCCGGGTCCAAGGTCGGGCCTCACTCACAGCAGCCAACGCCCAGGATCCACCCGTTCTTGTCATGACCGGAGAGTGTCCCGTAAGTTCCATACAGTGGAATAGTCGACATCCAACTGATAAACCCGCAGACAGTTGGTGTTGCGGGCAGCCTCGTTCAAGGAGGTGGACATGGCCCCCTAACGTGAGTAGGCTACATTGTTGCTCTTCTTTCATGTCTCTCCGCTGTTCTTATTGCCGGGTCATGACGCGGAACCGCCACGTATCAATTACACTGACTTGAGAGAAAGAGAGCCCCCTGACTAATCGTGGACGATGTAGGCCACTCTACGGGATGGTTGCAGACACGGCCCTCGCTTTCGACGTCGTCACGGCAGACGGCGAGTTCCTGAGAGCCAACTCGGAGGAGAATCCTGACTTGTTCTGGGCTTTGATGGGAGGAGGTCCATCATCCTATGGAATAGTCCTCTCGGCTACCTTCAAGACCTTCCCGGAAACGAAGGCTGCCAGTGTCATTGTCAACATCAACTCGACTCTTACCAATGATACCGACGTGTTCTGGGAAGGCGTCAGGTCGTTCCACAAATACTCCAACACATTTGTTGACGCTGGTCTCTATGCCTACTTCGAGTTGGCGACGCTGCGTCTACACATTGCGCCTTTTGTTGGCGCAGGCAAGACTTCAGCTGAGATGGGGGCCATCCTGAAGCCATCATTATTCTCCTCAACGTCAGTGTGACTAAACATCACCCGCCTGTCACGGCAGATGACCCTGTTGGCTCGTCTTCGAAAAGGTCAATGTACAGGTCATATACCGTATCAAACTCTTTGCCGACAGCATCGTAGGGGATGTTGTTAGCCTCAAATTCGTCAAACATGGGGATCGTGAAGGTCTGTATCCAGAGTCTTCCAAAACCCGGGTTGCCCCAAGAGCACTCAATCACGGGACCTACTGACTCGTGGTCGTGGCACAGGCGTTCAAGACGGCAACATCTCCACGGGCCGACCTTGCTAATCAGGGTGGCATCAGTGGCCACCTGTGGGATGCCGGCCATAGCACTCCAGTGTCAAATTCAGCAACACACCCGCGGTTTAGAAACTCCACCGACTTCGCGGTCGTCACGCTTCCGGTGCCTGTGGGCACTACATGGGCCCAAAAGGAAGACCTCCAAAACGTTCTCACGAATATCCAAGACGCCGCAATGAGGGAGGCAGGCCCTCATGGCTGTGCTTATGTCAACGAGGTCGGGCGCGAGATGAGACTTGAGATAAGGCTTGATCCAGCATGAGACGCTGACCAGTAGCAGGGCGATCCATACCAACCGGACTGGCAAGACCACTTCTGGGGCTTGGAGTACCCAAAGCTGCTCGAGATCCGGCAGAAATGGGATCCTAACGGGGTATTTTATGCCATTGCCACGCCGGGAACAGAAAAATGGGAGGTTATCGAATACGGTACGCGACTGTGTCGTAAGACTTGAGGGTACCCCAGATGGCTGTTTCTTAGAACACCATCGAAAAGCCACATGCTATTTGTAAAAAGAGCAACTTGGAAACGAATATACGGATTGGCGGAGAAGAGGTGTATACTTGATGCGCTGCGTGTTTTCTGCAGAGGTTTATGATCTATCGCTTCCAAATGCGATGAGTTCGGCATGAATTGCACCTTTGCACACAGTTAGCAGCCAGGAGACCGAGGAGAGATAGGAAACCCAGACAACTGGGGCTTTCGTACCTGAGGCAACTGAGATGCGCTGAAGCAAGTCGAGACGAGCAACACGAATACACCACCAACTGTCATGCCATGCCTCTGCGCTACCGCTACCACCACAACTACTACCACCCACCAGTGCGGCTCCAGCGATGATCTCTCAACGCCCGACAAGCTCAAAATAATCGTAGGCGCGCCACAAGGATTACTCCAGTACCACAGGAACGAGAGTTGGATTGGCTGAAGCTTCCGAACACACACACACCTTCCCCAAACTCGCGACTTCCCCAAGCTCGCGCCAGCCTCAACCTCCAATCATGGAATCGCACATAACCCAGACGGTGCGCGCAACACAGCAAGACCGCATCGTTGGCTGCATCTTTGGTTCAGCGCTGGGCGACACGATCGGCCTGTACACCGAGCACATGATCCCCGCGCAGGCACTCCAAGAGTACCCTACCCGATGGTTCACACTGCTCCCCCTGTCAGAACCGACTCCTTTCGCTCGAGACCCGCACCGACGAAAATTTCATCTCCGACATTGGACAGATGAGACAGACCAAGCACTCTGCATCTTGCTGTCTTGTCTGCACAGCAATGGAGAATTCTTCCCCGCCGACCTCGCGGAGCGTCTGAACATATGGGCTGAGCAAGGGTTAAGGGCGCTGGACACGATGCCACTTGGGGCCGGAAGGAAGCTGAGCGAGCTTGTGACGGGCTCCGAGTATCTGGACGACCCGGAAGAGGCCGCGACTGAGTACTGGGTTTCGGAGGGCTTCTTCCCAGCGTCAAACAAATCACTCACACGTACCTATCCGCTCGGCCTCCTATGCATTGGCAAAAACATCACGAAGACATTCAACATCGCAGCGGCGTATTCAGTAATCACCCACGTCGATCCACGATGCATCGTGAGTTGCGCCATTGGCACCGCTCTGGTATCTGGTTTCGCATCTGGCCAGGCCTTTGAGGAGAGGTACATCGACGATGTCATCGAAGAAGCGGTGGATTGGTACGACATCTACAGGATGCAGCAGGAGGATGAAGATCCGGCTGCGAGTGAATATCCTGACCTGGATCGCGAAGAACTGGACCGACACGTGGTAGCCAATCGACTGGACGACCTTCAACTCGACCAGTACGGCAAGATTAGTTACGTCTACAAGACGCTCGGATCCGGCATTCTGCTCCTCCGCCTCGCCCTGAGAAGTATAGCGAGAGCCGATGGCAAGCTGTCGGCGCAGCTGCCACTCTTCCGGCAGCTGATCACGGACCTGGCCATGTGTGGCGGCGATGCGGACGCCAACTGCTGCTTTGCTGGTGCCCTTCTCGGAAGTCTGCTGGGATTCAAAGCCCTGCCGTTGCATTGGAGAGGTGGTCTGCAGCACAGGGACTGGCTCATGGGAAAAGCCGAGTCGCTCTGCCAGATGCTCGGGGTCGTCGACGGTCATTATGATGGGGCCAATGACATGGACAGGGCCATCGACGGTGGTAGAGGCTTGTTGACCCCTAAGCAAATAGCACATCGGCGCTTCTCACATCTGGAGGCAACAGAGAGGCTGAGGAAGCGTCATGAAGCTGTCCTACGACGCTCCCAAGCATGCTCGCGGAAGAAGGGCGATGGGAATATCGCACCTAATGGTGCCGCCAGCGTTTAAGGAGGGGATGGCAGATCCTGGTAGACGAGTCTGATCATCTGGAAGGACTTCATGCCGGGGACTTGGTCAATGTGTATTATAAGATGAGGAAATGAACCACAATTGATCTGGTGAAGTGAGAGCCGCTCTTATCTCCGCTTGCAGTGGTTTAACCGATATGCCAGTATGCCTAGAAGCCAATATTCGCTTAGGCGGTCAACGAGCTGCAAGTGGTGCAGCTGTATTGACGTCTGATTATTGGCCAATGAACTGGAAAATCACGATTTCTTGACAAAGCTCCAGCTTCCAATTCCCACCATTCCCACCGGCCATCTCCAGCTCTCGACAGCTCAGGTGCAGCTAGGCCCGCTGCCTGTTCACCTTTGTGCACACCAGCATTCGCACCAACAGCTGCAACCTTACAAGATACCGCATTGCGACGATCAAGTAACGACACATCAAACACTACCTAGTCCACCTCTCGAAGGTACCGCCCGCCGCCTTGCACCGACGGACAGCCATGAATGCCCCCAGCTGAGCCACTCGAATTGTCGCGTCAAGGAAACTGCGCCGACCTTCGCGCACCATATTCGACAGCTGCAAGTTCAATGGGCAGACGAGCAGAGACACACACGATCTCGGTGACTCCAAGAGTTTGAGTTTTGGGTTCGCATCGCGGGTAACAACAGGAGCAGGATGGCCGACATGGAATCATCCACGAGTATGGGCATGACGGGCGATGTCCGGAGTGAGGTCAAGAAACCTAAGAAGAAGAAGGTCCTCCTCATGGGCAAGAGCGGCTCCGGGAAGTCGAGCATGCGAAGCATCATATTCAGCAACTACATCGCGAGGGATACTCGACGCCTGTGAGTGGAAGTGGAAGCTGTGTCTTCGTGGAGCCCCCCCCCCCCCCCCCCCCCCCCCCCCCCCCCCCAAAAAAAAATGTCTGCTGTCTTTGGCGAGGTGGGCACATAGGTAGCATGCTAATCAATGGTGTAACCCAGAGGCGCGACTATCGACATTGACCTCTCGCATGTCAAATTCCTCGGGAACCTCACGCTCAACCTCTGGGACTGCGGCGGACAGGAGGCTTTTATGGAAAACTACCTGTCGCAGCAGCGAGTTCACGTCTTCTCCAACGTCGGTGTCCTGATATACGTATTCGATATTGAATCGAGAGATGTCGACCGGGACATGGCCACCTACGTGTCTATCATCTCTGCCATGACACAGTTCTCACCCACCGCCAAGATCTACGTACTGATTCACAAGATGGATCTAATAAGTCTGCATGCTCGGGAAGCCGTCTTTGTCGACCGGGTGCGGTTGGTTCGGCAGAAGACTTCGGAATTCATCCAGGCCGCTGGGTACACTGCGGAACTGGACCTGATACCCTTTGCAACCTCAATTTGGGACCAGTCCTTGTACAAAGCATGGGCCAGCATCATCCATGACCTCGTGCCCAATCTGTCTGTCATCGAGTCTCAATTGGGCTCGCTGGGTGTACTGATAGAGGCCGAGGAGCTGCTCTTGTTTGAGCGAACCAGCTTCCTGGTGGTATCAAGCTGGACATCTGAGGAAGGGCAGGGAAACCCCACGGGAGACCGGCAAGAGCGTATCTCGAACATCCTCAAGCATTTCAAGCAGAGTATCAGCCGCTTTACTGGTACGCCCAGGAACGCCGAGCAGTTTACCCTGATGGTAAGTAACCCGTGGCAGGATTGCCCGGTGGTTGCATCTCCATTTGAGACTGGTAACCCCTATCTTGCACGCATCGAAGTGCCTCGTCGTTGACCGTGGGAGGTCTGGTCACTGTCCTAGACATCCAATGCTAACTTGTAGTCTTTGTAGGAACACAAGGCGGGCTCGAGATTCTCCATGTTTGCCTGCAAGTTTACGACTAATACCTACCTCATGGTCGTCCTCCCACCCGGGGAGGCTCGATTCAACTCAGCAAAGTTGAACTGTCAGATAGCTCGAGAGAGCTTCAAGTTTCTGGACGGCCCTGGACCGGTGTCAGGCCAAGCTCAGAGCCTCTCATCTTGATGCAGACCAGTCTGGCATGGTCTCCGCGAAAGAACAGGTCTGACAAGCCGGTCATGTAACGCATAGACGCGTGAGTACCGCTCGCTCGTTTGTGAGCTTCACTATAGCTCTGTCTCCCCATAGTCATCCTAGCAACTGACCCGAGTACGGTTCACTCGTTGGCCGGTAGCCTCAAACCATGACTCAGATCTTCTTTTGGCGCTGATGTGCTGATACGGACTTCGACAACTCTAGAATATGTGACGAAGCGGAAAGAGATCGACAGACCACAATAGTTGTACTCGAGTTTTGGAGGTCGTTGAAGAACTACATACACCCAGCACTCGTAAGTCTGCGTGTGTGTACGTTATAAGATTCCAGATCACCCGTAGGAAAATTCCGAAATACTGGATTAAGCATACAGGAATACGCAGTTCTGGTGTTATACGCTTCTTTTGATGCTTATGCCAGTGTGATCACTCCAATTACGATGAGCATACCGTTGTTTGCTGGATACGTGGTGTACGGAGACTTTGAGGGTTCAGTGTAGCAACAATTTCTCTGCCGCTGGAACTCGCCTTCAACTAGCCCACGCAACTCTTCGAAGCCAGTCAGAGTCCCCAAGGCATAATCTCCGCCATGAAGTCTTGTATATTCTGTGTTATCTCCTGTCTACTGGCGCGCTCCTCGCCGCCCCGGCCCATCTCCCGTACGTAAAGCTTATGCCCCATAGTTACACCAGTAAATAGACCTTCTTTCTACTCGTATTCAGAGTAGGGCGGTACTACTTGGGAAGGACGCACGAGAGGTAACAACGCTGAACTGAGGGTTTTACCTAGCCTGGCATACCCTCTCAAACCTCGGCTTAGTTGCAACTTGATGCCCTCGCCATCTCGTGAACGAGGATGACGGAGAGTAACCGCGACCCCTTTCCGACCTGGGACTACCACAGACGACTGCAATACTCGCGAGTACGTTCTAGAACACGATAGAATCGACGTCGAGGTAGACTCGGATTGCTTCACGTCTAGCGGCACCTGGACCAGCCCCTACGGTGGCGGCGGGTGGACAGCCGCATCCAATCTGGACATTGACCATATGGTACCATTCAAGAACGCCAGTATTCTACGTATACCGGATTTCCCTGAGCTGCTGCCCAAGTCTATCAATGCCTTCTGGCTCTGGCAGTACAGACCGCGAACCTGCTGAGCTGCATCATAGATCATGGGCACAAATTCAGAACCACCAGTATCATATGGCTTCCCTAGTGTGGCGCAAACGCGTGGACAACAGACCAACGCGAGTAGTTTGCCAACGACGTGGATCGACCTCAACCCTGGGCTGTGGCGGACAGCGCCAACCAGGACAAGAGCGACTCTAGCCCTGACGAGTGGAAGCCGGTACTGGAGACATCTATGCCAAGGCCTGGGTTGCGGTCAAGAGCTATTGGGAGCTTGCAGTCACCGACGCCGAAAGCATAGCCTTGAGGGAGATGTTGGACACCTGCTAGATGAATCTGTCATCTTTGGCTATGCTTGGGGGCTTGGGGCATGGAAATGGCGGCTGACTCAACTGGTATTCTGTGTACGGAAGCTTTGCTGGCTGGACAGGAGGCGGGCCTCGTACATGTATACAAACACTGGGTTGATGTGCTGCAAGTACCTTTCACAGCGGACTATGAGATGTCATCCCGAATGCGTGTCGCGAGCATTGCCATAGAGTCCTCTGATATCCACTATTACACAGCATGTAGACTGAAATGGGTAGACAGATCTTCATGGGAATGTCTTGAGTGGCTACGAAGCAACGCAAATCTTTTGGTGTCTATGATACACCCAGGTCCTTGGCCAAGCCAATGGTGCAAAAGCCACAAATTCCATTTTCTAGTAGAAATCCGGCAGCCAGACGAAAGCCCGTAGTTGCTTAGGTGCTTCTCTTGACTACGGCAGTGCCGCCCTTCTTGAACTCGTCCATCTCACCAAGCACCAACGACTTGTTGGTATGATCCTTGTTGGGGAACGTGGTAGCCAGAACCCAGCCACCGCTGCTCAGCTCGGGCGAAGCGCGAGTGATGAAGTCGTATATATCATTCACCGTCTGCGTAGTATCGAAACGTGCTGGCAGACGAGTACCGTCCGGCATCTGAATCCGGACCGTGATGGTGGGCCGCGAGGGATCGGCAGAAGAGCCTGAGGCCGATGCCGATGCTGCCGAAGGTGCAGATGCACCTACATTCAGTGATGAGAGCGTAGGCAGAGACGCGGCGGCATCGGCCGAATCTCCAGGCACGGGGCTGCCAAGGCGTCGACCTTCGCCACCGAAAGGCTTGTAAACCTTGGGAAGAGGTCTGTAGTTCTCCTCGTGCTGCTGCAACTTGACGTCCAGAGGCTCGTCATATCTCACATTCATGAGATGAATGGGAGCACGACCTTGTTGAATCATGCGCAAAGCATCAGCGTTCGCAGGGTCATCAAAGCGGCGCAGTTCTCCATCGTCAATACTGAATCCATCCCGCCACAAGTGCAACGTTCGTTCCTGAACCTCGCCGGTTTGCGGTCGAGCAGCACGGCCAGCTGCGCTAGAAGGGCCACGAGGATCTGGAATCACGCGGCTTTCAGCACCTTCGCCACCAAGGGTCTGGCCTGCGCCGTGGAAGGAGGCCGAGCTCGATGGGCCAGCAGGTGATGACGTCTCGGGTCGCTTAGCATTGCTGCGGACAATGTGTGTTAGCAAGATCATTTCAAAGAGCGTTGTGGTAAGGAGCGGCTGTTTGAACGTACTTCTTGGCCTTCTGAAGGAGATCACTGATTATGCGTTTGGGATCAGCACGTTGAGATGGGTCCTGGACAGCAAGTCCACTCTTCTCGCCCCCAGCGTATGTGTCTCGATGGGCATCGTCCTCGTCATCCGCGCTGTCGTCGTCATCATGGTCGTAAGAACTGCCGGCACCGAGAGAGCTCAGGGTGGCAAGCCCCTTCTTCTTGGGCGGTCGTTTGGAGGTGCTGGAGGTGCTGGGGGCGGCCTGAGGGGCAGGTCGACCATCAAGAGTACGCGGGCCTGTGTAGTCGGCAGGAACAGACGCAGAACCCGAAGCAGAGGCTGAGGTCGCAGCTCCACCAGCATCTGCGGCGTCGTCCTCCTCCTCGTCGGCATAGAAGGCCTGGATAGCACCGTTAAGGTCCCAGTTGCTGGCGGTAAGGTACTGCGTAGCCTGTTGCGATTGTAAGGGCGGTTAGCAAATGACGAATCCCAATGAAAACAGAGGTCTGGCGCGCGCGCGAGATGAGGCTCACCTGCTCTGAGCCAGCGGAGGTCATGCCCATGAACTCGCTGGTGAGCGCATCGTGATCTATGCTACTGTCCATCGTATCTGTGGCCAGCAGGTGAGCTGGAGGAGTGCGGGAGAGGGATGGTGTTGTTTGTTGCAGTGCTGGACTGAGGGGTGCCTTTGAAGCACAGAAGTGCACTGTGCAAGAAGAAGAATGATGGAGGCAGAGATGGGCACCGATAGAGAAGATGCGCCTGGTTTCTCTGATCCCACACTCGCAAATGAAAGAATTGAGATGTTGACGAACTTGCTGGTTCAAGCTCTGGAAGAAAGGCACAAGGTAAAGTGACTTATGGTTGTGACCAGGCAGCTCCGGCGGCGACGTCAAGGTCCCCACACCGGCTTCCAGCACTTCAAGCGCTTAGATGCATCAGATAGCTACTATGTACTTAGGCAGCCATCAAGTACCCCACCTCGCCCCACCATCGAGCTTTATCTACTATCTTGGCGAGCTTGGTTCCATTTTTGGTGCATGAGGTTTTCTTGGGCACGGGCCCACTGCATGTGTAACAGGGATGCTCCAGCGCGTTCATTGGATTTTCCGAGGCTCTGCAACACCCGGGGACTGGACCCGGTGATGATGGAAGCATCCACTCCATCCAGGTATCTACATCTTGATGTGTTGATGCTCCCGACTTCACACTGACAGGTTCAAGGCACAGCATAGCCCGCACAGCAAACAGCACACCCTCTCACACCCTATACTCACTACCTTTCGGACTTGCGGTATCTAACGACATCCTGCAATGCTCCATTAGTCAAAGCTAGCTCGCTACCTTGGCTACAGCTTCCACCATGTCCTCCGAAGAGTCCAACATCCTCGCCGAGTCTGGCGTCACGATGCATTCTGATAGCGAGCAGTACTCGGCTGGCGAGGACATGTCCAACTCACCATCCTCGTCTCCTTCTCCGCCTATGGTCCTCTACCAGCCACCAAACGTGTGGTCAATGATCCGGGGTGCGGCCATCAACCTGTTCCTCCCCTTCGTCAACGGCATGATGCTGGGATTTGGCGAATTGTTTGCGCACGAGGCTGCCTTCAGGCTGGGATGGGGCGGCACAAAGGTACGGCCATGATGGTGCTCTCAGATCAGACGCAGTGCGCACCGCGACACTGCGCCCGCCATCTAGAGGGGTGAAACTGCTAGAACTGCCCAAGAATACTAACGAGACTTTCCAGGTCTTTCCTCTCTCAAGACGAACTGCCCATGCCATCGGACCTGGCCTCGAAATCCGCGATAAACCGAGAACGCAACCAAGCCTAGAGGATCTGACAAGCTTGGAATGACGAGGGAGCAACACCAGGCCGCGTGCTGGCACTTGATCAGAGGAGCTGGATCCCCATAGTCCCTGGAGAATACATGTCATCGGGCCCACGTTGCCTTGCTGGGCGAGCTTGGGTGCTTGGGAAATGACTGTTGGTAGAACCAAGCCTTTGAGATAGAGAAAGGGGCAACCACACCGAGTATGACCTTTTGAGGAGAACAATCACGAGATCTGATGGACCGAGATACCTACATCAGTGTACATATATAGGGGGTCGACAGGCTATTGATTCTAGCCATTCGAGTAGGAAATACAGAAGGACAGTGGCCCAAGTACAGTTAAACTACATATATCTGATGGTTGACTCAAACCAATGCCACAAACACCCTGGAGACCCATGGCCGTTCCACTGCCCTCTACCTACCTTATGTAGCACCAGAGCAGACACCACGGCGAAAGGAAACCTCCCACTTGTAGGCGGCCAGGCCGGAGCTGAAGGTGTAGCTCAGCCTCCAAGTCCAGATGGATTGGGAGTCCAGCTCCAGCTTGCAAGTGGCGACGTTGAAGAGGGACAGAGGCCACGGGCCGAAGAAATGCCGGCGCCGACCACCTGCAGACCCGGGATGCATGTCCAGTCCACCGGGTCGTTCCAGGGTACCCGCGGACCTACTCCGTCTGTCCGTCAGTCCGTATCGACAAGGAAAATTATTTGACTTTTGGGACTCTGTCGTCTCAACTGTCGCGACGGCTTCAACCCCAAATCGCAACACAAGAGAGGAACAAGCCAATCTGCGCAACACTGGCTCACCGTCGTCATGCTTCCGAGTAGAGGGATATCCAAGGCGAATCCAGCCTCTGCGCTGCGTTATCCACTGTTTCCTACTCGAGCACAGGTGCGTCCAGCATCCCGTCCCCTGGATGTCTGCAGCTAACATGGCCATTTCGTCTCATTGCAGCTAGCCAGACCGTCGCCAGCTTCGACCCGTTCCTTCTCCCGCTCAAGCATCCGTTCGCCATCCATATCATCAAAGCATGGCCTTAGTCGGCCAACGCAAATACCGCAGCTTGCCTCGATCGGCTCCGGAAGTGGTGCTCTGGGTGTAGCATCTGGGGTCTTCGCCCAGCGCTCCGGAACTACGCGAAACCTGTCGCTCTGGCCATTCCAGTCGAAACCGTCAGAGGCAACAGCACCACCACCAGTCGATACACGGATCGAACCAGCCGCCTCCTTTGCTGAACCGCCGACTTCTGTCCCGGATGCGCAACCTCCACCCGTGCCAGTCGAGAGCGTTAGTCCTGCTTCTGCAGCCACTCCAGCCACGCCAATCGACCCGAGCTCGACACACCTATCCCATGACTCTGTATTTGGCGACCTCGACCTGCCCTCGATTCTTGATATTCCGGAGCAGATAGGCTACCTGAAGAGTCTCGGTCTGGATTTTGGCTGGGGGCCTACGAGCTGCGTCGAGTGGGTTCTGGAACATGTGTACATATACACGGGTGCGCCATGGTGGGCGTCGCTTGCCATGATAGCCATCGTATGGCGTGCCGCTCTGTTCATGCCGACCATGACCGGCAGCAAGCACCAGGCCTTGCTGCAGAAGGCTCACACCACTCCAGAATTTATCAAGGCCAAGGAACAGTTCAACGAGGCGGCATTCGGCTCCAAGGACCAGATGGCCATGATGTCGGCTCGCGCGAGCATGAGTAAGATCACCAGACAATCCGGCGCTCAGATTTGGCGACCCTTTGTGGGATTCCTCACCGTTCCCTTCAGTTACGGCATGTTTCGACTGTTCCGAGCCATGGCCGCCATACCCGTCCCCAGTCTGGAGACCGGCGGACTTGCCTGGTTCACCGATTTGACTGTCCACGATCCTTACTTCATCTTGCCGGCTCTCTCTGTGGGTCTGGGGGCCATGATGATGAGGGTAAGCTCCGACTATATTTCCACCCCTTACAATATCGCGTCCTGGGCGGTCATTAACGTCTCCTTAGCAACTCCAAAAAGCAAATATGTCGCAGGATTCAGCGCAGCAGGCTATGGCCAAGGGAATGATCTATATTCTGCCTCCGGCCCTCTTCCTCGGCACTGCATGGTTGCCGGCCGGGCTGCAATGGTTTTTCCTGATGCTCTCTGCTGGTTCCACCGTGCAGTCGGCAGCCACGTTGAATCCAACTGTCCGACGCTGGGCTGGTCTTCCTCCCCTCCCCTCTTCCCCGGCTGCGCTGGCCAGTGCGGCTGGCGCGCAGTGGCAGGCTCCCGTGTCACGCGGCCAAGGGATCGTGGGCTCCGTGAAGAAGGACATGGGCGACATGTCCAAAGGCATCAAACGTACCTTTGGCAACGACGGCAGGAAGGCTTCAAGCCAAAAGGCCAACGAATACGAAGAGCGAAGGGCAAATGAGGAGCGAGAAAAGGCATACAGACGGATGGAAGCCATTCGTCAGAAACGTGCCGAGCAACAGAGATAGCGAGCGGGCTTGTCGTTTTCAGCGGCCTCCACCAAGCTCATGCCGAGTGTACGATGAGTGACACTGGCTGTACTATAGAACTGGCGCATAATCTCTGCCCTAAGCTGTATTTATACTAGAGAAGTGTCCTTGGCGAGGGACTGGCGAGAGAAGGCGTCACTGTAAATAATCTGATCCGATGCGACTTGTCTCGAATGTACAAACATTGTTGAACCAGTGATCTGAATACTGGTGATATGCGTATTGTGGTTGTAGAGGGTCCCTTGGCTTTTGGCAATAGTTGTCACATACAGGAAAGCACTTGTATTCAATCCTTTGCGCAATTCTAAGGATATCTAAGCGTTTAGTCTGGCTAGGCTTTGGCTTGCGATTACTGGTCTTGTCCAAAAGGATGACTTCAAGCCCGCCATTGATTATAAGTGTTTTAGATTGATTGTTGCCGCAGATCTCCCATGGTCGAATCCCGGCGATTCCAGCCGGCCATGGCGGATGGATCTGATAAAAATTACGGACTTGAATAGAAGTCTTCTAGAATACGGTTCCGTCGGAGTCGATCAGGATCGGCGGTTCCTTCGTGTTCGGGCGGCTAACCTCGGCAATCTCACGACCACCCTGTGTACACACTTGTTAGTATTTGGTATTTCTGGACAAGACATTGCGCCATGAATGACAACAATCGACCACGGTCGGTCGGTCGAGGGCAACTTACCTTCCAGCTCCCAGCCTCGAGTAGCTGCGCCAGAGTCAGCTCTCCGCCGTTGAGTTCCTGCCGCAACGCCTTGTTGACTTCGGCACAGAGCTTGTCGAGAAACCCAACCGTGACGCCGCGCCACTCGACAATGACGTCGTCGCTCGGCTCAAACATGGGCGCCACCTCGATGCCCTTCTCGCCCGTCCGTCTGCAGTAGTCACTGTAGTTCTGCAGACCGCGCTCCGTCTCGTCCCGCTTCAGCGTCATCACGCCCAGATCGATGAACAGACCACCGTTCCGGTACTCGGGCAGCCCGGTCAGCAGCTCCGTGCCGGCGAATTGGATCCTGAGCAGGCTCTGCATGGGCTGCATGAGAGAATAGGTGAGCCATTGTGTCAGCTTGTGGAACGGCAAGATGGACTCCCAGGGCGCTGTTGTAGAAGCGGATTGGGAGTTGGGGAAGGGCGAGAAGCTCGGCGAATTGGGCGATGTTGCTTGTTGCGGCATGGACGAGCACGGCCATGCGTCGCCGAGTGAGATGCCATCGATAGCTGTGCGAGATGCGGGCCAGATCGGGGCTAGGCCAGACATGAGCACGTTCCAAAGCACTGGCAAGATCACGATGGGAGTCGAGGATGCCTGTGTCGTCGGGTGGGCCAGGAGATAGTCTGTAAGCTCCTAGTCAGCCGTGGCCGTCCATCGCGTCTGCAAATGATGAACTGAGTAGAGGGTGGTGGCACATACCAATCATGTTTCCAGGCCGTCCACTGTCACCCCAAAAGTCTCTCTTCTCAGCCAATGCGGTGCCCAGTCGCATCAGCAGTTGCGCCCGACCCTCGAGTCCGGCGACCTCACAGCCGGGGCGCGACTGCATGCCCCTGGCCAGTTGGTCGACCGTCAATGAGCGGAGGCCATCTTTGTCCACCTGGAACTTGTTGCTGGGATTGCTCGAGAACAGGCCCTGCGTCGCGCATGTTAGTAGAGCTTTCCCGATACCAGTCCCGTGTTCTCGGAAGTGCTTACCGTCTTGAACATCTCCAGACTCGCAATGGCTAACCCCTCTGACCGTTTGTAAATGCGGCCATTCTCGGCACTCTTGAAGCTCCACGTCGTACCCGCGCCGGCGTCCAGCAGCACGCTAACGAGGAACAAGTCGATTAAGCGGCGGCACTTCTCAGTGTTGTCGACGTTATCAGGGAAGGTTGACAGGAGAGTGGCGATGCGATCACGACCGCCTACACAGAAGTGCTGGTATCGACCATGGCCGGGAATGGAGGAGAATGGGGCATCGTAGTCGCGCTACACGGGAAGACAAAAGTCAGTCATCCGGCGTGGTCAATTGGGCAATCGGACCAGGGGCAATGGTGGGATGATGAAAGGCGGGTAGACGGTGCGACTTCAGCGCAACATGGGGTGATATCAATGGCGTCGCGTCGCACCGCAACACAGCGTGATCAATGCAGGTAATATAGGTATGAAGGTGTAGTGTAGATAGGCTAGTCAAGCAGTAGGGCAGTAGGGCAGTAGGCTACTAAGTAGTCATCAGTGGTAATGTAGTCATGCGTACCTTGATGATACCACAGACGAAGGTGACAACGTCGGGGAACCTGTCGAGATCGACGTCAAAATGGGTGAGCTTGTTCCTCAGGGCCTTCTCGGTCACGATCTTGGACCGTTCGCGGACGGCGCCCAGACTCCTCAGATAGCCGGCGGCGTCCAACGAAGGGTCGGGCGGCTTGGGCAGGTTGACCTTGGGCAGATGCGGCGTCATTGGCGTTAAGGGGGTGGGCGGGACGCTGCCGGCGGATGTGCGATTGAGCATGCGAGAGTTGACCGTCGACGAGCTCTTGAGGTTGGAGCCTTGCGAGTTGACACTGGCCGAATCGCCGCCTGCTGTGTTGGGTTTCGACGAGATGGCCTTGGGGGTCTTGGGCTTGCGGGAGAAGAGGCCCATGGTTGGTTTTGTGTCCGGGCGGCGGACGGCGGGCGGTATCAGGCGGTTATCAAGCGGTATCGTATCGAGCGATAGTAGTCGTTGGAACTATTTTACCTGTAACAGTTTGAGAGGTAGTATGTATGCGGACGGGGTCGTCGCAAACAAACAGCTCCAGTCGGTCGGGTCTCTCTCGGGTCTCTCTCGGGGCGAGCTGACAGAATCAGAAGCACATCAATGGAGAGAGCCGGACGGGGGCAGGGGGCCAGGGGGCAAGCAGCTGGGGGGGTTCCTGCGTGCCAATGCCAGCGCCAATGCCAATCACCGCCAATCAGTGGCTATCAATGGCTATCGACTGCCAATCGGTTGATGCGCCGCTTGGCCTAGGCAAGGGGTGGTCCCGGTAAAGGAGGGTGTCTGTGGAGTAGGACTTGTCGGGTGGATGTGGGGTTGACGGAGGAGGAGGAGCACGTCGGGTCTGCTCTGCTTTGCTCTGACTTTTCTCTCCCTTCTTTTTCTCTCCCTTCTGGCAGTCTGTGTGTTCAGAAAAGTGGAGGGAGGTAGACTCTGTACAGGGACAGGGACGGACGGGGTATCTCTTGTGGGCGGAGAACGGCGATCAACGGTCGTTCCTGCAAGTGGTGCTTATCGTCGCAGGTCTCTCTTTTGTCCGTCAGTCCGTGTCGCGTTACTCAATCCCGTGAGAGCCTTGTCCCTCGCCTGTCTTGAACAGGGAGAAAGGAGAAGAAGGTGGACGACTGGACAGTTAGAGGTGTTGTGTGTTGGTGTTGACAAGAGGTACGATGTAGGTAAGCAATTGAAAGGGAGGGAAAGTCAACCCGGGGAGCAAGACCCTTCTTGGCTCTTTTTTTTTTGTCAACCCGACAAACGCCCTGACTCGAGTAGACCAGCGGGATGCAGACTGCAGCACTGTGGTCAGTCAGAGTGGTGTCGGGGTGGTGTCGGCATGGGCCCCAGCGCCATGTGATAAACTACCTTGTGATAAGTATTGTGGGCGCCGTGGAAGGGAGCAGACTCGCAGAGGGCAAGAGGGGCCGAAAAACAGATCGTCAGGAACCGGGGAACCGGCTGGCCCCTCATAGGTTCGGTCCATCGACCATTCTCGATATGTGATTGGCCTCCTGGCTTGCATCCCCGAATGCTCAGGGATAGGGGTTCCAGCCTGATCCCACCATCTGTGCACGGTACTACGGGGGTCTGATTCCTGAACCAGACGGAATATTGTGTGTCGTGCTGGTGGCGTGCTTGTGGCTTGTCAATAATAAAGTCATGTCCATTCAGAGACCGATCAAATTGAGAATAGCAACAGCAGTCCAATTCGAACCCCTTGACCGTCTCATGAAAGGTGGTTGATAGATGAGAGCAGGCCCACCCGTCAGTAAGGGGCGGGTGGATAGTCAGCCAAGCAACTTCGAGATTCGAGATTCTGCGACCGATTGCACAATTTTCCGAAGTCTGGTCGGTGAAATTATTGTTCAATAAAACCTGATCCATTGGCAATTGCAACGTCAGCACACACCATTTGATTCTGTGAGACCGAGGAATATTGCAGGGAGGCTTTTCCCGTTGCAAATTCGGAGGGGTATCGAGCGCAGATCTAACGACATAAGCACTTGCTCGCGTCTTCCACTTCGTTAGTATGTTTGGTCCCAGCCGCGAGCGCGTAGTAATAGTTCGGCAAACGGAAGCTCCCAGATACATGTGAGTTCGCGACATTCTTGAGCCTCGACACCGTCGAGTGGCTGTCGACCTTGGCCCGCTCGGGTGTCTAGTCTGGGCCGCTGACCGGGTGCGCAGGGTCCCCCGTGGGAACGGTCACGGCATACTATTGGCACCAGCTAGACGAATGAGATGTGACCGAGATTTGAGCCCATTCGGTCTGGTCTGGTCCAGAAGGACAGTGTAGAATACGCCGCGCAGAGCAACACGCGACTGGCACACCCAGACTACGACGGTTATAGACGACGGTAATGAGGGAGCAGGGTGATGGCGGTGGGTGCGATGGGTAGGGCACGCATCGTCTGATCATTGATTGGATTGTATCGTTGCAGCCATGCGCTACCGGTACTCGGCTCGTGGCATAGGTACGCGCCGCGATTCATGGTACGCACCAGCACGAGTTCTGAGTAGTTTAGATCCAAGCAGCCGAGCTCATATGCAGGCCGGGCTGTCAGTCAGTCAGTCCGACACGGACTCTGAAGCTCCGGGCCCGTCGTGCGGATTAGCAGCCAAAGCGGCCGAGCTGCATCAGTTCTGGATTGGTTCGTCCAAGCTATCTCTGAGCCATCTTGGGCGAGCTCGACGCCGGACTTGGTGGTCTCTATGTCGGCAGACCATCTTCGCTGGTGTCCAAGGATAGTTCCATCTTCGGAAGCCTTACCGAAAGGGGGCGGAGATATCTGTGGCTTATCAAAACAGTATGGGAGACCGTCGATGATATGGATAGAAGGTGGGATTCAAGGAGGATCATGACCATTGCCCGTACGCATGTGGCTGAGTGTGTTTCACAGCACCCTGGCCTGCCTCTTGACTGTCCTCACACTACCGACACCTGCTCTATGATTCTTCGGTGAAGCAGCATTACGGAGACTTCATCATAACTATCAGCGTTTGCTAGCTGAACATGAGTTCGAGCCCAATTTGGCAGTCAGTGACGATGGCGTCTAGCCGTCCATGTGTCTCTGGAAGCAAAGAACTCCGAGCTGTGGTATGAAGCGAGTTGAATTATGAACTAGAACCCGAAGGCGAGAAACTATGATGGACTACGACCAAGTGACCAACCTGACAGATCAATCGAGGCCTGTGATGGTGGAGTTATCCAGTTCACGTTTTGAAGATCCATTCTTTTGATTCTGGCAAGCAATCTTAATGCCCGTACCAAGCGCGATACCAGCCGCTGCGAACTCCGGCTCAAGGGGCAATAAGTTCTTTTATGGCGCCCTCAAGAAGTTCGCACAAGAAACTTTCGCTACCGTCAGCGTCACCATCAGATCAAGCCGGTTTGATTGATTTGATGGCTTGATTTGGCTTGATTTGATCAAATCGAGGTTTTCACGATGTTTGCAAGCCAAATAAGGTTTTCTTAATTTTGATCCTGATTAAGCAATTATCTTTTATTCCTGGGCACTCATAGTGTAGTGGTATGTTGACAGAATTTTTTAAGCTTTGAAGGTCGGGTGTTCCGGCCTTCGGCCGGCTAAACTTTTGTTCCGAACATAAATATTTTCTTCCGATAATCCGGTGATCCGTGCTTAAGCCTAGGAGATTTGCTTGATCTGATGGTGATGCTGGCTACCGGCGCCCTCCTTGAACTCGAGTTGAACATCCATCCAGGCTGTTTCGCCGGGTTCGGGAGCCATCCTCCCCCAAGGATTGTAGTACTGGGGGCCAGCGAAGCCTAAAGTTTGCGAATGTCAGCAGCCTCGTCCAAAGATCATGGTAAGTCCAAAGTATGATCTTACCGACAGTATCACATAATGTGAGTTCATGAGAATAGGAAACCGGATGGTCCCGCCGTAAGAAGTTGGGGAGCCACCCCCATGGTCCCGAGCCCTTCTTTGTAAGCGCATAGTATTTTTTCTGGTAGCAATTGGTGCCGACAGCTGCATTCTGTATTGCTGTGGCTACAGTCTCGATCATCGCGGTGCGAAGGGACGTCTCCTTCCAATGGCTGCTACCCACCCTTATCCCCAACGTACCATCTCCGAAGAGTGTGTTATCCTCAATGTAGGTCACACTGCCTATTTGGGCAGTATCGACGGTACAATTCTGGGCCTGAGTCGGACACAGCGTCTCGAGTGCGTTGGAAACACCTGTATACAGCGCTGTGCCAGTCACGGTTCCAACGTGGACTGGTGACGAGCCCGCTTGGAGCGTGACGGCCGCAGTTGGTACCACGCAGCCTTGTAGGCTGTAGCATGAAGCATCGTAGCCGTATGCGCCAACCGGAGTGCAAACTTGACAATTGGGTGTAGTTGTAATTGGCGGGCCGAAGTCTTTCGTTATGGTGAGATCCCTTCCCTGCAGGTTGGGGCCCAGCGTGATCGTTGGTGTTGCAGATGTAAGTGATGGGATGCTGTCTCGATTGGCATCCCTAGGGGGCAAAGTTGTGTAGTCACAGCTCTGGCTCTCGGCGGCCTGTGTCGAGAAGGTGAAGCTGGTGAGAAATGGCAAGGTTTTGTAATTGTCGCACGCGCAGTATCGATTGCTGTCTCCGTGGAATGGATCCGAGTCGTGCACGTAGCATACCGGGGTAGCTGTGGGAACGTTGGTAATCTCTGGAACCAAGCTGCGTTGCGGAGTGGTCAGGACTGATACAGTATAGTTGAGGGATACGTCCTCGACCGTGCCCGTGTATGAGAATGTCGAGACGGGAGTTGGGCCTTTGAGCTCTGTTCCGCAGACCGAATTGTTGCGTTTGATAGGAGTAATCATTATGCCACGGATAGCGAGTTGCTGAGGCTGAATCGTGTTTCCACCATTCTGGGTTTGCCACTCACATAGCAAGTCCCGCAGTTCGGAATCGACGCGACCTTGTTTGTGGTAGAGAGGATACTGCTCGCTGGTGACCTCATCTGCACTCGCTTGCTCATGACCGGCCGCGACCGGTGCAAAAGCAACGCCCAGTCCACCGGCGATAGCTTGGCATGATGGTTTATCCTTGCCTCCCCGACAAGTCGAGATCACGCCAGGCCCGTATGCGATCTTGCCGCCATGCGTCTTTGTGCCATACGTAGCAATGACACAGCCCTGAGAGTATGTCGTCTCGGTTTTATTTGACACAGTACGGGCTTTTTCCGAGGTCTCATAGTTGAAGAAGACTCCGTCCTGGGCATGGAAGCTGATGTGGCTGATGTTCCCCTTGCCCTTAGCCTGCGCGTACCACTTGGGCACAGATGGAAACGAGGCAGCCATGACCTTCGCTCTCGGCCCTCGTGGGATTGTCGACACAAAATGCCACCTGGAGTCTGGGTCGAACATGACAGCGACGTTGACCCATCCGTAGTCAGTAGATTGGTTTCGTTTGTTGGTTTGCGGGATTCATCAGCCAGTCGAAATGGGACTTTGCGAGGGCCAGTTTTGGTTTCGTATGTTTCTGGGTCTCCGACGTCTGCATTCTCTGTGGGATACTGTGCGTACCATGTCGGGAAATTTGTGCAGTTGTCTTTCTCGGCCTGTGGTTTGTCGTTGGCCACTGTCCAAAGAGCCATTTCTCCAGCTGGACTACCCGTTGAACTGCGTGAAGCAATGCTCAACCAGGCGAACAAGACAAATAGAACAGATCTTGCAAACACGGTCTCCCGGGGACGTGAGAGTTTCTCTGACAAGTTTGATTCTGATACAGATCGGGGAGGAGCAGAATACTTGAAAGAATTGGAGATTATTGCAAACCCAATACAGAGTTGTTGGATCGAGTGAACATCAAAGCCGCACCGAATACTGGACTACATAGTAGGCCAAACTCCGGAAGTGAGTACTCTGTCAGGACTGCCCTGCACTCCTCCCACGTCACTGTATTCCACCATCACCCACGAAGTAGAGGTTATCTGTCATCGAAAACGTCCAATGATCCTTTTCCCGTAATAGAACTGTTGCTACGCCGCTTGGATGAACTTTTGCTACGTTGCTTGGATTAACTATGCCGCTTGGATCGAGGAGTGTTGCTACGCCGCTTGGACGGAACTGACTATGGTGCTGCTGAGCCGACCGACACGACCAACACCATAAGGGTGGAACATGAACACATTGGTAGGCTAAGGATAGTTAAATACAGATAATCCCGATGCGACCTAGGCCGAGCACGACAAAGTCACTTTCTGCCATCTTCAGCATCATGCCTACTACGTCGTGCCGTTCCCGTATACATGGCCGGACTGAGGCCGGCTGATCGGCTGACCCATGACGGATCGGTAAGAAGTCTCATTGCTTGAACCATCGGACGAGTTGGATGCTGGTGATAACATTTCAGGGGCGCCATGGGGCTGTATCAGGACTGCGCGCGTTGGATGCAACATTGATTCCATCGCGTCAAGGTGGAATCTGCAATGAGATCATTGAGCCCCTACGTTTGCTGTTGTACTATCCGCTGGCTAATTTTCACCCAACCACGCACTGGCGTTGAGTTAGGTACACATCGTCCAGGTTAGTGAAAGAGTGTAGAGTCATGTGATTAAGGTACGCTCATGTTGGTACTATGAACTCCTATATGGAACCGTCATCCTTAGCTTGTGCCAACCAACGACAACAGTCACCTTGCTCAAGACCTACTCCGTTCTATCTTGAGCTGATTGTATTGACAGGTGAAAGGATTCCAAACGAGACCACACTATCACCACGAGGATTGATTCCCACGAGGCAGATGATGAGAGGTGCACGTCTTCCCCTGACTGCGCGTCATTGCTAGGTCGAGTGAGGTTGCAGCAATGACGAAGTGGTAAGAAGAGTTCATCGAGAGCTTTTACGTGAGCCTCTTCTACATAGTGCAGATTTCCTAGACCCCAGCTCACCCCTCTTCAGACTGGCGCACTTTTTCGCGCGTTGATGCCCCTTCTAGCATTTGAACATGAAACCCCCAATTCTCTCCCTCGTTGGTCTAACTTACATTCTCTTAATCATCGTAGCCACTGCTTTTGAGCTTCCAGACATGGCCACCACACCTGTCTTAGGGGGTGCTAAAGCCCTACCGAGCCCAACAGGACGACAGCCCACTGGCAGCAGAGCTCCACAGACTTGAGCGGAAGGGGGACGAACAAGCGCCTGCTTCTATCAGCCCCAAACAATCGAACATGACCAATATCACTACAGCAGCCAAGACCACTGTACCGGCAGATAGCTCACAGAATGAGGAGAATGTCAGCTGGATGGTATTCCCCATGGACGGAGGAAGTGAACGGGACATCAACGAAACCGAGTCTGCACTCAGGGAGCTCTCGCCAGACTTGTACGCAAGTTACTTCCGAGATGCTCTCATAATCTGGATTATTATGGCTCCGGAGAGCAAGGTTAAGTAAGGATGTGACTCAGGTTACTGGCGTTCTGCAAGTCAACCAGAATATCTTGGCGACGCGTGGACGTGCCCTGCCATCGAGACTTGAGTAGCACCTAAGATCACTCCAATTGCCAAGAATAACTCCGAGAAGCACAATCAAAAGCGAGACGGACCATATGCAACACAACAGGATGGAGTTACTGAACTGGTTGCACTCAGTCAGCCCATGTGCGTGAACCCGACGACCGTCTATCAAGCACCGCAGGCAAGTCGTAGAGCAGCATTGGAAAGTCAAACATGAGGGTGATTAATCCGACATCCACTCGAACTGCATGAGCCTGTTCCATCTGACTCAACCCGATCACCGAAATCTCGGCAGCACCTCGCGCGACTTACATACATTCGTGGTTGCTTTAATCAAATTAGTACCTGCCTGGTATTGCCGAAGGGGGCGGGGCCGGCTTACGGCATCCCCACCTTCCGGAGCCGTGAGTTGACTCTGTGCGGTCGCGCCATAGCCGCAAGCACCAGCCGCCAACAAGGGCATCGACGATCTGCCGTGGCAGAGTCGCTGTGACGACTAGCATATGTCGTCCGTCTTCTTCTTCCTCCACCGCGATGCGTTTTCCGGTAGAATCGCTCCATTCAAAATAGTTCTCTTTCCGTGCAACCTCAAATAAAAGCTCAACCTCTCTCATCGAGCTCGTCCTTGCCATGTAGCCCTTGGGAAGACCGTCACTTTCTTCTTTGGTTGGTTCTGTCCTCACGACTTTCAGCGTCGAGCGACGAAATGGTGACGGCCTGAGCGCCAAGCTGCCCAATGCAGCCCGCGACAGAGCTTTCAAGCAGTAAGGGAATCCCTTGGAGACCAACGGCCCCAGATGCTGCAGTTCGTAGAGAGACCGCGTACGTCACGTGATGCGAGGCGTCCCATCGGCCGTACAACGCACGCCGTGAATCAATCGCCGCAGCGATATCGTAGAGCCGGCCCCGCTGTAGGTGGTGATGCTGTGAGACAGCCCGTAGAGTGGGGCTTCCTGGGCGGACTGCGCGCATATGAATGTTGTGCCCAGGACCAAGATAGTAGGCTGAAAGGGTTCGTCGACCTCGTCGCATGGGTCGCATGATACTGTCTGACAGTGACAAGTTCATACCTAGTAGAGCCAAGTAATGAAAACAAGAATCAAAAAGCGGAAAAGCAGATAAGAAGGAATATTAAGATTTGCAGCGTAAGAGCATTGTTCTACCGCCAATTCTATTGTTTGGTGTGAAGTGGTGCTCTATTAGCTGCACCGGCTGTATTGAGCTGGCAGACAAAAGAGCCAGGTGCCCGAGCTCTATGGCAAGCCTTAACACTGTGCTTTTGACATCAAGAAGCACACCTAAGCATAGCATACGGTACACTCTTGAGCTTCTCTGACAGTTCCATTATAACCGTCGAGCTCGAGGCATAACCGAGGGTTGCCTGGAGCAATCACCACGACTTTTACTTCGCATCTATGCTCTGAAGTCCTTGAGCCATCTTTCCACAGTGCGAAGCTCAAGATAAGTAGCCTCACGAATGAACTGCGGCTCTGCACTCACATCCACAAGTGTCCTCAGATCCCACACATGTCCAGCACCATTGATCAGGTGCTGCGGGTACGCATCGCTCCAGTAGCGCTGCGGTGCGAGATCAGAATGGTAGCATAGATCTTTCCAAGGATCTGCCGTTCCATCGACGAACAAGAGGTTCTCTGCGGTGAAGTTGAAGTCGCCGTATGCGTTCCAGATATCGAGATCGGGGGTGGCCGGGATGGAGTTGTATTGGCCGGCCGGGAAGGCCTTGTTACACCATTCTTGGGTGTACTCTGCGTCGATGACGCGGGAGATTAGAGACTTCTTGCCGTATGGCTGGGCGGATTGGTATGCGCCGAATTCTGTGCACGTCGTGTACAGGTAGCTTCGGACGTAGTTGCTCGTGGTGTTTGCCCAGTGCGCCGTGTCCTGTGTGCCAAAACATTCTCCGCTATTATAGTCTCCGCTCGGACACAGCGGGAGGACGACGCGCTTTATGTACGCAGCGTAATTGCCCAGGTTCTTCCACACCTGGCCTTTGGTGTTTGCGGCGAGAGCGCTGTCGGCTTCTGTGTTGTTGGCCGGGGCGTTACCATCGGTCACGTTGCGGCAGAAGTCGAAGAAGTCGATGTGTCCTCGAGTGGGGTCCCAGTTGATTTCTTGCCAGGTGTACGTAGGGTATACGAACGGGCCTCCGATGGGGAACGCGATTGTCTGTGCGAAATCACGGATGTCTTTGAGCGCACCGAGGCCGAATAGCTCTTTCAGCTGCTGGATGGCGGCTGTGTTGTTTGATTTGACGAGATAATCCATGTTGTCGACGATGTCGTTGATGCTGGCGACACAATCCTGCGGTGCTAGGAGCTGGATGGGATCGTACCACTGCGGATACTCGAGTTGACCGTGAATGACACCACTGCTTGAGATGGCACCAGCAAAGGTGTCACCATACGTCTTCTTCGTGAAGGCCGACAGAGCACCAGGGTAACTACCACCGTACAGGATCCAAGGCATGGAGGGTGCGTTGATGTCCGTTAGACCTGGAAGTGTCACCTTGCGAGCAAATACGTCGAAGTCCGCAATGACTTGTTCCGTTGTCAAGTACAACAGCTCGTCGGTGGTGGAGCTGTTGAATGGGCAGCTCGTGCCGTAGTATCGGTTCTCTAGCACCACGCCGGCACCATTGAACTGCTCCATCAGATGCGTGATCAGACTGACGTCGAGATGAGTGTCGCCATCAATGGGACCTTCCCCGGCCAGGTAGAGGAACACAGGCCCGCCGGCCTTGTAGTAGGACGTCTCCACGAAGTAGCGTTGCTTGAACTTTCCATTGGAGTGACGTGCGTAGCGTGAGCTCTGGGGAAAGTGATCAATCTACACAGGTCAGTAAGACTGCGCCGACAAGAGTCTGAACCGCGCACAGTACCGCTTGGTCAAAGTAGTAAGCGGTGTGGTTAGAGGCTGCTGTTGCGCGGGTTTTGAGGTTCCTGGCGGGATGCCTGGGCGACAGAGCGAAGGTGGAAGCAACATGGCAGGCCAGCCACGTCCAGAGTGAAAGCTTCATGATCTCAAATCGATATCGTGCTACAAAGGTAGTCGCCGAGTTGCAAAGAGGTGACACGGTGACACCACAGACGACCTGGAGGCTCACAGCGAGTCACCGACGCGGTGCTGGTACCTTGCAGTCAACTTATAAGCTTTCCTTGGCCTAATCGCCATTCCAATTTCCGTTCCATGTCCATGTCTTCGGCTGCGGGGATCCAGATGGGGATGGAGCTATCGTGACATCGCCATTGGTGGCGTGTCTTTATTAGGAAGGTGGTACTCGAGAGGAACACAAGATCGGACCAATTGAAACCGCAGCACCTTTCGTCTCAATGGTGTCGCCCTAGGCGTTATTACCAAATCGACTCTACTAGAGTCGATTTGCGCACGGACCTGCACGCGGCGCACGTGGGCGCGTGCACGGTGACCAGAGGGGTAGAATAGATTTGAAGACGAGGGGGTAGAGTCGATTTGGTTCCCGGGCGAAAATACGGTCGGCGTTGACGGGTATATGGAGAAGGCGAGACGGCGAATCCGGCCGTACTGTCTGCATGTCGCTGCGACCGCTGGAAGGCCACTTTCTCTGCGAGTTGGGGTTAGTGGGAAGTTTGGGGTTAGGGTGGGAAGCAGGCGGGATGCCGGGCGGGCGGGGCCCGGGCTCGACAAGGGGTCAGACGCCAGGTAAATCATAGACACGACTCGTTGTCTGTTTTCTTTTTTTTATCTCTTCTCTTCCCACGTATACAACGACTTCGCTATGACTCCGTTTATCTATGTCTTACAATGGAAGATCGTCATCTGTTTAGAATGTCACTATGCATGTGTAGCAAACGAGGTCAAGATACATCTGAAAGCTGTAGGCCACGCGTCGCGAACAGCGCGACAGCGGCGCAAAATCGTACAAGAAGTTCAGCAGATTCCCGGTATCTTCTCCAGCCAGGCGTAACTGCAAGCCGGCCTCGACCTCCCGCCACCCGAGTGGGCTGCCAACCCGCATCTGCAGCCGCTAGAGAGAGACGGGCTGGCATGTAGGCAGTGCCCATACATCAGCCGGCAGGTTCAAAAGATACAAGACCCTAGGGTTAGGGTTAGGGTTAGGGTTAGGGTTAGGGTTAGGGTTAGGGTTAGGGTTAGGGTTAGGGTTAGGGTTAGGGTTAGGGTTAGGGTTAGGGTTAGGGTTAGGGTTAGGGTTAGGGTTAGGGTTAGGGTTAGGGTTAGGGTTAGGGTTAGGGTTAGGGTTAGGGTTAGGGTTAGGGTTAGGGTTAGGGTTAGGGTTAGGGTTAGGGTTAGGGTTAGGGTAACCCTAACCCTAACCCTAACCCTAACCCTAACCCTAACCCTAACCCTAACCCTAGGGTCTTGTATCTTTTTAACCTGCCGGCTGATGTATGGGCACTGCCTACATGCCAGCCCGTCTCTAGCGGCTGCAGATGCGGGTTGGCAGCCCACTCGGGTGGCGGGAGGTCGAGGCCGGCTTGCAGTTACGCCTGGCTGGAGAAAATACCGGGATCTGGTTAATTTTGTAGCTATTTTGCGCCGCTGTCGCGCTGTTCGCGACGCGTGGCCTACAGCTTTCAGATGTATCTTGACCTCTGTTTGCTACACATGCATAGTGACATTCTAAAAGATGGACGATCCTTCCATTTAAGACATAGATAAACGGAGTCATAGCGAAGTCGTTGTATACGTGGGAAGAGAAGAGATAAAAAAAGAAAACAGACAACGAGTCGTGTCTATGATTTACCTGGCGTCTTACCCCTTGTCGAGCCCGGGCCCCGCCCGCCCGGCATCCCGCCTGCTTCCCACCCTAACCCCAAACTTCCCACTAACCCCAACTCGCAGAGAAAGTGGCCTTCCAGCGGTCGCAGCGACATGCAGACAGTAGGCCGGATTCGCCGTCTCGCCTTCTCCATATACCCGTCAACGCCGACCGTATTTTCGCCCGGAACCAAATCGACTCTACCCCCTCGTCTTCAAATCTATTTACCCCTCTGGTCACCGTGCACGCGCCCACGTGCGCCGCGTGCAGGTCCGTGCGCAAATCGACTCTAGTAGAGTCGATTTGGTAATAACGCCTAGGGCGACACCATTGAGACGAAAGGTGCTGCGGTTTCAATTGGTCCGATCTTGGTTCCTCTCTATACCACCTTCCTAAAAAGACACTACCAATGGCGATGTCACGATCACCCATCCCCATCTGGATCCCCAGCCGAAGACATGGACATGGAACGGAAATTGGAATGGCGATTAGGCCAAGGAAGCTATAAGTTGACTGCAAGGTACCAGCACCGCGTCGGTGACTCGCTGTGAGCCTCCAGGTCGTCTGTGGTGTCACCGTGACCTCTTTGCAACTCGGCGACTACCTTTGTAGCACGATATCGATTTGAATCATGAAGCTTTCACTCTGGACGTGGCTGGCCTGCCATGTTGCTTCCACCTTCGCTCTGTCGCCCAGGCATCCCGCCAGGAACCTCAAAACCCGCGCAACAGCAGCCTCTAACCACACCGCTTACTACTTTGACCAAGCGGTACTGTGCGCGGTTCAGACTCTTGTCGGCGCAGTCTTACTGACCTGTGTAGATTGATCACTTTCCCCAGAGCTCACGCTACGCACGTCACTCCAATGGAAAGTTCAAGCAACGCTACTTCGTGGAGACGTCCTACTACAAGGCCGGCGGGCCTGTGTTCCTCTACCTGGCCGGGGAAGGTCCCATTGATGGCGACACTCATCTCGACGTCAGTCTGATCACGCATCTATGGAGCAGTTCAATGGTGCCGGCGTGGTGCTAGAGAACCGATACTACGGCACGACCTCCCATCCAGATCCACCCCACCGACGAGCTGTTCTTTACAACGGAACAAGTCATTGCGGACTTCGACGTATTTGCTCGCAAGGTGACACTTCCAGGTCTAACGGACATCAACGCACCCTCCATGCCTTGGATCCTGTACGGTGGTAGTTACCCTGGTGCTCTGTCGGCCTTCACGAAGAAGACGTATGGTGACACCTTTGCTGGTGCCATCTAAGAAGTGCTATTCACGGTCAACTCGAGTATCCGCAGTGGTACGATCCCATCAGCTCTAGCACGGAGGATTGTGTCGCCAGCATCAACGACATCGTCGACAACATGGATTATCTCGTCAAATCAAACAACACAGCCGCCATCCAGCAGCTGAAAGAGCTATTCGGCCTCGGTGCGCTCAAAGACATCCGTGATTTCGCACAGACAGTCGCGTTCCCCATCGGAGGCCCGTTGTATACCCTACGTACACCTGGCAAGAAATCAACTGGGACCCCACTCGAGGACACATCGACTTCTTCGACTTCTGCCGCAACGTGACCGATGGTAACGCCCCGGCCAACAACACAGAAGCCGACAGCGCTCTCGCCGCAAACACCAAAGGCCAGGTGTGGAAGAACCTGGGCAATTACGCTGCGTACATAAAGCGCGTCGTCCTCCCGCTGTGTCCGAGCGGAGACTATAATAGCGGAGAATGTTTTGGCACACAGGACACGGCGCACTGGGCAAACACCACGAGCAACTACGTCCGAAGCTACCTGTACACGACGTGCACAGAATTCGGCGCATACCAATCCGCCCAGCCATACGGCAAGAAGTCTCTAATCTCCCGCGTCATCGACGCAGAGTACACCCAAGAATGGTGTAACAAGGCCTTCCCGGCCGGCCAATACAACTCCATCCCGGCCACCCCCGATCTCGATATCTGGAACGCATACGGCGACTTCAACTTCACCGCAGAGAACCTCTTGTTCGTCGATGGAACGGCAGATCCTTGGAAAGATCTATGCTACCATTCTGATCTCGCACCGCAGCGCTACTGGAGCGATGCGTACCCGCAGCACCTGATCAATGGTGCTGGACATGTGTGGGATCTGAGGACACTTGTGGGGATGTGAGTGCAGAGCCGCAGTTCATTCGTGAGGCTACTTATCTTGAGCTTCGCACTGTGGAAAGATGGCTCAAGGACTTCAGAGCATAGATGCGAAGTAAAAGTCGTGGTGATTGCTCCAGGCAACCCTCGGTTATGCCTCGAGCTCGACGGTTATAATGGAACTGTAAGAGAAGCTCAAGAGTGTACCGTATGCTATGCTTAGGTGTGCTTCTTGATGTCAAAAGCACAGTGTTAAGGCTTGCCATAGAGCTCGGGCACCTGGCTCTTTTGTCTGCCAGCTCAATACAGCCGGTGCAGCTAATAGAGCACCACTTCACACCAAACAATAGAATTGGCGGTAGAACAATGCTCTTACGCTGCAAATCTTAATATTCCTTCTTATCTGCTTTTCCGCTTTTTGATTCTTGTTTTCATTACTTGGCTCTACTAGGTATGAACTTGTCACTGTCAGACAGTATCATGCGACCCATGCGACGAGGTCGACGAACCCTTTCAGCCTACTATCTTGGTCCTGGGCACAACATTCATATGCGCGCAGTCCGCCCAGGAAGCCCCACTCTACGGGCTGTCTCACAGCATCACCACCTACAGCGGGGCCGGCTCTACGATATCGCTGCGGCGATTGATTCACGGCGTGCGTTGTACGGCCGATGGGACGCCTCGCATCACGTGACGTACGCGGTCTCTCTACGAACTGCAGCATCTGGGGCCGTTGGTCTCCAAGGGATTCCCTTACTGCTTGAAAGCTCTGTCGCGGGCTGCATTGGGCAGCTTGGCGCTCAGGCCGTCACCATTTCGTCGCTCGACGCTGAAAGTCGTGAGGACAGAACCAACCAAAGAAGAAAGTGACGGTCTTCCCAAGGGCTACATGGCAAGGACGAGCTCGATGAGAGAGGTTGAGCTTTTATTTGAGGTTGCACGGAAAGAGAACTATTTTGAATGGAGCGATTCTACCGGAAAACGCATCGCGGTGGAGGAAGAAGAAGACGGACGACATATGCTAGTCGTCACAGCGACTCTGCCACGGCAGATCGTCGATGCCCTTGTTGGCGGCTGGTGCTTGCGGCTATGGCGCGACCGCACAGAGTCAACTCACGGCTCCGGAAGGTGGGGATGCCGTAAGCCGGCCCCGCCCCCTTCGGCAATACCAGGCAGGTACTAATTTGATTAAAGCAACCACGAATGTATGTAAGTCGCGCGAGGTGCTGCCGAGATTTCGGTGATCGGGTTGAGTCAGATGGAACAGGCTCATGCAGTTCGAGTGGATGTCGGATTAATCACCCTCATGTTTGACTTTCCAATGCTGCTCTACGACTTGCCTGCGGTGCTTGATAGACGGTCGTCGGGTTCACGCACATGGGCTGACTGAGTGCAACCAGTTCAGTAACTCCATCCTGTTGTGTTGCATATGGTCCGTCTCGCTTTTGATTGTGCTTCTCGGAGTTATTCTTGGCAATTGGAGTGATCTTAGGTGCTACTCAAGTCTCGATGGCAGGGCACGTCCACGCGTCGCCAAGATATTCTGGTTGACTTGCAGAACGCCAGTAACCTGAGTCACATCCTTACTTAACCTTGCTCTCCGGAGCCATAATAATCCAGATTATGAGAGCATCTCGGAAGTAACTTGCGTACAAGTCTGGCGAGAGCTCCCTGAGTGCAGACTCGGTTTCGTTGATGTCCCGTTCACTTCCTCCGTCCATGGGGAATACCATCCAGCTGACATTCTCCTCATTCTGTGAGCTATCTGCCGGTACAGTGGTCTTGGCTGCTGTAGTGATATTGGTCATGTTCGATTGTTTGGGGCTGATAGAAGCAGGCGCTTGTTCGTCCCCCTTCCGCTCAAGTCTGTGGAGCTCTGCTGCCAGTGGGCTGTCGTCCTGTTGGGCTCGGTAGGGCTTTAGCACCCCCTAAGACAGGTGTGGTGGCCATGTCTGGAAGCTCAAAAGCAGTGGCTACGATGATTAAGAGAATGTAAGTTAGACCAACGAGGGAGAGAATTGGGGGTTTCATGTTCAAATGCTAGAAGGGGCATCAACGCGCGAAAAAGTGCGCCAGTCTGAAGAGGGGTGAGCTGGGGTCTAGGAAATCTGCACTATGTAGAAGAGGCTCACGTAAAAGCTCTCGATGAACTCTTCTTACCACTTCGTCATTGCTGCAACCTCACTCGACCTAGCAATGACGCGCAGTCAGGGGAAGACGTGCACCTCTCATCATCTGCCTCGTGGGAATCAATCCTCGTGGTGATAGTGTGGTCTCGTTTGGAATCCTTTCACCTGTCAATACAATCAGCTCAAGATAGAACGGAGTAGGTCTTGAGCAAGGTGACTGTTGTCGTTGGTTGGCACAAGCTAAGGATGACGGTTCCATATAGGAGTTCATAGTACCAACATGAGCGTACCTTAATCACATGACTCTACACTCTTTCACTAACCTGGACGATGTGTACCTAACTCAACGCCAGTGCGTGGTTGGGTGAAAATTAGCCAGCGGATAGTACAACAGCAAACGTAGGGGCTCAATGATCTCATTGCAGATTCCACCTTGACGCGATGGAATCAATGTTGCATCCAACGCGCGCAGTCCTGATACAGCCCCATGGCGCCCCTGAAATGTTATCACCAGCATCCAACTCGTCCGATGGTTCAAGCAATGAGACTTCTTACCGATCCGTCATGGGTCAGCCGATCAGCCGGCCTCAGTCCGGCCATGTATACGGGAACGGCACGACGTAGTAGGCATGATGCTGAAGATGGCAGAAAGTGACTTTGTCGTGCTCGGCCTAGGTCGCATCGGGATTATCTGTATTTAACTATCCTTAGCCTACCAATGTGTTCATGTTCCACCCTTATGGTGTTGGTCGTGTCGGTCGGCTCAGCAGCACCATAGTCAGTTCCGTCCAAGCGGCGTAGCAACACTCCTCGATCCAAGCGGCATAGTTAATCCAAGCAACGTAGCAAAAGTTCATCCAAGCGGCGTAGCAACAGTTCTATTACGGGAAAAGGATCATTGGACGTTTTCGATGACAGATAACCTCTACTTCGTGGGTGATGGTGGAATACAGTGACGTGGGAGGAGTGCAGGGCAGTCCTGACAGAGTACTCACTTCCGGAGTTTGGCCTACTATGTAGTCCAGTATTCGGTGCGGCTTTGATGTTCACTCGATCCAACAACTCTGTATTGGGTTTGCAATAATCTCCAATTCTTTCAAGTATTCTGCTCCTCCCCGATCTGTATCAGAATCAAACTTGTCAGAGAAACTCTCACGTCCCCGGGAGACCGTGTTTGCAAGATCTGTTCTATTTGTCTTGTTCGCCTGGTTGAGCATTGCTTCACGCAGTTCAACGGGTAGTCCAGCTGGAGAAATGGCTCTTTGGACAGTGGCCAACGACAAACCACAGGCCGAGAAAGACAACTGCACAAATTTCCCGACATGGTACGCACAGTATCCCACAGAGAATGCAGACGTCGGAGACCCAGAAACATACGAAACCAAAACTGGCCCTCGCAAAGTCCCATTTCGACTGGCTGATGAATCCCGCAAACCAACAAACGAAACCAATCTACTGACTACGGATGGGTCAACGTCGCTGTCATGTTCGACCCAGACTCCAGGTGGCATTTTGTGTCGACAATCCCACGAGGGCCGAGAGCGAAGGTCATGGCTGCCTCGTTTCCATCTGTGCCCAAGTGGTACGCGCAGGCTAAGGGCAAGGGGAACATCAGCCACATCAGCTTCCATGCCCAGGACGGAGTCTTCTTCAACTATGAGACCTCGGAAAAAGCCCGTACTGTGTCAAATAAAACCGAGACGACATACTCTCAGGGCTGTGTCATTGCTACGTATGGCACAAAGACGCATGGCGGCAAGATCGCATACGGGCCTGGCGTGATCTCGACTTGTCGGGGAGGCAAGGATAAACCATCATGCCAAGCTATCGCCGGTGGACTGGGCGTTGCTTTTGCACCGGTCGCGGCCGGTCATGAGCAAGCGAGTGCAGATGAGGTCACCAGCGAGCAGTATCCTCTCTACCACAAACAAGGTCGCGTCGATTCCGAACTGCGGGACTTGCTATGTGAGTGGCAAACCCAGAATGGTGGAAACACGATTCAGCCTCAGCAACTCGCTATCCGTGGCATAATGATTACTCCTATCAAACGCAACAATTCGGTCTGCGGAACAGAGCTCAAAGGCCCAACTCCCGTCTCGACATTCTCATACACGGGCACGGTCGAGGACGTATCCCTCAACTATACTGTATCAGTCCTGACCACTCCGCAACGCAGCTTGGTTCCAGAGATTACCAACGTTCCCACAGCTACCCCGGTATGCTACGTGCACGACTCGGATCCATTCCACGGAGACAGCAATCGATACTGCGCGTGCGACAATTACAAAACCTTGCCATTTCTCACCAGCTTCACCTTCTCGACACAGGCCGCCGAGAGCCAGAGCTGTGACTACACAACTTTGCCCCCTAGGGATGCCAATCGAGACAGCATCCCATCACTTACATCTGCAACACCAACGATCACGCTGGGCCCCAACCTGCAGGGAAGGGATCTCACCATAACGAAAGACTTCGGCCCGCCAATTACAACTACACCCAATTGTCAAGTTTGCACTCCGGTTGGCGCATACGGCTACGATGCTTCATGCTACAGCCTACAAGGCTGCGTGGTACCAACTGCGGCCGTCACGCTCCAAGCGGGCTCGTCACCAGTCCACGTTGGAACCGTGACTGGCACAGCGCTGTATACAGGTGTTTCCAACGCACTCGAGACGCTGTGTCCGACTCAGGCCCAGAATTGTACCGTCGATACTGCCCAAATAGGCAGTGTGACCTACATTGAGGATAACACACTCTTCGGAGATGGTACGTTGGGGATAAGGGTGGGTAGCAGCCATTGGAAGGAGACGTCCCTTCGCACCGCGATGATCGAGACTGTAGCCACAGCAATACAGAATGCAGCTGTCGGCACCAATTGCTACCAGAAAAAATACTA